CCCGAGCAAATGGATCATCAACAATGCTGAACATCGCATTGACACCTATCACTCAGACTGTACTCCACTGCTAGAGATGCACTCGTCAATCTGGCGGTAAGGCTGGGTGAGACGGATGACTGGGAGAGGAGCCTCAAGCCACTCGACAAGCAAAGGGATGCTGTACCACTCCAAACACGACGATGGCCGACAGTAGGGCAACAAAGTATATCGTGATCTGGAAGAACTTCGGGCTTCAACAGCAATGAGCTAGGGCTACAGGACTGTAAGTAGGCGCTAACGACTGGTGTTGTCTTGCTGACCTGGCCATTTATAGCGCTACGTGGTTGAATGGTGTAAGGCGCGAGCACGAGCTCATCGTTGGGGAGGAAGAAGTGCAACTACTAACGGGAGTAAAATGCGCCGCATTGTTGCATTTCTTGACTGGCAGGCAGGCTGGTGGGACATGCCAAGGTCCACGGCGTGGCTTTTAACTCACTGCAGGCTGGAGAGGGTGCCCTTGCTATGCGCAGCGCCAGGCTAATCTACGTCGACAGATGGTCAACCACATCAAATCATGTGGGCAGCCAATCCTTCATGGCAAGAAGCGGTCCATCTTTGTTCTGAGTTGCCAATGCCGAACCCCAACCCCCCTGCTGTTCACTTGATTTGAGCTTGTAATAGAGAGGATGACGAAGGAAACTATTTAATCTACCATATTTCTGTGTTTACAAGTGGTGAGCGCCGTGCCTAACGGACGGGCTGCAATAAGGAGAACTATGATGTCATTTGAATAATTTGATCCTGGCTCATCATTGGTGGAAACCGAGCCCCGAAGGTGATATATCATGAAATGCCTGAAAGTGATTTATCACACAAGGTGATACAAAAGGTGATGTATCACAAAAAGCTTTAAAGTGATGTATCATGCGAGGCTTTAAAGTGATGTTACTGATGTATCACGCAAGGCTTTAAAGTGATATATCACGCAAGGTAACACGACTGAAAGTGATATATCATGCAAACCTGAAGGGCTTTGAAGGTGATATATCACACGACCTCAAACACGACCAAAAAATGATATATCACACAAGCCTCAAAACATAACTGAAAGTGATATATCACGCGAGCCTCAAGGGCTTTGAAGGTGATATATCACGCGTGCCTCAAACACGACTGAAAGTGATATATCATGTGAGCCTCAAAACACAACTGAGAGTGATATATCACGTGAGCCTCAAGGGCTTTGAAGGTGATACATCACAGGACAGGCAGTGGGAAAGGTGAGGGAGGTGATACATCATGGTATATGGACCACAGGCTCTGATATAACATCAGCCTTCTACAATACTAGACATTGATGTATTATACCTACAGGATTTTGTGGGTACACTTCTTCCCAGTGTCCGTACTGGCAGGTGCATTGGCCCAGACACCTCCACCCCGGCCTCTCTGATTTGAGCGTGACATGATCTAGGGTGTGCTTAACAACAGCGATTAGAGATCGGATTAAGGCTTTAGCAGCGTCAACGCGCCGGTAACGACGATGTTGAGCACACTGGCTGGCAGGGCAGGTCGGAGTTCGAAACCTGCCATACTGGCAGCATCCGAATTCGCAAAATTTCTCTGTGAATTTCTTAGAAGGTTGTGAATGTTGGAGTTCTGGCCGGTCTTGGTATAAGTCTAAGCAGACGTCTAGGTACAAAGTCTGGGTACCCTTCGGCGAGCTCAGCAAATTCAAGCAGAGTTGAATCAACTAGCAGGTGCGGCTCACCTAAGCAAGGACATAAACCATCCCACCTCTTTGCTGCCCGCTGCCCACTGCCCGCCACCCCGCCAGCTGGTGTCAGGAATGCTACTTCTGTGCCCGCCCGCCACCACTGGAGATGGTGTCAATGGCATCCTCCATTTAGATGCCACTCGAGCCATGTCTGCACTGCTCAAATACCCTGCCCACCTGTCGTTACATCCATTCCTTAGCTGCCACCCTCCTTGATACGGCCTTCGAGCAAGTGACAATGCAAGTGGGGGTGAGCCTGGGTTCTTTCTGCTCTCACCTGTGCACCTTGCGCTGTGACCATGACTTGTGTGGAGTGTAATGTTGCGACAACAATACCTTACACACGAGTCATGGCCACTTGTGAGGCAGGTGGACGACTAGTCACTGTTGTAGTTATCTTTGGCAATGTATATCATATTGATTGATATCTTAATATTGCGGTGAAGAACATTGATGTGTAACTAATTCTAAGTTGAACTAAGGTATACTTACTGATCCCTCACTTGTGGCCGTACAATCTGAATATGTTCCTCCTCAACGGTGGCCTCTCCGGCTTTGGGTCAGCGTCTGGCGGCGGCGGCGGCGGTGGCGGGTGGAGGCGGGATGTGACAGGTGGGATAGGCGGGTCGGCCATGCTCGGGGCACCGGTATCTTCAAACTCCGTCAGAGCATCGCCACCTGTGGCAAGACCGCAGACCTGAAGTCTCCTTTGACTTGTACCCAGACCGGCCATTTCAGAAACGCCCTCAGAAGGTTCGACTTTGAGAACCGTTATTGACAGCGACATTTTAGCATTGAACATCCCTTCAGATTTCAGCAGTAACATAAATATAGTACAAGCCACGAGCTCGCGCGGGAACTTTTGAACTGGATCTCCCTGAGATGACAAACTGACACGATACATACTATGCAACGTTTTAGTGTCCTCTATTCCGGCGATATCCATTTCTTTTGGCTCACACGAAATAGATCCACATCACAACCACAGGCTACAAGTACTGTATCAGGCGGTGCCAGCACACTGCTGCAATGACTCGGATGTCCACTCCGCCCTCCATCCATTGCACGTGCATGATCCATATTAGCGGTCGAACCATGTACAAGGTTGCACATCAGCAAACAAGCAAATGAACGCGCTGATGATTCCTGAGTCGTGACAACGGTAGACTCCAAGACACTCCCGTGAGCAACCGAAGGCAGTCACTCCTCAGATATCACGGTAAGTGGAATGACAGCCATGCTGCAAAGTACCTAGCATCACGCGCACCAAAATGGAGGATGACCGGCATTGAGCTCAAGCTGACAGACATATTGTTTCATTGGGCGCCTCGAGAGCTCGCAGCTTCGTGCCCACACACCATTTTTTCCTGTACTGGCGCCCCATTCTCGTGTACGCCTGACCCTCACTCAGGCTGTCAGTATTGCAAGTGTCTGTTCATGGCCCGCGTTTGACAATGACATCGAAGGTGAGCAGGCAGAGGTCGTGACATCGATATTATGGAGGGCTATTGGAGAGTACCATTAATGTGCTGTTCGATGTCGATGCGGAGATACCACACTTTGCGGTGACCCTCTTCCCGAAGGGCTCTTATCATACCCGTGATTTCGCTGATCCGTCTACTTCCAAGTAGCTTAAAATCTCGCAGGGGCAGCAGTCTTGATCAAGTGTGGGGTAAGTAAATCTAGGTCAAATATATGTCGTCATCGAATGTCCAAGTTTCTAGAAGGATCGAAGCCTTGGGGTTGGCACCGATCCAAAAATAACTTGTCTCTTATCAGTTGCAATGTCAAAAGGCAGTTAAAGGCAACTCACGCACATGTTGATGTAAGTACTAGTATGCGTCTGCTTTGCCCATCTTTCTGTTCAGTATTTTCTCGAAATTCCTCGCCAACGCATAGATGATAGCTCCCACCACAAACCCCACGAACACACCAACGTCTCCACTGCCTTGCCTCGCTACTGGTCCTACATACCAAGCCTGTGACACGAATGGAACAAGAGCTCCAGCCGCGCACACGAAAGCCACTACTGCGGGAATACTGCTAGGCAAGAGGGTATATGAATCCCAAGTCGAGATGGGATATTGATCCTCGGAAAACGAGGCTCGTCGGAATAACACATGCTCTGTGAGTATTATCGCAGAGAATGCTGATGACCAATATCCAACGATGTCTGAGATCAGCATGTTAGCGTTAACAATAGATACCGATATTTGGGACTTGTACTAAGGATGTCGACAAAGGTAGCGTAAAACCTTTTGGCACCAACAATGGCCACTGGTATCAGGCTTGAACCCAAATCATGAGCATCTCCGAGGTTTACATTGACTTGATGACACTCACATTCCTTCCGAGATGAGGACATATACCCATCTGGGCACCGTAGAAAACCACGTAGCAATAGCCATGAAACTGTTGCTGAACGTATACATCGTTGGTGCACAGGCACTGGATATGCTGAGAGCGACCAAAGCAGTCAGGATTTTTCCAAATGCACCTGTAGGTAACAAGACGCTGTGTAACAAACCACCGACGGAAGAGCTGTCATCGAATCCCGTATTCCAAGCAGGTACGCTCGGAGCTGCTGCTGCGAATGCTGCACCCAGAGCCTGACCAGTCACCTTTCAAGATAAAATTGTTAAGATGCAACTGATACCGACATAAATGGCTCACATTAGACACGAAGAACCCAAGATATGTGTAGATAAAAATTCTGGCACTATCGGAATGTCAAGGAGAGTCCTGGTGATGGCCCGGGAAAGCTCACGAAGAAGCATCAGGGCTATGGTATACGCCATAGTCAGGGATCATGGTACACCAGCTGATCATATTAGATGCGATAATGGACGCAAAAGATATGACATTAGCAGGTGTTGCTGGAGGGACAGGAGCCGATAGGTTTTCGCGTAGTTGTGGATAACCGACAGCCAACATGGTGATAAAAGCAATTACATTCGGGATCCAAGCAACACTTTCGTACCTATGAATCAATATTCCATCAGAATTCTGGATGATTGATATTGGAGTGGTCCCACCAATGGATAACGCGGTATCCACAGAAAGTGACCTTGAGATCTGTCAACTTTGGTGCAGCAGGAGGAATTCCGACATACTATAAGAGATATGATACCAAGTATAACGATACCAAGAGTATCATTAAGTTGAGAAGACAAGCTAGCTATCGTTTGTCCGCCAATAATGCATTTCAGAATAAGGAAGCCTTCCAAGGAGAAAGCATTCAAGACGGCCGGTATGATGGCACCGAAATACCTTGATGACCGTCAGGGAATGATACTGGCAATCGGAAAAATAACTCACCCCCATGAGAACCTTGCTTGCACCATAGCTCGCATGCCAAGCTTTGGCCCGAAAACAGCACTAGCGCATTATGAAGTCCCTAAAAATGCGCAGAGAAAAATAGTAAAACTCACGAGAATCCTGGCAATAAACAACATCTAGCCGAAGGTCAATCGCTGCAGATCGAGATTTTGTGAACTGTTGACTCACACTAGGTTAACAGCGATGATAATAGCTAAGGAGTCGCGAACTCCCATGGAAAAAAATGCAGGGCCAGTAGTGCCAGTGCTGAATCTGCAGGTGTTAGGTGAATTAGAGAATAGTGCCGGAATTAAGACAGTGCTGAAACCGTACGACAAGAGATTCATGCAGGAGGAGAACCAAACGAAAAACAACTGGTACCACCGAGTCTCGAGACGTTCCTCTACTGGCACCGGTACGATGCTGATCCAAGGATCAGTAAAAATGCTAAGACAGGTATCACAACATCTCCATCTCACTCACCCATGAGTTTCAATTCCATATCGAGAAAGTAACTGAGTGGTACGTCTGAGGAATCCTATGTGGTTGCGACTGTCCTCCACTCTATCGACCCTGAAATGCTCAGCATCAGAGGACACACTGGGTCTGGAATGGCAGTTCAACGGACCTGTCCTCAGGTTGTTTCTGCTCCGCTGCGTAAGACTGCATTGCGTGAGTAGTAATTGACCTGTTTCAGTTTGGTCGATCGATGTGCAACAACGTCAGTGAGAAAGTAACAGACGCAGTCGGGTGCTTATTCCTATTACTAAATGTTGTTAACTAGCGGAAGTAAAGAAAAGGTAATCCGATTACCGTGACGTATAAGATTATATGCCGCATGTATGAAAACAGCATGATGAATCAAGTTTCTCGATCTGTTTCGTCCCCAAGCCTTCAATGCTTCAAGTTGGGAACGACGCGGCATGATTCAGTGAACACATCTCTGATAGTTGGTATTCTACCCCGAAGCGAGGTACGAGGGCAAGAGGTGTGCAAAAGAAGAATTCCGAATATGTAGGGCAACTTTACATAAGCTTTTAAACTTTAATATACAGCCACTTAGACTTACGAGGCCGCCGATCAGCAAAAGCGCTGAAATGAACGCTTAGCTTAAGCGTGTTACGGACACTTATGAACCCTTACGACTTCAGTAGCGCACTCATGCGATTGGTGGAGAGCTCGGACGCTGGGATGTTTTACGAAAATCGATGAAACCAGGATTTGATTAGATGCAGACAGACTATCATACTTATCAACATGATCAGATCAGCGCAGATAATCAATTGTACTACACAAAATCTACATTAAACCAAAATGCATCATATTGAAAACTTCCTTGTATTCTGATAATATTCATCACAGATCTCCATCGAATTCATGGCAGTTATTGTGCGGTCCATCTTCGAGCCATACACTGGAATAAACTCGATGGCACAGGTAACGGTAACAACTGTCAGCAGAATGATGGTGCCAGGTTGGAAGATCCGACCTGTCTCATCCTGATGGTAGATGCATTTCACGCAGTACATGCCAGCGGTCAAACTTAGGGAACACAAGAAGATGAGAAATATAGGCGGGAAGGACAACGGCCATGGCATGATCATAAGCTGTAGGCTTGAGGCGGAGCATGAACACAGTATATATTCCAATGGCAGCTGCATTCTGGCGGGCAGGCGGGAGGCACTGATCGCATGAGCAGCGAGGTGGTCGCAAAGCTGGGCTTTGTCATCAAGCGGTGTTTAAACTCAGTTGGACTCTGCCGGACTTGCCGATGCCGCCTCAGCTTCCACCAAAAAACCATTTGCTTCAATGAAACAAACATTTCCTTTTGTTCTCGTCACCACTACCAGGACCGCTGCACGACAGCAAACACAAGTTAAGTTACTGCTGCATGCCACACATGTTCGAGTTACATGATCTGTCCATCGTAAACTGACATTCCATTTTTGAAATCTACCTTGTCTCTTCGACGTCAATTGAGAGCAGTTCGTGTACACGCTGTTTGCTTCAGAAATGACTACTGCTACTAGGCATCTGATTTACTCATCTTCTTGTACCATGATTTTTCGAAACCCCTTGCCAATGCGTATGTGATAGCCCCCACCACAAACCCTACGAACACCCCAACGTCTCCACTCCCATGCCTCGCAACTGGTCCTACATACCAAGCCTGTGACATGAATGGAACAAGGGCTCCACAGGCGCACGCGAAGGCCACGACCGCAGGAATACTGCTAGGCAAAAGAGTATACGAAGCCCAAGTCGTGATGGGATATTGATCCTCAGAAAACGAGGCCCGCCGAAATAACACATGTTCTGTAAGAACAATCGCACCAAATACTGACGACCAGTATCCGATGATATCTGAGGAATCAGCATTTTAGCAATAGACACTGCGATATTCGGGACTCGTACTCAGGATGTCAACAAAAGTGGTATAAAACGTTTTGGCGCCAACAATGGCCACTGGTATCAGGCTTCAACACAAATAATGAGTATCACAGGATTTCACGATGCTGAAGATACTTACATTCCTTCAGAGATGAGAATATATACCCATCTCGGCACTGTAGCAAAGCCACGGGGCTACAGCCATGAAACTGGTGCTGAACGTATACATAGTTGGTGCACAAGCACTGGGTGTGCTGAGAGCCACCAGAGCGACCAGAAGTTTCCCAAATGCGCCTGTAGGTAGCAGCACACTATATAACAAGCCACCAATGGAAGAGCTGTCTTCGAATCCTGCATTCCAAGCAGGCACGTTAGGAGCTGCGGGCCGCGAACGCAGCACCGAGGGTGTGGGCGGTCACCTTTTCAAGATGTTACGATAACGCTAGTAACAGTACACGGGGGCTTACACTAGCGGTGAAAAACGCGAGATACGTGTAGAGAAAAATTCTTGCACTATAAGGATGTTAAGGAGAGTCCGTGAATGGTCTGAGGGAGCTCACGAGGAAGCAGCAGGGCTGTGGTATACACCATAGTCAGGGGTCATGGTACACCAGCTAAGAACGCTAGATGCGAGGATGGACGCAAAAGAGATAACCTCAGCGACAGTTGCTTGAGAGACAGGAGCTGATTGGTTGTCGCGTAGTTGTGGATAACCGGCACCCAGCATGGTGATAAAAGTGATCACACTTGGGATCCAGGCGATACTTTCGTACCTAGAAATCAGAATTGCATCAGAATTATATGGATAGTACGTGGTTGAGTGATCCCACCAATGAATGATGCGGTATCCACAGAAAGTAACCTGTGAAGCTTAACATTTTGATGCAACACCAACAGATTTGACGTACCACAAGAGTTATGATACCAATGATGACAATACCAAGAGTATCATTAAGGTGAGAAGACAGGCTCGCGAGGATTTGTCCACCAACGATACAGTTCAGTATAAGGAAGCCTTGCATGGAGAAGACATTCAAAACTGTCGGTATGATGGCACCGAAATACCTTGATGTGAATGACACTGGCAATCGGAAAACAACTAGATGTGACCCACCCCCACGAGAACCTTGCTTGTACCATAGCTCGCGTGCCAAGCTTTGGCCCAAAGACAGCACTGTACATTCATAAGTCCCGAGCAACGTCCAGATAATAATATTCTTACAAGAACGCAGGCAACAAGCAGGTCCTAGTTATAATTCACAGCAGATCGATATTCGAATGAACTATTGGCACTTACACCAGGTCAACCATGACAATGATGATTAAAGAGTCATGAACTCCCAGGGAAAAGTATGCAGGCCCCGCAGTGCCCGTGCTGAATCTACAGGTGTCAAGTGACTCAGCGGATGATAGCAAGAGAATCGAGAGTCGAGACTGGACTCAAAACGCACGTCAAGATATTCATGTTGGCAGAAAACCATACGAAGAACATTTGGTACCATCGAGTCTCGAGGCGTTCCTTTGCTGGTACCGGTGCGATGCTGATCCGAGTAACAGGTGGAAATGCCTCAGACACTGCAGATATCACAGCGACACCATCTCACTCACCCATGAGTTTCAATTCCATACCGAGAAAGTAGCTGGGTGGTACGTCTGAGAAACCCTGTATGGTACCGATTGCCCTCCAGATCATTGCCCACAGGCTTATCAGAGGCCATATCCGGTGTCATGGAACTGGAGTGGGACTCTCCCTGCTTTCGCTCCTTAGACTCGGACTGCATTGCGTGAACAATGGTGGACGTGGATTTTCCGCTTGGATGTCCGCGTCGTGAGAGTACAGCTCAGAACTGGACTTAGCTGTCGTTTTGAAATTGTTTTGAAGCTTGGAGTATTCTTAGATAGGATCCGCCGGTTACGAAACATCTAGCGCCATGAGGCGACCGCTTCCATGTAACCGGAACCCGGGTGGCTTAGTAGGCCAGAAACGTAGCAAGCAAACTAGGATCATCACCTTGCATTTACTTTGCACGATGATGGAACTTATGTGATAGCGTGAAAATGATTCGGAGAATAGACGTCGTGCTGACTAAGCTACTAACAAGCAGTTTAGAAAGTCGAGATCAAGTTGAATCAGAAGTATGGACAGACTACGTAGCAAGTTAGACACGTGAATTCAGTACCGAGTATCTCGAGGACCAGAAGTAAGTGCTATGCTATATATATCGGCGTGAGTCTCGGATGCAGATGCGCACAATGTACTCGAACCGGACGCCAGTCGATTAGGAATCAAGCGAGTGTATTGGAGGGTGGCCGTGACCGTTTCGATGATCCATCGCCATGCGACGTTATACTGTAAGGCTGTCATGGAACTGGGTGTGCAGGCACTTGTTCTGAATGGATGAAGCACTGCATGATAATGATTGTGGTGAGTGTTCAAACTGAGGATCGGAGATAAAGGTGCTGACCTTTCATCCTCAAGGTGTACTGGGTGCGCCCGAGTCTTTCAAGCTTGTTGCCGCCCTGGCTCGGGTTAAGTGTGCCTATGAGAGTATGCCGTTGCTGCCTCCAATAGCGCTTGCCGTCAATTCAGCCCCTAACATCAACATCAGCGTCTTCCTGCCCCTGACTCGAGGCCGCAGCGACACGGTCACGGTCATTCATCGCTGCAATCGCCTCCTCCGCAATGGTCATAAGCTCCATCAGCGATTCTGCATCAAACAGTCAATTCGATAACCCTCGCATGACCCAAGAAAATGAAGGCTCACTCTCAATGCTTAACGTGACGAGCGTCTAAAAGTTCAAAAGTCAGTTTCACAAATCTTCATCGGATGGTAAGCGAAGGCCAACTTACCCGCTTGGTATCCTTATCTCTCAAAATATCCATTTTCGCACTCTCCTTCATATCATCCACGCCAACCACATCGTCCAGGAGTGCCTTCAGCTGCTCATTCACGTATGAGTTCGTACCGCTGCCTCTGTTCCCCAGACAGCGCATGTACTCCTGGAATGAACGCGCCTTGTTTAAGACGTGTCGCGGGAGTGTCTCGAGCAAGTCCTGCGCACATAAATTTGGATCTGGTGCGTTCATTTCTGTGTCTTGTGGTTGCTGGCTCCCCTCGCCCCCATCGTCGTCCTGCTCAAGAGATGTAGTGCGTATTCGGAGACCTGAAGAGGGAACATGGGGTTGGAAGCGGACGTTCGGAGAGGCTGGAGTCAACGATTGAGTCTGGATCTGGGTTGGGCTTTGGGCTTGACTCGGAGGCTGAGGTTCAGACAGAGACAGGGACCGGGTCCTCGTCATATACATATTTTTTGTGCGAGTGCGGTACGTCGTGACGGCTCGCTCGAAAGAGTCGCTTTGGAGCATGGCCTTGTAGCGCGTCGAGTAGGCCTCGGAGGCGACTGCGATTGAACGTCACATTGAGACATTGGAATATAGATTCGAGCGTCAGAATAACAAAGGATGTGCATGCAATTGAAGAGAACCAAAATCAAGGTGAACGTCAGCAAAGAGTTGCAAAGAAATAACAAGCACGCACCAGAAACCAGTATGGTCACTGTGGCAACGCCGAGCAGGGCCCACACGACGAACACAGATCGCCCTGCAGGCGTTCTGGGAGCGGGGTCACCATACCCGACAGTTGTGAATGCAATAAAACCTAAACATCACGTTGCAAGTCAAAATCAGACGTTTCGAAGAAACGAAGTTGAAAGGCTTACAGAAATATATAGACGAGCCATATGACCAGCCTTCGGTGAGACTAAATATTGCAGAGCCAACCTACAGTGTTTGTTAGATCGCTCAATATAAATATGTTGGGAACGAAGATCAAGCGAAGATCATAACCAAACTCACCAACCAGAACACAACAAACAATGTCCATGCAAAGCACGAGCGCATCAGAAGAACGTACTTCTCCTTGCTCGCGACCATCGAGTCAAAATTTACATTGATATCGTCGCTGCTCGAGGTTGTTTCGAATGTCGTAGAGCTTCCAGTGTTATATTCACCTCCAACTGAGCCGTCTGCACCGGCGCTCAAGCCACCTTTATTGTTCGAAGCACAGTCTTCGCTACTTTTGACGCCGCCGACAGTGGCCTGTAGTATAGGTCCTTCGTGTTCCAGGGAAACTCCAATCGCAAATCTCGTTAGGAGCGCTGCCATAGCACCAAGCCGCTGGTGTGTTAGCATTCGATGCCCACCGCGCCGCACATTCATACCATACACTGAATGCGGGACAGACAAGGCGGGGTATGTGCTCGCAATCTTCTCGCGTCATGAGTACCACATCAAACTAAGGCAGAAAAAACACTTACCTCCACGTCATCAGTATTGTCGTCGTCATTATCGTTCTGCATCTGCACTTCGTAAAACTGTCGTGGGAGCAAGGTTTCAAGTGGAACGCCCGCCTCCATCGCCGCCGCTTTCAACTCTGGATGTGTGAGCGCCTCGAGGTTCAGACGCTTTCCCCGAGAATGATCCAAAGGGTGAGGAATCTTTTCTGTAGCGCTAAAAAACCTTCTCTTCACCTTGGCCCAAAGAGAGTTAGATGTCGAACGGTGTTTTCGAACCCACACCGTTGCACCTTTGTCTCGCAATCTCCAAATGATTGCCGAACGCCATCGCTTTTCTGCATTCCTTCTTCGCCGTGATGCACGTCGTCGTTCTCGAATATCATGTAGGCGACGTAAATAACCGACTTGTAGCCCTTCTCTCACTGTCTCTTGTACCATACCCACCACCACGGCAAGATTCACAATACCAAATGCAGCGTAAAAGCAGATGAATACTCTTGATCCGAGTGAATTGGGCACAATGTCGCCAAAGCCAATGGTTTCGATTGTCGTCACGGTGAAGTAAAGCGCATTGATAAAGCTCAGAGAGAGCAGGAATGAATTGACTAAGGAGCCAAATGCGATGTAGGCAAATAGGATTATGAGCATGATCATTAGCGTGCGCTGCTTGCGGGTGAGGCCACTGCCTGTTTCATGTTAGGGCGGTGAGTGAAGAGAATAGGATACGGGATACATACCGCTTGTCTTGAAATTGGGAGTGAAAATGAGGTCTATGATAAGGGTTACATTGGTGATGACCGATACGACGGTGGAGCAGACAGTCATCCAGAAGGATTCACCGTATGTAAACCCGTCGTTAGTATCGGTGGATCACGCCGAAGATGGTGAGAGCGACGATATTGATAATGTCTATACGTCAGGTTAGTACATGTCTTTGCTCAAAACCGAGACACAGACCGTGGATAGACAAAAACACGATACATAATACTGTCATTGTCATGACCCGCTTCTCAAGAAACCTTAGGATGATGCATATATTAGCGAGGACAGCGCAAGTCATACTAAATGCAAGGCCAATATCCAATAAGACTGGGTTAGAACGAGTCTGGACGGTATTATAATTCTCGGTGCGGATGTACCAGTACCCGGTAAGCCCTGGAATCTCGAGCAAGATCGAGAATGGTATCACGATGCCAGTTATAAGGGGAGCGATCCGGTAGTTTGGTACGTAGGACAAGTCGTCCGATGACGGCGGAAACACGAATGCCTTCGCCCGAGAAAACAACGACGGATGTTTGTCAGGAGAATCGAGGGAAGGCAGGTCGGACTGCGGGCCTGAGACAGATTCATCTGGGGGTGAGTCGTTGTTGTCGTTGTCAGCGTCCACGTCCAAATGAATTTCCTGGCCTATGTCTTTCTCCTCGTCCGCATCCCCTTCGTCGTTGTTGTGAGCGCGCCTTTCTACATTGGGAGTTTCACTGAGGGTCTCCGGACCCTTCTCTGGGTCAGATTCCCTTGTCCGGATAGACCTAAAGGCAAAGATGAGGGCTATCAAAGTCTGTAAGGCCATGAGTGATGCTGGTGATACATGGATGTGTAGGGGGGTGATACACTGTCAGTGCATGTGCTTATGTATCAACCTGTTGACGGTCATAACAATTGTCCTGTGCAGCACACAAAAGGCAAAAGGCCTACAAAAGGTTACCCGGGGCCGTCGGCATGGTCCGTTGCATTGCATGACGTCATCACGGTGATCCGGGGGGCTAGCGCTCAGGCCGTCACACTCGAGGTTTGCGTGTACATCCGCTCAACGTCTGTTTAATTGTCTCCTTCCCAAATCCTCCATTATGCAAGTACTTAGCGGACTTATTGGACCACTCGGTCACCCGAGCCTTTTGACATCGTTTTCTCAACTGGTACCTCGGCAGACTTCTCCCCCGGACCTTCATTGGTGCCGCTAAGCACCTTATTGGTCACCCTTGCACGTTTTCCCTGTATGGTTTTTCCGAATCGTACCCTTTTTTGGAGCTGATTCATTCGCACATCCCTTCCTAAAATACATACAACTCGATCCTATCTTTCTCTTGACTAATTTATGTAAACCAACTGTCACGGTTTCTTCAGTCTGCGTCTGCATTCTCTCCTGCTTTTTGCTCTCAATTTTGCCTTGCCTTTTTGCCCAGCTGGACACCTGCCATCGTGTCCAAGTTCCCAACGCATGCAACTTTTCTATGAGACATTATAATTGAATCCGTTTGGTTGGGAGTTTAACGGCTCAACTTGCAGCAGCTTGGATTGATCCAAAATGCAGATCGTGTGAGTGTTGAGCTGATAGACCTGAAAATCTGGTCAACCAAAATATCTTCGTGAGTGAGTTTGCTTCACCCGTTGTTCCTTCCAATTGAATGCACGCAAGGTGATTCGGACCATGACCAATGTGCCGTGCCTAAGCTCCGAATACTAATCTTGGGGCGGGATAATGTCGTTCTCGACATTCCGAATGTCAAGCTGATGGAGCTTTGCATTCACGTGCTGGAAGTATCTATCCCCGCGTGTGCGGTCCACTCTTAAATGTTCATGTCCTTGTTCTTCCACTTGAACTCCTCGATGTCGCTGTGGATGATGTCGTCCAAGGTAGTGATCTGATTCTCAAATGTGACAATCGTCTTACGCAATGAACTCAAAAGATTGATTTGCAGGTCCGTCATCTTATTATCACTACTATCAAAGGATTCGTCCTCATCCACACAGCTATGGTCCTGGGCAACTTCACGACAAACGCTCATGCTATCTTCGCTGCTTAACACAACACCCACGGCAAAAATGTTCCACAGTTCGCTGATCCTTTGTCCCATTAAAAGCAAGACCATGCCAAGATGCAACAGCTTCCAAAGCCTGTTTTGACAATTGCTCCGAGCTGGCGAAAATAAGAGCACAGGTTTTGCATTATCTCGAAATCTACCGCAAAAGTGGAAAATCGCGAACCATAAGACTCGCTCCCTAACGGTAGCGAGAAAAATGTCTTGATGAATACCGTTTGTCAATATTTGTGTTTGGTAAATGGTACACAGGTTGAGGAGCTTTCACGATCTTTCAACATCTGTTGATCATGATATACGCGAGCAGTGGCCATACATTGCACTGATTCTTGACAGTGGAGACTAAGGTTATATAACAACAATACGTGGGGGTTAGGAACATAGCAAATGTGAACGTGGTTTTGACTATCAAGTCATGTAAGGATTTTCAATAGAAAACGACACAGTAACCAGGCCTCTGAGATCTCGGAGGGACAAACTGTGATCATTATTTCTTGACGCTTCGTCAAGAAGGCCGAAATGATAACGATGAAATATATCACCACACAGCACGTCAAAAACCGTCAGCCTCCCACGAACTAGGACTCCCCCAATCTCCTTCCAGACCCCCAGCTATGCCCAGTCGCCCGCCCAGCAGCAGCAGCCTCCTCAGCACGCTGCCTTGGTGCAAACGCCTGCACGGCACCCCTCCTGCTTCCGGCGCGTCCATAATCGTTATGCTCACTAAACCAGTTCTTCAGCCACGTAGGAGCACGTCCCCACCCCGCATACATGCCCTGCTCGACACCACCTGAGCCGATACCGGGCCCCCAGACTAGCCACCACCACGCGTGTCCGATAAGCATCCCGCTCACGCCCTGCGCGGCGGCACTTGGCCCACCCGTGAGGAGGTCTATGCCCAAGAGTGCGTATGGGAAGTATGCAACAGGGATAGTGATGAGGCCCATCACGCTCGTTAGTGCGCCTGGTATGGATAGAGAACACATCAAGTAGGTGAGTGTATGAAGCAAGGCACGGGTATGCGAGTAAGATTGGATGGGACGGTTCACGGCCTATTAGTATTAATCACGAATGTGAAATGTGAGGACATGGGTGGCGCAAGTGAGATACGGGACATACGGTCAGAGCGAGGCTGGCAAGAAAGAGTTGCCAGGCGTAGTCGGAGGAACGGCGCTCGTAGTGAGTTGATTCAAGCGTGTTCGAGTTGCGGCTTGAAACCACGAATTGTTGGGTTCTCGACCAAGGGAGAAAGACATACGGTACTTACTAGAGCATGAGAAGCTCAAAAATATAGTTCAGATTCATACCTGAAACGTGCGGTGAGCTCGCATAGCATTACATAGTCCATGATGGAACGACACTTACTTCCGAGGAAGAAACTTGTGTACAATCTCCAGAACTATGATTTATGTCAAGGACCGTTAGACTCTGGCAGATGTTCGGTCTTATAAATGAGAATAAGCATAGGACACACCTCGAATTTCTGAATAATAGCCTCTGTCATGAAGAGAAGCCTCCATGGCGAGACAAGGTTCAAAATGGCTGGGACGGTGATGCCGAGAGACGATGCAACGAGAAAGCGCGTCACTGGCGGGATCTTTCGAATTTCGGTGAGAATTTCGGCCATTAATGAGGAATGTGAAGGGTGTGGTGTGTTGAACAAACGATGAAGCTTCGATGAAGACTGGCCAGTACCAGTACTTGAGAACCACTGCAAATGACGTGGAACTAGTTGAACTTTGATGCTGAGCTTCTGGTCAACTGGCCACGTGTTCGATCAGTTCTTAATCCTTAGTGACTAAGCAAGACGGGTGAGTGAATACTTGACAAACTTGTGCACTGTGACCGCTACTCTAATAGTCTCTTACTTGCAGAATTCATTCATTCTGGGTCTCTCAGCAAACCGGACAAGCGGGAGTGACTCATCGCATTTTACTGGATCGACGCTTCAGCATTCGAGTCAGCTGTCTCGGCAGAGCCTGACTCATGAATTTTGTGATACAGGCACCCTCCACAGGAGTTCTCCCCATGATAGTGGGAATTACAATGCTTTCCCGGCGTTCTATGTTCCGCATGTCAGTCCGATCAGCTTGACAAGGGTGCTGATGTGCAGGACTTGTTGCTGAACAGACATCTTTGTCAATATTTAAATTGTGACCTTTGACGTCTTTTGACAGCTTGCCGGGTGAAGTGAGGTATGAGACCATACATCAAATCCCTCACGCCAAGTTTCGCGCGAATTTTCACATCCCTAGTTGCCAAGAGTCATTGCAGGACCGCCCTACAGCATTGTACCCCGAAGTCACAGATTCGCCGCTGCGGCGCCGAGCGCAGAGAGATAAAAGGACGTATTTTGGTTCTAGTCAGCGTATCCTTCACGGGTGAATCATGGATCCTAAACCATTGGTAGGTCGATCTCGTCGAATAACTAAACAATTACTGAGATTTTGGCTTGACGCTTTCAAGGCTAACTCCAGCAGGATAATTACATATGATCAGGTGCCGGACATGGATGCGAATGTGGATTGCACAAAGGTAGTTTTCCAATCTTTCTCACTATCATTGTTCATCGTCTGCTCAGGCACATCGAGTTCTGTCACCGACGCATATTGCGACCGAAATTCCGGTCGAAATCCTCTGCATTATCATGGAGCTTACTATGCCACCGACTCAGCATTTTCTAGATTCCACTGTCATTGCTCGCGACAATCGTTCCTCGCGGTCCTGTTCGCTGCAGACCCTCAGGAACAATGTGCTAGTATGCAGGTCCTGGTATAATGTCGGCATTAGCTTCCTCTACCAGCCATGTTGTCGTTCTGCAGAGCAAGCAACTCTTCGCGCTTGCACGCGTCGTCTCGAACAACCGCAGCCTCGGCGAGATAATATTATCTCTGCACCTGCAGTGTTATGTTTCAGTGGCGCAGATGGCCACAGTCTCAATGGCTGTGGACAGCATCTGAGCGGTGACTCCAAATCTTACCAAATTTACTCTTGTGCCCATCATGAAGAGACAGCCTTTTCTTAATCACGAGTTTCTCCGCCTGGTCGCTCTCACGCAGAATACCCCTTCTCGCATCACAGATCTGTACTTCCGTATCAGTCGCACGCTCAAAGACACCCTGAACCTCATGCCAACTTTCACGTACCTCACCGCTCTCCATATCGACATGATCATTGGAGAAAACGATGGACTCCCCACCGAGCACCTACATCTTGCCTTTTTGGAAGAACTGCACATTATGCACGTTACTTGGCACTCGTATAGACATGACATGAATGCCTTTTCTGCACTGGCTGAGACCCTCAGCCTCCCCTCTCTCCGACGTCTGCTTTTGACATCACAAGCTGTTGAAGACGAGATGGTTTTTGAGCCACTGTTGCGTAAATTTGGACATAGTCTCCACTTTGTCTCGTTGGTTAGGCCTCATATAATCAATCGCTACTACCCTTACGACTATCGCCACCCCCTTCCCCTGATTCCATTGCTTTCCATGTGTCCAAATTTACGCCACCTCGCCACAGACACGCGTATTCCAATCCGAATGCCTACGCATGCACACTTGACATGGATAGACTTATGGGTCCAGAGACGATTTTTGGATCCGAGCGAACAGTCAGCTGTGACGCTCATGCCTCACGAAGAGAAAGTCAAGCTTCCTTCGTTACGGGGGGTGCGGTTACTCGACATGTCTTTATTCCCGTTCAGCGGCGCGCGCACGCCGCTCCTCATACCGCCAGATATGGTTGGGAGCACGGAGAGCGTCATTTGGAGTTATTCGAGTGTGGACTTGCGCCATGACCCTGGATTACTTTATAGACAAAAGGTGAACGAGGTCGATGATGTGCTAGCTGAGAGTCTGGAGCACAGGTTGTGACCGGGGTCTGTATGTTGTATGACGGGTCAGGGTGTGAGCCTTGGGTAGAATGATGACATTGTATATCGTCAGCTGGATCTGCAGTGCGTCAGCGACACTGCATGATTATATTACCGCACTAAAATATCAATGAGGTTGAGAACTGTCTGATTAGAACCTCGAGATCACCGCACACCAGGTTGAACTTTGTGAGTACCCATACTGTGTTGGTTGGTGACCACTGCTTCACGAGTACTCGTGTATCAGTCTTTTGTCGTGTTTCTTTTGGTTGTCCTCCGAGTCAGCATGGGCCTGCGCCACTACAATCCACACAGACACCACTCGTGTTTGGATGTCTCAGCTCAGAGTTGGCTCAGGGCGTCGTTTCGATGAAGTTGCTTATTCTAATCCGGACTTAGCGCCAGGATGGACAATGCCAACTGAGAATCGGGAGCCACCATCAAATCAAAATCATGGGAGGATGATCATCATGTAGCACTAGTAAGTAGTGTTGGATTGAGATTACGACTACCCTCTGGCATCAGTACATAAATCGATGATCGTCATCACTGCACAACGAGTAAGTGGTCCAAAGTATCTCTCTCGCGCTGACTCTCAGCAGTCTTAGGCAATACTTTCTTAACCCAGGTATCTCCAACGTAGATCGGGTACCGCATGTCACCGCCAGGGCAATATCTACGTGGAAGTTCTTCTCCCTTGGCAAAAACCTTGATAGATGGCTGCGTAAGTGGGGCAATGAGATCGCGTTCCTCAGGCAACATCAGACGAAGGTCAGCGATGTCCGACGAATCGACAAATACTGGTTGGCGAGCATTGTCAGACAGGTAGTGAATTGGCGTTGATCGTGCAGGTTCCCTGCTTCTGCGTTGGAATGACTGATAATATATTGGCATTGCCGGAAAGGAATCGGCGACGAGTCTGTGGCGGCGTCCAGGGCAACCAGTCAGATTCATCTGCATTCGCAATCTGCTTCTCCCATTCTATCTTCTGGAATTCATTATCCCATGGCTCTGATGGATCAGGCGCGATATGGAGATTCAGCTTGACGTGATGTCCCAGTTTCTGATAGTGCGTTGAAAAATCAGGAATAGCATCGTGATCCACGTAGAGGGATAATGAAAGCGGTTCGGAGGACGTGGAAAAAATGTGGCTTTCGTCAGTCAAGGGAGCAGGATTTGCCGCAAATTTGATCTCTCTGCATGGGGAACGAGGGACTGGATAGGGTGTTGCGACATAGAATCCCGGATGCTGCACGGGGTCAACGGAAGGGACCAACGCCTTGATGGTTGGTGGAAATGGCTGTAATCGGTTCTGGAGCTCCTGAGAATGCCATTCAATGTCATTCGCCGAGAACACACACAGCTCTACAGGAATGTCTGTCCGATTCGTATATCCTGTCCGATGAACAATGGCCGTGAAATTTACGGACGAGTCTAGAAAGCATGCAATCAGATAACTAGGTTAAGGTTTCCATTTCACTGAAACATACTTTGATAAACGTGAGCTCCTTCAGGAAAAGATACTTCAATTGTGTAGTTGCTCTGCAACCTGTCTACTGATGGCTTCATGTTAAAACCGGCCCGGGAGTGTGAGGGTGGCGGAGATAGAGATACGTTAACACTGGGTGCGTTGTTTTCCGTCAAGGGGTAGAACGGGGTAAAGGCTGTCATCCCCGCACGTATCTCTGAAGTCGTGCCATTGCTAAACCTGATTTCGACAAAGTACTCGTAAATCGATTCGCTGGATATCATCTGCAATGACATTGAGTACAAGACGAAATCAATAAAGGCTGTTCTTACATCAGTCGCTCCCCCATTAGACATGGAACCTACACGACAGTCTATTCCTGGAGGGTAGTTTGTATTAGGTACCAGAACTCCGAATCGGGTCGTGAAGTTTGTTGACAATGGATCTGTTCTCGACATTAAACTCTGAGTCTACTCGAAGTCTCAATCCGTACCTGCGACCAGAGGACTCTTGATTTCAAAGGCAATCCGTTCTTCCTCGTGGATAGACCACAAGTCCTTATTCTGAACCGAGTTCTCGTACGCATTCCATTCTGTTTCGTTGTAGTCTGGATTCCCGAAGTTGCGGAATGGCCCGACTCTGAATAAATCACTGTTCGAGACCGGCCAATTATATGTCAATTTGGGCATTTTCGGAATCGGCGCATCTTCCCGTCTGTCAGGATGTTCAGTAGAGGATACGAGAGAGACAAAACAACTCACCTCAACTTCCAGAATACTTTTTCCTTATAGCGCAAGCCTAGCGCATAGCTCTCTGCGTCAGAGCATGGTCCGTCGAGTTTAATCTTGAGATCTCCTGCGATAACTTCACCGGGAAGCATGTCAGGTGCTCTCACCCAGGCACGTGCCTGGCACTGGGACGGTGCATTGCTTAGCTCCTTGGATTCTGGAGAGGGCGAGTCAGAAGACGCAGCGACGTTAGTCACCAAAACAAGCGCGAGGGATAGCCAGCACAGCATTGCTGAGGAACAGAGGAAAACAAAACATAGTGTCCAGATTGTCCAAGCCTTTATAGTAAACGACAGCGTCTCTTTGGTAGGACGCGTGGGATGAAAGGGACGATGATACTAGTACCGTTCATCATATGAACACGGGTGGCGCCTTTGGAAGACGCCGGCAAGACACCGGGGTGGTTACATGGGCGTTGAACATAGTCCACAGGAAGCTGTCATCATCAATAAATACCTGTAAGCCAGGGAACAGGTAATTCTGAATATGGAGGCGATATTTCCTTAATATCCCCAAACTCCCGAGGCTCCGAGTCATGTCCTCAGCGTCCGGTAAAGTCCTCATGTCACTGCCAGTGCGCCTTCAACATAACAAAGACTGCGCATCGATAGCGGAGAGCATAAGCCGAGGAAGTCCGTTATTGAAAAGCTGTGGACTAATAACAGTCATTGTGACAGCGCACAACCAGTGTCCGTTTCGCGAGTCAAGGTCACTCGTAAGGCACGATGTCAAAAATATAGCAGTCCGCTTTGCAGTTTGATGCGTATATTAACAAACTTTTTAGGAACGATGGTAGATGGACAAGTTGAACTGTCTGACGCCACCAACAGTGACCGGTGATATCCGACGCAATACGATGACGTCAAACATACCGTCTGTAGTATGTTTGCACGCTCGTTACACTTAGAGTCCTGGTTCTTACCATTATATCTTAGCAGGCATGGTAGCTCCAAAATATTGCCATGTATGCCAATGTCTGAGTTGTATAATTTTGGTGATGATTGCCCTCCGAGTGAGCGAGTCAGCATAGGCCTCCGCGACTATGATCTACGTCTTTGGATATGGATTGTTGGTGAGGGCTTATATAAACGGTCCTGCCCTGCGTTTAACTTGAGCTACCTGCTGTGGGATTGCTAAAGACAGCGCCAGGCTCAGCTCAGCTCAGTCTAAGAGTTGGCTCAGAGCGTCGTTTCTATGAAGTTGCTCATCCTAATTAGACCTTAGCGCCAGGATGAACCATGCCAACTGAGAATCGGGAGCAACCATCAAATCAAAAACCATGGGAGGATGATCATCATGTAGCACTGGTAAGTAGTGTTGAATTGAAATTATAAATTACTACGACTACCCTCTGGCATCATTACATCAATTGATGATCGTCATCACTGCACAACGAGCAAGTGGTCCACAGCATCCCTCTCGCGCTGACCCTCAGCAACCATAGGTAATACTTTGTTGACCCAGGTGTCTCCAACGTAGATCGAGTGTCGTGTGTCACCGCCAGTGAAATATCTACGTGGAAGCTCTTCTTCCCTTGGCAAAAACCTTGATAACCGGCTGCGTAAGCTGGGGCAATGAGATCGCGTTCCTCGGGCAACATCAGACGAAGGTCAGCGATGTCCGACGAATCGACAAATACTGGTTGGCGAGCATTGTCAGACAGGTAGTGGACTGGGGTTGATCGCACAGGTCCCTGCTTCTTCTGCATTGGAATGACTGATAGAACATTGGCGTCGCCGGAAAGGGATCGGCGACGAATCTGTGTTGGCGGCATCCAGGGCACCCAGTCAAGTTCATCCGCATCCATATCCACCTTCGCAATCTGCCTCTCCCATTGTTTTTTCTGCATCTCCCATTGTTTTTTCTCGAATTCATTATCCCATGGCTCTGATGGATCAGGCGCGATATGGAGCTTCAGATTCACATGATGTCCCAGTTTCTGATAGTACGTTGAAAAATCAGGAACACCATCGGGACCCATGTAGAGGGATAATGAAAGAGGTTCGGAGGACGCGGAAAAAATGTGGCCTTCGTCAGTCAAGAGTGCAGGAGTTGCTACAAATTTGATCTCTGTGCATGGGGAAACAGGGACTGGATAGGGTGTTATGACTTGATAGAATCCTGGCCGCCGCACGGGGTAACGGAAGGGACCAATGCCCTATAATGGATGGTAGAGATGGCCGTGATAGGTTCTGGAGCTCCTCAGAATGCCATTCAATGTCATTCGCCGAGAACGCACACAGCTGTACAGGAGTCTCTGTCCGATTCGTATATCCTGTCCGATGGACAATGGCTGTGAATTTCATGGACGAGTCTGGAAGGCAGGCAATGAGACAACTAGCTTAAGGTTTCCATTTCACAGAAACATACTTTGATAAACTTGAGCTCCTTCAGGAAAAGATAATTCAATCGTGTAGTTGCTCTGCAACCTGTCTGCTGATGGCTTCTTAAAACGGGAGCGTGGGGGCCCTGGTGCCGGTGCCGGAGATAGAGATACGTTAACACTGGGTGCGTTGTTTTCCGTCAAGGGGTAGAACGGGGTAAAGGCCGTAATTCCCGCACGTATCTCTGAAGTGGTGCCATTGCTAAACCCGATTTCGACAAAGTACTCGTAAATCGATTCACTGGATATCATCTGCAACGACATTGAGCGCAAGACGAAATCAATAAAGGCTGTTCTTACATCCGCTCCCCCGTGAGATATGGAACCTCCACGACAGTCTATTCCTGGAGGGTAGTTTGTATTCGGTACCAGAACTCCGAATTGGGTCGTGAAGTTTGTTGACAGTGGATCTGTTCTCGACATTAAACTCTGAGTCTACTCGAAATCTCAATTCGTACCTGCGACCAAAGGACTCTTGATCTCAAAGGCAATCCGTTCTTCCTCGTGGATAGACCACAAGTCCTTATTTTGAACTGAGTTTTCGTATGCCCTCCATTCTGCTTCGTTGTAGTTTGGACTCCCGGAGTTCTTAGAAGGTCAGGACTCGGAACAAATCACTGTTCGAGACCGTCTGATTATACGTCATTTTGGGCATTTTCGGAATCGGCGCATCTTCCCGTCTGTCGAGATGTCTAATGGGGGATACGAGAGAGACAAAACAACTCACCTTAACTTCCAGAATACCTTTTCCTTATAGCGCAAGCCGAGCGTATAGCTCTCTGCGCCAGTGCATGGTCCCCTGAGTTTAATCTTGACATCTCCTGCAATAACTTCGCCGGGAACCATGTCAGGTGCTCTCACCCAGGCACGTGCCTGGCACTGGGACGGTGCATCGCTTGGCTCTTTGGATTGTGGAATGGGTAACGCAACGACGTTAGTCGCCAAGACAAGTGCGAGGGATAACCAGCGCAGCATGTCTGGGGAACAGAGGAAAACAAAACATAGTGTCCAGATTGTCCAGCCTTTATAGCAAATGACAGCGTGCCTTTGAGAGGACGCTTGGGACGAAAATATTGTTAGCTAGTAGTACCATTCAGCATGTGAACACGCGTAGCGCATCGTGGAAACGCCGGCAAGGCACATACACCACAGGAAGTCCTCATGTCACTGTCAGTGTGCCTTTAACATAACAAAGACTCACTCGACAGGCGCATCGATAGCGGAGAGTATAAACCGAGGAAGTCCATTAAGTCCGTTATTGATTGGGTACCAAAAGCTGTGGACTAAATAATAGTCATCGCGAAAGCGCACAGCAGTGTCCGTTTCGCGAGTCAAGGTCACTCGTAAGGCACGATGTCAAAAGTATAGCAATCTGCTTTGCAACAGAATCCTAGTACTGACATGTCAGTTTGATGCGCTGATGCAGGCTATTAATAATTATTTGTGCTCTTTTCAGGAACGATGGTAGATGACGTACCATAACTCTGTCTGCGGAGGAAACCGACATTCCTAAACAATGGCAGTCTTTCACTGCTATGACTTCTGGGTTTTTATATCACCGTCCTTCATATCATCGCCGCTATACGAATCCATATTATATCGTTCAATCCAAGATCTTCATTCTGTTGCCACGTTCGCTCGTATGCGACGACCTCCATATTTGGATCTGGATCAGGTGCATACAAATTCCGCACGTATGAGTTCGCCAGAGGGTCATCCAGGATCAAAGTGAATGGTATCTCGGCGTTCTTGACCTTGGTAATCATAAACATCAAAATGAGAGTCGCGCGATGGTAGAAGAACACACCTGCTTAAGCTTTCTCAAGAACTCCTGGAACCCAGCTTTATCATCGACATCTGCGACCCCAGAATCTCCCGTGTTAAATACTTTTTGGTGTGTCCCTCGTATATCTGATCTAAAATGCCTTCTAAAGTCGTGAAACGTCCGCCTAGTGTACCGGGGTGAAGAACGAGATCTATCTCCGGTATGCTGAGACCACCCGTGTCACTCTACAGGACGCTCTTGGGTCAAAAGAGCTCGGAAAAGAAAGAGAAGTGCTTACTTTAAGTATGTCGCGGCTCAGGTCGTCTCCATCTTCCACCTTTAACATGATCCTCTTGCCAAGCTCAGAAATTGCAGCCCTTATCCCGATATCCGCAGTGGTCGCAGTTAGTGGACATTATAAGAGTGTCCTGCCAGTAGGTTTGTCAGGCAAAGATTCAGTGTGACTTCGATACCAACCTTAAAATAAGAGACAGAAACTTTCTTCATGCGCGTGACAAGAGGCCGGCTGCAACGCGAACAGACACCAGGGAACTTGAACACTTCGTCGTCCGGACCCCCAGATTGTTATTCCACCTCATCTACCGCATTTTATTTGTCTTCTGCAGGGGGTAGTGACTTGCACCTACATGGCCTCCAGCGGCGTTGAACATGTTCCACAGGAAGCTTTGTCATCATCAATAAATACCTTGCATATGGGCTGATTCTGAATATGAAAGCGATGTTTCCTTGCTATCCCCAAACTCCCAAGGGTCACCGGTCATCGCTCATGTCCCCAGCGTCCGCTAAGGTCCTCATGTTACTGCCAGTGTGCCTTCAACATAACAAAGACTCAGTCGACAGGCGCAGCGAGAGCATCAGCCGAGGAAGCCCGTTATACACTAGTGTCTGTTTCGCGAGTCGTAAGGCACAATGTCAAAAATATAGCAGTCTGCTTCACAATAAATCCTAAGTTTGATGCGTTGATGTAGGGTCTGTTGAATTTAATAGTTATTTGTGCTCTTTTCAGGAACGATTCATTATATCACGTGATAGCTGTCTGGCCCCTATAGAGCATCATAGCCTTCTTCAGCGAGTATGTCGTCGTCGAGTACCTCAGCCATACTCAGGCTATTATGCTGTCCTCCTCATCAGTCTCATAACTGTCGTCATCATCCTTGCTCTCGTCACCCTCTTCAACTTGAAGATCCCCCTCATCTAAGTAATTCGGTGGCCATGAAGTCCTTTGACTCTGGCTGCACGAACTTGTTTCCAAATGACGAACTCACAGCATTCTTTGTAGACAACACATCGGCGATTCGTATCACCACCAAACCAGATGAAGTTACGTACTGTACAAAAGACATCCGATTGTCTTATCATTGGATCCGAAGCTGTGCGCGATGGCCACATTTGTCCGCGCTACGTAAAGTCAGCAGAAAATGTGTCAGATATATTCACGAGACCCCTACCTGCTGATACTCACTGCTTACCATCAGGTACGATATCTAACCAATACAGTCGTTATTCCACCCGATTGAATCCCGGCTCTTGCCATTATATGGCAGGTAGGATGGTAGCTCCGACATTGCCATGTATGCCCATGTCTGAGTTGTGTAATTTTGGTGTTGTTGCCCTCCGAGTGAGCGAGTCAGCATGGGCCTGCGCCACTACGATCTACTTCAAGTTAGACACCGCTACGTCTTTGGATATGGGTCGTTAGTGAGGCCTTGTATTAACAGTCCTACCCTGCGTCTAAATTGAGCTATCTGCTGTGGGATTGCTAAAGACAGCACCAGGCTCAGCTCAGCGCAGAGTTGGCTCAGAGCGTCGTTTCTTTAATGTTGCTTATCCTAATCAGGACTTGGCGCCAGGATGGACTATGCCAACTGAGAATTGGGAGCAACCGTCAATTCAGAATCATTGGAGGATCTTCATGTAGCACTAGTAGATAGTGTTGGATTGAAATTATAAATTACTTCGACTACCCTCTGGCATCATTACGTCAATTGCATCACTGCACAACGAGCAAGTGGTCCAAAGTATCTCTCTCGTGCTGACCCTCAGCAGCCACAGGCAATACTTTCCTGATCCAGGTGTCTCCAACGTATATCGGGTACCGCATGTCACTGCCAGTGAAATATCTGCGTGGAAGTTCTTCTCCCTTGGGAAAAACCTTGATGACCTGGCTGCGTAAGTGGGGCAATGAGATCACGTTCCTCGGGCAACATTAAACGAAGGTCAGCGATGTCGCACGGATCGACAAATACTGGTTGGCGAGCATTGTCAGATAGGTAGTGGGTTGGCGTTGATTGCGCAGGTCCCTGCTTCTGCATTGGAATGACTGATAGTATATTGGTGTCGCCGGAAAGGAATTGGTTACGTGTTGGTGGCATCCAGGGCACCCAGTCAGTTTCATCCGCATCCACAATCTGCCTCTCCCATTGTTTTTTCTCGAATTCATTATCCCATGGCTCTGATGGATCAGGCATGACATGGAGATTCAGATTTACACGACCTCCCAGTTTCTGATAGTACGTTGAAAAATCAGGAACAGCATTGTGACCCACGTAGAGGGATAATGAAAGAGGTTCGGAGGACGTGGAAAAAATGTGGCTTTCGTCAATCAAGGGTGCAGGAGTTGCTGCAAATTTGATCTCTCTGCATGGGGAAACAGGGACTGGATAGGGTGTTATGACTTGATAGAATCCCGGATGCTGCACGGGGATAACGGAAGGGACCAACGCCCCAATGAACGGTGGAAATGGCTGTGATCGGTTCTGGAGCTCCTCAGAATACCATTCAATGCCACTCGCCGAGAACGCACACAGCCCCACAGGAATGTCTGTCCGATTCGTATATCCTGTCCGATGAACAATGGCCGTGAAATTTACGGACGAGTCTAGAAAGTATGCAATGAGATAACTAGGTTAAGGTTTCCATTTCACTGAAACATACTTTGATAAACGTGAGCTCCTTCAGGAAAAGATAGTTCAATCGTGTAGTTGCTCCGCAACCTGTCTACTGATGGCTTCGTGTTACGGGAGCGTGCGGGTAGCGGAGATAGAGATACATTAACACTGGGTGCGTTGTTTTCCGTCACGAGGTAGAACGGGGTGAAGGCCGTCATTCCCGCACGTATCTCTGAAGTCGGTGCCATTGCTAAACCCGATTTCGACAAAGTACTCGTAAATCGATTCGCTGGATATCATCTGCAACGACATTGAGCGCAAGACGAAATCAATAAAGGCTGTTCTTACATCAGCCGCTCCCCCATTAGACATGGAACCTACACGACAGTCTATTCCTGGAGGGTAGTTTGTATTTGGTACCAGAACTCCAAACTGGGTCGTGAAGTTTGTTGACAGTGGATCTGTTCTCGACATTAAACTCTGAGTCTACTCGAATCTCAATTCGTACCTGTGACCAAAGGACTCTTGATCTCAAAGGCAATCCGTTCTTCCTCGTGGATAGACCACAAGTCCTTATTTTGAACTGAGTTTTCGTATGCCCTCCATTCTGCTTCGTTGTAGTTTGGACTCCTGGAGTTCTGGGCAGGTCGGACTCGGAACAAATCACTGTTCGAGACCGCCGTCTGATTATACGTCAATTTGGGCATTTCCGGAATCGGGGCATCTTCCCGTCTGTCGAGCTGTCTAATGGAGGATACGAGAGAGACACAGCAACTCACCTTAACTTCCAGAATACTTTTTCCTTGTAGCGCAAGCCTAGCGTATAGCTCTTTGCGCCCGTGCATGGTCCGCTGAGTTTAATCTTGACATCTCCCGCGATAACTTCGCCGGGAACCATGTCAGGTGCTCTTACCCAGGCACGTGCTTGGCACTGGGACGGTGCATCGCTTGGCTCTTTGGATTGTGGAGAGGGTAACGCAGCGACATTACTCGCCAAGACAAGCGCGAGGGATAGCCAGCGCAGCATGTCTGGGGTACAGTATATCGAGATGAAGAAAAACAAAAAATGGTGTACAGATTGTCCAGCCTTTATAGCAAATGACAGCGTCTTTTTGAGAGGAGGCACAGGACGAAATGTCGTTAGCTACTAGTACCGTTCATCATGTGAACACGCGTAGCGCATCGTGGAAACGCCGGCAAGACACGTACCACAGGAAGTCCTCATGTCACTGCCACACTGCCAGTAGTGCCTTCAACATAGCGAAGACTCACTCGACAGGCGCATCGATAGCGGAGAGCATAAACCGAGGAAGTCCATTATTGATTGTATACCAAAATCTGTGGACTCAATAATAGTCATTGCGACAGCGCACACCAGTGTCCGTTTCGCGAGTCAAGGTCACTCGTAAGACACGATGTCAAAAATATAGCAGTGTGCATTGCAACAGAATCCTAGTACTGCCATGTCAGTTTGATGCGCTGATGTAGGGTATTAAAAATTATTTGTGCTCCTTTCAGGAACAATAGTAGATGACGCACGGTAGCTCTATCTGTGGAGGAAACCAACATTCCTAAACCATGGCAATCTTTCACTGCTATGATCTCTGGGTTTTTATATCACCATCCTTCGTATCATCGCCGAGATATGAATCCACGTTAATATCATTCAATCCAAGATCTTCATTCTGTTGCCACGTTCGCTCGTATGCGACGACCTCCATATTCGGATCTGGATCAGGTGCATACAAATTCTGCACGTATGAGTTCGCCAGAGGGTCATCCAGGATCAAAGTGAATGGTATCTCGGCGTTCTTGACCTTGGATAATCATAAACATCAAAATGAGAGTCGCGCGATGGTAGGAGAACATACCTGCTTAAGCTTTCCCAAGAACTCCTGGAACCCAGCTTTATCATCGACATCTGCGACCCCAGAATCTCCCGTGTTAAATACTTTTTCGGTGAGTTCCTCGTATACCTGATCTAAAATGCCTTCTAAAGTCGTGAAACGTCCGCCTAGTGTACCGGGGTGAAGAACGAGATCTATCTCCGGTATGCTGAGACCACTCGTGTCACTCTACAGGACGCTCTTGGGTCAAAAGAGCGCGGAAAATAAATGGAAGTGCTTACTTTAAGTATGTCGCGGCTCAGGTCGTCTCTATCTTCCACCTTTAATGAGATCCTCTTGCCAAGCTCCGAAATTGCAGCCCCTGATTTAATCTCATTATCCCGATATCCGCAGTCGTCGCAGTTAGTGGACATTATAAGAGTGTCCTGTCAGTAGGGTTGTCAGGCGTGAAGATTCAGTGTGACTTCGATACCAACCTTAAAATAAGGGATAGAAACTTTCTTCATGCGCGTGACAAGAGGCCGGCTGCAACGCGAACAGATACCAGGGAACTCGAACACTTCGTCGTCCGGACCCCCAGATTGCTGTTCTGTCTCGTCCACCGCATTTTCTTTCTTGTCTTCTGCGGGAGGTGCCAATCCAAGCTGCCGATTCTGCTCAAGCGAGCGCTCGTATGTGCGCATGTTCCACTTGAGATCGGACATGCTGCCCACGAACTCGAAAGAACGAATTCCCAGATGGATCGTCCAGAGTGATGGTAATCGTACGTGCGACTGGATCCTCTTTCGAAAGATCTCTCTTCTCGAGCTTGTCCTTTCCTACATCATCTTCCTCTTCATCGTCAGCAATGATCTCCTTGAGACCATCGATAATTTCCTGGATCTTAGCGTATGCACTCTCATTTTGGACGCGTCTAAGCGGCTGCTGTACGTTGAGATCCGCAACAATGTCCCTGAGAAGACCCTCGACAGTTGTAAGCTGCCCACGGGAGGGCGGAAGGACCAGCTGAAATTCAGGGATATTGATCGTACAAGCTTCTGAGCGGATGAGCTGGCGGTCAAGGTCACCGCGATTAAGGACTTTGACTGTGTACATAGTACCTTCAGCTGTCTCAGAAATTTCATGTTAGGAGGTACGGGTAACAAGATGAAACGGGTACGCACGTCTAATCTTCCCCGCCGACTGAATCTCATTGTTCGAGTGGCCGCAATGTTCGCAGCGGAAACTCATCACGATGACTTCTCGGAAGAATGGGATGGAGGTGAGCATCATTCGCGTTACTCCCTAACGGACGTGAGTATTCAATTCCACCAGCAATGAGAATGTTTGCGAACGCACCTGCTCTCCACACTGCATGCAAAGAGACTCGATCTCCTCGAGTGGTCGAGCGCCGATATCTTCTTCATCCCCGGCATCAGTCTTATCGACGACGTCTGCGATCGGAGGGAAGAATTCGGGGTTTTCTTCAGTTTGAGCCATGTACCGGCTAAAAGGTTAGATGGTGGAAATCGCAATGAGGTTCAAACTTCCATACATATGTTTTCAGTCTCCCGTAGTCAGACCAAATTAGAAGAAAGACAGTCGTTAACGTTCATTCTTAATAATGTTCATGATCAATATTCATCAACGCCACGTGTGCGCTTTTTATTACATAGCTAGTGGTTCACCGGTAATTGAATTGAAATATACATAGCGAATGGCTAGATTAGTAGGACAACCATATAGCATCACTACAACTTGAATACCGATCCGTCCATATTATGATCTCTCTCGTGCTGGCCTTCAACAGACAATACTTTGTTGAGCCAGGTATCTCCAACAAATATGGGCTGCTCAATGCGATCGAAGTAAAAGTCAGGAAGCCTTCGACCTCCTTCAAACATCTTGATAGACGGCTGCGCAATTGAAGCAAGGAGATCGAGTTCCTCAGTGGTCATGGAATGGAGGTCAGCAATATCTGACACATCGACAAATGCTGGTTGGCGAGCTTCGCTTGACAAGTAGTGAACTGGCGTTATTTTCACAGGACGTTGGTTCTGCATTGGAATGAATAATAGACCGGCGTTGCCAGTCAGGTATCGGGGACTAGCCTGTATAGGAGACAAGCAGTACACCCGGTCAAAATCGGTTTCATTCAGCCGTCCAGTCTGTTGCTCCCATCGCTCATTCTCGAATTCATTATCCTATGGCTCTGACGGATCCAGTTTGATATGGAGATTCAGATTGACACGATGTCCCGGTTTCTGATAGTACGTTGAAAATGCACGAACAGCATCGTGACCCACGTGGAGGGAGAAAGCGGCTTCAAAGGATGTAGAAGAAACATCAGTCAAGATTGCAGGAGCTGCTGCAAATTTGATATGGAGGGGACCATGGAGGAAATTGTGGATGGAACCAACAACTTGATGAACAGCACGAATGCCTGTGATCGGTTCTTGAGCTCCTGAGCACGCCCTTCACTGGCGCTTGCCGGAGACGCACATAGCTCCACAGGAATGTCTGTTCGATTCGTATATCCTGTCCGATGAACAGTGGCTGTTATGTTCACGGACGAGTCTAGAAAACAAGCAATCAAATAACCAGACTAAAGCTTCCATTCCACTGGAACACACCATGACAAACGTGAGCTCCTGCAGGAAAAGACACATCGACCCTGTAGTGGCTCCATAACCTATCCACCGATCGCCACCACGGCTGCGAGCTCCAAAAGATGTCTGTGGGTGTCAGAGATACGTTAAAATTGGGTGCTTTACTTTTGGTCGAGAGGAAAAACGGAGTGAAGGCCGTTATTCCCGCAGTGCTGTCAATATGGGACTGCGCGACGTGAGGATACCGGCAAGACACAGGAGTGACATACTCTCACAGGACCTGAGAAAACATCCAGTCAATTGGTTATCATCGGATGAGGCGGTGAAGCCACAGGAAGTGTTATGAACAATAAATATTGTGCTTACAGGCGCATCTCCCGTCGTGAGTATTCCATGTGTCTGAGACGTCGTGGAGACCCGCCCAATTCAATGACGGAGGGTGTACGCCAAAAAAGCCATTCTTAGGATATCGTTAGTTGGTAGTAGCAATGAACCAGAAACCAGGAACCGTAGACTAACCTGTCACGGTTATACTTGTCGCGAAAGTGCACGTTATGAGATTTGCGAGTGCAGGTCACTTTTAAAGCACCAGATCAAAAGATAGTACTAATCCACGGGACGGATGTGGTAGAGCAACTACCCCTTCCTCGGCGGCCTATTGAGCAAATTTTACCGAGTGTTGTTGCATGAAACTGTTTTGCATCTGTAACGGAACGTTGAGGCGCGAAGAATCAGACGGTCGCCAAATGACGTTCAGGATTTGAGCATGCCAGCCGACAAAATTTCCATGGTTTGGCTCGTCCACATGGCAAATATGTAGTGAAGAGAGCAAGTGAGAGTGGAGGTCACCTACCAATGTCTAAATCATAATGGTGTTATTATTTAATTGCAGCGTTATTGCTCACATGACAAGTCTCTGGTAGTATATCGGATAGTACACCCGCCTGTCATTGCAAAATGGACGCGGGAAAGCGGGGTTCGATTCCCCGCCAGAGAGTTTTTTGGACATCTACTTAGGGAGTCTCGGCGATTTTTTTTGTGCATGCGGCCCCAAGCGCTGAACACATCTGTATGTAATGATGTAATGCAAGTCAATTCACAAAGTGCTTCCTGAAGCTGCAAATCTTCCAAGTCCTCACATCAGCACCATGAGAATGATACTTCTTTATTTTTCTCCCTACAAATTATACAGAACGTATCTCACCACTCCGGGGATTAACAAGTTATCAAGAACGCGTCGGATAAAACGACGGGAAAAGAAGTCCTAGTGATGGTGATGAACAAAGCGGATAACATGGTAATGGCGATATGCGGGTGTAGCTGAAGAGGATATGTACGGGTAGCGCGAAATGAACAGAGCGGTGACCAGTAAAACAGCGTGATGCAAGCGAGAACAGAGCAAGCAACGATGGAGGAGGTATCCAGACGATTACTGGTGCATTTACGCGAATCGACAAATCGAGTACGGCAGACAGCGAGCGAGATGCGTAGAGCACTGAGACAGCAGCGTGACAGCGACAAATCGAGCGCAGAGTTGGAGGCATAGATGTGGCGCATATACAGGTGGGTGTGGAGGGGAAAACGTATTTGATAATCATAGGATCAACTCATAAAGAACAAAATCAAAGAACAAAAACGAAATTGGCGTTGTGGGATGGTGTGATGGTTGTGTTGCACAAAAATTAACAGTGATCATGATGCTCGTGATGGATATGATGCAGGCGGGGGATAGATAGTGTGGGTGTCCGTAAAATGGATATGCGTTTTGGGTGAGTGATAGCCGTGATGATGGAAATTGAACGAAGGTGGTAGAGACCATGCGTGTCGCCGGCCTTATGATTTTTCATCCTCGTCACCGTCCAAGCCTGCTGCCGCTAGCCGCTCCCTTTCTGCTCGATTCCTTGCACGAATGGCTGGTAACTCCGCTAAAAGAGACACCTGCTCGCCCTCTTCCCACCGCTCTAGAGCCCACTCTCGTACGAGTATGCTCACCTGCATGATAGCTAGGTTACCTACTATGCGTGCACAACCCATTAAGACGTACCTTCATGAAGCGCTTGCCGGCATATTTCTTGTAAAATGATTCGTGACGGATTGGTTTGAGAATATAGTTAAGCATCAGGTTGGCAGTCGGAATTATGGAGCTTTCTGCATATGATGAGTAATGGGCATGATTAGGAGTCTAGAATCCGGAGATGTTATCAGCAAGATCGAAATGTGGCACACACACACCACTTACCCATTTATCGTTGCCGAGAATGAGGCGTCCCAACCAGGTCGCCGCAGCAGCAACCAGGGAAGGTGGCGTGGCTAGCAACCGCCACTCCAGTGTACCCACTTCTAATAAATACTTCCCCATCGTCCTTGATTTCACATCGTAATCATCCGCTTTGCTGATACGGCGCAGGAAGTGCATCGGATTCGGATAGCTCAAGTTCCAGTCGATCGTTTTCAGGACGTACCGTTCTGCGAGAAGGATCTCGGATTCGGTGTAGGATGAATCCGCGCAGTGAAGGAAGTGCGAGACGGACGGTGCGACAATCTCTTCGACCTTGGAAGCAACGAAGAGACACGTAATGCCCACGAGCTGAAGTTTTGCAAGGGAGACGACGCGTGCCGACAAGAACCTATCGATGATGTTCACACAGAGGAACAGGGTCTCAGGAAGCAATCGGAACCGTGCATGTACTTGCACCAGCCAGTCGAGAAGGATCCCACGCATCGACCAGGCCAGCTCTTTTTGCGATGCCATGTATTCCGGATTGGGAAGCGTCACAAGCTGAAGGTGGCTCAAAAATTACAACAGGATGATAAAAATATTTGGAAACTCGTACCTCAGTCAGCTTCATGTACTTGAAGATCTCGACAACATATTCGCTGACCATCAAAGGATCATCGGAATCCTCAGCATCGAGGTCGTCCCACTCGTCACCATCGGGGTCAGCTTCCGGTGCCACATCGACATCAAGAACAGCCGCCACTTCTGCCTCGTGTTGCGCTTGTTCGTCTATGTCGGTCTCGGGAGCATCAGAAGATGTTCGCCTCTTCTTAAATACACGATCATCTTGAACTTCCTCTTGTGTCTCAACCTTTAAGACGAGATGCGAAGAAGTTCGTCGAGCAGTCTGAATACGTTGCACCTCCTGGGTGATCACCTGTTGGGTGTTCGCCCCCGACCTGCGGGTCGAAACGCGCCGCGAGGGTTCAGGAGCCGGTGGGTGATCATCCACAGCCATCGCGTCTTCATCATTGACCAAGGGTTCTTCCTTGACATCTTTTAACGGTTTTACCTCTGGAGCAATCGCAGACCGTGTAGTGCGACGAGTAGGGACGGTGATCTGTCTCAAGGGAATAGTAGGCTTCGCCTTAATCACTACGCCATCAAAAGTTTCCTTGGTCGGTGGGGCGACTTCTTTGCCTTTGCCTTTTCCGTCCTTAGCAGCTGTGGCAGCGGCCTTATTCTTGTTGATGTTCTTAGTCGTAACTTCGCCAAGCGCCTCGCGCTTACGCTTTCCCTGGAGAGCAAGATCGACCTTGTTCTCATCGTTGGTCCCGACCTTTGCACGAGAGGCCGCCGTAGCGCCTAGGGCCCTGGATTGGAGTGTGGCGGTGGGAGCAGGAATGGCAGACGTAGATGGGGGCTTCACACGGGAGATAACACGAGATGGACGGGCATTGGCGTTCTCGCTGTCCTTCTGGACCGCCGTACGGGTAACCCGCGTTACACGGCGAGTCTGGAACATAACATCGATCAGCGACAAGCCCATCGACGATGACGACTAAAAATCGATAAAGCATAGGACTTACTGGTAAGTTGGAAGACATTAGCTATCTAATTGACGCAGAAGGTACTCTATCTGTGCGTGCAGTAGCTAGATGGATGAAATGTAAAACGAAGAGCGAACGGAAGATGAGAGGAACTACTTGAACTATTCCAGAAATGGCCATTTTAAATTTCAACCATCCACACATAATACAGACAAACAAGCGCGTCCGCGTTTCATCACGTGACAAATGCCATTGTCCACACCCACCAGAGCGCTTACCTTTGGACACAGTTCATTATCATTTATTATCAGTGGATAGGCTGCGCCAGCTTGATTGTGGTAGAACGAATATTGCATTATGGAGGTAGAGATCATTGTGGCGTCACGCGCGCCTCGTGACTGCCGCATGTTGTCTACTGTTATGCGATGATATCGGTTGTCGAATTCCCATCAATGCGCTGGCGTAAATACATAACTGATAACCAATCTGCGCTAGTGCGGATCGCTTGAACGTGAACCATTTGCAACTTAACTAGTTATTCTCAAAGTCTAGCATCACAGGCTCGCCCAGCTCATATGTCGCAAGACTGAATTATAATTCATGACAATCCCAATGTATTACAGCACCGAGGAAGCCGAGTACAGGATCTGCCTAAATACTATCACTAGAGGAGTCCAGTCCGAGAGATCCGCAAGTCCAAGAGAAACATAACCACCTATAGAGTTTCCCGTGCCACTTTAAAGGGCAAACGTGGAAGACAGATATAAGCAGCAATGAAACCCAAGAAAGTATTTCACCTCATCAGGATCCCCGAGGGAAAGCATCCCAGCCGAACGATGCAACCGGAACCAGAACCACCGCAAACCAAAGGAACAGCCTGTTAACTAAAACACAAACCTGCGACCGACTGCAAAAAGAATGAAATGATAGGAATGATAGAAGATGGATCGCGGAAAGACATGAAAGAAAGGAAGAAGGGAAAATAAAATATCGGGGAAAGAAAAAAAACTGCAAACGAGACGCACTGCAAACTTGATGCATCAACATTCGTCGTGCTTCCGACGAGTCTTGGGCGTCGCATCATCCAGATCCAGAGCCAACTTCCGCTTAGGGGACGCTTCGTCGAAAGGGGTAACAACGGAGCTAGCGGGAGGCCAGGAAGGACGGACGATGGGAATACCGAGACCACGACGTATAACAAATGGACGATGACTGACACCAATAGGCTGGTGGATACTGGCATACACGGAAATTGCATCCGCGAGGGGTGAGCCCGGAACGACGTCGAATGCAAAATCCGTGCATTCTGAGTCGAAACAGGGAACCCAAGAGGGTATCGTAAAAGAAGGAGAAGGGGGTGCGGAGAGTGAAGAACATGGGGAGGACGGGACTGATGTATGAGATGTATCAACCTCAGAGGGCAGGGACACTATCAAGACTCCAATTAGCCATTAAAACGCCAGAAGCCGACAAAATCTCACCGTCAAAGTCATCTGTGGATGCCATCGAATAACACGAAACCGAGGAAGTAATGGACTCGTCGTCAGAGTCGTCATCAAATGCCGAACGACAACCCTGATTAGTCGGTGGAACCTCGAATTCAGCTTTGCCTGCTATTTCGGGCTCTTCCTCCTCTTCTTCGATGACTGAAATCGCGATTCCTTGACGAGCAGTGGTTTTAGCGCCAACAACAGCAAAGAGGCAAACGACTGACCAGTTCTCTTCTCTACCTTGGTTAGCTCAGCTCTAATCTCCACAAACTGGCGGAAATATTTCTTGTTCTCCTCCTCCAGCTTGCGACAGGCACTGGTGGCCGCTTCAACCTGATCCCAGAGACCCGATCGCTGTGCGAGAAGCTGCTTGACATCCTCCTGCAACTCTGCATTTTCATCTGCATGACGCCGCAAAGCTTCGCACTGGTCCCTAAGACCGACAACCTCTGTGTACGCGAGCGTAAGGCGTTCCCTCATCGCGATATTTCGATCTTCGTTCAAGGAATCAGTGCCTATGGGAGCGTCAGCAAGGATAGTTGAGGTGGAAGGGAAGACGTACTGCTCGAGGTAGTGATGTGGGGTATAACTTTCCCGTCAGGAGATATTATCTTCAATTCAGGGATTCCTGTTCGCAAGAGTCAGAAGACAGCGAAGAACATAGAGAGAACGTCTCACCTGCAGCTGCTCTCTTCAACTTCCTGAGCTCCCTCTTGGCTCCTTCGAGCTCCCTCTTCGTCCGGACGAGCGTTCCTTGCAATGCTTGGACTTCTTCACCGTGTTCTTGCTGCAAGTCAGATGACTTCTTCTCGGCTATGAGTTTGTCGCGCTCGGCCTTAAGGTTTGCGATCTCGAAGCGGAGTGCAGTGTTGGCAGACTGCAATGATGAGATGGTAGACCTTTGGAAGCTCATCTTGGCTGTGGCATCCCGGGACATCGATTCAGCCTCATCGCGACGAACCTGCTCGATCTCCAGATCGCGCGTAAAACGGTCCATCTGGTTGGTCATGGTCAAGTTCGCCAGTACGAGATTGTCGATATCAGAGTTGGCGGTATCGAGAGCATCCTGCACACGTAAGAGCTGCTTCAGGAGAACGGCGTTCTCGCTCCACGCATCGGAGAACAGCGCATGGATATGGTGGCCAGGGCCTATCGGAGCGTTGTGAAACTGCGGGCTAATGTCGGAACAGCTGATGCTCCAGTGTAGCCGAGGCTCAGGTACCAGACGAGGGCTGTCCAAAGATGATTCCAGGATGGCCGGGGACGATGAGGACGAAGGGAAGCCTGATGGAGATGAAGTACATGTAGCTGACGAAGAAGTAGCCTTCAAGGGGAAGACAGCTTTCTCCGCTTCCTGAAGCCTGGGTGAATGAATGAATAGATCAGGATCCTGGAGCGTCGAAGGGTCGAGCTGGCAGCGGTAGACATCGAAGGCCAGTCCAGCCATGATAACAACAACGTAGAAGGAGACCAAGGTCACAATCTTGAGGACACCAAGGACGAAGACGAGATTGGAAATCGCGAAAGAGCGAGAAGGGGAGCACAAAGATAGGCGACCGTTACAGTCGTCGGAAGACATGATGTTGACAGATAGATGCAAGTAAAATCGTCTGGATATGCGGATATGCGGACGATGGGAGTGAGCAAGAAAGATGTACACTAGCGTTTCAGCCCTCGGGTGCGGGTTTTTATACCTGGAAGGCTGGCATTATTAAGTTAGCATGCCAGCCTCTTGCTCACGATCGAGGTTTCAGCGGATTTCAAACCGGCCTGTATGCTTTGAATTAGGTCTGTCGCACCTAATTCAAAGCAAAATTCGTCCTTGCCCAGTTTGAACGGGGAAAACTTGAGTAGACTTGACTTCTGCCATGCAGCGTAAGAAACGACTGAGAAGAATTTTCAAAAGAGTCCGAGGACGTTGTTTGGATCCGAAGCTGTTGTCAAACAAACCAACTCTTTGCTTCGTCTGGGCTGACTCAGCGGCCCTGTTTCTTTTGGTACTCCCAGGTCAAATGCCAAGCAATATTTGCGATTTCAACAAGGGGCTGTGAACTTATACCCAACCCTCCGCCATCGTTTTGGCCTGCATACATGGTGTGTATGCGAGTATCTCTATTTAGAACCGCAAGCCCTGCGTCCATGCACAGCCCTCCTCTATGCCGCTGCCAACGCCGTCTTCCTCATCATTATGACTGTAGTATTAACATTCATCGCTGGATGGATCAGCTTGGGTTGATTCAACATGCTTCCCTACATATCTATTTTGAACTTCCTCCGAACTTCCGCATCAGACGCATTCCTGTTGTTGCAAAGGATACCTCTTTACCGGAGATTGCCCGCTCACAGCACTCCCGATTGATTGCTTCCTGTGTTCATGTCTTCTTTGCTCAAGTATGCGTGTAATCGTTCGGCATCGTATTTGCTATCCGCGGAATTTGTCACTGGCTTGTTAAGGACCAAACCGGAAGACATTATTGGGCATCTTTCGGTCCGAGCTAAGTGTCCATAAATGTTCTGTAAACGTATTCTTATCGGTGCGATTTGCAGCTGGAAGTCAGCGCGACGACTGTAGGATGACACGAAAGAATTCGAAAGGGACTTACTGCTCATACTAGGATGAAACTCTGAACAACTCTGACCATCGTTGCTCGTCGTTCAAAGAACAATATATAATACACGTCCTCGCTTCAAAGGGTACACCTACCTGACTAGCCTTAAGTCCGTATCGCGCCCTGAATACATTACATGCATAGACGTTGAGACGATACTGGCGTGTACCGGCAAGAACGTACAACTCATTGGCTCAATATCGGTGCGACTCGAATATCAAGAAATTTATGTTCCGAAGTGTTAAAAAGTATGTTATATCTCAGATCCTGTTGAAACCCAGGAGTACCATTGTTTAGGCCTTGCCGATTTCAACGCCTGGAGGGGTTTTCGCCCGAAAACCCGGGGTCCCAGACCTTCTAACCACTGACCACCACTACCGTGATCATTAACAGCCCGACTCTGAACCAGTTTCATTTACAGGATCCAAATCATTCTCGGTTCCGCAGTCTTAGGTGCACGACTTCGAGTGCCCGCTGGTCTGATAAGTAGTCCCGACTCCGTTGCGGTCAACGCTATTTTTGGTCCGTATGTGTGTGCTTTGTATACTGTCATAATATCATGATATTTTAGATCGTTACAGCTTTGGTCTCGACCAGTATGGATGGTACTGGCCCTCAGCGGAATTTTGAAATCAGATTTCGGAAGCAAGACGCGGGAATTTCACATTTATACATAATGTCGGCAGGATAAATTGAACATACCACTGATACCAGCAGTTTGTTCGTCCCCCATTTACTCTTTGTTGACTCTGCCCTTTTCTCTGCATTGTTAGGGTACGCTATGTCCGAGAAGTCCCTAAGTGCAGACGCTTTGAAAGGCACCGAGTTCGCATCTGAACCATTGTCTTATGATGTGCGTAAGACAAGAGCAGCCCCTCCAGACAACCAGGAAACACATGATGAACCTGCTTCTGAAAAGCCTGTACTACATCCTGGTGAAGCACCAGATGGAGGATTGACTGCATGGCTGGTAGTTGTTGCGTGAGTGCTACATATACATCTTTGATATACTAGTCACTGATGTCGACGGGTTACAGTGCTAATTTGATATTGTTTTCTACGTGAGTTTTCTCGGTTTCTTCCCCACAGTTAAGCTTAAGAGATTCCATCAGGGTTGGTTTATCCAATTCCTGGGGTGTGCGTGATGTTTGTCGCCTTGATGCATTCCCATATCTTACATAACCATTCTCTTGCAGGTTTTCCAAGCGTATTACGAAGAAAATTTACTCCGTCACATTTCTCCTTCAGCCATGTAAGGTGCTGTGTTTGTTCCATGCAACAGTGCAACTGACTTGTCGTACAATTTGTATTCTCCAGAGCATGGATCGGTTCTGTGCAGGTATATCTATTTCTCGTTCCAGTAAACCTGCGTAGCTCATGTGTCCTGCTAGTACGCACTCATGTACCTTCCAGCGCTTGTGACGGGACGACTGTTTGACCTAGGATACTTCAAGATACCGTGCTTTGCCGCTAGCTGTGTCCTTGTTATGTGCACCTTCCTAGTCGCGGAATGCACACAATACCAGCATTTCTTTCTCATACAGGGTCTCGGTATTGGAATGTGTTGCGGCATTATAGTTGGCCCCGCACTTGTTGTTGTCTCGCATTGGTTCTACAAAAAACGTGGCCTTGCTTTGTCGCTCACAGCCATTGGGGCTTCATGCGGAGGCACTATGTTCCCTGTAGTGGCACAAAATTTAATTCCATCAATCGGGTTCGTTCGACGATCATAGACAATTCCAATTCATGTTCACTTATACAATTTCAGATTTAAATGGACTGTCCGTGTATTTGGATTTATTCTGATGGTTACACTGGGGATGGGCAACATAGCATGTCGTCAGCACTTGTGAATGTCTGATTCACTGACACATTTTTCTCAAGTTTCTAAAGCGACGGCTTCCTCCTGTCAATGTTCGCGGGGGATTCTTTAATTTTAAAATATTCCGCAACGCGGCATATTCTATCTTTTGCATTTCAGGGATAATGGCATTTCTAGGACTCTATACAGGTGTGATCGTAACGATTATCACTATGGCTTCCTGATGTTCTGAATTGGTTTTGACAGCGCTCACATATATGTCCGTGAGCGCCGTCGCAATTGGTGTCTCCAAGAAATCCTCATTTTATATTCTCGCGATCGCCAATGCATCGTCTACGTTTGGACGTGTGTCGGCCGGCCTATTAGGAGATAAAGTTGGTATGCCTTGATATCATATACTAATAGAACACAAGTTAAATTTCGACAGGTGCACTCAATACCATGGCAACTTTCACTGCTGTAGCGGGAATTATCACATTCACCTGGCCATTTGCTAAAAATGAAATACGGCTCATTGTAATATCCTCTATCTATGGGTATGCGCGACACCTGTTCACAACTAGCTGCCAATTCACCCTATTCAGATTCTCCACAGGAGGATATCTAGCTCTTTTCACTGTAGTTGCCGTGGAAATGGGAACGATTGAAGACGCGGGGCGTCGAGTGGGAATGTTCATGTCCCTTGCTGCCTTTGGGGCCATTGCAGGTCCTCCGATATCAGGCGCTATCAGTACCGCGTCAGGAGGGTTTGTTGATGCTGGTTACTATGCAGGCAAGTTTATCCAATGTGCGGTCCCTCTGCGTGCGCTGATCTTGTCTAGGCGGCATCATTATGTGTGCTGATATATTGCTACTTTTGGCGCGATACCTCCACCTAGGAAGCCTCCGGGGAAAGTGTTAAACGACCCATTCAAGTAAATTAGGTGAAGTGCCATGTTACAGTACAAATTTTCCTTCTCAGAGTTTATCGACACGAGATGTCGAGTAGAAGCGACGCTTCATATTTAGTGTAATAATTTGATTTGCGCATTGATAAGGGCTGGGCGCTGAGCTCTCAAGTTCATCCCATGTGTGACTTATCGATGTTTTAATTAATGAATACCAAGCCAAGAACATGAAGGTAACTGTGGTCTTTGTAGAAGAATCGAGTCAATAAAACACCTTCATTACTCACCAGCTATCAGACTCCCATAACACGGAAGTTACTAGAGATCTATCACCCGAACGCGAATAAGATAAGACAGGAAACGCTTCTGGGGTATAGCCTCGCACACTGCATAAACGTAAAACAACTGCAGAGATAATGATACGAGGGTAAGATTTGATTATCCTAAAATGAGAACCAGCTCTCCTGATGTGGACTCTACGATGCAGAAATAATCAAATTCAATTGAATGGCGATTCAAAGCTGAGAAGTCAAAAAAAAAAAAAAGATACAATGTACTCAGGTATCACATATTACAGTACTTAGTTCCGTCTAGTAAATCGAGACATGAGCATACCATTAGGCTCGGATCGACAACTCCACGACAGCTTCACTGTGGTGAAGCTGTCAGCCCAGATCGAAACTCAGGCTGTCAACCTTCGGTCTATCTCGCCTGTCGCGAATATTACCCTTGTTCACGCCTTTTTTGCAAGACTGGCGATGGGATTTAGATCCATAGAAGCTAATGTTTCAAATTTGTCCAGAACAGCATCATGATCGAGATTCAGGGAAGCGCAGAGTGATCTCGGTGGTTTCAAACAAGTGCGCCGCAACTGCTAGTGACTCCCAGTTCTGTGCACGCAAGTAGATTTGCGCAGTTGACATTAGTACTGACGCACTGGTCAAAAGACATAATAGTATATTAGCACCGGGTGTAAATGCATTGATACCATATTGTAGGCTCGCCCTTTATGCCCTGGAGCAAATCACGAATATTCTGCAACCAAGGTTTCAATATTAGCGAATGACAAATGTATGTCCCCCAGTTAGGACGAATGCAGTAGGGGGGCACAACGATACCTATACGAGAAAAGATCCAGGAGAAGACAAGATTTGCTTCTGCTTCTGCTTCCCCTTCTTCATTGTCTACCAGACGCATCTTCAACCAATCTTGGATGATACCGCGTCCATCTGGTATCCGAATACATCCCGTGCTACGTCGGAGCCGGCTTACCAGGTATGATTCGGAGAAACCGCTTCCCGCTAATCGACAGTTTCACCAGACGAGGCAACTCTAGGAACACAGCAGATGGAAGTGACAACGGTGTAGGAACCTAATAGAGTAAAATAACTAGACATCCATGAGGTCCGAGATGAAAGAACCGGAAAACTGTCTGGCGGTTGTGTTGTTGGATCGGAAGACGTGAAGGGGTGCGGGACGAAGAAGATACAGCCGCCTGCAACGCGATCCCACACTTATGTCGGAGATCGGAAAGAAGACCTGTGACAGTAACGTGTTTCACGTTCAAAACGCGACCAGACACAATGCCAGCATAGCCCGAAACCACTCCTACGACGAAGATCCTCCGTGGGAGGCCCTAGGTCCGGGAGCAATACAAACATGAGGGTTGGCAAACCACCTCAGTTTCAAATCTGTACCGAGAAGTGTAGATCAGATTTCTTTTCTTCGTCAAACAAGTCGATAACAATCACCACCTATCTCCTGTATTATCTAAATCTCTGTCAAGAATGTTCCACGTAGTTCAGATGAGTGTACGTCGATTTGTCGACGTAAAATTCGCGGATGGCAACCTCAACAGCGAACACTGCAGTGGTAGTGTTTGTGCAATGCATGCTGCATAACGTTTATTATAAAGTGAAGAAAAAGTCTCGATACTATGCTTACTGGGGGATGTCACGATCAAAAATTTCCTTACTCCTCTATGGAGACGTTCGTGGTGTTTGTGCGCCATTTTCATACCGGAGAACTGAAGTCAGATGTATACCAAATCTTTCCCTATGCCTCGCCACTACCTTGGGCTACGTAGGATTGCGTCTTTTTCTATTTCCACTGCCAGCATCCCGAAACCGGTACTAAATGGTTTCCGTCTTCTTCGAAGGTGATTGGAACACGCACAGCATGATTAATTAAGATGTTGCGCCTAACGACGAATTGAAAGTATCAATTCAGTCAAAGAATCCTCTACAAGTGCCTTGATACCTAGATAGCTATTGTGCATAATCAGCACAAAGTCGCAATCAACAGACCATCTTGAAATGATGGCAAGTGTCAAGGGAGGGCGTTCGGAAAGGACAAAGCATGCTCGTGACTAAAGCCTTCTTGAATCGGGTGCAAAGATTCGTTTCCACCTCGTTTACCATGCCTGGCGATGGAGAAGTCAGAGTAGCAGTTGTAGACACGACTGTATATGCAGGAAAAGTGTCAGATGTCAGAAGAATGATGCTGTGAATCAACTTGTTGTCTCCACGTGATCCGACGGTTCTTCCCGGGAAGCCAATTTTTTGCAGCAAGTTACAGCAAATTCACAGCTCACTTCGCTCCGAAAGCGGTCCAAAGACACTAACACGAGTGACCTCGTCCATAGGATGCAAGGCAACCACGATGCACGAAGTTCAACACGTGTAGGCTGTGCAAATATGCAGTGCGTATCTACACCCACAATGCGGACTGTGCATGTTGGGAACGTGGGAGGTGTACACCAAACTAGGTATCGAATATGCCTCCCGTGCTGGTCGGATGGTGTCTTATAGACGGGCGGTCGATTACTAGTTAGCTTCCAAGAGACCCCAACAATCACGATGGAACGACCAAGGTTCAGAAGATCAAGGCGAATGAGAAATACCGAAGACCAACCACGGCGAACTGCTGTCCCACCGCGAGGACGGCCTACTCCAACTCACCCCAAAGAGACAAACGTAATACGATTGCCTGAAGGAAGTGGCCTGGGGAGATTTACCTTGGATGTTGGAGGTCCTCTTGATGCAGTGACGAGTGTCTGTTGGTCGAGAAATGGAGAACAAATGTTCTCAGGTTCTCGAGATGGAACGATCCGGGTTTGGTCGTCAGGGACCGGAGCCCAAGTCGCTCTGCTCCAGGGACACACCAACACGGTTCACGCCATCGCAATATCTTTTGATGGGCGCTTCATTGCAAGCGCATCCTCTGACTGTACTGTTCGCTTATGGAGCGTGCGTACTTATGAAGCAGTCAGCCCCCCATTCGAGCATGCCGACGAACTCTATTGCGTCACATTCTCCCCTGACCGTAAGCGTGTCGCATGTGGTGGGAAAGACACCAAGGTGTATCTGTGGGATATAGAGCCATACACTAAGCCAGACGCTAGTATCACGGATAGCTGCGAACCAGCTCCGGAATTGCCGTTGGCACCCTCAGATGAAGATGTAAGAACCGTTCACACTGTGCGCTTAATTGTTCGAAGTAGCTGATGCGGGCAATTATTTCAGGTCCTTAACGAGCTCTTGATACAGGAGGTAGGGAAGCGCATTACTTATGCTTTCAATACTCATAACCAGCTGCAGGTCGCTGGCTTCCTTCCCCCGTTGGCGCTTCAGAATGGAGTACGTATATCGTACCATGGCGTGATATCTCTGATTTGACTGTCGCAGGTTCCACCCGATCTGAATGTTCCCTCAGCGTTTACTGAGAGTTGGCCCAGTAACGAGATCAACAATGCTCTTGAAGTAAGTGCCAACATGTGGGCTGTGTAGTTTGCATTTCAGACGCCTAATTATCATCTTGACAGGATGCACCAAAAGACTCAGACCAACCAGAGGAGTCTTCTGAAGTATTTCCTAGCCCGATACCTTCCTCATCCTCATCCAAGCGTCGTTTCTTGGACAGGCTACCACTCTTTCGTCGTTGAAGCGATATCGATGATTGTGGCGCTGCGAATTTGTAGGTGTATATTATCTCTCGCATCACATGAGCAATTATTCATGATTTCTAGGGTCCTAGCGAAAGGATGATGATATCTGAATATAATCTTCGTTTCTGATTTATCCCATAGAGATTGTGTGACTCACAAACAGACTAAGTTGCATTAACGGTATCATTCGACTGCAACCTCTGTATCGATGGTGATATTGTGTCAGTTCAACTGGTTACTTTACCTACCGTCTCCGCTTCTTCAGGGAATGATTGTCACAATATTTAGCCTATTTCTGCCTTGTTTTGCGTATATTCCCATTATGAAAGAATTGCGGTGTGTTTGATTCTCAAATTTGTGGCTGTAATGCCGCACAGGAGTATTATATGCTTATATCTTAACACCTTTTTTTGCAGTTACATGGAGTCCTGCCGACGCAGTTATGGACTTGAGCCCCATGGAACGCACACCCTTAAACTGAATTTCTGTTCTTATGTAGGGTAAGTCTCAAGGGTTTGGGAGAACAGTGACTTACACGTTCTGAGCGTCCCAGTGTTCCGTCAGTCGATCATCCTTCTTGCCTATATGTAGGAAAGTAGGACGTTCGAATGTGCACGATATCCTCACTCATTGCTGATCGATCGATCCTCCACGCACGATTCTGAGTCCGTTGCGTGTGGCACTTGAAATCGAAATCGGGGACAAGGCGGACGCCTCTGAGTCCTCCGCTTCCGCTTCCGATTATGTCTTTGCCTTCTCGCTCTCGCGCATCATTCTAACGTTCTCTGTTCTAGAATGATAAATTACCACCATTGATGTGGGGAGGCTGCTTACCCAGTCAATGTGCCAAAAACAGCTGTCAGTAGTGCAGAAGAATCAGAGTCACGAAAGAAACAAGAAAAACGACGTACTTCTGGACAATCTCTTTCCTCGTCATCCAGTTAAAAGAACCAAGGTCTTAGCAGAGAGGTTTTCTCAAATCCAGCAGCAGCTCGCCAGTACTTCCGGAGGACTCTCTGCCAGTGATGAGTACTTGCGAGGCCCACATGCGAAGAATCGAACGCCGGTGAAAATTAGTCATTCATTTCAACGCACATACATGATTTACACTTATTTCTGACGTAGTAAAGAGTGCACATAATAGCCCTTTATCGTCGATTCGTTGAAGTCCAGCTACTAAACAACCTCGAAAGCCACTGCATTCCACGGATTACTTTTACATTTAAATCCCTGTCGCTCGGGCTGGACAGTGAGTCGCAAGCAATTTTCCTTGAGACTCGCTTACGCAACTGCGTTCAATGGATGCCAAGGATTGACACTGTCAAAAACAATTCTGGATTTCAGACCCGATCCTTTTGCGTATGGTCAACTGTATACTACGCTGTCATGCGTGAAAAATCGACGAGATACACTCTGTTTATTTGTGTCTACGAACGAGGAAAAAGATAGAGCCAATATCGCGTACAGGCGCTTGCTTTTGTAATGAATGGACCCAGAATCACAAGCAACGACGGCTTGTATTTATATATGAGGGAGAATTATTCATCTAGTGGGTGCAGTGAAACCAGCCGTCCTGCCATGCAGGTGAGTTATGTTATCAAATCCAGGAAAACTACTGATACTGACGCAAGTCGGGGTAGGGCAGGCCTTGCATGCACCATCATTGATGCACCACCCGGGACATTTGTCCGCGTTAGCGGGCACAGCAGAGATTGATGATGCTAGAGCAGCGACGACGGCGAGTACAATTGCAGAGGAGAAACGCATTTTCTGTGACTCGTGTAATATGGGGTTAGATGATTCTGAAGAAGATAGTAGGGATACGGCTGGGTCGGGCTGGCTTTAAGTTATCTATAAATTCTATAAATCTATAAAGTAAGGGAGAAGGGCGTGGGAGGGTGTGGCGTGCTCGCGTGAAAGCCACGTTTGCCACATGTATGGGATCCTTTGTTTGAAAGCACCGACGTCCTCCGCTCCGACTCCAAGCGTGCGCTGTTCGACGTCCCAATTTGATTTGACTGCGCGCATGTCTTCCGTTGGCCAGAATTTCGTATTGTGGGACCGCACGTGGGTCCCAGTGAAAACCGGTTATGACGAGATAAGCCTCGATAGGTTGAGATGTGTCGTTCAGGCAGGACACATATAGGAACACATACAAGCCTCCAGTGCCCCGTACTCGGACTGTGTTAATAAGACGGGGCAGTGTCCTATACGTTCCCATGCGTGTATTTTCGTATCCAGCATATCTGAACACATCCGCTAGCAGTCCCGCTACCTTTGCACATATGCTCAAATAGTATCACACATGCTTCGAAGTTGTCATGCAATGGCTGGTATTATTTGCAGCCGCTACAAAAATACGGTATAAAAAGGCGCGAAACCACATTGGAAAGCAGTTCAAAACATCATAAAAGAGCAACGAAGAGACCAGCGTCGACGGGGGAAGCATCACGATCGAAGAGACCAATTAGGAAGCGGGCGAAGCAGCCAATAGGGAAGAAAATGACGGGAGTGCAGTAAGGATAGCAGGGGAGAACTTGAAAGCACATCGAGGACTACTATGAGGAGAAATCAGCGAGGAGATAGTAGCCGAAAAGCGAAAATGTACACAACAGGTCTAGTAGATCACCCCCTCGGAAACAGCGGTCCTGTCAGGCTATGGTGTCAATATAATATATTATATTACTGTGATTGGTGTGAATTCGTGATATATCCCTACCTTTGGGCTAAAGCGCAAGGCAATGATGTATCACCTCAAAGCACGGTGATATATCACTTGCTATCACGCGGCTATTCTTAGCCTGTCCCTGGTCACTGTCCGTTTTTGGCTTCAAAGTGGGTAGTTCGGTTTGTCAGAAATCTAGATCCCTGCATAGCCACTCACTGCTTACTCGATCACTTTAGGCTCTGTTTGGACATCGAATTCAAAAAGAAATTCGCAATGAGAATTCAACTTACGTGTCAGGTGACCTACTCACATGACCTTCGGCATGACCTTCGGCACTACGTGGCGCACATATGATGAATGATAACAGTGATTGTTTGAGGACAACAGTACTAGTGTTGAATGTTGCCCCCCCGCCCCCAATCAATATGTACAATTATGAAAACTCAGCGCAGAAATGGCACAGGGAGGAGACCCGTTGACGCCGGCTTACCTTCGTTATGACCTGCATCGTCACGCAAGTTGTATACGTGTATAATCTATTGTTTTTGACTTTGACTCCCCGTATCCCGTACCATACATCAGCCTTGACTGGTGAAGCATGGGTTTATGAACTCACTACAGGGCACCCTGATCGAATCCACAATAACCTTGGTGTCTCATTAGAAGTCTTTGAGGCACTGATTGAAATTCTCCAACAACATGGTATCTACCGGTCTCATAATGGTGTCTCCGTGGAGGAACAATTGGGCATATTTTTATATGCTTGTGTGACGGGACTTTCGACTCGCCACCTTGGTGAGCGATTCCAGTGTTCCCCCGACACTATTGCCAGGTAGATACTCAGAACGTTGCAATTGATATTTGTCTCACATAGTATTTTGTGTAGGTACTTCAAGCACTTGTTGCTATTTTTCTCAGACGACCCATTCTACTCCTCGCAAGTTTGCCTACCGAATATCGAGATTCCCATTTCCCAAAAAATTTTAAATGACCCCCATTTCCGCTTTTTTGATCAATGCATTGGCACTGTAGATGGCACACATATCCGGATCTTCGCCTCACAAGGCGAACACTCCACCATGTGCAACCGCAAGGATTACTTATCCCAAAACTGTCTATTCGTGTGCGATCACGATTTTTTTTTATCTATTCACTTTGCGGCTGGGATGGTTCTGTTGCTGATGCGACGCTCTGGAATGATGCGTGCGCACATGACTTGCGCTTGCCTCCGGGAAAATCCCTACTCGCAGATGCTGGGTTTGGTACATGTGATGCATTGTTGGTGCCATACCGTGGTGTCCGCTATCACTTGAATGAATGGCGTCAGGCCAATCTCCAGTGAGAACACAAAGTATCAAAATTTTCTGCTTTTGACATTTGACATTCCAGGCCGCAGACACCACAAGAGCTATTTAATCATCAACATGCGTCACTCCACAACATCATTGAACACGTTTTTGGAGTAATGAAGCGACAATGGCATATTCTCCAGCTCCCACCCAAGTACAAGATGGACGTGCAAGCGTGCATCCCTGTAGCGCTCTGTGCGCTGCACAATTTCATTCGCAGGTTCGACCCTACCATTTTTGAAGAAGAATATGAAGATATTCTGGGACTTGAGCTTGAGGAAGGTGTGGCTGAGCTGGCTGAACTGAATGAGCTGGGGGATGGACCAGCGAATGCTCAGGAGAGGCGGCGGGCTGATCGTCGCAGGGATGGTATTGCTAAGGCCATGTGGGACGATTATGTTGCTGTGCACGCTGCGCGAGGCAATCAAGCAGGGTAGGATGCAACTGAAATCCTATTGTTACTTTCTATGTAGCATTGGTAAGAGTACAAGGGTAATACAAATCAGTCAATGTGCATAGCACAAATTTCACCCAGCCTCTTCTGCACCCAAGTGGACTTCAGCTTATCATTCATGTATAGGTATGCGATGGCCTCGTCTTTGTCCTTCAAGAACAACGGCATCATGTCCAACTTGTCCTCATCTGATATGTTGGTGGCGGCACTGAGGACTTCAATAGCGCGTGCGAAGTCAGGGGGAGGTGCAGCAACAGGGGGTGCAGGAGCTGGAGGTGGGGGTGGGGGTAGAGTAAATTTTTTACTCATTTCATGTACTGAACTGGCGAGCGACATAATTGCCGCACTGCCATCCTGCTGCGCTTTGGCAGTTGCAGACGGCGGGCGAGAGCGCTTACCGGATGGAACGTCAACATCAGATTCTAGTGCACTGGCCTTGCGCTTGCCCCGGCTGGCACTTGTCAAGGCTGAAGGTGGGCTTGTGGAAGGGAGGCGGGGCGCAGGCGTGGTGGGAGGACCCATGCTAGTAGGAGACAAAGGCAAGTCATAGAGCATGTTGTCAGAGATTTCATTGGTAGCAGCGGATAGTTCATGGAGGTTGAGTTCATTGGAAGTGCGGGTGCTGGTAAAAGGTGCTGCAGATGACGCAGAGCCTGTCTTCCTTCTCTGGACCCGATGGACATGGATTCCCTTCATGGCATTGCCGGACGCCAGCAGATCAAAGATTGCAAAGTACGCAAACCCCTTGTTCTGGAATTGTCTGGCGTGAGGGTGAGACTTGAAAAAAATCAGATTGGCCTGCACATATAGAGGACAGTACTCACCTTGACATACCCTGCCCAAGCGCTAGCTGAACTCTCATCAACACAAGCCCCCTTATCATCTGTCCACGTAAACTCCAACGACGATCCTCCATATCTGAGCTCTACTGCGGCAAGATAAGCACTCTTGAGTGTACCAAATTTTGTTTTGCAAGCGGCATCAGTTTTCTTGCCACCCTTCTGATCCTTGAATTTCTCTGCAAGTGCATTGGCAGCTTTCGTATATGTCGATTTGGGGTATGTCATTCCATCTGTGCCCACTTTGTTTTGATGCAAAAACTCGAGGAGCGCTGCCTCCTCTTCAGACGTCCAACAAGCTGGCTCTTTGCGATTGGAAATCTTGCCTTTCCCCTTAGCTTGTGAACTTGATGTGGTCTCAACTACTCCAGAGTCTACAGAGACTTGAGAGTGAAGAGACGCGATAGACGAGTCCGAGTCAGACGTGAGCATCTCTCAAGGATATAGGATATGAGTGGCTAATATCAGAGATAAGAGGCGTGCTGGCATTCCTTGCCAAAGGTCATGTGAGTAGGTCACCTGACACGTAAGTTGAATTCTCATTGCGAATTTCTTTTTGAATTCGATGTCCAAACAGAGCCTAAAAAATGAACATCATGATGTGTAATCACGTGAGATAAAAGAACTTGGTTGCGTCAGATATAGCAATTCATACGCTGCCCCATGATGCATATGTCTGACTAGTACAAAGTTCTTTTTCCCCATCTTCTGAAACGCACCACATGCATGATAACATCTTTAGTCACATCCCTGTTGGTCTTATCCTGGTTTTTGACGGCCATTTCGGGACGTGGAGTGTATAATCTGCTCAAATCGCAGATTCATGAACATAGCCGACAAGCTGATCATTGCACCTCATTGAGTACAGTGGGATGAACATGCTGTTTCTGCGAGTACTGACTCAGGCGAATGCTTCAGGATCCAGTCATCAAATTCACGCTACATTTCCGTCCAAACGTCATGACAAATAACAAAATTTGCAGGTCAATGATTCGCATAGTTCTGCCTATTATTAGAACGGGCTCTTATGCCATTGATCAGGAATGTGATATCACTTATCCAATTCCGCGTTACATGTGAGTGAGGATAGATGGTGGGGCGGCCGTGCTTGTCTTATTTAAGTGCATTTATACGGGGATTTTTCTTCCTCCACACTCATTCCTTTCGATGACGACCTCTGTGAATGCTACCCTAGAGCAGCAAACCCCGACAACGGACGGATTTAGTCTTCCTGTCTCTTTAATGTCTTCTACTGACAAAAGAAGTTCTTCTTTACCAACTGATGACCTGGTGGATGAGGCGGAGGAACAGTTCTCATGGACAACGGCCATCTTTCATCGAAAGCAGATGGTACCCTCTGATCCTGACGCAATCGCGACCAGACGCTCTGTTTTTGATGATCGTGACCTTGCGCCACACTATTGGCCCAAGAAGGAATACGAGAATCTCCACAGATTCGATCCAACCGCTCGTTGGACGTACAGGGAGGAAAAGGTCAGTTTTATACTTATCGTCATTTAAAGTGAGGCTGCTCATGCTGAATGGGAGGAAGGCCCTGGTCCGCAAGTTGGATTGGAAGATTATGCTTATGGCAGCTATAGGATTTTCCGCCTTGAACTTGGACAGGAGCAACATCAACCAGGCAAACTCAGACAGTTTTTTGCAGGATCTTGGATTGACTACAGACGGCAAGTTTGTTCGATTGCCATCTAAGTAATATCCTGACTTTTGGTCATCCAGACTTCAACCTCGGAAATACCGTATTCTTGTTGGCATTCTTATGCGCAGAACTACCGTCACAACTTGTCTCGAAGCGAGTACGTGTATTTGCTGCAGATTGTTTCGTGTGGCTTATGGTCGTATTGAAGGTTGGCCCCGATCACTGGATACCAACGCAAATCTGCCTCTGGAGTATGTAACAGAACAAACAACTGTATCAAAACAGTTCTCATCGATAGCTCATAGGTTTCGTGTCTCTGTCACAATTCTGGCTGACCAGTAGGACCTCGTTCCTGGTCTGCCGAGCGCTTCTTGGGTAATATCATGTAATTACTGTTCCAAAGCTCATTTTCACTGACTAGTGAATTCAGCGCCTTGCAGGGCGGGTAAGTCCAACTCCTGCCTGCGCTCGAGTACACTTTTTTACATTCCACAGTTATATCCCTGACCTGATATTGTATCTATCTTGTATGCCAGTTAACTTCCACCTCATCTTATACTGCTGACTTTTCGGACAGATTTTTACACGAAGACAGAGCTACCCATGCGCCTCGCCCTGTTCTGGATGTCTTTGAACTTCTGCGGCATCGTTGCTAGTTTTCTAGCCTATGGCACGCTTCACATGGATGGTGTCGCTGGCGCTGCTGGATGGAGGTCAGTAGAAGTTTGATGCTCGTTTCGCAAAAATCTGACTTGATCGAAGGTGGCTGTTCATGATTGAGTGCGCCCATTTCTTTCCAATGACATAAGACGCGCGAACTCGACCCTCCCACAGGGGAATCCTCACTCTACTTATAGGATTTTTCAGTTTTTTCAACATGCCTCCATCGCCAACGCAGACCAAAACATGGTTCCGGCCAAATGGTTGGTTCACGGAAAGAGAAGAAATCATTATTGTCAACCGAGTACTTCGAGATGATCCTAGTAAGGTAAATAGTTGTGTCACAGTCTCGTTAGAATCTGCAACTAAACTTCTTCAGGGTGACATGCACAACCGTGAGGGCCTTACATTTCGTCGTCTGTGGACAGCAGTGTGTGATTATGACCTATGGCCAATTTACATCCTGTACGTTGTTCCCGTGATCTTTGTAAGAGTTGGGCACTCACGAAATGTAGTGGCCTCATGTTTGGCATCCCGAACACCCCCCCTGCGACATATCTCACTTTACTACTTACGGACATTGGGTGTGTATCACAAGTATCCCTTCATTTGACACACTCAATACTAGGAACCCAGATTCAATACATTTGATACCAATCTCCTTACGATACCCTATCAGGCTCTCGGAATTGTCACCATGTTTTTGATCACGCTTGTCTCAGAGTTCGTCAACGAGCGTTCTATTGTGTCGATGATAGAGGACGTCTGGACGTTGCCTTTCCTTGTTGCACTCTATGCGTTGCCCAGCAACCCTAATCCTTGGATATTTTTTGTGAGTAACTCGTTTTACGTAGCGCATCATAGGCAGTTTACTCAACTGTTCAGGCTGTGGTGACTGGTCTGTTGTCATATCCGTAAGTTCGAACTTGTCAGCACCAATGTTCTTGAAGACCATTCTTGACGTCCTCGTGTTACCAGCTACACCCATGCAATCCAGGTACTACTTGAAACGATCCTCGAGTGAAATACTCATCTCGTTTCAGGTGGCGTGGTGCTCTCGTAATGCCGGGGCAGTGGCAAGTCGAACAGTCAACGCGTCGTTATACAACATGTGTGGAATTCTCTATTTTCAAACTGGAGACATACTCACCTTCGGCTAGGTTTGTGCAAGCCAGCGGGATCATATCCGCACAGATCTACGTAGCTAGCGAGGCTCCCAGATGTATGTGACTCTTTTTCTTTCACAGGCAACATGATCGTCACATTCATCACCGCGTGCAGATCAACGCGGTAACATGATCCTCATCATCATATGCATCGTCAACATCTGTATTCTGTACCCAGGCACGAAGGCATATTACATCTGGCGCAACCGACAACGAGCCAAGATTTGGGATGCGATGACGACAGAGGTGAGTTCATTGTAGACTTTCTAAAGAGCTAGGGCTCTGGCGCTAAAGACTTGTTGAATGATAGGAACGTGTACACTATCTGAGTACAACCAAGGATGTTGCGAACAGAAGACTCGATTTCCGTTTTGCGCATTGATGATATGTTCAATTATGCAGAATTAATCAATGCTGTGTTCGACTTGCGAGTCTTGAGAACACGAGATAGGAGGAGCGCAATGCCCTCGTAGTTGAGCTCGAAGTGTCTGCCGAAAAACAGATGTATTCGACGAGCCCTGTGTCCCCAGCTGAAAAGCTCAGGTTCATCGGGACTAAAAGCACGAAATATCTGAATATAGATCGCTAACGGCGTGTTTGGTTGCGTCGCTGTCATGCCACACAAGAGTAATACATACTCATACATTAACATTCTTTCGCAGGTGCATTGAGTCTTGCCGAACGCAGTTGTGGGCTTGAGCTCAGTCCATGGAACGCACACCCCTAAACTGAATCTCCATTCTTATGTAGAGAATATTGAGGTAAGTCTCAGTGGTCTGGGATAACAATGACTTACACATTCCAAGTGTCCCAGGCGTTCCGAGGATCAGATAATCATTTGTTTGCCTACTATACTAGGCCTATAGAAAAGTAGAGCGTTCGAATGTGCGCAAGCTTATGGTTCAGCACTACCATTCAAGTTTTCGACCAAAACATGCATCTGGCATTGCTTCAGGTACGCAAGTGTAATAATTGAGAATGTATACAAATCATAGCGCAGTTCAGGGGCTCTTCGGAAGAGGGGTCTCTGCAGTGCCTTCATATCCCCAACCACCCACTCAGCCTTCCGTAATCATACGTATCTCGTGGACTAATTCAGGACTCAACGACACATTGAGAATACCGAGGTTCTCCTCGAGATACTGTGCAAGTCAAAATCACGAATGTCCGAGGTTATATCTATATCCTCAAGATCATGCTCAGTCCTGGATGGGATGAAAAGTAAGACTTGCATGGATGTAGTACAGCATCCCGTGATGCACATATATTTGAATATCAATACTCTTTTGTTATAATACTTATCCCTTCCGCACTCGCATTGCTCCATCCCTTCCTCTGGTCCCTAGTAAGCATCGTAATAATCAAGGACTAATAACTCCTTTACTGTTGACCAACTTCTCACGCATATCGCTGGCTACAGCCCTTAACTCTTCCACAGCAACGACAACACCCTCTCCCTCTCCCTGCTCTGAATCGCGCCTCCTCAGTGCTCTGAGAACGTCATCCACATAGCTAACGAGATACTTGAAATGACCTTCCGACGCGATCTGCATGTACCTCTTCGTGCCTTCCACAAGGACGGGGAGGAACTCGAAACAGTGTATGTCGTCAATTTCAGAGTCGGCATAGTACCATGCGTGTCTCATCATGTCCCACCACTGCTGCGCTGTGATAGCATCGAGCGATGTAACCGACAACTGTTCAGATGGAATTCGGAGGAGGATGCCAGATAGGTAAAAGGGACGCAGCGAGTACGATTTGCAGTACTCTCCAACCATGCTGATGCACCGATCTATATGGTGATCCCCAAACAAATGGGGGTGCCAGTTGGAATCCCTCGCTAGGGCAAAGATCAGTTCGAGATAGCACGAGTCGCGGTCAGGATGGAAGAAGTGGTGAGGAATCGTCAGCGAGTGTTGTGCCTGGTCGCGGACAAACCGTAGTCAGGATAGCGGGGGATAACTTGGTTAAAACCATTTCCCGCAGCTTCGCATCAATGGTATCGATCGAGACGATTTCTTCTCGGACAATGTGAGTAGCGCGAAGAGCGGCATAACGCAAATGGACAGGCATGTTACTTCCCATGCAGGCGATGAGGCTCTCGATGAATCGATGTTGTTTAGCAGGGCTGCAGTGCACTTTTATGATACCCAGTATAAAAAGGATGTCAAATGCCACTTCCTGGTTGTCGGAATAGATGTCAAGGTAGTAATCCACCAGCCACTCGAAGTCTTCTGGCAAGTGGGAATCGCCTGTCCCTAAACTTGAATACGAGAAATCCCACAAGTGAGCAGGGTCCCGAGACGCTTTGGCAGCGGCGAGCGTGAAGTGCAGTGCATTTCGCAGAGCTGCCAATGAAGCCGAGGGGTCGTTTTGTTCGGATGACCTCGCTCGTGAATAAATCTTCCTACACACGTCCAGGTTTCGCATGGTGTCGGATGAAGGTTCATAGTGACTTTGAGTAAGTTCGAGTATGCGACAGATAATGTCGAGGAGGTTCCATGCTCGGCGTGTGACCCCTGTGCTGTCTTTCTCAAGATCGCCTCCATCCCATGCCCAAAGAACCCTTTGGAACTGCGCCAAAAGGGACTGCGTGAGTCGAGGCAGAGCAGCACTACACGATCTCTTTGTTAAACATAGCAGAAGAAGCAGCAAATGAGTCAAAAGCACCTTTTATCCACCCGAATTATGTCCTTCTTGTCAAACTGAACCCCGACCATGACGCAAGCGAGAAGAGTGCAATTGGCTATGAGTTGATTCGGTGGAGAGGATGGAGGGGATAACAAGTTGGATATCACTGCTGTGGCGAGTTCTTCTACATGTTCATTCACTGTCTCTGTGACAAAGTGATAAGGAAGAACCTGTAACAGCTGCTCACAGTCACGGGCAGGAACGGAGTCGGCGTCTGGAATGGATGAGAATACAAATGATGGCCGACAAAGAATCGCAGCTGTGGAAACCACCGTACGAATGGCTATGCCACTGTGCAACACATCGGTAAGCACGTCAAGATCTGATATCCTGCGGCCAAAAACACTACTAGGATCAGGATATGCTTTGAGAACACATCCGTAGTATAGATGACTTAGAGCCATTACACATGCCGAGGCTTTCTCCTCCAACGATGGTACAACGTGCCCATCAATGCCGACGCAACTTGTGAAAATATCATACAGCTGAAGCAGTATGTCTGAGACATCAAGATCCAGGGGCCATTCGACCTGCGGAACAAAGTGGGCAGCCGCGATAAATACTTCAACATCCGTAGATGCACCCAGCAGCCACCGGATACTACGTGCTTCGAGATCGCTGGTGTGTACGTGCGGGAGGTCGAGGGAAAGGGTATATTCATTGTTCACCAAAACATCCAGATCCTGGTCGAGCGATAGTGCCTCTAAGTCTACAACATTTGTTAAAGAGCGCAGAACCAAAGAACGCAGCCCGTTATGAAGGGCGGCAGATAACGGCTCAAGAGAGCGTCGTGTGAATGTGCCAGTAGCACGCACAGCGCCTGGGAAGTGAAATGAGCGCTGGGGTATCCTATGTAAGAGTAGATAAGAACCTATCAATGCTTCAGACCATTGGGTCCATCTCAGTCTGAGGGTATCAAGCCTTCGTTGCAGCACAGCTGACAAGAAACGGTCAACACTCGTGCACACGTAATAAAACATAGCTTACCGTGCGCTGATGTCTTGAGCTGATGGAAATACCTGGAGGCTGGTTCAAAGATCAGGCATAAAACTCCTGCAATGCTGATTCAGACTGGAAACGACCACGCGAAATCACGAAATGATCTTACTGTCAATGCGCGACATGCGCAAGAGCGTCGACATTGGCGTTTGAAATGGACACGAAGGAGATATTGAACATGCCATAGCTGTCAGTGAATAGAAAAGAAATCCAGAGACCATCGTAGCAATGATCACCCAAGCGATGCTAGGCTGCTCGGACCACATGTGGGCGCCGAGGGCAATCTCAAAGAGGAGAAGGGAGATCTGAAGCAAGACGAGAAAGGACTGCACGACAACATCAAAATGCCATGTGGTGAGACCGTCGAACTTCTCTTGTCTGAACTTCCCTTGTACTTCCTGCGAGGTGCGACTATATTTCGACGTGTAGTACCCGAGCCACTGCTTGCCTAGTACGGCCCCGAATGCGGCTAGCAAGCTCATGGACAAGCTTGCATATGCGACCATTTGGATCCTCAGGGCAAGCACAGTCGGCGACCAAGTAGATGCCGGGTCTACGGGCGTGGATCCCGCTGCAGTGAAGTTGCCGAGTCCAATTTGCACGAGTTGGGTGAGAAGGGCATTCGTGGTGTCGCTGAGGTCGGGACTGAGATTGGAATCCATTGCGACAATGAAAGACGAGCTGACAGTGGAGAAAAGACCAGACTGATCACATATCAGTCTCAAAACAGATCGAAGATAAGCACGCTAAACCTACAAAGAGCAAGATACTCTCCATGTCGTCGGTGCATCGCTTGATGAAGTCGCTGTCGTGTTCCGCTGCGACTAGTCCGTACAACCTCCAGAAACGAGACCGATTGTCCTTGCCAGCCCGAGTCTTCGGCACAATCGACGAATTCTGGAGAACTTCCAATACTTTCTTCATGGTATCTGATCTGCGCATAGGGTGTCATCGGCTGCAATCGCTCGGCTGATTTTTCGCTCACAATTCGTTTAGAGTTGGCTGGTCTTTCTCCGCCCCACTGAGACAATTCATGAGCTTGTTTAAAATCATCATCGATAGGGACTTACAGAGCTAAATAGCCATCCGGTGCAACTTTGGAAACACTTTCCTGTTTGTGAGGTTCTGATGACTGGGAAGGCCCGGTGTTCGAGCTGCAGTTCTGGTGAAGAGTTGCACAGAAGCATCAGGGCAGAACCACTCACATCCCTGATGGTAGCTTTACCGCTGAAGGCCCACCATGTTCATTCTCCCTATCTTGCTGTTATACAGGTGACAGATGCCAGGAATTGGTCACTTACTCTGAATTGTCCGGGGGCCCTGGAGTACCCTGTTCTGGGGCAAACTTTTCATTGGTATGATTCTCGGCGCGGTCACTGGTACTAGATGCTTTTGACATGAGTAAGTGAGGTATTCAGTAGACGTAAAATACAAGTGAGCGTAATTGGGAAGAGTCTGAGCGCACATAGCCAAACACTTGTGGTACACAGCAACGTGGTCGAGAGCCTGCAACCATGACAAAAACACGCTGAGGGTGTTCTTGAAGGTTGCCATCTGGGTGTAAATTCGTAAGTTAAGTTAAGGTTCCTTATCGCCTTCGAAATTCGACACGGAGATTCGTTCTCGATTTGTTTTTGTTCTCGATCACATCGAGTAGGGTGTTCAGCGCGAGTGGCATGCGAGGCATTGCGAGCGCTGAGCGGGATACGACTATCTAATTCGGGCGGCAGTCGCGTCCCGCTTACTCATGCCGTGTCAATGATGTCATGCGCCTGTCTTGCAAGGTCATACTATACCTCACGGCTGAGTCGTCACCCCCACAAGTCGTCACGACCTAAATATCTCACTCAATTCTTACTTCCACACACAATTTACAACTTAAATCGATGTTTCTATCATGCACCTTTCATTGCGAGGTTGAACGATCAATTTTTGTTGAGAAATGGTGAAGTTCATTGAAAGCCGTCAAAATCACGCTGGTGACAGCCAGCCGAGCGCTGCCGTAGCGGAGTTCTAAACCAATACTGCTGGCTGTGACGACTTGTCAGTGAGCCGACGACTCGGACATGGCTCAACGAAATAGCCGCCCAAAAGGCAAATCACGAGAGTCGCGTGCCAGACTGCCAGTGATCCCACAGGCGGCCTATGTATATGAGCAGCGGACTGTTTGGCAATGGGAGAACGCGCGCGAGAAACACCGCATCAAACACTGACAACCCGACTGCCGTCAGCGCCGCACCCGTCGAAAGTGAAACTCCACCTGTTCTGGCACTGCCTGCCAATAGCTCTCATTGTTCTTCTTGTGAACATCCGAATGGTTCTTACTTAAATAGTCCTGATCTATGCTATGAAATACCTTATTGCAATCCTCCTGTACATCCAACTCACAGCAATATTTGTACCAGCATCTCGGCAATTTTCTACATTACACCAGCATCAATTTCATTTGCCTCATCATCACGGACCACATAGTTCTCATTCTCATGTAGCATATCCTGCACCATACAGCCATTATAATAACAGCCACGCCCCATACTATCACTACAAAACCGGAAGGAGGTTCGAATTACCGATCGTGCTGGTGTATTGTGCGATTCACCTTCTGAACCGGTGATTAGTCGGTGACCGGTGCGAAACAGGTGATTTCGTATCACCACCTGTGCGGGTGATTTTCAACACTTTGTAAGCCACTACACTCACCATTCAACATGCAGTTTTTAGCCACTAGGTATGTCAGTTATTTTCACCAGTTGGAACAAACTGCCTAATCCGATGACAGATATCATTTTTTTCAGTTCTTATCACCATGTACCGTACCATTCACGCGCGCACGTTAACGTTAACGTTTAGGGCGCTAGCGCAACCATCGACGTCGACATAAATTATGACCGCAGCGCGGGAATCTGGCATCAAACGGTAAGCCAAATTTCTTTCATCCGAGTCTCTCGCAGCTTCTCTGACTCTCGATCCCAAGTGCACGCTCTAGATCTGAGTCACCACCTTTCCACCAGACCACGCAAGCCTCGAGCTCTGTTTCGCCGTCTCAAGATCCCCGACAACCCAAATGACCCTCCCGAATTTTGTATTCCTCCTCCATCTTCATGCCTCATGTATATGTCCTGATCGTGATCTCCACAGCTGCCGAATATCTTGCATTGCTTGCAGTCCAGGCTGAGCTCGAGCCGAACGAATCATCCGGCACGAAGGATAATGTTCTCGAGGTGTCGGCAGACTTTATCATTAATCTCATTGAGGCTCGATGGAAGGCAGAGAAAGAACGGTGTGATGCAGAATGTAAGGCTCAGTTGCTCGAGATGAAAAATTTACCTTGAGTTAGTTAAAAAGTACTTATCATACACCGAGTACAATGTTACTACTCTGCTGAAGTCAATCCTCAAAAACTGCACGAGCAAGATTTCCACTTCGGTCAATGATTGCCCACTTCTGTCCTCCATCGATATCAATAGGGACGCGGCCGACGAGACATTGCAAGCAAACGATATCCACAATATCTAAGGTATCATTGAGGTTGCTGTAAAAGTGAATGTTGAGGGAAGACAGGCTTGAAGGGGTGGGTTCAAGTTTGCATGTTGACAATGCAGCGAGGAAGATGGTTGTTGGCCTATCGACTTTGAGTGCTGGAGTATGTGGAACGAGAACGACAAAAATATGATGTAGACATCCATAGAATGTTTGTTTCTCGTAAGTGGGTGGTAGGTTGCGTCGATGGGCATATTTGTCCACGAGAATCTCATACTAAATAGTATAGTACCATTAGCATTTTCCATTATTCAAAACAAGCAAACAAACTCACTCGCACGAATGTTGCATCTTGTGAATCACGCTGGTGTGATGTAAGCCCTGCTGCAAGCATTGTGTCGCCACCATCAAGTCGTTGGACCTTGCCCCATTGCTCAATAGACACTGCTTCGATATGCTGATGAACAATTGCCAATGATACATCAAACCGAGTAGCGAGGGCCTTGAAGATCCGCGTGAGCATTACCGACTCGAGTGGCATCACGCTGGTTGTTCTCCGTGGATCTGTTGACAAAAGTCAAGGTACGGCAAAATAGATAGTAAAATTAAAAAAAATTACATGACTTGTGCTTGAAATGGCCAGCTATGTCTCCTGACCGAGATGGTTGCAGTGTGATAGCTTCGGTGAAACCATGAATAAGTGCTGCTTGTGTCAGTTGGGCATGTTCGATAATGTAACGAGCCATGCATGCATCGGGGTAACATTTGCTAGTGATTGCTGGTTGCATCTGCCCGCAAAATCTCTCCATAGGAAATGCCCAACTAGTCCATACTGGTCCAGCCTCTTCGATACTATCTGCTATGTGCAGAAGTGCATGTATGGTGATGGGGCATGTTGAGAGACGTTCCGGGTTGTGTTGGTAGTAAATTCCAGAAAATTGCAGCTTAGAAAAAATTCAACGCGCATGGGACAATATTACTAGTGGACTCACACTTCGAATTCTTCAACCCAAGTAGCAAACCCCGTTTGCAAATCATTGACATCAGTTTTTGACAGTTCAAACTGCAGACAAACCCGGACCATGCGAACAAGCTTCAAAAAGTGCCTATAGTACTTTGGCTTTGAGAACTTTCGGTACAAGAGAACAGGGCCAAGGTATTGCATCCAAAATGACCATGAGTCGGCAGTGCACATACTCCGTTCGGTGGCTGGATTAGGTGGTCGAGCACCATATGCCGAGGGTATAAAAGATCCGGAATCAGGACCTGCCTGGCATACAGCATTCCAGACACTTTCCGCAATCTCATAATCCTCGGAACCAGCATCCAGGCCTTTGAATTCGCCAGTCCAAAGCAAGATAAGGTTCTTAATGACATTTTCCCAAATGAGATGCATAAAATCATAGGGAAATGACTTGGGAAATGACAGCGAGGATATGAAACTTAGCACAGGTATGCCTTTGATACCATATGCCTTGGCGAGTTTTTCGGCTTCGACTGCTGTAGATGCAAGTTGAACTTGCTGAGCTTGTTGCATCATCTCTTCATGAGTGCGACGGGGGAGTTGTAGTGGATTGAACTTCTTCGTGGCTGTGGATGAAGCAAGAATATCTGGGTGGTTGCTTTGATCGAGAGGGACATAGTGCACAGCACTTTTTGCATGAGGAACTCGAATGCCAGTAATGTTGCATGCTCGACACGGTGAAAAACCATTGTGACCCTTGATTCGCATAATCATGGACATGGCAGGAATATCTCCCGCTACGATAATGAGATATGCCCGGAGCATGAAGAGCTTCGCCTGAATAGTGATGCGGAAGTCCGGTTCGGTCCGGTTCAACAGAAATTCTCGCGAACGCCGAACGGGACCACACGTTCGGTTCAGCTGCTTACCCGAACGTCGGACTGAATGGCCTTGAACGCGTTCAGGACGTTCAGTTCACGTCCAGTTCACGTTCGAACTTCGAACGTCGAAACCAATAAAATTCGCTCAAAATGACATACATGATTGTGAACTACTCATCAGTAACATTAAGGTCAGCAGCAGTCACAGTAGCAAGGGGCTCGACACGAGAAGCTGCTTCTGCTGCAGCGTGGATATGCCCATTACGATAAGCACTTTTCAACAGCTGCAGGGCCTCAAAGACACCGGGCGTCAGTCGGTTACGTCGGCTGTGATCTGTGATGCCTCCGCTGGAGAAGGCTCGTTCAGATGGCGTGGCAGAACCTTGAATTGCAAGATAGTCTCTTGCCATACGGGCAAGTGTTGGGTACATCGTTGAATGATGCTAGAAAGTGCGTCAATGAAGGACCACCAATCCACGAAACGAACATTGCTTACCCCCCACCAACGGACAACATCACTGGACTCTTCTAATGGGCTGGTTAGATATGTGTCGAGTTCTTGATGGGGGTTGATGATCATTTGCTCGGAAGACTGACGAGCCAGAATAGCAGAGCGCATCCATGAGTGTCCGTATTGCGGAGGTTTCGAGGATGATGAAACCAGTGTTGACTGAGGTGCCGCGGCAACAGGAGTGTAGTACTGGTTGAACTATACCAGAGTTAGTGACAATGATCCATGCAGGTGGTATGAACTCACTGCGGCTTTGAGTTTTTTGACACCTTCATCGAAGGCATCTGACTGCCATTGCGATCGTGCATATTCAAGTTTGTAATTGGGATCCAGAGCTGCAGTAGGATGAGCAAATGTGAATGTTGATGCTTGTGTAGTCACGTACCCAAGCAAATAAAGTATACGTCTGTGTCGTCAGTTTTCTGCGACCACTTCTCCAAATTCTTGAGGCCCGCTTCGAACACATGGGCTATGCTTGCAAACTTCTCGTCGGCGGCCATATTTTCCCAGCTCTGCTGCAAGAACTCCAAGACCGGAATGGCACGCCAAACTGTAGGGTCTTTCGAGCTCGAGAAACTTTGAGTGGCATTTGCAGGTTCCTGTAACATAAGACGTGAATTCAGCTAAATAGAACGAAACGAATACTAGGCACGCACCTGAAGAGCTTTGTGTATAAGTGAGAGCTGCACCCAGTCACTTTGAGTCAGCTTAAAGTCGGCATACTGCCTCTTCCTCAATTTGGGCACTTCGTCGCTGTCATCGGCAAGGCGCACAAAGCGATTGACCCCCTGCACACTGTCAATGATAACCTGGAGTAAGCTCAAGATAACACTCACTTTCTGCAACAGAAGAAGGCGAGAAAGACACATGAAAAGTGACGCCCAGTGTGTGCGGACCCACTGGACAAGCTCAAGAACGGGTACATTGACCTCTGCACATGATTGACGAAAAAAGGCCCGGCTTGAGGAGACTTCTGAATCTAAGAGAGAGAATGTCAGTACTACATGTGGCCCTCTACTAGCTTCACATACCTGTACAATGAGTGCTAGGGCCTTACCGAGTGCATTCGATGTGTCAGTGTCAGCGTCTTCATCTTCGTCATCACCACTAATAACAAGTTGAGTGCTGCTCGTGGGGGCAATAGCCTGTGCGAAATGGCCTGCAGCCACATTGATGGCATGTTCCATGCATCCTGCATAGCTCAGGTAAATATAAGTGTGTGGCGTGCTATACAGATCACGACATACCGGACTCTACGTTCATGATGGTCTTCGATCTTGGCCTCAGGAACATTTTCTGCAAATGTCTCAATGGCCGTATCGTTGTTCATTGCATTATCAGCTGTAAACCAACCTGATCTAAGTGAAAATGAGCCAAGATTGGGCTAAAACATTGAATATTTGCTTACCTTATTGCGCAGATCAAACCGGTCGATAACTCGAACAAGTATGTTGCCAATATTGAGACCAGAATGATTACCTTCAATAGCTGTAAATGAAAGCTGATCACAGCGAAGTTCCCACTCGTGTGGGGCATCTGCAGGAGCATCTATGTAGTGTCCTGTGACTGACAGGTATGGGTCGCCAGCGTCGGAAGTCCATGCGTCGAATGTGAAGGACACATGCCCACCAATGTCGTGGAGGTGTTGATGAATCCGTGACTCCACTGTCTTGGACATGTCTGATAATCTCCTCCCGTACTTTGTCACAGGTGAGGGATATCCTTGTCGGACAGGCCTGGGCGAGTATATGTAAGCAGGCGCCGAAAAGCGCCCTTGTCCACGAGTAAGAAGGCTTCATCTTCCGCCACGATCAGCTCGACAACATAGTCTAACAGTCCGGCAGTGGTAAAAGGTGGTGTACGAGACTCTCGGACGACAGTATTGTCTAACGTCGTCTGATTTGAACTATGAGAAGCATGATTAGTTGCACCAAAAACAGCATTAAAGACTCACTTACACCACATCATCAGCAGGTAATGCACGCATATGGGGCTGGATTCCCTGCTTGCGGCAATGATCCTTGTAGATTTTGGTGTGGTCCTTATGCCTCAAAGAGCACACGTCAGGTAAGGCACCTAGGCAACAAATGTGAAAGACGGCTTACCTCTGAATATGAGCTCGAAGGGACGTGACACTGCCCTTGATAAAACTAAACTTCCAGGCAACACCATTTGCCCTGTTCAAAGCGGATTTTGTTGGATAAGTACTAATGACACAGACTGAGAGACTTACTTGCAAACCTCACACCAGTGCCCATCCTCTTCCTTGCCAGTATCGGGGTTGATAGCCTTCGACTCGTGCGATGAAAATTGTGCGAATATCAGGCGGTCAAGTCACTTTTGCGGCGTTTGGCTCCCTGCACAAAATGATAAGTGTGAGGTTCAGAGGTTAAGAGAGAATCACTTACCTCACGGTCTGCATCACCCATCTCTTTAGTTTGCTGGTATGTTGATGGGGCAGTCGTCAGCAGTGCCCATACTGTCATTGGTGCGTGTGTCTATGTCAGTTGCAGTACCTGTATCAGTGACTCCATCATCTTCATCATTATCCCACTCAGGGTCTTCGGCAACTGCATCCTCGAACTCGTCCTCACTAATGACCACTTGTTGCGCAGCTTTGCATTTACCCAAGACAGCATTGTTGGGATCGATGAGTTTTGATGCAGGGCGTGTAACACGAGCAGAACGACGCGATCCAGCAATCACAATGGCAGGAGACGGCAAAGACTTGTGAGAAGCAGGGAGCGGGGTGTCGTCATCAGCGTCAGTGAAACCAAGTAATATCCTTGGCATCAAGAAGAGCACCATCAGCGCCTACAGCACTCTGGTCATTTGCCTGCATATTGAGGGGGAAAAACAACTAGGGAACTCACCATATTGAATTTCTCGCTTTAAATTTGGCTGCAGAGTACACAAAATCAACCACTGAGATCACACTACTCGTAGTGATAGATAAAATTTGCTTGAAGTATTGCTTGAAAGATTTCCGATGTTGATTGTTATTGCTGGAAAGATACCCGACATCGAAGACGTCGAACATTATTGCTTGAAATATATCTGACGTTGATGGTAACAAGAGCAGCTTATTGGTGGCACGATGTCGCTGAGCTATAATTAGATCATGTTCAGTAGTAATTTGCTGCAAAAATATGTACCTGCATTCAGCGTTCGGACACATTCGAACAGGTTCAAGACAGACCAAGCAGTGTCGAACGGAGAACGGGACCAAGGGTTTGGTTCACCAGGTCCCTCGAACACCGGACTGAACCCACGGTCCGGTCCACCAAAGGTTCAGTCCGAACCGAGGTCCAGGACTGAACTTCTGCATCACTACACCTGAAGTGAGTCGAAAGCCCGAACGCCCGCAGCCAGTTGAAGGAGTTCGTCAACCAAGAGCCATAGAAAAGAATCGAAGTCCTTAGGTTTCTTGGGGCCAGGAACAACTCCAAGGCATATGATATATTGTTTGTGAAAACGGATTTCGGGAGGGAGATTGTAGTTGAAGAGAATGAGTGGCCAAGCTGTGGTTTTGCGACTATGGAAAGGGGCAAATCCGTCAGTGGACAAACCAAGGGCAATATCTCGAGTGTCATCAAAGTGAGTGAACGGCATTGTGGTTCCGTTGATGACAACATTTTTTGTGAGCAGCTCACGGTACCATGAACCATCGAAGATATCACTGATAGATCCAGGGGTGTGTATGTGATCATGGGCACGGTATTTCATTTTGGATGCTAATGCTGGATTCTGAAACATAGAGACGAGTCGTGGGATGACAGGCACATAGGAGAACTGTTTTTGTGGCTGCCCATTTGACTGGTAACGTGGTGCACTGCAGTGCGGACAGACTTCAAGATCTTCATTTGGTCTGACAAAACAACAACACGAGTTGACACAACAGTCACAATGTCGAGGCTCTAGTCCTGATAGAAATGTGACTCAGGATTTTGCCTTTTTAAGGCTCGGAACATTGGCAGAGGGAAAAGCAAACTGTAGCATGTTGAAATTTGCCTCTGTGGTATGTGACTTGATTTTATATGCAAAAGCACGTAAGATGTCTTTGTCGTTGATGCTGAGGTCCTCGCCTGCTCGTTCATAAGATTAATTACCCTGAATTTCATGGGGATAACATACCAATCTCCAAGAGCTCCTGTTCAACCCTTTCACCCAAGAACTCATCCTCGACGTCAGTCTCGAGCCCCATATATTGTCCCAATTCCTCGTCAGAGTCGGAGCCAGAGTCCTCGTCCTCATCCCTGGTGCTCTCGAGGTCATCTTGCTCTTGATCAGTTAAGGGTTCAGATGAGCGAGCCATGGTCAGTGCATCACATGGACTCGGAGGACTGAATTCTGTATCGAAAACATCCTGCACGTCTGTAGGAACAAGATGTATTGATTAGATTTGAGTTTTGTTAGACCACGGAGACACACCTATTGTCATTTCCTCTCTGAGTGGAGCTTTTGATGCAATATCTGTCCACTTAGCTAGACTCCTAACTTTTGGAGGTTTGCGTGCAGCAAGAAGTTTCGTTTGATAGGGTGATGTGGCCTTCAAACATGGAGGGGCAATGAGTAGGTGGTGATTCCGCCATGTTCGTTCGCTGACCCATTTGTTACAACAGCGACATAATTTACGTGCCGGAGGATGGTGTTGAGATTTATCCATAGGTGTCACGGCGAAGCTCTCATGGACAAAATGACTTCAATTCATGGATCTGAGTGGCTGCATACAAGGATAAACAAACGACTTGTCAAAATTTTCAAGCTCGCCCACACTGACATCGCAGCCAGTTATCATACCCACATTCAGCCCTCTCATCAGATTGAAATATAACCATGCCCGGCAGCAACGAGAACCTACCACCTGCTGGGCAATCCACAGCAACCAAGAAAAACGGGGCTGCACCGAGCAACCCAACCGGTAGAGGGCCCACAGCAGCCAAAACAACGACTCCAACGACTCCAGGTTTGAAAGGCACAAATAAAAATTTGACGAAGCAAGTGCTGCAAGAGAAGAATACAAAGCTCGAGGACGAGAATTCTCGTCTCAAAGGTACGGAAAATTTTCTTACCATGGGTATTGCAAACAACAAACAAATTTTCGGAGCAGCGAAGATCTTACAACTTGAGGAAGTGGAGCATGCAGCCAAGCTCGCAGTTGCAGAGGCCAAAGCTGCCAGGAAAGTTGCGGAAGAGAAGATCAAAAACTCCCGCGTCGATCCTATGCATGAGATTATTCAGAAACCTACGACTGCTGAAATGAAGGACTCAGGCAGCAGAGGCCGTCTGCTCAAGGCAATGAAGCTCGAGAACAATAAAGCAGAATATCTGGCAATTCAGGTTAGTGGTTTGAAAAAATGCAGTCAGCACTTAGCAATGGTACCATAGACCACTGTTCACGAGCTGTGCTCATGCATTGATCTGAACTTCGAGGTGTTGTACAATGCGCAACCCATGAGCAGCCTCGTGAAACTGTTTAATTGGTGCGTTTTAGTAGAATCTCCTCTTGCTGTGATAGTAAACATTATTTGCAGGCACGACGGAACCACCCTCACCTTGAGAAGTTCCAGAACAATTGGGCGACAGTGGAGTTGGTCAAACAATTCCTGCAAAACAAACGGAAGGCAAACAAGAAGCGAAAGGTGGGCACAACTGTGGGTGCTCGAAACAATAAACGGAGTCGATTCAATGACTCGGACAACTCAGATGGAGAAGTGGGAGAAGGAAGTGGATCTGGTGAGCGTGAGATAGCAGATGATGATGATGAAGATTTAGGCGCTTGAGTGGATTTTGTGCGGATGTAAGATGCTGACAAGCGATCAACGTCGACTCGCCAGTGGTTAATTCATGATCAAGTAATAGCCATGGTGAAATGTAACATTTTCGCTAGTTTTGCAAACCACGATAGAGTCCAATGACACCGGTTTTGATCACTCATGCAAGTAGTAAATCAAACTAGTCGAACGAGTGAGATTTGCCAAACATGTTGGTGGAGGTGAACAGTAAAAATTACTAACTAAACCAGTGACATGCGCCGTGGGACGTGCTCATTTTTGAGATGGTGAATCCAGCAAAAAATGTGGTGTTTAGCACCTTGAAAAATAACCTGTGGGGTGGGTTGTTATAACCAATCCCCAGTGATGTTCAACATATAATGCGGTAGGTTGAACCAGACCAACGGGTGATGATACTGGTGAAATTCACCAGTTCTCGGTTGCATAGTGCTATATTCCACATCACACCAACCAAAATTTTTGACCTGTAACTCGACTGCGAATTTCTTAGGCATTGCCGAGCGGACTCTGAAAGCGGCAGCAGTGAGCTGCTGTGACAAAAGCGTGACCTGACGACTTGTGGGGGTGACGACTCAGCCGTGAGGCATAGTATGGCATGTGAGAATGTGTGTGGGACTAGCTGCCAATAATAAACAATAATAAATATCAATAAATCAAGTATCGCTCTGTCCGGGCTACAGTGACATTCTGCCATCAGTGAACGCTGGAGTCCTTGATATTGTAGCCGTGGGAACTACGTGAGGGCCTGATTATTTTCCTGCCAAAGGTGACCATGTATACTACGAGAAATTTGATTTGTTCATAGCTAGCCATGTATACTTTCCACTATAGACCAGCAAGAGGAGTCTGTGACAAAGTCATAAGATGCTGCCATCGCAAGCAGCAAGGAATGCGAGCGCCCTTTTGTTGTTGTTGTTGAGCAATCTCACTCACACTCATCGATATTTCATAATCAAAGATCATTCAAAACTTTCCAAAGGAAAGTACCTTTAGCACTGACCAGCAAGGATAAATTCATCTGTCAGTTTGTGATGAACTCATCAGATATCACTTTCACAGGCTGCAAGGGACACGAGTGTACTCCTGTTGACGCTGTTGAACATTCTCTGTTGCAATCAATCACGTGTCGGATTATAATGTCATCTAAGACATTCCAAAGCACAGTCACTTTGCCACTGTGAACAGGTGTACATTCACGTGCTGCTTCGCAATGAAATCATTAGGGTGCAGCCACAAACACCAGCATGGACTAATGGCACATTCCTAACAACCTTTCTGAAAATTCTTATTCTGCATGGTTGATATTTTAAATTAAAACATTATCTAGGACCTTCTAGTAAGAAGTGCCTTTGGCCATTGTTAACGCATGTTGAGTAGTATTCAATCTTGTTTCAAAAATGTGACGCTCTGCCACCACTGCGGGTAAGGAACAAGAGCTTACTCCTCCGGACTTTGTTGACTGTTCTCAATGGTTCATTGCTGCTCTCTTCACATGAAGAACAGAACAGGCACCCCAACTGTGGAAGCGAGTCGATCAGTTTGAAACAGGGAATTTCGGTTGTTGTAGGCAGAACCACTGTCAATGAGATGTCCTTGAGAACCTGACAAAAGTGTGGGAAGTCGATTCATGAGTGGTGGTCACAATCTATCCATCAACTGACAACCCGTACTCTGTTAGCTTCTTATAATACTTATCAGCTCCTAGTCTCCACCCCGGATATTTGAAATTATCTTTTGCTGTGCAGGGGATATATACTCCACCCCTGTTCTGATGGACGTCCCACCGGAGAGAATCTAGCACCGATTCCATTCTCGCTAAAAATGAGCGCACTACCAGTATAATGGAAACAGCCGTTGAGCCCTTCAAATGTAATTGTAGACAAAGTTTGATGTAGTAGAGTGATTGCTGCAACAATGAAAAGGATGGACACACGGACAGTGTGCAAATGAAAGGGAGAGTAAAAGCACAAAGATGCAGTTCGTACGATGGGGGTACAGGACAGAGAATGCAAGAAATCACCCTACAACGAACCAGATAGTTGACAGGGAATTTAAAGAATATGATAAAGTGGAGAATAACATAGAACAAATGTGATAGACACAGAATGGGACAGAGGCTATCGACCTGGTTCGTTGCAAGAAGACGGGAGTCGAGGGAGTTATGATGGGCGGAATCGATGGGTGGGGTGATGCATGGACTGACAAGCGGAATGATGCAGATAATGTTGTGGTTTGGCAGGACAACCAGATATGGCAAGGCAGACCTTCCTTGAGAAGGATGACAAGTGGAAAGGAGAGTGGTACAGGACAGTTATGTCACTCGTCTGTTCTTGTATTGAGTATCGGCATGCTGGTGCAAATCCGACTTCTCAGGGTAACTGCTCACCCTACGGTAGATTGTGTGCGGGATGGATGATGGGAAATGAGACGATTGCAGAAAAAGAAAGTGATGCATGGATGATGAGACTTGCAGGGACAATGTGCAGAGTAGCTGAGCATGTAGTGTGGTATTACATTTTGTGAGGGTTGAAACAGTCTTTTCGACACAGATGGAGTTGATGTACGGACCTGCGCGTTATGAGACGGCGGTCATTCATGGTGAGCCATTCAAGTGGTGCAAGGCTGGATGGCCAAAAGTAATGAAGTCATGAGGCAGAAGATGGTCGGGTGGGACCTCCGTGCACTGTTTATTGATGACAAGCTCAAACATTGTTGGAAAAAATTCCTTATCGTCTTCTGATAGGAAGGAGTTTGAGAAGGGTTCGGGGGAGAGCGATGAGGGACTCGTTGGAGTCAGGGAAATCATCAGATAAATCAGAGATGGATGTTGTGGCACTCATAGGTGTGCTGGCACCAGACATTGATGGGGGAGTGGGCATCATCAGAAGAGTAATGAAGGACCACCGGATGAACCGCCCACCCTGGAGGTAGTACTGGACAACAAATGTTGGCGCCTTGGAGTAGAAGGCATAGGTGTACTTTTTACCAGCATCTCTGAAAGGTCATTGACAAGCTTAGCCAAGCGATTATTGACACAATCAATGATTTCCAAACATTCTTCCATTTCCTCAAAGATGTGGCATGGTTTGCCACATAGGAAGAGAGCTAGCATGAGTGCACCAAGTGCTATCGGAGAGGGAGGATATCTAATGAACTCTCGGTGAAACAGAGTAATTTCCATCAGGAAACGGGCAACATGCTGGACCTTTTCTTCCTCCACAGATGGCTCACAGCACATGAGTCTGAGCCATGCTTCTGCAGTCGGATGGCCTAGTGTCCACTGAATGGTCTGGAGTACATGGCCTTCCATCTGAATGAAGGCAGACTCATCATATGTGTCATGACAGATCTGTGCAAGCTCTTGGACTGTCGGAACGCATTCCTTTGCATCCTCGAACTTGGCAGCAATCCACAGTGCCATGCAGCCTACGAGCTGATAGTGCTTGATGTAAACTATTCACTGAGAGACATAATGGTCCACAATATTGAGAGTGAGATATAACATCTCATGTTGGAGTTGGAAGGTGAAGTAAATCTCAATGAGAAAATCGACGAGACATGGGCGCATGTGCCATCGGATCTTGGGTTGCTGATCCATCGACTGTAAGGATGACATGGTATATCGCTATACCAAAAGGATTAGGTCACAAGTAAGCCAATAATGGAAGTCACACAGACCTCCATCTCATGCATGTAGAAACGAATGTCTTCCCGGTATTCCTCCTCCAGGAAAATGCCTTGCCTGCGAAGAGTGGTGATTCAGGCTTGACGTTGTCACTGTTGCAACAGTGCTGCCTTTACAGAACAAGGGGTTTGGCAGATTACAGGAGGACCAAGAGTGGTCATCTTGTGATGCTTTGATATACCTGAAGGTGATGGCCGTTTCTTGGGGTATGCAGCACTTTGAGAACTCCGGTAAGAAGTCATAGAGATATCTTTCATAACTGAAGAAGCGGCTGGGTGAGATCGATCTAGGAAAGCATATGACCGATAGTGGGCTTGAGGGGGGTAATTGAGCAAAGAGAGGAGTAGACTCTGCATCAGAAATGATGTTATCAAACGAGACGGGAGAAGACATGATTAAATGAGTGAGCGCCTCGAGTGCTCACAGGATGAAGGGAGAGAATGGCAACAACTACAAAACGGCCAAACACCGTGTGTTTGTTTATTGTTAATGAAAGGCATTCATTCTGTTGTAGCATGCTGACGTCTAGGGAATGACATTTGGAATGCGCAGTCTCACAACATGATACCACTTGAGATAAGCAAGATCTGGGAAGAGCAGACTCACCAGAGTCAGACACTGATCATGCGAGGGCGAACAACAAAGGGTTGTCGTGATGGCAGTGAAGAGTGGCGTGTGGGTGTAGACTGGATATGAACAAGTCGTGGTCAGCGTTGATGGTCGTAAAGAGTAAAGATAGGGAGATTAAGAGAGGTGCAGCTGGAAATCGTCCGAGTCAGCAACAAACCTGTTTTTTTTGGGGAATGAACTTAACACAGCATATGAAGATAGAAGAGACATTGAAAGTTTTGACAAATGCACCAGTTTCGTGTTTGTAGATGTTGATGGAACTGTTGTACAGACCTGTCACGGTTAGCAGCCATGGCTCAGCAGGGTGGAAATTAGTATCTTTGACTTGGTCGAATTGAGAGAATGATTTTCACTTGTGATGTTTAAGTTAGATTTACGAAGATAGACTGGCTCTGGGACTTACACTAACATCGAATAGCATGGCCTCGGTGTCATTCAGCTCAACCTGGACGGTGTTCAGCACTTGAAGATATTTCTCCACCCATCAAACATGCACGTGCTGTCTGGTAGACGGGTCCGTGGACTTCTAAGTGTGAGACACAATGCTCTCCTCGCTGAAAAAAGGAAATCGCCACTGTCAATTCCATCCCTTGTCAGTATCTAAACATCAGATCATAATCGATAAACGCTTATCCTGTACAATGGGACCTCAGTATGCGGTAAGTGGACCATTGTGATGTCTTATTGTGCATGCTGACTATTGAGTGATGGATCAGCGCTGCTGTAGTATTGATCACACGCAGAAAATAATGGCAGAGAGAAGGGAGAAAGAGAGGGAGATGGAAAGAGAGGAAGAGACAGAGAGGAAAAGGGAGAGGGAGAGGAAAAGGGAGAGGAAAGGGGAGAGGAAAGGGGCGAGGGAGAGGGAGAGGAAATGGGAGAGGGAGAGGGAAAGGGAAAGGGCGGAGACCTCACAGTCACCACAGACTGCAGATAGGGAAGGGAGAAGGTTGGGCATCGTGTTAAGGTGGTGGCGTAGGTTGTCGAATGTGTTGAGATTGGGGAGAACTTGATGGTAAGCATCCAATGAAAATGCAAAAGCATCTCAAAACCAAGCAGTAGTCACTTAAGTTGATCTATCACGATCTCTTTTCCACTGATCAGGCCTATACATGTGTACAAGCTCTCTTCACTTTCTTGATCTCCTGCCTGGAGTAGACCTGAACGCTTAGGCAGTGATAAATTTTAAGAGGAATAATATATCCAGCTACATTTGGGGTTAGCTTCGGGAATGATGGTACTGCAACATGGGATGCAGAGGGGTGAAAACATTGTGAGTTGGACCACTGGACTGTGCTGTGAGATATTTCAGAGTTTGGATGTTATCTACGAGATGGGGATCATAGCCACCTGGAAGATAGTCAGTGACTAATGCATACAACAACTTGCACCTGACCGATCAGTAAGAACCAGCCTCGGCCTCACGTCTAACAGGTCTCTGCAGGATTGCAAATGATTCTATTGTCAAAGCAACATTCTTCATCTCAAACCAGTTGAGAATAATGTTCACCATTGTCTGCACTGAGAGTCTTTGAATTATGCACACAGGGAAAACAAAAAACTTGAGAGGCGACCTGAAGTATCAGGATCCGATGTGTCAATTGGTCTTCATGAGGAGCGAGATGCTACATGCTGCAAATAATCGCTTCCAGATAGACACATCACCCTGCCCATGGGATGATGAGGATAACACATGCACACATAAAGCGAACATCACTTGCCCTCTAGTCATTCCACTCTGGTTGTAAATGTTAGGGTACAGATGTTGCGGGCCTCGGTGAATGTGGTCACTGTCATCGCAAATGGAGTTAAAGATCTCATGGTATTTGTAAAAGTATGTCCTGGCCACAAGGGTTATAGCTTTTTCGTGCTCAAAATTAAACAAGCTCTGAGCAGGTGTCGTCACACTCTCGACTCACCAATCTGGAGTACACATCTAGTGCCTTGGGTATCTCCAACAACGCAGTTAAAAATTTGTTTGGCAGAGGTAGAGTCTGCATATGATGAGATCAGAGAGCGAATGCTTGAGGTCAGTACTCACATGACATCCAAACAACTGACATTTGCGTCTTTCCTCGCTGCTTACAGTTATCATGTTCATGTCCTCCAAATCCACGACACCTGTGAGAACCAGTTCAAGACCAATCAACAAGTACAAGAACATCCAACTTACAGTGCACATGCGTAAGTGACGAATAGTCCAGTGCACGATCGCTGGACCAGCCATCCTAGAGTGACCTACCAGCACAAATCTCGAGCTTGTATCCTCTGGCACCGTCTTGCTCTTATTGTGCCAACTTTCTCTTTCTCCTTTCCTTTATCTTTTCCACCATCCACATCCTTCTGCTTCGTCCCCATCCCAGCGCCAAGTGTTTCGCACACTGCCAACGTCTCTATAGCATGTGCAGTGCCATATACAAATACTGTGTGCTCACTTGCACGAGAAGCAACGTGCAGAAATAATTCTCGCCTGCTAATGTCCATAAAGAAATGGCAGATTCCAGGTGCAATCTGTGCCAGAAATCAATTCGTAAGTACAAGTCGATTGTTCATTTCTTGGCGTGAAATGAGAGAGAAGCAAAACTTACGTTCAATGTTCTCTCTTGCAGTATTCAGAATATTGATCAATGCTTCGGCCCAGAGCGTTCTCTTTGGGTTTCTATCTACTGCATCCCATTTTGCAGTGGTGCTGATGAGAAATGTAAGCGGGAGAAGTATGCACAGGTGGGTGGCATGGTCCATTAGGGAAGAGTGCAGTAAGTGGGGAGAAACGTGAAAGAAAAACAGAAGGCATTCCTGGACAATACCATCCAAACCCGCAATGTTTTCAAACCCGACAAAGCCACGTTCGTTTTGGTTCACAAACTAAAACTTATCAGTATGAGGGACGTGCAAATACAACTTGCCTAGCTGTACATCCCCATCTAGAAATGAGTCATCCAGCAGAATGGTGGCGACACAAGTATTACACCACAAGTCCATCAATATCCTTTATGGAAGCTGCATACCAATCCTTAATTTGTTGACTGGGGAAGCGGGTGGCATCTATGCCCCCGACTTGCCTCAACTTCGAACAACATAGAGTTGCAATGAAGCAGGAGATATTTCTAATGCATTTTTCACACTGGTTGTCATCAACATGGAAGGGGATAAAGCGGGAATACTGCAGGCAAGACAGCATCTCCTCCATAAAGTCGATAAATACTGGATGCATCAATGGAACACAGAATGTTCGAGATTTGTTCACGTTCACCTGCACCTAATTAGAAAACGAAACATCAGCGTGAGGGGCATGTGAATACAATCCACCTACCTGTAAGTCCCCAGATAGAAATGAGCCGTCCAGCAGCATGGTAGTGACAACATTGTCACACTGCAAGTCCATCTGTGCCTTGCTCTTGGCTAGGTCAAAGGTCAACTGGAACCTGGTAATAATGAGATTGTCAATTCACTCCGTAAAGTCGCGGTGGAGCATTGTGATAGTGCCCTTCAATTGTTTGATCTGGTTTTTGCCATCACCCATTGACTTCCAGCTGGTAATGTCCTCTACATTTTTCATCAGTGAGTTGTGAAATAAAGATACAGTACAGAAGACATACTGTTTGCATGGCAAGTGACGACAGCATTCAGAGCATCCGTGGCCCATTTTGTAAGTTCTGTCGTGCTAGGAAAAAAAACCATGCTCAAAAATAGAGCTTATCATCTCCGTTCTAGCTTCTTCCTGCACCTGTATGAGTAAAGCCTGCAACACTAAGACAATTCGGTTTAGTGTCACTGCCTTGGACTTTCTTCTTGAGCCGCTGTGCATTGACAAGCCACCTCAACAAGTCTGCCATTGAAGATCAGACCCATCTTTGGAGTCTCGAAATACCAATGGCAGCAACAGCGGCCCCATTGGTGAATGAAAGTCGCTACTTCCCCGTAGGCATCTGACTTTGAAAAGGACTAGCTTGACTCTGAGCTGCTGAACTGATGAGACATGAGTACTAGGAGTAAGGATTTCAATCCATCATGATGTTAAATGTAGCTGTACATACCTTTGTAGACCTGTGAGGAAGGGGTCGCGGTGATGATGGAGTGGGAAAAAGACGGCTGTTACTGTGGCGGCCAGTCCAGGGTTTACACTATGATGGTCACTGCATGCAAATGATGTGGTCACTGATCACGATTGCCATGGCAGGCTGGTAAAGCCTGAGACTATCATAGTACCTGTGCCAGACCCAATACAGATTTGACTGTATCTTTCAAGTTAGTCATTTCCTACCTCAAGTTCTATTTCACCCCGATAGAACGTGAGTACTAGGAGTAGCAACCCATTATCATCATGATGTTCAAAGTAACATACCTTTCGGTAGACCTGCAAGGCCCTCAGGCTGTCGGCCCAGGTCGCGGCGATGATGGAGTGGGAAAAACAGTTTTGTAGAACCTTGTGCATTCACTAGCATGTCAAATTATAAGAGTCTATACACAATAGCATCGCGCGACAACAATTTGAACTGATGGAAAGGATGTACATCATCATGATGCAGTGCGATGTAGTGTAACAATTGATAAGAACCAAACATTAACAAACATAACAATATTGTGACAACAAGCACAGTATCATATTACTATGATAATCACAGCATAACAAATCAGATACAACTTGAATCAGTACTACTTTGATAGTCAAACCATCGCATTGTGCATTGGCAGTTGCAAAAAAAATAGAAAGACTCAATCCTTTGTGCAACGGAGAGAATTCATTTAAAAAGAGAGGAGGTCATCAAATACATCTTCATCGTCCTCTCTGTCTCCCTCCAAGTCTGGTTTGCTTTCATCTTCTACTAGTGCCTCATCACTAAACTCATCCGAATCATCCCCTTCATCATGTCCATCATGGTACACTTTGTTACCTTCACTATTGATGACCTCTCCATGGTCATCATCGCCTACAACATCCATGGCATTGGCTGGTGTCACTAACTCAGAGCTGAAACAGTCTCTGACAATTCTTCGCAGCGCTACCGGATGTCCAACACCAAAGCCAGTATAGCACATGAACATGTCACGATCAACAAATCCAATTCATGTCGACTGTTAGTAATGTACCATAAAAAGGAATACACAAACTGACATTCCAATGTAATGTTCTTCCCAGTCATCTAGCTCCCCCCCTGGACACGCCAATGATGTCCCATAGCGAAGTGAGCTCATGCCGCATCCTGAAGCAAATGTGGGTATCAAATGAGCTCCTCAAACTACTTGCTGTGGATCGAGAAACCCAAATGCATCCAGGTCACATTCCTCCACAAACGCAACTTTTGGAAGACATGCATGTTTCATACTGGAATGGTGATTGTGCAATGGTGCCAGCCACCTGACCCATAGAACATCAAGGTACTGTTTCACGGGTTGACCTCCGTCGTTGATCCATTTTTCCATGTGAAAAATACCTAATATGCAGGCATACCAGTATGGATGGAAAGGTGCAGTTTCACCTGAAAGCACCATAACATCGGCGTGAGTTCTAGGGTTAATGGTGTCGTACTCTCGCCTGAGGTCGTACGTGGTGTAGTATACCTGCATTGTGTAGACAGAGTAGATCGTATTGTTGGGAATAATCACAGAATTGTGTTCCTTGTCTGTGAATGTATGGTCACAATAACTGAAGTCCAGCTGTTGCAGCTGGTAAAGGATATGGTCCTTGAGTTTTGGTAGGAAATTCTGACAACTGCTGTAAGTAAAAAGTAAGGTCCCTGCCAAGAATCAAGCCTACCTTAACTGCCGGATCACCATCATATTCTCGAAGGAATGCGAATATATTGACAGGATTGCTCTGGCTAGTGGCGATATGGTGATGCTTTCCGCAGGATGCTGTGAGGGGGGCATCAATGGACGACTGACTATCAGGGGAGGCTGTGTCTCCTGCATCTGCTATCCGTTGAAGTACACAGTGCCTGCGCTCATGCTTAGCTAACTGCGCCGGGGTGTCTAATTTACTAGTCAGTGGATAGAACACCTTTAGAGCTCTATGTGCAAGCTCCCCCTGACAAAACTTAAATTAAGGCGGAAAAGTGGAATGAGGTACTTGCCATTGAGTTGTGAATGAATCTGTGCTCCCAAAGAACCTGATGGTTCTTGCATAATCTCCCATCACATGAAACTTGTAGGTGTTCAGATTAAATCTCTTTACCTTCGCCCTGCTTGATTCCAGAGAGGCTGTATTGATTTCAGAACGCCGTGCAAACCTTCCTTGGCGAGCTCTTCGCTCTTTGGTAACTCCATGGTATCGAAGGAAGCACAGATAGCATGCTGAAACTTGCATAACTGCTGAGATAGCCTCTTAAAAGTCTCTTCAAGAAAAATGACAGTTGATTCCACGTGAATTCTAAGTTTTGCGAGCGTGTGCCACTGCGCAAATTGGTACAACAGAGATTGCACGACCGCATCATGTTCAACGGGAAACAGCCCCTCAAAACCTGGAATGGCACACTAATGAACGAGAATGTGTCAGCGAGCCTGATACAGACAAATGAATAATGGAAGAAAAACCTGCAAGATGTCTTCAAAATCATGCACTGCCAATTTTCTTCATCTCAGAGGTGTTATTCGCAAACTTTTGAATAACACCATTACTGAAAGTGGGAATCTGGCAAAACCTATGGTGAAAATGAGAGTCGAGGATCCATCAGTAGGTAAACAATAGCACTCTAAATAGACTCCATGTACCTGGTGTCAAGTTTGGCGACCCACTGATCGCCACCAGGAAGGGCGTAAAGAAGCCTAATAAGGTGGCTGAACAGCGCCTTCCAAGTACCCAATTCGCATTTGTGCATGAAATCAACGACAAGCATGTGGAATGGGTCAAGGCCAAGTGGGACAAGCTTCTCGGCAAATCAATTCTGCAAATGGCTGGTTTGAGATGATCACAAATTGTAAAGAAACATTCATGCTTACGATGGTAGGTACCCACGAACCCTCTCCAAGAATGTGTCCGACCTTGGAACTGTCGACAGTATTTCCCTCCTTGTAAATATACTTGTGAGCCTTGACGATGGTCACCATAACATATACCCGGAGTTTTGTTATACAATTTTTCATGTCTTTCCGTAGTCCAATGAGCTTTTTGGTATAACACAGCAAGGGCATGCACATAATCCCATATCCTTGATGGCTGCAATTAAAACCCTTCAAAATCATGAGTGATCTGATGAATTTCATCAAGGAGGAACATGACTTCTCAGGATAATCAGCTGAATACGTAAAACTTTGGGGGAATACTCTCCGCAAGACTCCATCGGCACATCTTAGAATGATACCATGGTGATATGCAGCAAGAAGCTCTTCGTCAAGCAGAATTCCCCAACATGCGTGAAACAACTCACTGCAGCAGTGAGTATGAAGCGACACCATACCAGTCTTTGATATGCGAGACATGCTACTCAGAGTATCTTTGACCTTGTCAGGAAGCTGGGCAATTGATGTCAATCACACTACACAACTTAGGTATCCAATAAGTAGATAGTACTCACCGAGGGGAAAAATCCTACTAGGTGACATGCTCCAGATTGAGGCAAAGATCGAGTATATTTCGATAAATTTCCAAAATACAGATAAAGCGGCCAAGCCTTCGCAGTTCCAAAAATTGCCAGGTGAGTCGCGTCAGAAAAGAACATGAGACCTGCTATGATACGTTCCAGTGAGCAACCAGGCTCCTTTGGAAGCTTCTGGAGATTGTCTTGAGCCTCCAGCCATGCGTCAGATGCGTAGAGTTCATCATATATTCATTCCTGGTGCTCATCCAAAGGATACTTCCATAGGTGTTTAAAAGGCAAGAGATGGAACGCGCCTGCTTGGACATCTGCGAATTACATTAACGAGAGACCAATAATGGAAACCAGTAATAGTGTATGCCTTGGGCACTTCCTCCCTTGACTTCGTCGGGATGTCGATGGTGACAGAAGTCTCAATCCAATCATCAGGGAAAACGACTTTCCCCCCATTCTCATCCGCATCCAATTCCCGCTGGCTCCTCTTTACCGAGAACCCTTCAAGATGTCTGGCATCGAAATCATCGGCCTGGATGACTTCTTTGATGAGGTGCTGGACCTCAGCTTCCAATTTCTGATGACTACCTGAATTCATCCAGGTCATGAGGCAATAAGTTGTCATGTTGGAAAAAGGGTAGGGTGGCAGAAGTATCACCAGGGAATCAGTTCCCTGAACTGTTGGACATGACCTTGCAAGTAACGATGAAGGAATGAAGTTATTAGGCTCGAAGGAAGGATGATGAGGATATAAGTGGCAGAGTCCAAACAAGTTGAATGCAGTCTGGAGGGTGTCTCTTAGTGTCAAAAGGATGTGTCGGATTCTGGATTGGGCTGGAAGGGACGCGTCATCGTCATCATCACAACCATCAAGATCCTCAGTCGAACGCTCGATATCATTGAAAGACCTCGGAATACGTCTCTTAGGAAGTGCGGTGTAGAGACTCGCGTTTCTGCAGGCTCATATGGGCTCATTTTACGAATTCTGACAACTGGCATTTCATGGCACAACTTGCACCATCATCTACTATGACTTCCACCATCATGCGCACCACTTCCCATGAAACGCGCCATAGGCGCACTACTTTCCCGCACTATGCGCAGTATTCCTGCATGCGCGCCATGCGCGCTTTCTCGTGCTTAAGTGCACTGTGTCACGCATCATCCAGGAGCATCCATCCATTGTCCAACCAGTCCCTTGGTATGTCCCTTTTCGTTATCTGACCATATTTAGCACATTACACTTCCTATTTTGTCATGGACCCTTACTTTACATCACTCTACCTCATTTACATACTTAGAGCGCTCCCTATTTGGCTCCGAGCCCTGGGAGAGCGCTTAGGTAGAACTTACATACTCTCATGTTCGTTTTACACCCAAACTTTACCACCAGCTTCCTACCACTGAGTATCTATCACCAGTTAGTTCCATGCAATGCATGTATCCATCATCATCTTGAGGCCCTAGCATCAGTCTATAGCTAGTGGCACCATCAGTATCCATCTAGATCTGTGCTTTTCCTCATATCAGTCTCAGTATACATCTTTTACACCTGTGCACCGCTTGCACTACCTTCCCGCACTCCGCGCACTTTTGCACTTCGCTTTCCCGCGTGCGCCTTCAGCGCATTTCTTGTGCTTTCAACGCCATTCACCAGGGTTGTTCAGCATCATTCCGTGGATCCTTGCTTTCCTTGCTTCCCCTTTAGGGTCGAACATTCTTGCATTCTGCGAGTATAGCAGCTAGGCAGAGCTGAGACTCACTTATACTGGCTGAGCACTTTTCTTATATGTGCCTGCCAGGTTGTGATACCCACAGCGGGTTCATCTGAAACAGTGGAGTGATGTAAGGCATCATGATCGTGGTCAAATCCATCCCCAAAATCAAGGCTCTCCAGATCCATTGCAACATCAGCATCATTTTGCACCTTTTTCAAGTCTAAGTCGTTGAAGAGGTGCTGCGACTCAGATATTACGAGACTAGGGTCATCAAATGATATATGAGCCACTGTGCCAGAGCTACTATGCCAGAGCTACTGGGACCTGCAAGGGGCAATTGGTCATGCATGGGCCCTTACTACATACCCTGGCCTGGGTCTCATAGGTACTAAGATAGACTATCGACATAAGAACATTAGACTAGTAGGCAAATAGTATATCAGCTCGGACTGACTTGTGATGTGTTCCTTGACTGTGTTTGGAACTAGTAAATTTGTTGCATCTCTGGCCCATTGTAGTCTCCTCTGGCTTGCAATGATGCTTGACCTCTTGAAAAACTGCATGTTGCGCAGTGCCGATTAAGTCCTCGACTGTCGGTTGCCTCTCCCAAGAGCAACCTCGAGCTCCACAAGATACTGTTGAAATACCCACGAGCAGGATCCAGAGCATTTCTAAGATCCACATGAACTTGAAGTTGGCTTGCAGCTACCACATAGCTTCAATTCAGGACACCCACAGCGATTCTTCCATTTGAAGTTGAAATGTCAAATTCTGTGACAGGAAACTAGTAACTACTGTCAGATGACTGGTCACAACTCTGACAAGCTGGTTGCTGTTTCCCCTTTTTGATGTACCTCAAAATGGGTAGTTACTCTATCAATCAACTTCCAAATCCACTATACATCAAAATTGGCACCAGACTACCAATACTTGATCAAGCTCGAGGACTTCGTGTACCATTTAGTACTCTCGTACTCTCAAGCATGTGTTCATGTGGATCTTTCTCATGAGCCATACTCTGACTCGAAGTTATATGGCTCAAGAACCTTTTCATGACTTTTTCAAGTGAGTATCTGAGTGAAACGCCCAAAACCCATTTTAAAAACTGTGTCATAAAAGCACCTCAGAATTTCAAACTCAGCCACACTGTCTCCAGTCCACAACTCAAAGGTATGACTACTGTTCAAGTTCCTCCTCAAAGCATTGTCAGGCAGTCTCGTCCTGACTATGAAGGCCCAAGCAAGGGCAGAGTTAATACCCCTTTGAATGACCATGAACAAGATTTCCATTCGGCTATTACCAATAGGACGACTCATCATCATGCGTGTCATACTGTCACCTCACCAACTAAACACACCAAACACTGTGCAAGATCACTGTCATTATCTGATACTAGTCCCTATGATTCATCTGATGATGACATAAATGCACCTGTGACACTTCAGTCACCCCTCTTAAAGTACCTCTTAGGTACATATATTCTGGCTTACAATCTCACCTAAGAGGCATGATCTTAGACGGTATTCCCATGCAATGCAGGTTGTATCCCGGGCCAATTCAACACTTTCCCCACGAAGCCTGGGCCTGCTGGGCCAATGTATTTGATCTGTCCCATGACCCATCTGGGTCATCCTAAATACTTTATTATATGAATACACAGGGGGTGTCAGGGGTCATTTCTCATGAAAAATTACCCACACATTCAGACACTTAGAGTATAATGTAAGCTGGATAAGGTCCTTGACCTATGAAATTCAAAGCAGCTGGAGGAGGGGGGTTATCTTTGGAGATGAGGGAAGAATGTAAGTCGGATAATGTCTTGACCTATGAAATTCAAAGCAGCTGGAGGAGGCGGGAAGAAATTTGTGGTAGCAGGGGGGGTTGTCTTCAAAGATGAGTGAAGAGTGTAAGTCGGGTAAGGTCCTATTTGTGGTAGATGGGGGGGTTGTCTTTGAAGATGAGGGAAGAATGTAAGTTGGGTAAGGTTCTTGACCTATGAAATTCAAAGCGGCTGGAGGAGGCGGAAAGAAATTTGTGGTAGGAGGGGGGTTGTCTTGAAAGATGAGGGAAGAATGTAAGTCAGGCAAGGTCCTATTTGTGGTAGACGGAGGGGTTGTCTTTGAAGATAAGGGAAGAATGTAAGTCAGGTAAGGTCCTTGACCTAGAAATCCTTCTTGACTCTGCCCTCACTCCAGATACTGACATATTTTACACTCTACCTAGTTAATTTGCACAATTGGAACATGCCCTGCACCATAATACTCCAGGTTTTATTGGAGTAAGTGTCATCACATATTACTTTGGATGCAAGCATGAAAGCGGAAACAAAAAGACAGTGACTGGTCAATGCGGGATAGCCCACCGCTGGTTTATAAGGTGACTGGGCCAGCCCAGCACTCTCCTACGCATGATGTGGGCTAGCCCACCGCTGGTTTATAAGATGACTGGGCTAGCCCGGCACTCTCCTACACATGACATGGGCTAGCCCACTGCTGGTTTATATAGTGACTGGGCTGGCCCAGTCCAAATGTTATTACTTGTTTGTCACTATTTTTCCACATTCTATAAAAGTTCTGTACAGTTTTTCTTCTCTCTTTCTTCTACATTCTATTTTGCAACATCCACATCCAGTATTAGGCCTTCAATTGTTCTCTCTCCTTTCTTTACTATTTCACTAGGTTGCTCATCTGGGTCAGTACTTACTCCTAAGCCTCTCTACTTTAACTAACTCATTTTTTATTGTAATATTCCCAGTGGTGACTTGCTCTTGCAAATCTGACACTAGTTTAGCAGCACATTCCATGGTTCACCAATGATCTCTCAATTTCCTGACCTATGATTTCATCAATCGCTGGTTCTTAATTGTCCTCATCCTCCTTATCATCATGGTCATTCTCTATGGAAGCTACATTCTTTATCTTCAATGCACAACTACCAATAGGTTAAATGCCCTTGGGCTTCAACCCATCACCACTCCTCTTCCATGGACTAGATCACCAAGCCCTCCTGTTCTTGTCGCTTAACCTCATACAATATCCAAGTGCAGGACTTTTATGTTAGTACTCCACTATCCCTTCTTACCCAACTGCCTGATAGGTGTGATATGGGTTAGCTTCTTACTTGTTCAATATTCAAGGGACAGTCTATTATACACAGTGGGATAGCCCATCACTAATTTCATATGCAGGGTCAGCCCAATACAAGCCCTTATACACAGTGGGGTAGCCCATTGGTATTCATACATAGTACAGGTCAGCCCAATACGAGCCCTGGGCTGGCCCACCGCATATTATGTACATAGACACTGGGCTGACCCACTGCATATATATATATCTTTAACATACCACCAGGGATAGCCCATCACTACTTACATACATATGGGTCAGCCCAATACAAGCCCTGGGATGGCCCACTGCATATATATATAGCTTCAACATACCACCAGGGATAGCCCACTTACCATCAATTGATCCTTGGGATGACCCAGCAACCCAATCTATATATAAGTGAGATAGTTCATTATTCTTAATTTATTAAGTGGGATAGCCATAATGACCTAAATTTACACATATGAAAACTCCCCAATGCTGACATTATCTTTCGAGTGCCCATTGTGCACCACAGTTTGGGACCACAAAACACATAGTCATTCAAGTTATCATACACAAGTACATACACAATAGTTCGAGTGATATGAAACATTAGTCATGGTAAATGAAATCACGATCATATGAATCATACCCAGGAGCCGGAGTGTTCCTGCCATAATCAGATCTCTCACGTGGCCTTGCAACCACTCTCGAAGGGCCTGCAGCCAAAAAATCATGGCGATGATGATGGGCAACATTATGCCCATAGGAATGAAGATGATGCAGAGACACCTGCTGTACCTCATCATCCCAGTGCTGACGTGGTTTGTAGTCAGGTGTAGGTGCACGAGGGCGAGGGCGAGGTTGAAGTTGAAGTTGAGGATGAGCAGGGACAAAGTGCAGAGGTGGCAATTCAACATGTGGTGCACCATCACAATGACGTACAACCTGAAAATTGAATTGAATGAGATAATGATAGAAGATATTAGTCTTCAGCTCACCTTTGACTTCTTCCTGATACGAGAGTCTGATGCATCAAAGCTATCAGCCTCAGATTCAAGTTGTTGATCTGCTGAATGCTCGATTAGAAGAGAATCTGCAAGTAATTAATGGACTTGCCAAAATCCTCTGCATGTGGTCGCTTGCAAGACTTCTGCAGCTGAAACCCCGATGGGCAGCGTTCTGGATGGGGCAGACCATCATCAGTGTAGTGGTCCTCATGAACAATAGAATATTCACAAGCAGTGGAGGTCTGTTGTTGAGACCGGCAATCCCGAGTAGTATCTCCAAGCTGCCTCCCTCCCGAAGGAGCGCCAACATTTGAACCACATATTGATGTTGCTTCCTTGTACTTTGAAGCAACCCTCTGGGGATGCACTGCTTGAATTTTTCGGAGTCTGCAAGTTTCCGGAGAATGATGTGGGAAGTGCTGGTGACCAAAGGAATGTCAAACATTTTAGCATCGTCCTTTTCACATTGCTCGATGTGATCTGCAGCAACAACATTAGACATGAAAATGAACAGGGCAATAAGTACCTTTCGGCCAAGAAACAATATCAATCTCGGACACAGCGACATCCAACTCGTCAATGATATCATCAAGAGTTTTATTGCTGCGTCCTTGCTTGCGCTGAAGTTTGAGTAAGTTCTCAGCTTCTGTCTTCAGTTTGGCGTCATAATATTGTGAAGCCCTGCGCTTGATGTAAGGTACAACGAGTAACTTCAGGTATTGTGTGCTGAGGGTGTGGTAATTGAAGTCTGGGCCAACCAGGGGAACTTCGTCAGGCCAGAGTTCGAATTGGAACTTGTTCTGGTATGCAACGTCAAGTAGCTTCTGCCACTGGACGGACTTTGTTTATAGCTGAATTGTTCTGGTGAATAGACTTGAAATCGAGTCATGGACGGGGATAAGTTGAGCTTACCTAGTTTCTCAAGCACCATGACCGACCAGATACGTCGGTAACAGTCCTGCGGGGCTTCACCAGGCTTCGAAAATAAAATATCATAAGCTCCTCCAAACTGCGGCATTGCGAGCTGGTAGTTTTTTGCCCTGGACACATTGTAAGATTAAACTCAGAGTAGTTTCAAGCTACGTACTTCGCTGCAGTAATAATCCAATCTAATGCAAGTTGGGCGTCCACTTGGCGTTCATTGGTGAGATCCATGAACGTGGATGAGCCTGCGACAAAACCCGAGGCCTGTCGGGCTGCCTCATCAGGAGTCGAATCAAAGACACAGCCAATGACCTCAATGCCTTCTAGGTGAGAATAAGCTGCAAACTATGCAACAGTAAGCCATAATACAAACAAGTACTGTCAAAATAATTACACGCTTAGCGAGTGCGTCCCTTGTAGACATAATGATACTGGCACGTGATCGATTGTTATTAGCACCGCCCAAGTGACAATCATAGTGCATTTGTATGTCATCCCACAGAGGGTCACTGTCTCTTTCTCCAATCAACAAGTTCTACCAGAGGATATTGGTTATTATGGGCACCACAACATGAAATAAAAACTCACCTTCATCCGTTTCTCGAGGATATTTTCCTTTGTACCATCCTTGGTGCATGTTCCATGGGGTCTCGGCCCTGGAGTGTTTCACAGACAACCCAGCCTCGATGAGTATTGTACATGCAGATTTTCCATATTTGTGCCAAATTATCTTGGCAGCGTGAAGCGTCTTGCGCCCGAGCTCCTGCGCGTTGCCTATGCCTTCCTGGCACAGCCGCCCAGGTCTAGAAGTGACGGGAAGGTCGTCATTGTCATCATCAGTCTCCATTGCCATGGAGCTTTTCGGCAGAGCACTGGAGACAGCACTCTTCTCGACCAACTTCGTCATCACATGCCTGGCAGCCTGGAGTACCTGGGTGGTCAAGGAAGTCTCTGTTACTGTTGATTTTGGGGGGAGAGCTTTTGGAGGCGTGCGCTTCTTGGGCAACTTCGCCTTTGATGGAGGCGCAGGTAAGTTGTTGTTGTTGTTGTTGTTGTTGTTGTTGTTGTTGTTGTTGTTGTTGTTGTTGTTGTTGTTGTTGTTGTTGTTGTTGTTGTTGTTGTTGTTGTTGTTGTTGTTGTTGTTGTTGTTGTCATCGTCGTTGTCTTCTTCTTCTTTTTCTTTGTCGGCTTCTTGATCTTCTTTGTATTCATCATCATCTTCGTCAGACTCCTCTTCCAAAGAGGAAGGATCATGCTGAACAAGCATTGCACGGTGTTCAGCCCGACTCCTTGCTTGTCGATTTCGGTACAGCTAGTTGTTCTCCGAGGAAGGGGTGCCATCGAAGGAAGAGCCTTCATCCTCTGGAGTATCAGAGGGGGGTAAGGATTCTAGGAGATGAAAAAAGGACTATTAGTGAAAAGAATTGATGGGAGACGGTGGTACCTACCATGAATTTTGGTATCATCTACAGGATTGCCCTTGTCAGACTCAGCGTCAGTGCGGAGCTCTGTGGTAGCAACGGAGGATTTCGCGCACTGGGCAAGGATGGCACTGTAGTCATCGAAGTTCAGGAACGAGTTCCCCCTCAGCAAGGGGGTAGGTTTGATTTTTTTTGGCGGGTGGTTGTGTCTTAGTCTGATGCTTTCAAAGACGACAAATATCAATGTCTTGTGATAAATAAAATAAAAATAAAAATAAATGTACCATGTGTTGGTTGATAGGCACACCACTGCGGGTACGCATCACGAAGTCGACGACTGGAGTTTCCATCCGCAGGTTAGCGCCCTTTTTGGTGGAAGAAGTTTTTTTGGGAGGCATGGCAGAGGGAGCTTGAAGAACATGAAGTCCTTTTCAGCGGCCAAGAAGACACGAAGTCTCACAAACAGCGAATGCAAGTAAAAACTGATGTAGGAGTAAGTTAGAACAGTATACAAGCGTGATGGAGAATTCTAACCTATCTGACTTTTCAAGCAAATTCTCAAGACGAGAAGGAAAATACTGTAGTGAGAATGATGTTGAGTGACAGAGAGTTGATGGTGAGAAATTTGAGCATACCTGGTTTTTAAAGGTAGGAACAGGGCGCCTATGGTGTACTATAATATCGTCAGCTGGACGACGAACAAACTTCGCCAGAAGAGTCCAATACTCTAATGGTGTGGCTTCCCAGATGGCAGATATATGACACACAGATCGCATTTGGAACGGGTGAGGCCATCCATGGACACAGCTGTGGGTGGACACTAATTAATGAAGAATTAACAGAAACCGCAGGTTGGACTAACCTGATAGGGCCGGATCGTCAGTAGGGACCGCAATGACAAGTGTCACCAATATAGGAGAGCCTGAGCGTAGATGGATGGCGCATCATTAAATGTGAGTCTCCAAGGAAATCTCTTTGAGCGCGTGGGGCCGCCTACCAAGCTATCGGCTTGAAGTGAAGGCTTAACAGCATCGCAAGCGGAAAGTCCTGTCAATCACATTTTAATAGTCTGAGGAGCAACATGCAAGACGGGATGATGTGCACTGACAGGTTTGTACCCAGCTGGATTGCTTGATATCTATTATCAGACACCATGGTCGACAAATGATAACACTCTCACCTAATATGGCTGATATTCAATGACCCTGTGAGGAATGGGCATGAGCATTGCAGACTGCATCTAATTCAAGAGTGATAATGGGCGCTGATGATTAGATGTGAGCTAGACAATTAAGAATGGTTCTACACACCTGTATGTAGACCATGTCTGATCCTTCGCCTTCAACAGACACCGATCAACGGTTGTGCCAGGAAATACCGGAACACAAGTTGAGCGCAAGAAGATGAAAAGCAAACTATGACTTAGCTACCAGACAGTGTCGACAATAGCACCCAATGACATCTGCTATCACAAAGGCAGGAGCTCCAAGAGACTGATGGGAGTGTCGAAGCAAATGGAGATGGTAAGCTGGACATCGGAGGACAGTGGCAGATTGAGTAGTAGTAACAGTGCTGACACAAAGTCACTTCCAATAGTGTGAGCTACCGCGAAGGCAGCTTCAGAGGAGTTGAGGTGCAGAGTAGTGCTGGAATAGAGAGGAGGAAGGTCACTGGCATAGTTGGCTGAGGTTTTCGAATGTTTGTTCTAACACTTCTCACTTCACAAGTCTCACAAGTTGGTCACAAACCCATTTGGGTTATCCCAGGGCGTAATCCGAACACTTTGCGCCTTTACTTACCTTTTACCCTTTACCTTTTCTTGTTCTCTTTCCAACTCTTCCATCTCCTCCCATCTCATCATTGCTGCTGACTATTCTGCCTTCGTGTTACTGTGCAATAGCACTCGCTACTCTAACTTCAGTTACAGTATTACTCTTCAACACATTCACTGGCAGATTCCTTCAAGTCTTAGCTTGCACTTACTGTGCCTTTGTTGGTTCATCGCTCGATCACTCACTCTCATCAGATAGTCACCTTTCTGTTATTTGCAGTTCCTCTGACAATGCCTCTGACAATACCTCGTGAATTTAAACCATTCTTATGCGATGGTGACAGTAAGTGCCCTTAGTGATTGTCCTGTGATCCTCCTCTAATTTTGATATAGATGCTATTACAGCTACAGACACACGCTCTCTTGCCTATGATGGTCAACTCGTTTTCACTTTGCCTAACATGACTTTCATTCCCCAACTATACGACAATCCCTCCAATATCATGCAAGCAAGGGCGGATGGGAAGTTTTGGGTGATGGATCCTTTCCAGTGGCCTCAAATGTAAGCAGACACTTACACCTGGAGTTTTACCATTCCGCGATGTGAATTCCATGAGCCCGGCACTGACCTGTGGTATGCTTGGTGGTTGCCAGCTTTTTCTGATGATTTTGAGCCATTATCTCCTGGTCATGTCTTTGGCAAGCTGAAGTCCACCCACCGTGATCACCTATTTCGACTCTACGAACAGGCTAACAAGCGTGTCGGTTCCTACAAGCTATTCCAAGAAAACAAGCAAGACACAGTTGTTGGATGGGTCACTGGGTTGCGCTCTGTTTTTGAGCACTTTAAAGAGACGCGGTGAGGGCGAGGAATGATAGCTGCGTGCTAGGGGGAAGAGTGGGAAGTGGGCTCTCAAGTGCTCCTCTGGATACGAGTGGAAAATCGTCCCAAGGGGATTGCGACTGAGAAAGATTCCTCTATAGAAAGGTGAGGGGGATCTTTAACCAGCAGTTCGGCCTCTAAGCCTGGAGGGGACACTAAGGCAAGTAATATACCCAAAAGCGAAGAGCGCTAGCTAAAAGCGCCTAAATGCGCTGATAAGGCGGAAAGTGCGGAAAAGCGCGCTTCAATACCAAGGCGCTCTTCGTGCGATCACAGCGGAGTGCTTCGAGTAGAGGCGACAATCAAAATGGGAGAATCAGGGCTTTGATAGATGTAGAAATAGACACTTAAAGGTGTCAAAGCGCCAATTAGATGGAAACAAGTGTCTTCTGCTAGAAACTTCAACTATCCACTTTCTGATGGTAGTCGAGCGGGGGTGAGTCCCAGAAAAATGAACATGCTGACGTGTAAGTATGCTAAGCAAGTTCCCAGGCCTCGGAACCGAGTAGGGAGCACTAAGGTAGGTGATGAGGTAAGTCAGGGTCCATAATGTAACATAGTGATAAGTACAAGTGCCTGTGTGATGCCATATGAGTTCTAGTGAAAAGAGCACGCACCAATGGACCTTGGAGGACTAGGACAGGACATGCGGAGGACGGGCGACGGATCCTAGGGAAGTGCGATGAAGTCTGATGTAACGCGCTCAAACGCGCTGGTACGCGCCAAGGCGCATATGTGCGTAACTGGGAAGGTGCGAGCAGGCAGTAGCGAGGGTTCGTCAATGCGAGGATGAGAGAAGGCGAGGCGCAACAGCGAAAAACGCGACAGCGTGAAATGCGACAAAGGCGAAACGCGACAGAGGCGAAACGCGACAGAGGCGAAACGCGACAAAACGCGAAACGCGACAGAGGCGAAACACGACAGAACACGACGAAATGCGAAACACGACGAAATGCGAATAAGACGAAACGCGACTAAGACGAAACGCGACACAGCGCGTTATTACGGATGCGCGACTGCAGGAATGTGGATACTCGATATGCGAAAGTGTGTATGGGTAGAAACGCGCTAGCGCGAAAGCGCGTTTGTCGCGTTCGGAGCGCGTTTCGGATTTAGAAGGCGCGTTGCATGGATATCGAGGGCGTCGTGAAAAAGCGTGAATTTGGCCCATATGAGCCTGGAGAAATGCGAGTCTCTACAGCGGGCATGGCGAGATATTGTGATGATCTTGGCCAAGTTTCAGAGGCGATTCCTGGAGATATGGAGCATGATGTATTACCTTGAGATATTTGAGCTGCGGTTGAAATTTGAGGACAGAGTGCATGGGGTCAACAAGACTTGGATGGGGTGCTTCACCACAGACTCCACTATCGCATTGAGGCTCCACAAGGCTGGTGTACCTGTGTGGTTGATACAAGATGTCAGGCTCGTCAATGATAATATTAACATCCACCAAGTTGTTCCCTTCACTCTTGCTGACCTTGTGTTTGGGATGTACCTCCATCCCATTAAGAACTTTGCTCAACCTTTCGATATCCGGCACAAGGGTCCAAGTGATCATCAACGCCAGGCTGCGGTTCATCAACTGTACCTTACTTTGAAGAGATCTCCATAGATCACACCAAAGTCAATCACTTTGCAGCTTCCAGAGAGCCATCATTGGGTAAAGCACCCACCAGGACCATGAAAACTAATTTTGGTTTGCCATTCTTATCTAATGACTATCTAGATGAACCAACTGCTCTGCGCCAGAACCAGTCTCAAGTTGGACGTGACAAATGGTGCGACGTGGCTCACCTGTTTATGCCCGACATCAACACCTTCTTCGCATCAGCTATGAGTCACGCGGAGAAAGATTTGAGTCATGTCAAGCCAACCCGCGCAATAATGGATGAGGGATACAGGCTCCCTGATCCTGGATTATTTGTCAATGTCCTTTCATCACAGTCTCTCAAAAAATACTTCACTAACTGGTTGGCATGCCGTGAGTCGTGGCTGAAGCATGTTTATATGTTGCCTCCATCTCCACTCCCTTGGTCCCAAAGCTGGCATGATCTATTGATCATGCAGCCAACACCACAGCCCTCGTCGTCAAGTGGTCAGATGCCATCAGGCAAGACTGGCAAGTCCAAAGCCAAACTCAACGTATTCTTTGGAGATGCACTATCACTTTTATGCCAGTTTTGGACTGGATCCCACAGATGTTGCAATGGAGGGGTCAGAAAATCGAAGCAGCAATGCTTGAGAATCCGCCGCATCATCTTGTTCAACAGATCATATTGCAAGCAAAGCTTCCGATACGACCTTCTGGAACTTGATGAACATCTTGCCGGTCATATGTGGCTGGATCAGGAGGCGAAGAAGCATCGCATGGAGTTGCTCCGTGGAATTTTTCCTCAGCATGCCCTCACCATGTGGGACAAGGATTTTTCGACTCGGAATGATGGACTTAATGCTGAGTCTTTCCACGATGCTCTTCCATATTTCGAGAATTTTTGTCAAGTGTTGATCACATGGGACGGTGCTCCTCAAGATCTCAAACAGCCTTTCACCAAGTCGATGCCTGAGGGAGAGAAGTGGCAATGCATAAAGCAATGTGCCCTGTTTTATGTACAATCATTTTACAACAACACAGGTCACCCCCCCATGGTCCCTCATATACTTTACACGGATCCATAGACGATTTACACTCACTTCTGTTCCCTTCTGTATTTGTTCATTGATGTGAGTTGCTATGTAGCATGGTTCTGTCATGCACAATTTCTGTTAGCGAATTCTATTGACTTGTTGCTCCGGTGCTATTCACTGTTTGTTGATCACTGGCGTCCATGACCATTATCCTCCTCCCAGTTTAGTATCTACTCATTCTTGCTACATAGGTCATACGAACTGGGACTTTGTGTTCCTCTGTGCTTGTTGACTGACTTCGAGTCAGTGACAATATTCTTGCAGGCTTGGTGCCTACCAGAAACATCTACCATGGATGGAGGACCACATCCACGGAATATTGCCTCAACGTCTACTCCTGCAACTCCTGTCCATCGTCATTCGCAGCAAATATTAGTTACCCCATCCATGGTCAAGAAGTGCCGGACACCACGAGGAAGCAACACATTTCATCTTCCAGGTCCTCCTCCAGTTCTAGTACTTCCGGGTAGGCGGTATTTCACCCAACAAATCACTTCCAATATCAATCCTTGGCATGATGTCCCACCCTCTGATCTGATTGACCAGGACAGGCCTTCGTTTTATGATGATGTCCACTTCTTCTCTGATCCCTCCGCTCCAACGGGCGACAGAAAAAATTCAATCAGTGGCAATGCTGGTCAAACAAAGTGATTCCTTCACTAATCGGTCCATACCTCATATATCAATGCAAATCCTCTTCGCTCCATCATCAGCCTGTATTTCAAATGATCATGTCGAGTGTACGGCTTCATGCCATAGGAAGACTTTAGAAGTGACTTGTGTTTTCTTCAATTGTATGAACTCATCATATTGTTCTGTGGCTCAAATTGACTGTAGTCCAGATCTAGAGGTTTTCAACATTGACTGCTGCCCCTGCGCACCCGCACCCCTTCAACTTCTTAAGTTGGGGCTATTTGCCTGTGCACCCATAGCTCCATCTCTTTCTGTTGACCTACGTGTACTAGAGCTCGTTAGGACTCTTTTTGTGCAGATCACCCCCAATACAACAGCCTGGTGTGAAGCATTGGAAGTTTTTCTAACAGCTCGGGGTTATAAACTTTCAACCAAGGTCTGCCTACATGATTCTTTTTGAAGTAAGCTAACTCTGGCATCTTCAGGACAATCTTCGCCACCCGCTTCAGTAACGTGTATCATTGGTACTCAGTCCTTGTGACGAATGCTGAAGACCACGTATACAGCCTCATTTCACAACATCTTCCTTCGCGTTCTTTGGGGGACGAAGTCTTGCCCGCACAACCAAGCGATTATCTCCGTGCACGTTGTCCAGTTTGTTTTGGAATGCAGGATTGGCAAAAGGATCACGGTTCGCGTCTCAAGTATGTCGATCCTACCGTGTTTTCCCCTGTGCTGATGTTTTTGCAGGCTAGATTGCCATGTATGCATCGATGCATGCTTCACACAGAAACGGTCAGCCAATTCACGTGGGGCCGATGGCCTAGATCCGCCAAACCCAACACGATCAGTTTTCATTTCGGACGAAGAGGTCGCACGGATGGAAGCTCACGTACTTGCCTGTCGAGGCTCCCTACCTGGTCGTGGAACAAAACGCAAGAAGCCCGAAGGCAACGAAGACGGGTACGAAGATGGTATGCGCATCCCTGTATCGACATTGGATGCCTGCAGGGAATCTTTTCTTGCTGCCGACGAAAAACGAGAGAAAGCTAGCACCCGTTTCTTCGCCGATACGGGAATCATGGCCTTACTTTGTCGTCATGATTGTGTCTTATGGTTGGTCAATATGACATCAGCAGGTGAAAAACAATATTATGCGCTTGCACTTATTAAAAAGCTCTTCGAACATCTTCCGCCAACCATGACCGTCGGTATCTTGTATGATATTGCATGTCAGCTCAAGCGTAGTTGTCTTAAATACCAACTTCTCGAGCAAGGTATTCTCTCACGTATCGTCTTTTCTATATCCGTATTTCACGCGTACGGACATCAGTGGCCTTGTCAGCTTATTTATCACCCTCGCAAATGTGAAGGGTTTGGACTTTCTGACGGAGAGGGCTGTGAGCGCCTGTGGAGCGCTCTCAAGATGTTGATCCCCCCCTTGCGGGTCTCTGGGGTAAGTATCTTAATTCATATACCTTGACTGACTAACATTAAGATAGTACCACCAACGGCTTTTTGTGCTGAATGCGCAAGTTCGGCATCTTGACGGCAAAAATCTCGATACATTTGGCGAGTGGCTGAGTCGCAGATGGACTCGTTGCCAGACAAAGAAGAGCAGTGCAGAACATGCGCTTCGACAACTCTCTGTAGATGAAGCTAATATACGCCCGGAATGGAGGGCTCAGGTCGAGCACCAAACGAAACCATTATCCAGTGCGTGCTTTATTTTATATTTTCATATTTCCCTAACATTAATAGAAAGGGAGATCAAAAACCAACAATGACGAGCAAATATCGAAGATTTTGACCCTCGAGCGAACACTCAGTAACCTGGACAATTCCGTTCGTGCTCTTGAGATGCAGCTCTGTGCTGGCAACACTCTTAACAATGTTGACTTCAACCTTCGACTTGCAGACGAACGCACCCACCGGTCCAAAGTTGCTGATACTCTGCGACGATGGAAGGCATCCCTTGGCATCGGGCAACTTAACGATCTTCAACAACTCCGACGTAGTATATTCCTTCAAATTCGTCTTGATGCGCAAGCTGTCAAGGCACGCCTTCGTGAACGTCTGCGCCAGCGCAAATTTGAAATTGAGAGGTTTGAACGGTCGTACCGTCAGACAGTAAATGGTATGTAGCTCGTTTCAATATGTTGACATGTCCGTGATTATCTTTGATCTAGAGCACAAGCTTCATGTGCATGCAGAAGCTTCAATTCAACGGCGCAACCCTACCATACGAAAGCTCGTCACAACTTACAACAACCTCTGTGGTAAACTAATTGACTTAATTCGACGAGGCGAGGCTCCTGCCGGTGCGATAGTGCCTCATTCTATCTCTCCGACTGGTATCTTTCAGCTTGACGTAGATGATGACATCTGGCAAGATGTTGGACTTGACGGCAATGACATGGCCCCACCTGCCTGGCTAGCGGATGAAAATATGCGCGCAGCAATTAAGTTTCAACTTGAGGTAGACCGGTGCAATGAGGAAAGGGCTCGTATCATGCGAGAACAGTTGTGTTCTCCAGGAGTGGATGATGGCTGAGTGGGATGCCTTGCAGGAGGCTCGCACTCGTGCAGGTAAGTTTGTACAACATTCTACTGCCGTGACACTGATAGTATATTTAGAAGAAAATGAAGATCTCTGCTTTCATTTCGACCTCCGTGCTCGCTTGTTGAGTGGTCTTGTTGTGCATTGGCAATCTCGAGTTCGTCCTATCCCTTGTGCTTGGCCATTGCCTGACTCATGGGGCCCCACCCCGAATGACCTTGCTGAGGCTGCTAATATGTATTATCAACCAAGCTGTCTTGATGGCACAGCTGCTGTGTATGATTCTGAGAATGACTGGGAGTCTCATGAGGAGAGGGAGAATGATGAATTGATAGATGAATTGGAGGAAGCTGCATTGGCTGGAGCATATATAGATCTTGACTCGGATTCATATGATATATAGTCTTTTGTAGCAATATCCGAAACTCTTGAGTGATTGCTATTAGATAATATTTGGAAAGTGCAAATATATCATGGGCTATCCCATCTTAGAATTCAAAGATGGTGGGGCATCCCAGACATGGGCTATCTCATCATGGGAAGGAGAGTGCCGGGCCAGCCCAGTGACCATATAAACCAGCGGTGGGCTATCCCGCATCATGCGTAGGAGAGTGCCGGGCCAGTCCAGTGACCATATAAACCAGCGGTGGGCTATCCCACATCATGCGTAGAAGAGGGTGCCGGGCCGGCCCAGTCACCATATAAACCAGCGGTGGGCTAGCCCGCATCATGCATAGGAGAGTGCTGGGTCAGCCCAGTCACCATATCGGTGGGCTAGCCCGCATCATGCATAGGAGAGAGCCAGGTCAGCCCAGTCACCATATAAAACAGCGGTGGGCTATCCTGCATTGACCAGTCACTGCCTTTTTCTTTCCGCTTTTATGCTTACATCCACAGTAATATGTGATGACACTTACTCCAATAAAACCTGGAGTATTGTGGTGCAGAGTATGTTCCAATTGTGCAAATTAACCAGATGGAGTGTAAATATGTCAGTATCTGGAGTGAGGGCACAGTCAAGAAGGATTTCTAGGTCAAAGACAACCCCCCTGTCTACCACAAATTTATTCCCGCCTCCTCCAGCTGCTTTGAATTTTGTAGGTCAAGAACCTTACCCAACTTACATTCTTCCCTCATCTTCAAAGACAACCCCCCTGTCTACCACAAATTTCTTCCTGCCTCCTCCAGCTGCTTTGGATTTTGTAGGTCAAGAACCTTACCCAACTTACATTCTTCCACATCTTCAAAGACAAGCCGCCCCCCCCCCCCCCTCGCCACATATTTCTTTTCACTTCCTCCATTCGTAGGTCAAGGACCTTATGAAGACAAACATTATACTCTAAGTGTCTAAATGTGTGGGTAATTTTTCATGAGAAATGACCCCTGACACCCCCTGTGTATTCATATAATAAAGTATCTAGGATGACCCAGATGGGTCATGGGACAGATCAAATACATTGGCCCAGCAGGCCCAGGCTTCGTGGGGAAAGTGTTGAATTGGCCCGGGATATAACCTGCATTGGCTGGGAATACTGCCTAAGATCATGCCTCTTAGGTGAGATTGTAAGCCAGAATATATGTACCTAAGAGGTACTTTAACAGGGGTGACTGAAGTGTCTATCTTGCGATGCGCTATTCCTGCACTTTAGCGCTCTTTCGGGTCTTTCTATCTTAAGTTGTTCTTAGTAGCTATTCCCTCGGGTCGAACATTCTTGCATCTTTGTTGCAAGTATAGCAGCATAGGCAGAGCTTAGACATATACTGGCTAAGTACCTTTACAAGTGCCTAGTCAGGTTGTGTTTTTCACAATGGCTAGAGCGGACTGTGGCCAGTACACTTCAGTGCTGACACCAAACGCTAGATTGAAAGGTTGAAGTGGCAGTCCAGGTGAGTCATGGAACTTAAACTTGCCTTGACTTGGACTCAGACAACTTGGAATGGTTGGCACAGCACTTGCGCTTGTTCCGCCAAATTCAAGTTCTCCCAGGCCTTGCTCCCAGTACTGCCATGGCAGTACAAGTTGGAGCATATTATCTAGCTCGGACTCATCCATGTCAGTCATTGACAGTTGATGATAGAGTTGATTTGCATGATTTTGCCTGACATTGTGATCCTGCCATTGCCCAGAGGGCCATGGATCTGCCATCTTAACTTAATGATTGACATGATGAGGTGGGAGTACCAGGAGTAAGGACTTCAATCTATCATTATGTTAAAAGTAGCTGTACATACCTTTGTAAACCTGCCAGTGTAAGGTTGAAGGTCACGGTGATGAGAGTGGAAAAAAGAGGTCTGTGACTGTCAGTCTGGGGCTTATACTATGATAATCACCGCATGCCAATTGTGTAGTCACTGATCATGATTGTAGGCTAAAGCCGGCTCATGCTGGTAAAGACTGCCATACTGTGCCAGACCCAATTCAGGCTTACTAGAATTTTAGTCATTTCCTGCCTCGAGTTCAATTTCACTTACCTCAATTTCCTGCCCCATGATGTGCCATTGCGGTAGCTAGATATGAACAGTGCTTGAAATGGTTGCTTTGAAATTCATATCCACTTACCTAGAGATGTTTTGGGGATTGACTCAAAATGGACCAGAACAAAATATGAGGTTATTATTGAATGGTTCCTGGAATAACACCATGAACAAGCTCTGAAATGGATCAGCGCTTCGTAGTTTCATTCCCACAACACAGTATGTATCCCTGGTAACACTGTGGGCCAGTGCTTCATAGACTCAGTGCTCCATAGACTCAGTGCTCCATAGACTCGGAGCATATCTGTATTTTTTTTTTCGAAACTTTCATTTGAACATTTTGTAGTTTGGTAGTTTGGCCTTCCGAAGCTTGAAAGGATGTGCTTACCAAAGAAATGTAGTTGGAACTCGCAGGTGCAGGCGTCCACGCTACTTTTACGACCATGGAATGGGCACAACGTCGCAATTAGGTGCAATCATGGGGTCCTTTCATGATCTGCAGATGGGCTGACCATGGTTGTCAGCAATACATATGATGAGTACAAGAAGAACTCTGAGTTCTGAGGGTTGCGCTCTCATATCTACCCTTTTGGATATTGATGCGGTTTCAGTCTGAATCAGGAGTCCCCTAACATGACAAGCAGAGGGCACAATGCGGATAAGACGAGTCAGGTCCAAACGGTAAATTATTGTAGATATGTACCCCTGGCCCAACGAAGCTGATCATCAATCATCACCTCATTCAGCTTATGCTGAATGAGTCAGATGGTGATGATTTCGGAGACAACCATATCTAGATAGAAGGTGGATATGACTCGGCCCAGAGCTTGAGGAGACAATAATAGAGTAAAATAGATAAAACAAATAAATTGATGTTGTAACTAAAACTTGACTCGTCAGATGAGCAATTTGCGAAGGCAATGCGGGCCTGACAAAAAAGGAAATCGTGCCCTTTGACACAAGATATTGCCATCCGGGGTTCAAGCCAAAGCTCTGAGTGGCGATACATTTATGTAAGTTCGCCTCCCAGATATTGACTGGGCACTCGGAATTGGGAATCAAGGGTGGGCCATCATATCCACCAGTTGCAAACATGGACAGTCATGTTTGATGAGTATACGACTGCGCACACCCATTTGTGCCCACAATTGGACCGAGGATTGTCACTCTGTTCTCCACGTCCCACACCCTTGCAGTCTCATCTATGGATCCGCTAAGCACTCGTCGATCATCTCGACTCCAACTTGAACAAACAGATTATACCACCTCTGTATGTCCCATCCATTTTGCAATAACTTTGCCTGTGCTGATGTCCCAAAACCTCACTCTGCCTTCCTCACTTCTGCTAACCACTTTCTTCCTGTCCAGAGACAGTTCTATCGGCTGCGGCCGCATTTCGCTCTCCTGTCCCGCCAGTCCCCTCCTATCTGTTGCCCACTCTTCAAGATCCATACCTGCAGCGAGCCATCTCTTGAACAAGTCATCATTCATTGTTCGTCCAGCAAATGTATGACGCCCTCAAGCAAATTGGCGTGTCCTTCAAATTTCTGACAGGGCTTCACTGTTGATGCCTCCTGTGTCCCAATGATGAGTGAAGACATGATCCTCAGTTTCAGCTACCGAGTGCATCTCTGTCTCAGCTTTCATTCAACAAAGTCCAAGTCCATCATTTATTATATGTTTTGACGCCAAGAGACAATAGGTGTTCAGGTCAAATCGGAGTTGAGTACACTGGGGGTTTGAGCTGGTACATTTTGGATGTGACATCCTTGTGATTACTTCACAGCATGTGTTATAGGCTGTGCAGCTGAAGCGCCCAAGCCTCATGACTCTTCAAGTTATTCCATCAGTCATGATCTTGGTTCCTGTTCACGTCATGCACTCCCACATATCCTCCTTTTTCTTTGCAGTGCTTGAGTATATCTTCTTCAAATACTTCCATTGTGTAGACATCCATGGCTCTCGCAATTAGTATTCCTCCTGCTTCGGCTTGTACGAGACTGAGAGCACTCGAGCCCAAAATAACTGTGCATGTGTGGTCCATGATATCGACACTTCCAAAAAAGCTGTATGGATCGATGGTGCAAGCCTCTCGTGCCCATAATATTGAAAATCGGAGTAAGTGTCGTTGCATGGCTGCGTTCATGTCCGAGTTATCCTTCGCCGAAATGTGCCAGTGACTCAGACATTTAGGCTAGGTTCAAGCATATCATAATGATCATCGAGATCAATGTCATGCAGACTCGGAAAGACAGCAACCATGACTTGGACCATGTCACGGTGTATTGAACGATACAACTCAGGCTAGTACTGTTTTGTCATCTATCAGTGAAAGTGACTGATTGCATATGTCTCGAGACTCCAACTCGGATACCCCGGGCCCATCATCGATTTTGTCACGGTATATGTCGTTGTCACCATTGCTTGAGAAATTAGAATGTATTAGAGTACCTCAGGCCTGGACATTGATGAAAGTTAACTTGCATCCCTGAATTGGTGGCCAAATTGTGCGGTACTACCACATAGTGCATTGAAGCTTCTGTCTGTCTTGCTTTCGCAGGGTGCATGCAAGATGCTTTATACATGAAGACCATGGTGTAGAATTTAATCAACGAGCACAACATACTATTACTACTACTACAAAGAGGGGGGGAGGGGGGAAGACATGATGTGAATAATATCGCGATCAACTTTAAAGGGGAAATATGAGGAAAACATCTAAAAAGTTCATCAACAACCAGAAGGCATCATATGGTACAGCCTGTGCTTTACTGGCGAACCTGTTATGCAAGATCAGTATTATAAGTGGAGGCCAATCAATATGATAATTATGTGAGATATTTCATCAGACTCTTGCGACATTCTGCACACAGACTCACACCCACTGCATTGGTCTTCTGAGTCATCCAAACAAGTGAAGTCTAGGAAGCGATCTCCAGCAATGCAATTGTCAACGTGCATACGAGCTATGTCCTCAACAACATTCAGCTGTTTGTCTCCAACAGAGAGCAATATCATGTCAGGGCTGTATACAGCCATGCAAAAGTGGAGGTGCTCATCGAGCTCATCCACACTCCCTCTGGAGAGCTCTTGGAGTGAGGTGCCCCAAGGTTCTGATGCAGCACTAGCATATGTGTCACCATCGTCTTCAAGAACAATCTGAAGAAATCTTTTGTGTTCTTTGATGGCTTGAATTTCCCAAGCTGTCGCCAGAGCATGCACACACCTCCACTCAACATCAGCTTGTTTTGTGATGACAGCCTGTGCAATTGCATCAGAAGACAGGTTTTGTAATCAATTTTCAAGCAAAATTTTGCCCTGGTATGTTGCTCGTTTATTAACAAGTCGCAGATATGCATCTATTAATGTACCTTCCAAACATCCGACACAATTCTAGAATCAATGGGGGAAAGTTGGCTTGCAGCAAAGTGGTGCTGTAGTGTGCTGGGGTCATGCCTCTCATAGGGCTTGTGCTGTGCTTTCACAAGATGCACATAACGAGATAGACTCCGGATTATGGGAGGAGGGGTCACAGGCACTTCAGTCACCCCTCTCAAAGTACCTCTTAGGTACATATATTCTGGCTTATAATCTCACCTAAGAGGCATGATCTTAGGCGGTATTCCCATGCAATGCAGGTTGTAACCTGGGCCAATCCAATACTTTCCCCAGGATGCCTGGGCCTGCTGGGCCAATGTATTTAATCTGTCCCATGACCCATCTGGGGTATCCTAAATCCTCTATTATATTAATATACAGGGGGTGTTAGGGGTCACTTCTTATGAAAAATTGCCCACACATTCAGACACTTAGAGTATAATGTTTGTCTTCATAAGGTCCTTGACCTATGAATGGAGGAGGCGGGAAGGAATTTGTGGTAGGAGGGTTGTCTTTGATGATGAGGGAAGAATGTAAGTCAGGTAAGGTCCTTGACCAACAAAATCCAAAGTGGCAGGAGGAGGGAAGAAATTTGTGGTAGGAGGAGGGGGTTGTCTTTGATGATGAGGGAGGAATGTAAGTCGAAATCCAAAGCAGCTGGAGAAGAAAGGAAGAAATTTTTGGTAGGAGGGGGTTGTCTTTGATGATGAGGGAAGAATGTAAGTCGGGTAAGGTTCTTGACTGTTCCCTCACTCCAGATACTGACATATCTCGTGCTCCATCTGGTTAATTTTGCACAATTGAAACATGCCCTACACCACAATACTCTAGGTTTTATTGGAGTAAGTGTCATCACATATTACTTTGGATGTGAGCATGAAAGCGGAAAGAAAAAGACAGTGACTAGTCAATGCGGGATAGCCCACCACCAGTTTATATGGTGACTGGGCTGGCCCAACACTCTCCTACGCAGGATCTGGGATAGCCCACCACTGGTTGATATGGTGACTGGGCTGGCCCAGCACTCTCCTATGGCTGATGCGGGCTAGCCCACCACCAGTTTATATGGTGACTGGGCTGGCCCAGCAATCTTCTATGCATGATGTGGGCTAGCCCACTGCCAGTTTATATGGTGACTGGGCTGGCCCAGCACTCTCCTATGCAGGATGCGGGATAGCCCACCACTGGTTTATATGGTGACTGTGCTGGCCCAGCACTCTCCTATGGCTGATGCAGTGTGAAAAACACAACCTGACTAGGCACTTGTTAAGGTACTCAGCCAGTATATGTCTAATGCTCTGCCTATGCTGCTATACTTGCAACAAAGATGCAAGAATGTTCAACCCGAGGGAAAAGCTACTAAGGACAACTCAAGATCGAAAGACCCAAAAGAGCGCTAAGCGCGGGAATAGCGCGTCGCAAGATAGAGCGCTAATGCGCGGGAAAGAGTGGAAGTCAAGAAAGTGGACACTGATTCAAAGGAGGGTAATGGATAGTGAGTGAGATCAAAGGTATTGATTGAAAGGGTAAGGAAAGTCAAATAGGGGCCATAGAGCGCAACTAAAGGGTGACTATTTCTAAGTAAAACCTAAGGGAAAGGAATTACAGTAGAAGGGAAGTGAAGTCAAAGTAATCACCATAGGCATCTTATACTAGTAAACTATACCATCTCGGACTCAGAAGGGATAGGATATACATGTAATAAGACTGTAGCACTTTTTACAAACTCAAGGCAAGGCAAATTACATACCAATGAGGTAGGATGGACCATGGATGGATTCCAACATTTCGGGTGATTCCTAGAGCGCAAGAACAGTGCGCTGGACTAGCGCTAGGCGCGGGAACAAGCGCTAGATAGAGTGGACATGCACTAATGCTCCTATAGACACATTGCTGGTAGTTCTGATAGCGCTATAAGCATGGGAATAGCGTCAGATAAGTCGCGGGAGCATGAATAGCGCTGCAGGAATGTGCGGGCATAGTGCGGGAAAGTGCAGAATAGCGTCAGACAAGGGTGATGGCTGAGACAAGTGAAGACTGCTGATAGGGGAGTAGTGAATAATATGAGGAATAACTTTGGTCCACCTATTGAAGGCTTATGCAGGTATACATGCCTAGCACCAATATGATTGTTACACCAATCCTGAAAATATAACCTGATTTTGAGTGTCGTGGATTAGCACTCATGCAGATGACATAGTAGGAGAACACTGATCTTTGGATACAGATTGTTCCGCTAAACCAACCAATCAATCGCTCACCAAGCCCCTGGCCTCCCAGTTGGATTGCACAGCAAATTGAGGCGAATGATAAGCGACAAGTCTTTAGGCCATTTATATCATAAGTCACTTGTGAACTTCGCAATTTGCGCAGCATATTTATGCTTTCCAACTGCAGCAAAAATATCAATCCACGGAAGGAAGGATGCCTCTACGCAACAAATATCCCCACTGTTCATTGCCTGGCAGAGATCAACATACAGCAGCTCATCACAATTCCGCAGAATTTGGTTCTCGAACTGTTTGTCCCTTTCATCTACAGCTTTTGAACATGCTTGACGTAGATTGGATCCAGCCACCATGTAGTTCACAACAATGTTGTATGACATCTGAATAAGTTCGTCCCAGGTGGGTTGTGAACTGGCAAACAACTCCAGTGTTGTGATCTGACCATTTTTCTTCTTCACCTTCACTCTCCAGCAATCAAGCATCAAGATTGTGAGATCGTGGTGAATAACCTCATGCATGCGTCGGAAACCTGGTTTGCTGATGAATTTCAATGCGTCTTTTGGTTGAAGACACCCGATATGCTCATATAAGCTATTATGGTCACCGCGAGAGTCCTTGGGCTGGATATATGTCCTCCAGATTGCATCAGCACAAGCCATCTTGTAGTGGAAAAGGCTGGGAAGGGAAATGAGGTACTGGAACCTGTTTTTTGGTGTGTTTTCGATTTGTTGCAATCTTCGGACAGTGTCCAGTTGCTCCTTTGTAAGTAGATCATCATGAATGAATAGGACATATTCTGACATATCCACGTCATGCACAGGATCAAAGCTATCATCCTTGGGGTCACCTATGCCACCTTGCTTAAGTAGGTTTTCCATTACTTCCATGTTCCCATCAGTAGTTGACTGCTTGATCTTCATCACTTGACAGGGTATCTGGTTGGTCTTCTGCAGTGGAATCTGAAGCACAACATCTGGGCTTCCCAGTCGCTCACGATAGTGATCAAAAAGGCCGCTATCTTCGACTAGAATCCTCCGAATATGCCAAGTGAAAGCTTCGAGGTGGGCGCTACATTTGCTGCCGTCAATTTTCTTGTTGTATGTGTCGTCTTTGTGCAGCTGCAATATATCTATTGATTCACTTGCAGGATCCGTTGCCTCCAGGTTGAGTGAATCGTGCTTCCACAACTCCACTGAGCATTTCAGAGTGGCGGGATCGGTGACACCAGATATTGGTACAATTGTAGCTGATGTAGCACTCACGAATGTGCTCTGTCACTCTATGGTAGGTTGTGCCATCTTGAAATTGATATCAAAATTGTCATATGCGAATGCTGACTGCAGTGATCGAACAGCTTGCTTGATTCGGGACGAAACCTCACATGACATGGAATTTACGGTGTGATGGATTGTTGTTACACTGATTGAGAATCCAGCGTGAGCTAAGACCTCTATGACCTTTTGAGGGGTGCACATTGAGTGAAGGAATATGCTGAGGATGCACTGCAAGTAATTGCAGAATTTGTTGGTGCTCGCAGGAATATGCTGATGCAAATCACTGCTTTCTTTAAAAAAAAACAAGGTCAGCCGGTATGCTCTCAGTGTATGGACACTTGTAACTGACAATCTGATATAACGCAGCTCTCCTTTCACCAGCCCTTTTTGCTCAACGACAGCGCTGTGCATTTTGACACCTCTGTGCAGCATTGTCCGTTTCACCCTGCCCTTCACTCCCACATTGTGCATTGGATATTTCGTCATTGTCTATTTCATCGTCATCACTATGCATTCCATTCTCGTCCATGCTGCCGCCATCTGCCCAATACTGGTTGTCCCCCCCAAATTCCCCAAAATCCATTTCCTGCTCTTCGTCTGGTTGCTCACCCTCCATATCACAGTTTTCATCAGCTGTAACATTCTTCTTGCCCAGAATAGCTGTCACCATTGTGAACATATTCAGAGCCACTGCTTTCACCTTTTCTGAAATAAATTTCATAAAGGTTCCCTCGAGCTGCTCGGATGTTGTACTTGTTGCTCGAAAATGGAGTCCGTGGTGCTCGAAAACAGAGTCTGTGGTGCTTGTGAGCCAATTCCTTTATTTCATTGCACAGTTGAGTTCTAACTGTGTCCATTGCCCATGAGAAGACATGTGGTCGAGTTTTCACTGGGTATTGATATAGGGTTTCGCACATGATCTCCGCGTCTCAAATGATGTCTTCCTGAGCTGCGGCGTGCTCATGTTCACGGCTGCTTAGCACACCTTCGAGGAAGGTCAAGATTGTGAGATTGTTCACTTGCAAAACTTGCAGGATTTGACTGATTCAAGCAGTAGTAGAACTCATTAGAGGCTGGGGTGTTGATTCGAATGAGAGTCTCTTTTTTATTATCTTATACTAGGCTGTTCAACATGCTGGATCCTCGTGTCGTTCAGCTTGTGTGTCCTTCGAAATGCTCTTTCTTACTTGACTCTTTTTGGCACCCATACCGGTATTCCGGCAACTGTCAAGGCAAGTGCGCAGTTTTTTCAGTGAGTACAAACAAGGTCAAACGTTCAGCCACAGCGAAGTTCTCCAGTCAGCTTGGGGTGAAATTATCCACAGCACTAAGGCTCTGTTTGGACATCCAATTCAAAAAGAAATTCACAATGAGAATTCAACTTATGTGTCAGGTGACCTACTCACATGACCTTCGGCACTACGTGGCGCACATATGATGAATGATAACAGTGATTGTTTGAGGACAATAGTACTAGTGTTGAACGTTGCCCCCGCCCCCAATCAATATGTACAATTATGAAAACTCAGCGCAGAAATGACACAGGGAGGAGACCCGTCAATGCCGGCTTACCTTCATCATGACCTGCATCATCATGCAAGTTGTATACGTGTATAATCTATTGTTTTTGACTTCGACTCCCGTATCCCATACCATACATCAGCCTTGACTGGTGAAGCATGGGTTTATGAACTCACTACAGGGCACCCTGATCGAATCCACAATAACCTTGGTGTCTCACTAGAAGTCTTTGAGGCACTGATTCAAATTCTCCAACAACATGGTATCTACCGGTCTTGTAATGGTGTCTCCATGAAGGAACAATTGGGCATATTTTTATATGCTTGTGTGACGGGACTTTCGACTCACTACCTTGGTGAGCGATTCCAGCGTTCCCCTGACACTATTGCCAGGTAGATACTCAGAATGTTGCAATTGATATTTGTCTCACATAGTATTTTGTGTAGGTACTTCAAGCACTTGTTGCTATTTTTCTCAGACGACCCATTCTACTCCTCGCAAGTTTGCCTACCGAATATCGAGACTCCCATTTCCCAAAAAAAATTAAATGACCCCCGTTTCCGCTTTTTTAATCAATGCATTGGCGCCGTAGACAGCACACATATCCAGATCTTCGCCTCACAAGGCGAACACTCCACCATGCGCAACCGCAAGGGATACTTATCCCAAAACTGTCCATTTGTGTGCGATCACAATTTTTTTTATCTATTCACTTTGTGGCTGGGACGGTTCTGTCGCTAATGCGACGCTCTGGAATGATGCGTGCGCACATGACTTGCGCTTGCCTCCGGGAAAATCCCTACTCGCAGATGCTGGGTTTGGTACATGTGATGCATTGTTGGTGCCATACCGTGGTGTCCGCTATCACTTGAATGAATGGTGTCAGGCCAATCTCCAGTGAGAACAAAAAGTATCAAAATTTTCTGCTTTTGACATTTGACATTCCAGGCCGCAGACACCACAAGAGCTATTTAATCATCGACATGTGTCACTCCGCAACATCATTGAACATATTTTTGGAGTAATGAAGTGACAATGGCGTATTCTCCAGCTCCCACCCGAGTACAAGATGGACGTGCAAGCGCGCATCCCTGTAGCGCTCTGTGCACTGCACAATTTCATTCGCAGGTTCGACCCTACCATTTCTGAAGAAGAATATGAAGATATTCTGGGACTTGAGCTTGAGGAAGGTGCGGCTGAGCTGGCTGAACTGAATGAGCTGGGGGATGGACCAGCGAATGCTCAGGAGAGGTGGCGGGCTGATCGTCGCAGGGATGATATTGCTAAGGCCATGTGGGACGATTATGTTGCTGTGCGCACTGCGCGAGGCAATCAAGCAGGGTAGGATGTAATTGAAATTCTATTGTTACTTTCTATGTAGCATTGGTAAGAGTACAATGGTAATATGAATCAGTCAATGTGCATAGCACAAATTTCACCCAGCCTCTTCTGCACCCAAGCGGACTTCAGCTTATCATTCATGTATAGGTATGCAATGGCCTCATCTTTGTCCTTCAAGAACAACGGCATCATGTCCAACTTGTCCTCGTCTAGTATGTTGGTGGCGGCACTGAGGACTTCAATAGCGCGTGTGAAGTCAGGGGGAGGCGCAGTGACAGGGGGTGCAGGAGCTGGAGGTGAGGGTGGGGGTGGGGGTAGAGTAAAATTGTTACTCATTTCATGTACTGAACTGGCGAGCGACATAATTGCTGTGCTGCCATCCTGCTGCGCTTTGGCAGTTGCAGACGGCAGGCGAGAGCACTTACTGGATGGAACATCAACATCAGATTCTAGTGCACTGGCCTTGCGCTTGCCCCGGCTGGCACTTGTCAAGGCCGAAGGTGGGCTTGTGGAAGGGAGGCGGGGCACAGGCGTGGTGGGAGGACCCATGCTAGTAGGAGACAAAGGCAAGTTATGGAGCATGTTGTCAGAGATTTCGTTGGTAGCAGCAGATAGTTCATGGAGGTTGAGTTCGTTTGAAGTGTGGGTGCTGGTAAAAGGTGCTGCAGATGACGCAGAGCCTGTCTTCTTTCTCTGGACCCGATGGACATGGATTCCCTTCGTGGCATTGCCGGATGCCAGCAGATCAAAGATTGTGAAGTACGCAAACCCCTTGTTCTGGAATTGTCTGGCGTGAGGGTGAGACTTGAAAAAAATCAGATTGGCCTGCACATATAGAGGACGGTACTCACCTTGACATACCCTGCCCAAGCGCTAGCTGAACTCTCGTCAACACAAGCCCCCTTATCATCTGTCCACGTAAACCCCGACGACAATCCTCCATATCTGAGCTCTACTGCGGCAAGATAACCACTCTTGAGTGTACCAAATTTTGTTTTGCAAGCAGCATCAGTTTTCTCACCATCCTTCTGATCCTTGAATTTCTCTGCAAGTGCATTGGCAGCTTTCGTATATGTTGATTTGGGGTACGTCATTCCATCTGTGCCCACTTTGTTTTGATGCAAAAACTTGAGGAGTGCTGCCTCCTCTTCAGACGTCCAACGAGCTGGCTCTTTGCGATTGGAAATCTTGCCTTTCCCCTTAGCTTGTGAACTTGATGTGGTCTCAACTACTCCAGAGTCTACAGAGACTCGAGAGTGAAGAGACGCGATAGACAAGTCCGAGTCAGATGTGAGCATCTCTCAAGGATATAGGATATGAGTGGCTAATATCAGAGATAAGAGGCGTGCTGGCATTCCTTGCCAAAGGTCATGTGAGTAGGTCACCTGACACATAAGTTGAATTCTCATTGCGAATTTCTTTTTGAATTTGATGTCCAAACAGAGCCTAAGGTTTCGGACTTTGGAAATCAACTCGATTATCTAAGACAAATGTGGCTGTACTAGGATGAAGGATACCACCCCTTGCCGAATGGTTGGAGTCTGAGTCATATTCAGCCGTAGCATAATGATATCATCCTATACTTCCCACGACTACAAAATCGTAGCGCCGTGTACGCGCCAGTTCCCGACTCCGCCAGCTCGTTCCAATTAATGTCTTTCTTCGAGCCTTTGCCCACGTTACTCTTTAAGTTTGACTTGTAAACATACTCGTGTCCTGTTGTATCACATTAATCTTCGTGCTGGGCAAGATTTCATTCCAATTCCGATTTCCAATCACTATATAGCTGGTTATTTTGTTTTGAGTCCAGCTTCTTGCAATGTGTATACTCTCATTTACGGGTTGTATTTAGTTTGACGGTGCCGCCATTGTAGTGACCCATCATGACCCGGATATATCTGTTTCATTGCCACTGGCTGATTTTGAGACCGTTGGCTATCGCACTGTTCCATCATCTGTTGACTCTTCCTTGGTTCGTCCCAAGGTGTTTCTTTTTCGTGCTCGTTGGAACAGTATCCCGCTTGGTTCTATTCCAGTGAGGAGACCGTCAGACCACACCTGGATACTGTTTTGGCACATCCTTTATCTCAGCCTGTCTCAGGTGTGGTAGGTCTTTCTGTTGTCCATCATACCAAATCCAACTTCCTGGCTCAGGAAGTTGGATTTCGTATGACGGATGACATGGTGCCTTGGTTGTCGTTGCTCACCGGGGATCATGACAAGATCCAAAGCTGACATAATGGTTCCCTCCCACAGGAATTTTTGTAGAGAAAATGACATTTCTTGCAAACAGAACCCAGACTGGTCGTTGGGAAACTTGTGTGGATGAGATGAGTCCAAAAAATCCAAGCTGAAACCAATCAACAAGACGTTAAGGTTGAAATGCATCGGTTGACGCCGGTACTGCCGGCAAAATTGGTTACCGGTTCTGGCAGGCTGACATAATCTTATACCCGCAGAAATTTTGGTAGAGAAAATTTTATTTGCTGCAGACAGAACCCTCCCCCACTAACCGTGGGAGTCGGGAATCGAGGACTCATGAATTCACTGATGACTACTCCTCCTGACTCAACTTCTGACAAATCCCTCAGCTCGCTCGCCAAAATTTTATCGGACGACATCGCTAGCAACAGCTTTCTACATAAGCGCAGAACATCGTACACACTCCTCTTCTAGATGCTGACCGTACCCCACAAGTGCCTCCCTCTTTCAGCGCTCAGATCTGAATAGCTTCTACTTTACTGATTCCGTTCTACATGCAAAGGAGGGCTTTGAGCAGCTAAGTCCTACTCAGATACCGCATATACGACTCCTTAGAGGCCTATGGCATGTATCAAGAGTGGGCTTTGTGCATGGAGGAAGCCCGTCCGCTTTGACACCCTATGGAAACGGGTACAGAAAACGACCACTCGACAGCGTCCACATATGCTATCATGTTTTCAGTGTGCGGTACGCTTCATTTATCTATTTACTTCATCAATCTGACAACCCTTTCTAGTTTTAATCCGAATCTGAGTTTCACGAACATCTGCAAAAGTGGGTGTCTGACTGGCACCAAAAGTTCAAGGCACATATCGAGGCAGTCATAAAATTTGAATAATGTGGTTGAGCGCCTGTGACCATCACTCGGAATATGCGTTTGTTGACACTGAGCGTGTTCTTAAATGTTGCCTTCTTGGTGTAAGTTCGTAAGTTAAGTTGTGAAGATAAGTTTAGGTTTCCTATCGCCTTCGAAATTCGACACAGAGAATCACGTTCTCGATTTGTTCTTGATCACATTGATTAGGTGTCATGGTGCTTGTTTGATACTTTCACTTGAATCGCACTAACAGCTTCTCAGGTGCTCTCCTCAGAAATCTTGAATGTCGAATACGTTCAGTGCGAGTGCCGAGCGCCATGATCATTTACTCGAGACAGACGTGCACTTACCCATAGTGAGTTGCTTTTTCCATGCCAGCGACCAACCAGCGTTCTCCCTCCTTCTGCATATGGAAGGAACGACTGTCTTCCTTCTCTTTTGGTCTGACTAGGGGAGACTATCTTTCTGCATTTACTGGCTTCAAGTCGCGTTCCACGTAAATCGTCGTCTTTGTAAAGTTATGATGCGTCCAAGATGCGTCCACGGTTTCGCTGAGTCATGAATCATGATGGAATTCGAGTGGCAGTTAATTTTCAGCTGCTCAATCATGTGGCCAGGATTTCAGCACTGCCATTAATCATCGGTCGAACGAAAGATTTGCTTCAGGTACATACAAGTACAATCACAATCATTTAGAATGTATCCATGTGGCTCCAACTCATAGCACAGTTCAGGTGCTCTTCGGAAGTGGTGTCTCTGCATACAGCGCCTCCATAGCCCCTGGAGGATAGCGATCCCCAACTACCCAATCAGCCTTCTCCGCAATCTTACGTACTTCCTGGACTGATTCAGGACTCAATGACACATTGACAGCAACGAGATTCTCCTCGAGATACTGTACAAGTCAAAACCATGAATGCCGAGGTTATACGCGGTGATGTGCCTACTGACCTTGATCTTCTTTGTACCCGGAATGGGGATGACATCTTCACCTTGGGCAAGAAGCCATGCCAGCGCGACCTGTCCAGCGGTTGCATTATATTGTTCGCCCACTCTTTTCAGGTTATCTGCCAATTTCAAGATGTTCGGGAAGTTCTCCTTCGAGTATCTAACAAAGTACAGTTCGGGTGAGTCCCCACTAGGCACTGACATGACACATACCTGGGAACCATCCTCCTGAAATCATTAGATTCGAAGTCATCTGGAGATTTCTTTTCATACGGTGAGCGTCCAAATGACTTTAAACACTCTACGGTACTTACATACTGTCCCGTGATCAAACCACGGCCAAGGGGCGAGTACGCAATGATTTTGATTCCAAGCTCACGAGCCGTGTTTAGAATGTTGAGCTTCGAGTCCTCGATGTCGAGTGTGAAAGGCGAATACTCCACTTGAACGGTAGCGATAGGGTGCACTTTCTGAGCACGGCGCAAGGTGTCCGCAGTGCATTCTGACAGCCCGAGATACTTCACTTTCCCTTGTCTTCCCAGCGATGAGCATGAGCTAAGGTTCCACGAATTGTTCGCTTACTTGACAAGTTCTGCCATAGCGCTGACAGTTTCCTACCCGATTTCAGAAAACCTCAGAGAGTACACAAACAAAGACTTACTTCGATTGGCGTTTGGGGATCAGGTCTGCATGATGATGATGGTAATGAGGTTTGAGCTTAACCTATTCAACACGCTGCGCGCACCTGTGCAAGTAGTAAAGATCGACCTTATCAACACCAAGTAACCCTTGTGATTTTGCGAATGACTCGTGGACATATTTGGGGGATCCGTCAACCCCTCTACCGTCAGATCCACTGATGACGACACCAAATTTCGTAGCAAGAAAGATTTTGCTCCGCTTTTCAGGATTCAGCTTGAACCTGCACTCCTGGTTTATGAGGGGCCATTACCGTTACAGCGCAGTACGACGTACCATTTGCCAATGAGCTCTTCGCTGTCTCCATAGATATTGGCAGTGTCCCAGAACGTGCAACCGAGCTCATACGCTTTATCAAGAACCTGAAAGAGACGGTCATCAATTAATGCGTTAGACAGCAGTGTGCTCACGCTTCACCTGGAAGCGCTCCTCATCCGAACCAGTCTGACCGTAATACGCTCCTATGCCCATGGCACCAAAGCCAATGGCAGAGACATCGTCCGTGCCAATTTTGCGTGTGGGATACTTGGTCATGATGTTAGATGTAGATAAGTCGGCAGATACTGGGGCTCACAACTCACGAGAAAGAAATAACTTTATATACCCAAGTACCCAAGTCTCCTGACTTACTGATTCAACGAGTGACGCAAACTGTTATTAATTAAATAGAGCTGACGCAATTGATAAGGGCTCGTGCCGAGCCTGCCGCGGCTGTGACGTACATTTCAAACGGCAATTTTCATTGGCTGACTTACGGTACCTCGTCAGCTCATTGAGGTAAACCTTACACATGCATGCCATGTCACTGACGCGTCCCGCTCAATCACCTGTGCCGTGTCAATGATTTCAGCATCCTAATCATATCCCATGGCCTTTCGCTAGGCTCGTGACCAGCCTGGCGTATACTACCACGGATCCTCCAGTGGTGTAGCCATCAAAAAAATCTTACCATCTCAAATTGACGCATAGTCAGACTGGTTACGAGTCTAGCCTTTCGCTTGGTGATGCATGTCTTGTATCAAAAATCTTTCGCAATACCATACAATCCGGGAGTGTTCAACTTGTTTTATTGTGCACCATCCAACTTATAAATTCAAACAATTCTTTCTGTCCATCACCAATTGACTCTATGATGCACTGGATTCATATCGCTCCTCGCTTCTCCCTCCTTGCCTCCAACAAATCCCTCAGCTCGCCAATATTTTCTTGGACGACATCGCAATGCACGGCTTTCTATATAAGCGCAGAACCCTGTACACACTCTTCTTCCACATGCTGACCGTGCTCCAAAGTGCCTCCCTCTTTCGACGTTCAGGTCTGAATAGCTTCTACTTTACCGATTCCATTCCACATGCAAAGAGGGCTTTGAGCAGCTACGAACTAGCAAGTCCTACTCAGATACCGCATATACGACTCCTCGGAGGCCTATATTCACATGGCATTTATCAAGGGTGAGCTTCGTGCATGAAGGACGCCTGTCCGCTCCGACACCATATGGAAATGGGTACAGAAAGAGTCCACCCGACAACGTCCACATATGCTGTCATGCTGCTAGCGTGCGGTACGCTTCATTTATCTACATACTTAACTGACTATCCTTGATAGATTTAATCCGAGTCTGAGACGCACGCAGGCCTCTCTCCGACATGCCATGCCCAATTACCCTCGCTAGCATCCTCATGCACAGATTGCACCCACCGTCAATAGTGTGTTATTCAAGTCATCCAAAGAAGCCTCTGACATCTTAGATATCCTCTCCAAAGCTGCATCGCTTGTATTTTAGCCGAACTTGGCAGACAGAATTTCTCAGAAGCAGACACGTTGCAGAGGTTAAGCCTGTCACGCGACTCATTGTATGTGTTGCATTCTTTCATTTGAATCGTACTAACAACCTCTCGGGCGCCTTCTGAAGAAATCCTGGACGAGGGTGGGAACGTAATACTAGCACAAGCTCAAGCTCCAAAATCAACATTAACAATCTCCGTAACTACGCGCGTCCCGCCAGAAAACCAACGAACACTTTTCGAGAAATCAGTCCACGACGTTGCAGTGGAGCTCCTCCGTCACGAATCTAAGCTTAACGAGCAAAGTGTAGGCAACCGCGAAGATCTGCAAAGGTGGGTGTCGGATTGGCACCAAAAACTCAAGGCGCGTTTCGAGGCAGTCATAAAGGACATCATAGCTGTTGAGGGTAAAATCGGTGAGCATATACGCGCCAATCAGATACCTGCATTGGGCTAAAATACACGCTAGTTCCCACACGGGTCCCATCCTCTCCCTCGTCAAACCTGCGAAGCTCTCCTCATCAATACGCTTAGTCTTAGATAGTATCAGACTTGCATGGATGTAGTACATAGTTGACTTGCCTCCTACGATGCATATATATTGAATTGGATATCAATATCAATGATTTGGTCGTGATACTTATCCCCTTCCGCACTCGTATTACTCCATCCCTTCCTCTGGTCCCTGGTACAACATGCAAGTAACGTAATAATCAGGGACTAACAGCTTCTTTACTGTTAACCAACTTCTCAAGCATATCGCTCGCTACCGTCCTCAATTCTTTCACAGCAACGACACACTCTCCCTCTCCTTGCTCTGAATCTCGCTTCTCCAGTACGTTGAGAACATGATCCACAGATCTAACGAGCCACTCGAGATAATGTTCTGAAGTAGTCTGCATATACCTCTTCGTGCCTTCCACAAGGACGGGAAGGAACTCGAAACAACATATGTCGTCAATTATAAAAGGGGCATGCATCCATGCACCACTGATCATGTCCCACCACTGCTGCTCTGTGATAGAATCGAGTGATGTAACCGACAACTGTCCGGGTGCGATTCGGAGGAGGATGCCAGCTAGGTAAAATGTATGCTGCATGAAGTGGCACTTTGCGATCATGCTAATGCACCGATCTATATGGTGATCCCCAAACAAATGGGGATGCCAGCTGGAATTTCTCGCGAGGGCAAAGATCAGTTTGAGATAGCACTCGTCGCGGCCAGGATGGAAGAAGCGATCGGGGTCATCTTCGGAGAGTGTTGCACCTGGTTGCGGACAAACCGCAGTCAGGATAGCGGGGGGAAAACTCGGTCAAAATCATGTCCCGCAGCTCCACATCATCAATGGCATCGATTGAGGCAATTTCTTCTCGGGCACTGTGGGCAAGGCGAATAGCGGCATGACGTAAATGGACAGGCATGTCACTGTCCATGCAAGCGATGAGGCTCTCGAAGAACTGATGTTGTTTAGCAGGGCTGCAGCGCACTTTCATGACACCCAGGAGCAAAAGGATGTCAAATGCCGCTTCCTGGTCATAGGAATGAATATAGGAATGAATATACTCGAGGTAGTCCACCAGCCAGTCGAAGTCTTCTGGCGAGTGGGAAATGGCTGTCTGAAAAAACTGGTTATACCACAACTGGGCAGGGTCCCGAGATACTTGGACAGCAGTGAGCGTGAAGTGCAGTGCATTTTGCAGAGCATCCAACAATTTCCAGGGATAATGTTGTTCGGATGACCTCGCTCGCTCGTAAATCTTCCTGCACATATCTAGGTTCCGGATGGTGTAGCATGAAGGACTATAATACTGTTTGGCAGGCTCGAGGATGCGACAAATAACGTCGAGGAGGTTCCATGCCCGGCGTGTGATTCCTGTGCTGTCTTTCTCGAGATCGCCTCCATCGTATGCCCAGAGAACCTTTTCAAAATGCGCCAAAAGGGCATTCGCGAATCGAGGCAGGGAAGAACTACACAATCTCTGTGTTAAACATGGCAGAAGGAGCAATGAGTCAATCGCACCTTTTATCAATCCGAACTATATCCTTCTTGTCAAACCGAACCCCGACCATGACGCAAGCGAGAAGAGTGCAATTTGCTATGATTTGATTCGACGGAGAGGAAGAAGAGGATGACAGTTTTGATATCACCTCTATGGCGAATTCTTCTGCATCTTTCTTCACTCGCCCAGTGACAAAGAGGTAAGGAAGAGAGTGTGACACCCACTCAAAGACAGAGTCGGGACACTCGTCTAACCAAAACGTATACAGCAAAGATCTATCGTCATCATCTTCCGGAAAACAAAGTTGCATAGCCAGGGCAAGCACCATGTCGTTGGCTTCACCCATGTCCATCATGCTAATCTCCTGAAACACGTCGTAGTCTCTTCTCCCACGGCAAAGAAATTCACCATGGCCAGGATACTGAAGAACGCGGCCACAATATAGATGACTCAGAGCCATTATACAAGCCGAGGCCTTCTCCTCCAACGACGGTATAATTTGCCCATGAAAGCCGATGCAGCTTGTGAAAATATCATACAGCTGAGGCAACGTGTCTGAGACGTCAAGATCCAGGGGCCATTCGACCAGCGGAACAAGGCTGACAGCCGCGAGAAATACTTCAGGATCCGTAGATGTCTCAAGCAGCCACTTGATGCTAGGTGCTTCGAGATTGCTGGTGGGTATGTCAGGGAGGCTGAGAGCGTATTCATTCTCCGACGAAAAATCCAAATGCAGGTCGAGCGGCTGTGCTTCTGTGTCCACGACCTTTATCAGGGAGTGCGGAGCAACAAAACGCAGCCAGTTATGAAGCGTGGTGAATAACTGCTGAAGAGATCGTCGTGCGAATGTGCCGACCGCATGTACAGGGCCTGGGAACTGAAATTAGCACCGAGTATCTTTGTCATAGTAGATAAAGTTACCTCTAAATATTTCAGACAAACAACTCCATCTCGATCTGACGATACCAAGCAATCGTTGCAGCACGCCTGACACGAAACGATCAACACTTGTGCACACGGAATAAGACACGACTCACCGTGCACTAACGTTGTGAGCTGCTGGAAATAACAGGATACTCGTTTGAGCACCAGGCGTAGAACCCCTGTAATGTTGATTCAGACTGGCAACGACCACCAGAATTCAACAAAATGATCTTACTGTCTATGCGCAACATGCGCAAGATCGTTGATATCGGCGTTTGAAATGGACAAGCGGGAGATACCAAACATGCCATCACCGTCAGCGAGTAGAACAGAAATCCGAAGACCGTCGTCGCGATAATGACCCAGGCGATGCTCGGCTGCTCGCACCATATATGAGCGCCGAGGGCGATCCCAAAGAGAAGAAGCGAGAATTGAAGCAAGACCGGAAAGGATTGCACGACAGCATCAAAATACCATGTGACGAGGCCTTCGAATTTCTCCTGTCTGCGCTTTCCTCGTTCCTCCTGGGAGCCGCGACCATATCTATTCGACTTGTAGTACCCGAGCCACTGCTTGCCTAGTACGGCCCCGAACGCAGCGAGCAAGCTCATGGACAAGCTTGCGTATGCGATCGTTTGGATCCACAGGGTCGGTGCGGTCGGCGACCACGTAGATGCTGGGTCTACGGGTGTAGAGCCCGCTGCAGCGAGGTTACCGAGTCCGATGTACACGAGTTGCTTTAGAAGGGCATTCGTGGTGTCGCTAGGGTCGGGACTGAGATTAGATTCCATTGCTACGATAAAAGACGTGCTGACGGCGGAGAAAAGACCAGACTGATTAGCATCAGTCTTAGAACGAGTCAACGATAACTATGCGAAACCTACGAAGACCAAGACAATGTCCATGTCACTGGTGTATCGCTCGAGGAACTCGCCGTCGTGTTCCTCCGCGACTCGTTTGTACACCCCCCAGAAACGAGATCGTTTGTCCTTGCCAATCTTCGACGCAACCGTCGAGTCCTGGAGAACATCCAATACTTGCTTCATGACATTTGCTCTGCGTGTAGGGTGTCGTCAGCTGCGATCGCTCAGCTTATTTTTTCACTCACAATTCGCTTAGAGTTGGCTGGTCCTTCTCCGCCACAACCTTCTCCGCCACAACCTTTTCCGCCTCACTGAGACAATTTAGGAACTTGTCTAACACCGTCATTGATAGGAACTTACGGAGTTAAATCACAGTCCGGTGCAACATTAGAAGTGATTTGCTGTATGTCAGGTTCTGATGGTTGGGAGAGTCCTGTGTTCGAGCTGCAGTTCTGGTGAGGACCAATACAGAAGTATCAGGGCAGAAACACTTACATTTCTGATGACAGCTCCGCCGAAGGTTCACAATTTATCTTCTCCCTGTTTTGCTGTCAGATAGCAGGCAAACTCCATGACACCGCGACTTACTCGTCTGTAGGTCCTACGGTGTCATTCTCCAGTGAAGGCTGCTCAGCCAAGTCGTTATAGGCGCGCTGATCCTCGGCGCCGTCGGCGCCTGATGCTTGTGACATGAGGACGTTGCACCTAGATTTGATTCCAAGAAAAGCTAGTGAAATTGGTAAGAGTCTGAGGTGAGCGGAAAGAGCAGAGTCACAGTGGTAATACACAGCAAGTCGGTTAGGCGGCTATTATGAACATTACGAACACGTGCTTCAGAGAGTAGACGCTGAGAATGTTCCCTGCAGTGGACTACGAGTAGTGTCCCATAGTCAGCCTGAACTAAACCAAGGAAGAAAATTGCGCTTGAGATCGATGCCAACGTTCTGAATCGTTGGCCTGCCGCAAGCGTACTAGTTCACCTGTAGGGCATTCAGCGCGACTTGCGTGCAAGTATCGTGACTATTTATTGTCGAGACAGATACTTACCCATTGTCAATGTAGAGTCCTCCTTTTAGGCCCAATTGTTACGTGGCTGAATGTCTTTGTGCGATATCATGAATGTTTGTCGGCTGAAACCTACTGAATGATTGGGTATTCCACGAGGTGCGCGTAGCGGAAGGCATCTACATCATAGAACGGAACGAGAACCAGAAGAGTGAGCATGTTAGCATCAAGCCAGATATGGCCGACCTGTCGGCAGCCCTCGATGATCGGATGCGGATAAGAATCAGATGCAAATCTGAGTCATGATCAAATTAAAGTTCCAACCACAAAGTCCGCGAGCTGTTTTGGATTCGTGTCTACCGTAGTACGTCCAAATTTGAGTCATCGTACAATCCATATATGGCGGCCTGAGTGATTCGGTTTCAACTAAGAAATCTCTCCCAGTGGCTTTTCGCAAGGGATCTGAATGCAACATAATACTGCAAGGCGACGATCCTGTATTCCGGTGCCTCCATGCCTCCATTGTAGTCACTGGCGACCTCACATTTCAGCACCTCTGTCCTATCTGACGGATATTGACCGGAAATGACTGCATCACTCAACGCTTTGGTGACAGGAACCAAGTAGAAGGTGGGGCGTAACCCAACCATGGTGATGCAAGGCATAGTCATGACATCAAGTGGATGCAAGCCCATCTCTTGTCGGTTGTTATTGTTGAACTGGTATGCCGCAATGGCTCCTGCGATCATACGTGCTTCGACATTTGAGGGACCCATCTGTGTCTTGTTCGTTTGTAAAAGAAGTAGCGTCTTTGATTCAAAATCCTTCAAGCATATGCTTATCTGCGCAACTTCGTCAATAACATAACAGAATGGAATTTGGTATGCTGTCAACACGCCAAACCGACGCTGTTGGAAGCCAGCTGTAATGAGAACGCCACGAGCGAAGGTGTCGATGCTTGGCTCATGGTCAGGCATAATTGTGGTGACAAAGCGGAGATTCACGAGAAAACGGAGGGTGCTGGCCGACACATCAGCGTCGACGTGCACGTCCGAGTCGGCGGTGGCGAGTGCGGGATCAAGGCCTGTCATAGTTAGAGGCACATATGTCCCCTGGGAAAAGAATTGCTGTGGTGGTATAGCAGTGACAGTTATGTTGTATGCCATCAGCTCATTATCATCCCAGTCGACGTCGCTGCTTGAGCGTGCAGAACGAAAATCAATGGCCATGTTCTCTTTCTCTTTATTAAAACGAGGTAAAATGTCAGAGAAAAACAATGATCAGTCACTGAAAATTTCTTTCACCTCAGATTATGTAAGTTCCGTCGCAGCTGTGTTACTTTGCGCAGGAAATCTACCATGAAGTGTGAAGCTTTGAAGCTTTGAAGTGTCATAAATGCGGGGAAGCCCAAGTAGCTGGAGCAGGCTCCTATTTGCCACCTCGCTGCTGAGTCATCGAGTGACACGTGGAATTGAGTGCGGAATGATCGTATGTCACTAACTAGCAGTGAGCACTGTCAGAGTACTGATTGATTCATCATATTGGCCATCCAAATATTCACCACTGGAACAGGTCCACCCCACCCGAATGTGACTACAGCCAGAACCTCTGGTCAGGCAAAACCTCCCCCGGCGGGAATTAGCACCCGTATATCATTCGCAACATTATGTTGCTTTACTGAGTTTTTCAATTCTTATCACGAAAAACTGTATCTTCTGATAATCTTGATTAGGCAAGGATGGTACAGTTGAGCTCGGACATGAATAAAATGAGACTTGGACAACAGAGCTTGCTTGTGACATGGCTACAGCACGACTCGGAGGGGAAAATCTTTTTATGTTGCCTTCTAGTTCAGCGTGCTTTGACATGAGGACAAGTCAATTATTAGCAAGGATGCAGCCTCCCTGATGAGCATGTGACACTGTCCCTCAGGGGATCATCATAGCGTCAGGTGCTGACAAGTATTATGCCATCTGCGATTCTGCATAACGCCGCATTGAGAAGGAGTTCGTCGAGGGAGCCAATCAGCGTGCACCGCTGCATAGATATATATTTGTCATATGGAATACTCGTTCTTGCATTTAAAGTCGGTACGTGATAGGTTTTGCATTTTCGCCTCCTCGAAGTATCCCGTCCTTTCGAGCTGACCACGAACTTTTTGCAAGCGTTAAGCGGTTGGCATTCCTGCAATTCTCTCGACCCCATCCACTAACATTGTACTTGGTATTAGACTCGTGTCTCCTTCAGCCCGCGGTCTGCGACCGTTAATCCTGATTCTAACTCCTGATATAACGCCGACGTGCAAAGGCCAACACTCATGTTCCTCCACGTTCGTACCCCTAAATCCGCCAACAGTTGGGCACAAGATGATCTCAACTCGTATTGCATCACCATCGAGGAACTAGAGCCTGCCCAATTCTTTCCATCATGTACTTGGTACATTGGGAGGACTCGACCCAGCGCTAGCCACCGCCGCAATCGACGCTACAAATGTCTCGGATGGGACATACCAGATCCTGAGATTCATGCAGGCTGCCACCAATACAACTCGTAAGGCCGATATCGACGAATTCGCTCGTGTCATTCTCAGCGCAATCGACTTCGACGACAAACGCGAATTGGCCATACGCGTCAGACACCATATCTCACTGTTGATCTGTGGTGAGAAGAAATCTGCAGAAGTAAATGTCTGCTTGGCGGATTGGTCCACGGAGATAGTCCATGTACTCCAGGAGAACAAGACTACGAAGAATCCTCACGATCCCGAATAACAACTTATCGCAGAGGCCATTGCGGCATTTCAACGTAACGATAACAAGCAACAAGACATGGGCCTCGTCGCACTTGACAAGATGCATTACCCTGCATCACAATGGTGGGAACGCACGTCACCTTCTACCTTGTTCCCGTCACCAAAGAGCTGAGTAACGCTGTCGCGGGACGTATCCGGAGTCTGAGACAGAGGTTCAAAAATGCGAATGCAAGGTGTCAACGGTGGTGTGGAGAATCCGGCGTATAGGACCTAAGCATTGCAACAATATATCGCGTTCAAGGACCTGGCCAAGAGCTACTGGGACAAGTTTTCCATTGAATACCCCTCATGTTTTGTGTCGCCTTTGATTGTAAAGCAAGTGATTTCCCTATCCCGTTTTCGAAATTTTCACGTACAAGGGCATGTAATATACCTACATCTGCATCGTATCCTCCTTCTCCCACCCAGGGTTCTTCTGTAATATAACAAAGCCCTCTAGAACATGCGCATACGGGATGAATTCTTCTGTCGCCAACTCCGCGCGCTCTGTCGTCCCCAGCCGTACAGGCGTCTGGTGCGTCTGGAAGCCTGATATCGTGCGTGGTTTGCCAGCTTGTCCGACGACGTCCACAGCCTATATGACGAACAAGGATAAGCTACACGCGACATGAAATAGGAAGACTGTGAACTCACCTGACCGACACGAACAGTGACGGGCTTGCTCTCGAGGTCCTCATCAAGCGTGATGAGGAAGCGAGGGTACATGGCAGTCACGAGGAAGTACAGCATCCAGTGGTACTTGTCGAGTATAACTACATGTGCTCATCAGAATCGGCTTGCATGAGTCAAAGCGAGAGGACTCACAGGCTTTAGCATCTGTGAACGCCATGATCGTCGCCAGTAAACCCGCAATAGCCGGTCGACTCATGATGTTCCTGTCTGAGAAGAAAGGATTGATCCCAATCGTGCCCTTACCCATGTGCACGAGACCTTGCGCGATGCGGACCATGAACAAGCAGTCAGGCTCCTTGTAGTAGTACCCCGCGAGCTGGCGGAGCATCTGTGCGAGTCGTGCATTATTTGTGCCCGCGCCGACGAGGCCCATTGCAAAGATAGCGTTGAGTGCGACCGCGAGGTCGTGGTCATGGCTGTATTTTGAGAGTGTGTCGAGGACGGGGAGCTGTGGATTTGAGGCGCTGATGAGGCCGAGAGCAAGTGGAACAGACTTGCGGATAATGGGATCGCCGTAGTGCATCTGAGAATGATACTTGTTAGCAAGACAACTGGATATTATTTGTGCCAAAAAGATATACCAAGTGGTTGAATTGTCTCATGGACATCTCGGCACCGATGTCCTCGCCCATGGCGATCATCGCAATACCAAGAACGGCAAACGATTGGAATGTATCGTCGGGTTTCTTGTCTTCTTTCTTCTCATCCTTGTTCTCATCCTTCTTCCCCTCCACGCTCTCGGCTTGCTCTTTCTCCTTGAGGGCATCAAGGTGCTCGCCACACAAGTGCAGCAATCTCTGCACCCGCAGGACGTTCCCGGTGGCAACGAAGGAGCACACCTCCACAAGAATCTGCGCCTGCCTTGAGATTGGGTGCTGAATAGCCTTCAGAGTCTCGAGCGTGGCGTCTGAAGCATCCTGCAAGCCTGCGACTCCGACTCAACACGTCTCCCAACTCAAAAAAAAAACCATGAAAACGTACCAACGTAAAGGAGCGCTAACCCCAACGCCATGAATCGTCCCCACTTCTCATCTAGAGCCTTATCATCTCTCTCCATCAATGTCTGCAAGATCGTGCTCGTAATCTCCCCGTTTCCACTGCCTACGAACACGAATCCTAGTGCGAGCGCGCTGAGTGCAGCGATCTCCATCGACACGCCGTCGTCTGCGACCGCAGGAAGGAGAAGAGTGAGCAAGTCCTCACGGTGCGAGCCCGCGTATGCTACACCGAGCCCCATGATTGCAGCCGTTTTGAGTGGGACGGATTGATTCTCTACGTGTTCTGCTAGCAACGCGAGGGCAGCGTCTGCTTCCGTGCGTACACCTGCATTCAGCAGGCCTGTAGCGAAAAATGCACCAGCCTAAATAATTAATAAGGATACGCGGTGACACGGTGTAGATAATACCTTGATCCATTCTTCAGGGGAGTATGTATATCTGTCGATGTGGCTGAGACCAACGTCCGTGTCCCAAAGGAGACCTAGTCCAAGACTGGCCGCAGCGCTCATCATGCCTAGAAAAAGGTTGTCGGTATGCCGGCTTCACGAACTGGTAAGGTAGTCACCGTGGTCTTTGTTCTTGTAAACCCAGCTGTTGCCCTCCTCGGCTTCCACCATCAATTTATCGTTACCAAACCCAGCGTTAACGAAAGCATTGACAAATGTGCCTGCAAGGTTAGCACGAGCCGAGTCAACATTGGCAGACAGCCCTGATCCTAATCATAGTTCAGAAAGATAGACAGAGCTTCAAAAAGTGGACCGTACTCGTAGTCTCAAGATGACTCTTGTAGACATCTTCAAGGCTCTTCGGATCTGCAACGCCCACCTCTTTTCCGAACTCCTTGAAATGTCGACTGAGCTGTGTGTTGCTTAGGCAGTCTAGGATGTCTTCTGGGAATTCATCTTCTGCATCTGCGTCTTCTGAAGCAGACGCTTTCAGCCATTCGATGGGAATCTGTGCACGTGCAAGAAGGAAAGCAAGCTGCTTCTTCATTACCCTGAGCAGATATGAATGAATATCAATGTGCATGTGGCGCGACTTACGGATTGCCAGAGGCGTTGAAGTCTTGTCGGATGAGTGCAGCGTCATTAAGGCGGATCGCGACACCGAGAGCTTCGGGGAATTTGGAGAACTGGAGGTAGATCTTGTGTATCGTGCGCAAGAAAGTGACATCGTCAGGAGGAGGGAGGAGCGTGACACATCTACGAAAGAAATTTGAGACATGAGAATATGAATGAGAAGGCAAACATACCGATCCATGTATGCACACACGCGACTGAACGTGTTTGCGTCTACGAGACTTGCTATCCGGTCAACAATCTCGAGCTCCACGAACAAGTCAACGGCGTCTGGTTCAGCGTTGTGCCCGAGGAAGAACGTAGCGCATTCTAAGCCAAGGTTGTGTAAGTCTTCGATCGTGCCAGGGACCGGAGCAGGCTTTGATTTAGGCGCGTCTGAATCAGCCTCTGGTGCTGGTAGGGGGACTGCTTCTTCACCCTCTTGACGGATGGTATACTCCTCTCCTAGTTCAGCAGCAAGATGACGAACGTATTCATGCCCCCAGGAACCAGGTTCGGAGATTTTGGATGTAGGAAGGAGGAGAGACGCAGAAAGAAGGCGATAGCGGAGGGTTCCTCGCGGTTCAGTATCGGAGTATGTCATAGCGAGAACGGAGAGAATATCGGCGAATAGACTCTGCATGATGATTAGCCAGTGTCATACAAAAAGGTTTTCCTCGCACCTTGTTTTCGGATGTGGGCCATGTCTCGAACAGCTCTTGGAGGCCGGGATAATGTGGGCGTAAAAACTTGAGAGGTTTCGGAACGGAAGTCATGGACGACGTGGATGTTCTTATGAGTGTGCGGAGCGTCTCAAGAGCAGGACGGTAGAGATCCGTGTTTAATTCCTGCTACCAATTCAATTACTTGTTCTACCTTGATCGGCAGTGGCACGTACCTTTAACCGTTCAATGAGCATCTCCAGCTCGGATTTGAGTTGCGCATCCTCTTCCGACTAGCAAACATAGGTCAGACTTATGTTGATTTCGCTAATGTGATTAACACTCACTAGTTCCTCCTCTTCGTCCTTCACACCATTCGCTTTGGTGTCTAGCTTCTTGTCCTCTTCTTTCTTCTTCTCCTTTGGATCCTTTGAGGGGACTGCAATCTCTGCTGCTGGTCGTTCTGCCATGGCTCGTGGATGTCTCTAAGATGGGAAAGCTAAAACAGCTAAGTACTTGGCAGCCAATAAGTCTCGACGCGCGTCGGGGACGCGTCACGCACCATGCAGGCGTCACACATTTCCCGGTTTGGATAATAATGCCATTACGTTTGATTCCGTCACGCTATATCGGAAAAAAGTGAGAGTTGATACCATGTAACACATTTTAAGGGCCAACTTGGTGTACCATGGGGTACAATAATCTTTCAAGGCATTTGTAAGGGCCGGCTTGCGTTGAACGCAAGCCCGTCGTGGCATCAAATTTTGAAATTATACCCCTGAGGCCTGAGGTACGAGTGTAGGGTTAGAATGATAAGGACTTCCTGCAGCGAGTTAGCTGCCTCCAGCAAGCTCTGCAGCTGCCTGCCGGCTTTCGGATTTTCCTTACCTACCACTCCTTTTCCGTCGCAGCCGTAGTACATTACATACTCATACTCAAGTTCCTGGAGCCCGGGTGGTTGGTACTCTGACCTCGGCTGCAGTTGGCAATATTAAGGGACTTCCGCCCAAAAAAGCTATCTGTTTGTAAATCTCGTTCTAACTACTCCGCACGACCACCTACAAAGTTGTAGTCTTTCAATGCCTTGTAAAGTCTTACAAGGTACTATGAAAGCGCTAACTAACCTTGTAATCCTGCGGCATTATAAATGTCCCTTGGGTTTTTTCCGACAATTCAATAGTCTGCCTTGGGCCCTCGTGGAGTCGTCGGTTACCGGTCACTGTTTAACCTATTGGCAACCTTTTTTTAAGACGGAATGTCCGTTCTTCCTTCTATCAGTGGATCTGCCTGTGATCATCCTATTTCGTTCTTCCTAATATTCGTCAACGTTCAACCATCGGTGTTGTCCTGAAATAGTCCTGGAATGACATTGTTTGACATCTTCCGGTATTCTGCATACACTTGCCATGCGATCGTGCTCAAATACAGCCCTGCAGCCAGCTGGCATGTCCCACCAAGCGCACAAACAGTAGGGAAGATAAAATCTCAGCACTCGGGGGAGTACCTGACCCCAACAACATGGCTACACCCACAGTTTCAAGGTTCGTTGACACTGTGTTCATCCGTCCCATCGTCGTGGCTATAAGCAGCCTTTTGATCGCATCCCTCATGTCCTACGTGATGGCTGAACGCCTCGACTGGAGGCCGGTAAGCCCTCTGTTTGTAGATTCCAGGTCTTCTCATTGACTACCGCAAAAGATCACCGTATGCGTTACATGCGACATTCTTACGGTCGGCATTGATCACTTTAAGGATCAAGAAATTATCATTGGCGCATGCAGCGCAGCTGTCGTAAAACGCTTCACCCCTCTGTTCTACCTCGCCCGCATGTTTCTGATCCTGAATGCATTGCTGCTAGTGATCGCTCTAAGTCAAGGTTCACCAAAAATGACTATCATCACTGTAGTTTTTACTACCCCAGCTTTCTTGTGGGCGACACCGCTCAATCCTCGGCAAATTGGTGCAGCATTCCAGAGATTCATACCTGCAAAGCATGGTCAAGAAGTGGGGTATAGTTCATCGATATCTGGTGCTCCATTCGTCATCAAACGAGTTCCTGGCATGAAATCTATATTCAACGGCATCATCCGAGGGTATGTGCTATCGCATCCTGACGGTTTATCGGTTTTGACTTGAAGAACTCTAGTTGTGGGATATTCTTCGTTGTTCACTCAGCACTGCAGGAATCGGGGAAGTCAAATTCTAACGTGCACCCATGGAAGATCATTGAGATTGTCATTTGGTCGACGATCAGTCGCACTGGTCATGGTGTAAGGCAGTGTTCTACATGTAATGGCACTCTCAACTCACGAACTCCGACAGATTTTGTCAGACGTACGTGACTTTTGCGAGGACGAGAAGGCTGGAGTTCCCGACCATACCCGTCCTTCTTGGATCCCCTCTCAAGACTCGGATAGTCTTAACTGCCAGCCAAGCAGTCGTTATTATGGCTTGTCTCGGCAACCCATACATTTTAGGGAGTTCCTGCTTCATGATCGCTCTTGTTTGGTTCCTAGGGCAAGATTCCCCAAAAGCGTACTTCATCCTCAGTATTCATTCACAGTCGATATTTATTGTTATGTATGCTGCCAGTGTCATACACAGCAGGTCTCTCTAGACTACTGTTATACATCTTAGACGTACCCCTTTCTTCGAATTAGTGATCGTTTTTAATACGATCCCTTCCCTGGACATGTTTAATGTTCAAAGTCCAGACTTGGTCGTGCCTTGAATTCTCTCCTAATCTCTGCAGGCGCAGCGGGGGCCTATTTGCCGATGTTTTTATTTGTCGTTTCCGGTAGTCTCCGGGTCCTATTACAAAATCGGAATTCCAATGTCCTTTTGTTTTAAATTTTTACCTTCTCCTTCTCCTTCCCCTTTCATGATCGACCCTCGCACGAGGGACTCGCAAGCAAGCCCTTTAACCGGCTTCCTCTACGAACATTTCGCAGTGAGGCTGCGAGCCAGATAGGGTCTCTGTTTCACCCAGGACTACCGTTACGCCACAGCTATCCCAGCGTTGAACTGATATTTTTCGATGCTTGACTCGATACCGATGTCTTTGCCATTTTTCTTTTTCGAAACTTTGACCTCTGATCATCGCTCTGAACCTGGCATATTAGAACCCAAATAAACCAATTGCTATCACATGATATCAAGGGTGTGGCGATGTCTTTGCATACGAGGACCATTCGTCTCGATTCGTCGGTCATGGTCCATCGGTGCAGTTGTGCGTTCGCGTGCGGCATTGCCATGTTCCCGCAAAATTTTAAATAGGGTCAAGTGGCTCTGCTTTTGTACACGAGGATCGCCTCGACGATACGCCGGGCGTGGTCTCTCGGTGCATTCGTGCGTTCGCTCGTGCGCGTGCGGCATTGCCCTCCTTGACCCGCCGACCCAAAACCATTTGATAAACCCATAACCTTGACCACACCAGCGCATAATCACGCACCCAAACCTTGATCAATTTAAATGCATTTGATAACTAGGGTCAAGTGGCTTTGTCTTGCATACGAGGACTGTTCGCCTTGATACGTCAGGCGTGGTTTATCGGTGCAATCGCGCGTTCGTGTGCTACATTGCCCTGTTCCCGAACCAAACCACATTTGAAATAGGGTCAAGCCGCTTTGCCTTTGCATACGAGGACTGTTCGCCCTAATACGTCGGACGTGGCTCATCGGTGCATTTGTGCGCTCATCTTTGGGAGTGCAGTATTGTGCTCCTTGACCCGCGAACCCAAAAATACTTGATAAACCCCCTTGATGCATACCACACAAGCGCATGTGACCCAGTCAAATTGACCTGACTAGACCAGTGCTTGCACATAGAATCCACGCAGTCATCATGGAACTAGTGTATGACCACACAGGGATGCGCATACCACGCAGGCTTATCATAGCCCATTGCTTATCCACATGGACGAGACCAAACACTGATCATGATGCATGATGTGTTGCTCACAGAGCAAGTCGTGTACCAAGTATACGATGATGACCTTGAGGGAGTCTATCGATGCTTCCGTGCGTTGCGCGGCGTGACTCAGTCTCCCTGGGTTTTGAACCGTTATCCGATATCAGACCAATGGCTTTATGATTCACAGGCCATCGCTTTCAAACTGTTTCCATATGCTATCGGCTGGATCTCACTGCACCCTGAGGCAGTGTGTGCACCCACACAGCGAAAGTGGAAGCCCATCAGGAGCATATCCTGTCGAATCTAGGTGCCAGTAATGGTATTCGATAAAATATATCATGGATCCGGTTGATGTTTTGTAACGCACACAGTTTCTCATACTTTGGCATGGTCGTGAGTTGTTATGCATTTGTTCCATATCTCCATGCTCATGGTAGGATTTTGCAGGACTCGCCTTCACTGTTTCCTGTCAACGCGAGGCAGACTCAGTTGGCTCATGCCAGGGTTTGTCGTCTTCAACTGGAGCCTTCGGGTCTGTTGATGCATTATTGCATAATTTTTTGCTCATCCCTTCTTCAGTGAAGGGTCTTGGTCTAGAAGACGGTTTTGCGCCGTTGGGATTGAAGTTAGGCCTCATTGTCGTACTCCTTGATACTTGATATTTGTTCTATGTATGATACTGTATGTTGACACTATTTATCTTGGTGTGGGCGTCTGCCCTCGTTTGTCTTCCTTCTGTCTATACCGTGCTTTGGACTCTAAGCATTGAGTTTGAATGTACTTGTGATGCTAAAGGTCAGGCGCACCTTCGAACTGTTCTTTTCAATGCTCATCTCGTACAGGTTACTTCACGCATCCTGAGCGGACCAAGGCGTGGGTATTTCAATGCCCCTGCTACCGGCTTGTAGCAAAGCCCAGCCATAATCAACCGCGCAATATACCAGAACAGCAGAGGGGAGCGAGAATGAAAGTTCAGAAAGCTTTGCGGGGATCGAGCAAACCTGCATCCATCGTTGAGCCGTCATCTCGCGCGTGCGCCTGTCAAATGTGCTCCAGGCTCTTCAGTAACTGCTGCGGGCCGATGCGAGAGGAATATTTTGGGATGTTGTCGGGACTGGAATTGCTACGAAGACTTGAGTATTGCGATTGGTTAGTATCGGGGATAGTACGTACCTCCATAGCTGATTTCTCGAGGATATCCTAGGAATGCAGCGTGATGAAGATGTCTGGGATGCTTTCATACGTCTTGTTGATGCTGTTAGTGTGCATCAAATAACGACCATGCACTGACGCAATTAAATGTTAGGTCTTGGGTCTTCAATTTTAAACACCATGTTCATTGATTACACTACCAAAAAAAAAGTTGAAGGGACGGGACCTACGCAACCCTTGAGGTCGGTCAATATCATATGTCGACATGAACGAAACTGGGCGGGAACAGCGACGCACTTCAGTCTTCAGCAGGCGTGTTAAGGCTGGAGATAGATACGTTCTGAATGACTGTCACAGTCATGACCTGCTTGCGCTTCGTCTCGTGGTAGGGCTACATGATGGGGAGGCCTGGAGGTGTAGCCCAAACATTTTCTGTCCTTTTCTTGATATGGTTCCTGGAGAGTGAAGAAGCTTGTTGTTTGTCGGCTCAATAACCAATGTCATCCTTATTGGAGGACCATAGTATTGGAACTGGATTGGCGTGAGTGCATATTCTGCTAATCGTGTCTTCTCGCTCTTGTGTTTGATGCAAAGTCTTGGGTACTCTCCAGGACTTTTGATAGCCAACGACAGCGACAGCAAGCGGGCACATCTTCTCATTCACCAATCTGCGCGTCTTCCCAGTCCGGCTTTCATGGTCACGAATCTAGATGCGTCAATTCAATTTTCCCTGTCCTAAGACTTCCCGTAACAACTGCGGATCCTCGCCATGACAGCAAGAAATCTCCGAATCAACCGCAATTCCGCATTCTTGGCGAAGGTTTACCTGTCGTTCTTCCGTATATCGACCCGAGCGTAATATTGGACGTTGAGTTTGCGACTCTGAAGACTCTTTTGACGATGTACTATCCACTCTGCACATCATTTCAGGCCCATTCCGATCTGTCATTGAGAACCTCCGTCAGCTTGTCATTTGGAATGTCGAGAACCACTTTATACCGCCCTAAGATTGGTACTCGGAGCTTAGGTGTGGGACATACGTCGTGATCGAGCCTGCATGCATTCAATTGGAGGGAACCATGGGTAGGGCCAACTCATTCATGAAGATATTGGCTAACTAGATTTTCAGGTTCTATCATCTCAATGCTCACACGATCTGCATTGTGGCTTAATCCATGTTGCAAGTCGAGCTATTCAGCTCGTAACCAAACAGATTCGATTACAGTGCCTCAGTCCAAGTCGCGTGCATGGGACGTGATGGCAGGTGTCCAGCCAGGCAGAAGAGCAAGGGAAGACCGATAGGGAAGGAAAGCAGGGGAGAGCGCAGAGTGAAGAAATGCCATTAATTAGTTGGAATTGGGCGAGAGAAAGATAGGATCTAGTTGTTTGTATATTTAGTACAAATGAATTGGGGTGGAAAAACGACACAGAAAAGATGTGCATGGGTGACTGGTAACTGACATGTGCAGTGCGCAGCACCAAAGGGTTCCTGAGATACCGCTCGTCTCATGAGCCGGTTAGTTTGTACCCGGGCCCGAGTTTTAAGCATTGAGCAACGAATACTTATAGAAACCCCAATGTTCGGCATTGGACTTTGGCATGCGAAGTAGTGGGGCCTGGGCCTGGGCTTTGACATGGACTAGTAGTTGGCCCTCGGTGAGTCGTGTGACACCGCGGGTCGGTGCTGAATGATTCGCGAGAACGTGTCGAATTTGCGATAACCCTATAGGTCACTTCACAACTTACACCCAGGCAACATTATTCACAAACACCCTTGGCATCCTTGGCAGTGCCTCAGCGTGAACAAACATGTATTCGTGATGGTTGTATCTCTCTATACGCTCAGCTATTAAACCATGTGTCCAGACTTTTCCTCATTCCACTGGCTTTGCCAATTTTGGATCCAAATACCTGTAGCTGTCATTTCCTCATGTCAAAAGCATCCAGCACAAGCGGCGCAAAGGACCAGCGCGCCCATACAGATGAGCAGCCTGCCCCAGAACAGGATACCCTAGGACTCCCAGAGAATTCACAGTAAGTAGTGTCTTCCTGGTATTTGTCACCCGTATAACAACAAGATAGGGAGAAGGAAAATGGCGGACCTTCAGAGGTGAAGTTACCATCAGAGATGTAAGTGGTTTTACCCTGATGCTTCTGCATAACTCACCAGAACTGCAGCTTGAACACTGTGCCTTCCCAGCCATCAGAACCTCACGAACAGGAAAGTGCTTCCAAAGTTGTAGCGGACAACGATTTAGCTCCGTAAGTCCCTATCAATGGCGTTCTCAAACAAGCTCATGAATTATCTCAGTCAGGCGGAAAAGGTCATGGCGGAGAAGGACCAGCCAACTCTAAACGAATTGTGAGCAAAAAAACAAGCCGAGCGATTGTAGCTGACGACATCCTAATTACAGAGCAGATACCATGAAGAAAGTGTTAGAAGTTCTCCAGGACTCGACGATTGCATCCAAGAGTGGTAAGGACAATCGGTCTCGTTTCTGGGGGGTGTACAAACGGGTCACTGAGGAACACGACGGCGAGTTCCTCGAGCGATACACCGGCGATATGGACATTGTTTTGGTCTTCGTAGGTTTCACGTGCCTATCCTTCAGTTGTTTGAGACTGATGCTTGATCAGTCCGGTCTTTTCTCAGCTGTCAGCATGTCTTTTGTAGTGGCGATGGAGTCCAGTCTTAGCCCCGACCCCAGCGACACCACGAATGCCCTTCTGAAGCAACTTGTGTACATCGGACTTGGCAACTTCGCTGAAGCGGGCTCCACGCCCTTAGACCCAGCATCTACGTGGTCGGTGACTGCGCCGGCTCTGAGGATCCAAATGATCGCATACGCAAGCTTGTCCATGAGTTTGCTAGCAGCATTCAGAGCCGTACTAGGCAAGCAGTGGCTCGGCTACTGCAAGTCGAACAGATATGGTCGCGGTTCGCAGGAGGAACGGGGGAAGCGCAGGCAAGAGAAGTTTGATGGCCTCGTCACATGGTATTTCAATGCCGTCGTGCAGTCCTTTCCGGTCCTGCTTCAGATCTCCCTTCTTCTGTTTGGGATCGCCCTCAGCGCCCACATGTGGTACAAGCAGCCCAGCATCGCTTGGGTGATCATTGCCACGATGGTCTTCGGATTTCTGTTCTATTCGCTGACAGTGATGGCATGTTTGATATCTCCTGCCTGTCCATTCCAGATGCCGATGCTGATGGTGTTGCACATCTTGGGCATCCACAGTAAGATCATTTCGTGAATTCTCATGGACTTTTCCAGCTTGAATCAGCATTGCAGGAGTTTTACTCTTGATCTTCGAACCAGCCTCCAGGTATTTCCAGCAGTTCAAGACGTCAGTACACGGTGAGCTATATTTTATTACGTGTGCACAGGTTTTGACCATTTCTTATCAGCTGTGCTGCAATGAATGTTTGGTACCCTCAGACCGAGATGGACTGTTAAAACCGTAGCTCAAGGGTAGATGGGATCTGAAGGGCTTGGCCTCAGCTCGTGCGCTGTGCCCCTTACCCGAGTACGTGCCCTTAATTTCAGAATGAAGTCCAGATGGAATCCGACGAAGTCCGAAGGACTTCCGGAGGCTGGCTACTCTAGTAGAGTGCTAGAGGACTTCCGGATGAGTGCGAGAAACTTCCGGAGGAGTATAGGAAACTCCAGAGGAGTTTCATCCACTGTATCAGATCCGAAGGTAAGACTTCCCAAGGTAAGTTCCCTAGATAGAAACACATAGAGGATAGGCTGCAGGGGACAGAGTCCAAAGCAGGATAGGATAGGAGGAGTGGTCTGAAGGACAGGACGTCCGGAGGTCCGAAGGTTAAGATGTCCGAAGGTTGCGTCGTCCGAAGGTTATGACGTCCGAAGGTCTGAAGGTTTACGAGGACCGGAGGAGCGGACGGGATTAGGACAGGAGGGGAAAGGCTACTATGGACAAGGTCTGGAGTAGAAACAAACAGAGGTAGACTACACTATGGTAGAGTCGGATAGACGGGGTTTAGACAGAAGTCTCGGAAAGACAGGAAGTGCCGGAAAGGCAAAACTTCGGTCTAGGGAATCAATCCCTAGACTTCAGAACAGAGACATAGGGGGCAAATCCGAAGGTCCGGATTTCCGGCCTAGGGAATCCATCCCTAGGCCTTGATGGAAAGGCAGAACTCAGATGGACCAAAGTCCAAGACAATAATGAGTGAAGTCTAATGTGCGAGAGAGCAAGTCTATGTTGAGACAGAGCAAAGTCTAAGGCGATATTCGAACTAAGGAAACTTTACAGGAGTTGTACAGATCTTTATATACTGGAAGGGATCCGAGAGGATCGGTAAGCCAAACACAAATGCTATGTACGAGCATGTGGAAACATATTAGTAAGTATGAACGGAACATAAGTAAATGAACTTGGATATGAACAGAGTACAAGGATCAATAAGCAAGACGGAAACTGAGATAACCGAAGTCCGGAGTCAAGGGGATTACCATAAGGAGATAGACACTGATTTAAGGTTTGGGCTTCGGATATGAGTATAGGTCGGATCCGGAGGTTAAGAGGTATCGGATGAAGTGTCTGGATATCGGATGAGCGGATCCGGAGATCTAGGTGAAGACGAGACTAGGATATGAATCATGGATATAGACCAATAGTCTAGGGAAGGTAGAGTCCGAGATGGAATGAGCTCGGATCCGATAGAACTAAGGGTGGATGAAGCAGGCTTAGCTGCAGAGGTCCAGAGGTATGGATATATGGATGTATGAAGGTGTACGGATCCAAACCGATAGTGGACTGGAGGACTGAAGGCATGGATAAGGGTATGGAGGTCCGGATGTGCATCCGGAAGGCGTCCGGAAGGCGTGGGAACATCATCGGACGTAGGTCCGGAATACGGGATATGACATGGACCCGATTGTCTGAAGCATTGAGAGGTAACATTCTTATCTACTCTAACACAGGATACTCAGTGCTCATTTCACTCCCCAGGCACTGTGCGTACTACTGGTGTATTTGCACGATGCTCTCTTCAACCGTTATCTGCCGCGCTTCACAAAGGACTGCTGTTAAGACCGTACTCAAGTAGTATTGGATCCGAAAGGCTTCGGCCTCAGCTCGTGCGCTGTGCCCCTTTCCCGAGTCTTGCCCCTTATTTCAGAGTACTAGAGTATCGCGTATATTGAGACAGATAAGTCTCGTAATGGATCCGTTAAGGCTTCCGGATATTGAACGTATATAGTAACGGCTAATCCGGATCGGATCCGAACTAGAAACTAACGGGCGAAGACTGTCCGAAGACAGAGACGGATATATAGACTATAGGAATCAATCCTAAGTCTCGGAGTAGACAAGAGTATCGTACTCAAGTCCGGACGGATAACGGATGGACTTAGAGTCCAGACAGAATGAGTGCAGTCTAAGATGATATTCAAACTGATCTACTACAGCGCATGTACAAGGGTTTATATACTACGGATAACTAACGGAATGATCTATAAGCAAGGACGCGAGGCTATGTACGAAGTATAAGCAAAGTATGTGTACAGCATATTGGTAAGTCGGATGGATAACAAATCATAACCGGGAATGAAGTCTAAGCTCAAGTGGATCAGTAAGCATAACGGAAGTAAAGGATAACTGGTATACCGGTGTACAGGAATGCCGAAAGGAGATGAACGATAGTTAGAGTTATATGAACAGGACATGAAACAAGGATTAGATCGGATCTGTGGACTGGACGACGGATATGTCCATCAGATCTGGATCGGATCTTCGGATCTGTACCTGGGAATATGGTATATGACAACTGTGTTCTTTGGTTCTGCGCTCTTCGACAAATGTTGTAGACTCAGAGGCACAAACCGCTCGACCAGGATCTGGATGTTTTGGCGGAGAATGAATGCACCCTTACCCTCGACCTCCCGGAAATACCCACTAGCGATCTCGAAGCACCTAGCATCAAGTGGCTGCTGGAAACATCTACGGATCCTGAGGTATTTCTTGCTGCTGCTAGCCTTGTTCTGCAGGTCGCATGGCCCCTGGATCTTGATGTTTCAGACATGCTGCATCAACTGTCTGATATTTTTACAAGCTGCGTCGACATTCAGATGCAAATCATACCATTGTTGAAGGAGAGAGGCCTCGGCATGTACAATGGCTCTAAGTCATCTATACTGTGGATATGTTCTTCAGGCATCTTCTGGCTGTGGTGATTTTCTTCATCTGGAAAAACACTATTTCTCTTTGTATCATAAGTAGTCATAGTTGTATTACACATACTGCCCAAAGCACCTAGAGGTATATACCTGTGCAAGACAAGTGCCTATCTTTTAAAGACACATAGAGTACTAGTAGGGCTCCTATAGTAATATATATACATAACTACGATAGTCAATCCAGCTTGTATGACTGTATTAGTTTCTTGATATATAAGTTGTATTAGCTCTTGGGACTATGAAATTCATATTGCTGCTGACGCTCTTATTACTATTCAAGCTTTGAATGTTATAGGAGATTTCAATGATATAGATGCTATCAAAGCTACTACTACTTATCAAGCTGCAGACACTTCTAGTGCATCATAATCTACATCAATCTTACCCTCCTGTCTACCATTCCCACCTTCACCTTCACCATCATCCTCTATATGAAGAAGATAGGTCATATTAGATTCTTCCCTGTAGATGTTGAAGCATGAGGAAAGCTACATGCGAAAAAATAAAGACACTCACAGAACATTCTGGTACATCTCTTCCCTCATTTTCATCAGTCCACCTTGGAGCCTTCTCCTGAAGATTCTTGAGAAAGCAGTAAGTAGAATTGATACCTGCATTATATGTTAATATAGAGGAGTGTCTGTCAAAAATTGAAATTGAATACTTTGGTTTGTAATACGCATCTCTGAAGTCTTTTTTGACAAAAACTCCAGTCTCCCAGCAAGAGAGAGCGCACTCCATCTAAGATATAGATAAGCTAACACATGATATCTAATACAAAAAAATTACCTTACCACTGATGCGATTAGCGCAAGGAGGGGCAGAGGAGAGCCTCTGAAGTGTTGGACGTAACGAACCCCATCAGGGTTATTGCCTATAAAAACAGGTGGTACATGCGCAGGAAAAAATGATTGCCAAAAGGTTTGTTGCGGTTAAAAGTTTTATTCTAGAATAGAAAATTAGATGGCATTTGCGCTCATAGAAAAACTTACCTTGATGTCCAAGTCACCAGAAATAAAGGCAAAGAAATGTCATCTTCGCCTTCACCTCCCTTTCGCACTTTCTTAAGATCCTTTAGCATCCACTCAACTGCCTCCACAATATCGTCCCTCTTCATCCCTGAAAGTCCCAATGCATCACCTATAGTCTCCCTAGCCTTGTTGGCCACCGTTCCCTCTCATAGATGAGACGCCCTTCCACATCTGATAATATAAGTTAGAATTAAGTCAGTGGAGAAATAAAGAGGTGGTACGTAGTCTATGAGCATCTCTTTGGTCTTCACCACCTTAGACTCTTGCTCCATAAGTTGTTTTAGTTCCTTGCGTGAAGCTACAGCTTCCTCCAAACGCTTCCAGGAGAAAGAAGCTTTTGTGGTGCTGTCAGGAAAAGTGTTTTGAGTTGCAATATACATGCGTAGATAATCATGTCCTGCTATAGCAAGATCTCTGATGCTCTTCTCCAGTATAGACAAAGTGACTTGCTCCTTTCTGGTGCCATTGGGAGATCTCTTGCGCTTGCCAGTAGGTGGTCCCTCTTCACTGATCTCAATGATCTTGATGTACAGCATTTATCAGTCAAATCATATATCCCAAGCCAACTTAATACTTATGCCATTATTATTGCCCTCCTCTCCATTCTCCCCTCTGCTTTCCTGATTATCCTCAGTATTTGAAACACCTGCTAATCAACTAGGTTTTCAAAATATTCAGACGTGATAATAAAAGTAAGCACTCACTTTCTTTATTTTTGTCATGACTTTCTGTCTCCTGGCTCTGGTCCTGGTCCTGGTCCTCTTCATCAGAGTCAATACGTCTAGATCTAGACTTAGAGTTGACAACAGGAGGTAGACTTCTTGCTAGAACCTCCTCATCTTCATCTAGGTCATCGTCAATGAGATCAGTAGGTGGGTTCCTCCTGATGCGCTTAGGAGAGGAGGGTTGGGAAGACTCTTCCTCCTCTGTCTCTTGGGACAATCTGTGAGCAGCTAGTTTTCTGGATTCTGGTGACAGTGAATTTTGTATGTGTATTTTTTTAAGCTAGACTTACCTATTTTCTTTTGGACTTCAGCAGTCTTGTTAGCTTCCACACATTCAGCTTTGCGTAGCCTTTCCAGTTCTGTCCTCATAGACTGTAGTTCAGCTGCTGACATAGTAATTTCATCTTGATTGATGCTCTCCTGTCTCCCAGTGTGAGCCCTACCACCACGTCCTCCACGACTTGAAGAACTTTTGTTAGTAGAGCTAGTCCTATTTGTAGAAGAGGACTTTGTAGGCCTGGCTTTAGGGGGCATGTCAGAGAACTATGAAGAGCACAGAATTAAGGCGTTGAAAATGCTAGGACTGATAGTATGAAGTGAACCAGAGTTACTCCCAGGCAAATGTCAGCATATTTGTTTCTCGGTATGTCCCAAGGGACAACAGCCTACTAGGGTTAGATTGCAAAATATGTTACGTTATGTTACATATTGCTTATGATAGACATATCATACATCTCCTCATACCCTATCGTTACCATCTTCATCTACATCTACATCTACATCATCTAGCAAACCTATGCAGCCTTCAGATACCCAACGCCTTTAATACCCCATCAGTCAAACTATCCTTCCACTGCCTGCCCTCTTTTAATCTTCATGGCTCCTCTTCCACTGGTCTTGTCCATACCACTCTTCCCGCCATACATGAGGATGAAGGTGATGATTAGTCTCAACTTCTAATGCTGCTCCACCTTATATCATGTAGTACATATTCTTTATCTTTACCTTGTGTAGTCTGAGAATAGGAATTTTCAAAGCGCACAATCAAAATATTATTGAGAAACATGAGGTTATAGGTAAGGATAAGCTACTACATACTCAATGGAAATGTTCATTAGGTGCCCAGCCATTGCATGTGTCCTTCCAAGTGTCAAAGCTTTTATCCGTATGCAACACGAAGGAGGCACGCTTGCCCTCATATGGTAAGTTAAAATGCGTAGTTTCACCAGAACGGAACATAGCAAAGTCACCACTGCGAAGTTCCAAAACCAAACGTTGCTCAAACATAACCAAAGCCCCACCCCTGAAGTCGCCCAATGGAAGGACAACACAAAAGTCCTTGTCAAACCTATCGCGATGACCGAGGGTAGAAACATTGAGGTTGACGACAAGTGAGAGAAACGGTGTCACAGGTGATACTTCACTGCCTGGTAGATCTTGAGCAAGTTCAACCAGGACCTCATACTCTGTGGGCAAGCATTCCTTGATCTGCCTTGGCGTCAATATCACTCACACCCTACAATAGCAAACAACTCACCACTTCATCAATCCATTCAAAACCTCACCAAACGCCAGGAGAATATTTTCGTATAGTTGTTGGTGCTCCAGGATATCTCTTGACTGGTAGGGTAAAGTTTGGGCGTAGTTTGTCCTACTAACATCCTCTCTGCTCATATAGTGAGGATGAATATCAGTAGGAGCTTGATCACCCTGCGTCATGTTCAGTTATCAGTCTCACAGGGAATTAATGTTGATACCCACCTTTGTAACGTAGCGATTCCAAATAGAAAAGTGTAGGCAATGAAATGGACTTTCAAGAACCTTCTCTGCCACCTTCTTCAAGGTAAGCACCGTCACAATGCTGGATTTGCTCGTCCTGATCTTGACAGTCTTCTGCCCAAAAGTCGTCCTTCAATTTGTGCACACGCAAGACCTCGTTTCCGTCAAAGCATGCAAGGAATGAACTGAGGAGGTTACTGCGGATGGATTCGGGTAGGGTTGGACAGGACTGAAGGCCATTAGACTGTTGTCTGCATTTCCTCAGATCAAGTGCACTATGGAGGGGTTAGTTTGATTTACACATGGCGATTACATCGACTTGACTTACCCTTTGAACACATCCATAGGAATGTGCAAATATGTGTCTGTCTCCTCGCTGCTGCCATTAGCATATCTTTGGTCTAACTTAGTATGCACATGAGCGTCGCAATTGGAATACAAATTCTAGCACACTCACCTTATCACACAAATCATCAAGATCTCGGATGACTTTGCCAGCTTCTGCCCTTGCTCGCTCCTGTTTGGTCCAAAAGATGTTCTCCTGTCGATCGGTCTCAGCAGAGAACTTGCGGTTGTCAAGATGATCACGGTCAAAGGTCGTCCGGATGACAGTAACACCTGGTATCCCGCGAAGGGCTTGATCCACAGAACGTATGGTGTAATATGAGTAACCGGGGTTGAGCCTATGATCCATGCTAATGTTACCATCACCTCTGATAACAATCATCACCTGCACTACTGCAGTAGTGCAGGCGATCCAGGAGTCGGTATGTTGAGGAGGAAGAACATAATTGCTGTCGTAAAAATGGTCAGGGCATGTGATTATTTAAACAATGAACTACGTACTTTTGCTTGAAAGCGTCCAAAACTTTGTCGGTGAACCATAGGTTGGTACAATCTAGGGTCTCATCTAACCCAACGCTGGCCAGGAGCGAAGGGCAGAACACTTTTTCAAGGGACAGAGGCAGATGAGATCTGATCCAAGCAATTGCAGGGATTATGCGCTCAATAATCAATGTAGGTGTTTCTGGGTGAGGACACCATTAGTTAATGAAGCCTGATGATGAAGGGGGCTCACTGCATGTTTCCGGCTGTCGCAGCATCTTTCCAACTTCCCATGGAACATGACCTCCCAGTGTTGCGATTTTCCATCGCATGTCGAGGCCTGCGATCAGAACCAAGACATAGATAGATCCACCAGCGGCAAGCGATATGAACTTGCATCCGATTGCGTTCCAACGATTGAAGGTAGTCTGGGCAGGGGCATTGGGCAACTGAGCAACATGGTTGTCGTAAACCCGACGAATGCTAGAGCGCTCCTTGTAGGAGTTGATGAGGCTAAAATATGATGAGTCAATGTGAGAAGGTAATGCTAAGTAAAAGCTTGCCTTTGACACTGTATCGATAGCTGCATATATGTGAGCATTGCGACAAAGCTGGACCCGGTTTGCTGGTGGGAGATTGAATGACAGCATGCTATCGTTTCTCCTATGGAACCACCACCTAAGTTGACGTAGTGGGGGCTTTTGAGATAAGACGCAATCTCCTTAACCCATGCCCCAACATTGAGAGAAGGGGAGGCGGCATCTATGTGAGGAGTGGCAAGGGCTCCAATGAGGGCATCAGGCAGGTAATGTGGTTGGAACGAACTGCCCTAGCCCGTTCCCTCCAGTTCGCATTTGCAACAAGGGGGTGCCCGCCATGAGGACAATTGGGGCCAAGGGGGGGGACGTTGCCATCGTCAGGACGAGCATACGGATGTTGACGAACCTTCCTGGTATCTGGTCGGATTGCACCACCTTCAAACTCATCCCTCTCCTCTCCATCATCTATACCTACAACCTCATCATCATATCCAATGTTGCTGTCAGGACCAACACTGTCTTGCAAGAATAAGTCAACTTCTTCAAAGTCACTGATGGTGTGCTTGTCCATGGGAAGGGTTCCATCACCCACAAAAGGTAAGGGCGAAGGCATCATGCCAGAAACCGGTGTTGGAAAGGCAGATGTTGGAGGTGGTGTTGAAGGTGGTGAAAGGGAAACTCCGGTATGAATGGAAGAACTCGGGGTTGGAGGGGTGACGATATGATGAGGGCGCAAATTGTATACTCTATGTAGCAATGATGACAACATGTCACTATGGTGCCGCGCCTGAACTAAACCTAAAAGCACTTGCTCAAAGAAAATAAGTTCTTCTGTAGTTAGCTGTAATGTAAAGATTTTCTGATTGCACATACTTGAGTCTGCGTTGGGAAGTATTGTCGGCAAAATCCGAGTTGGGCTCATCATTGAATCACCTGTGATCGGACGATGAGCAATGATTTCCCATGCATGTATCCCATAATTCAGATTATCTTCTATCCATCGATAAGGCAGAATGGTCAACTGCGGAGGTAAAGAACCCTTCGCTGCGGTTGATCTATCATGATTACAGATAGGTGAGTAGAACTTTGCATTCTTCATCAGAGAACTCACCATATAACTTCGCATATCTAGCTCGTCCTTCCTCCCTTACGCAAGCTCGTCCTTCCTCCCTTACACACTTCAAATCTTCGAGTGATCATGGATGCTAGTAGAGTCCCAGACCATGTCAGAGTTGCAGGTGTTAATGTGAGCGCTATGATTTCTGGCTGAGTAATCAGCGCCTATGTTCACTCTCTTGGAAACAGAGTGCTGCGGCAACCTCTGCTTTGTCTTCCGGTCACTACAACTTCAGGGAGAAAGACCTCACATTGCGGTGTTTGCCTACAAACGGCCTGCGCATTGTTAAAGTGAGTTCGTCTCTGTATCGTTATTGCAGTAAAGCTAAATAATATATCAGATGCAAGGTCTGTCAGGCTTGTCTCACCGAAATATCGAACAACATGTGACACACGCTACCGTGGACGATATCCTTCGCAAAGAGATTGCGGTGCCAGATGAAACCCAGAGGTATTCCATAGATGCTACCTTGGTGGTATGGGGAAACAAGGCGTGGGTTTCCAATGCCGGTTTGCGTATCCCTGAGCAAATGAATATTGTAAGTACCTCTTAACTCACAGGAAGTGGCTATTGCTCATATTCTTGGTGAAGCTTCTCGCAGTTCTTCAAGCGCTTGGTATCCTCGATATCCAACTGCCAGTGCAAATGCAGACAATGGTAACCCAGTGGAACGTGCCCAAACAGGATGCCCAGGATGACAGGCAAGTGATGGCAACCATTCAGCGTGCTATTGGAGAGATTCTAGACAGCAACATCACACCGCAAACAGTCAAGATTCGTCCAAGACCTTTGCCCAACCTAGTCCCTGGCCCAGATTTCAATGCTTCCGCACCACCGGCATTTCATGAAAGCGATGTCGCATATTTGTACTGGACCATTTCTGTAGTTGTCTGGGCATACCTTCGCTCTAGTTTTGTTATGAGCCACTTCCCATCCTCGTATGTTTCTGATCTTCCGGATCCATGCAGAGTCATCTCCCTCGCCCATAACTATGTCGCCCAGTTGTCGTAAGCTGGATATTGCCGTGGTTTATCACCGCACAGCTTCGCGTGTCTTGGAGTGGCATCAGATTGCTAGCATAGGTAAGATTCCATGACTCATTCTACCATTATCTTATCATTGAATCGCCAATCGTCATATAGGTGAAGTGAAATATGCTTCATCAAGCGAGCTCCGAGTCACAGCACTACTGATATGTCATTGATCAAAGCTGGTTCATGATGATGTCTTCTTACTCCCGTCGCTTCTGTCTTGGGTTCACCCAGTGCTGGTCCCCTCCTCACACTCTGCCTCACCGATCGTGGTGGGAACTGCACGACTAAAGATGTCAATGCTTCAAAGGCAGAGGACATCACAATTTTTATCCAGGTGGTCGCTCATTTCACCCTTGCTCCAGACGATGAACTTGGGGATGATCAATTCTTCCCAACATTCTCCAGGTCGTTTGAGATGACTTTCCCTACCATCGTCAAGGGCGATCCTAACAATACTTAAACAAGTTGATGATCAAGAGCCACCTCTTTCACTCATTCTCTTTCACTGGCAAAGGAACCCAGATCCTCCTTGCCAAGCCCGCCATTCTGTCCGCTGGCCAATATCCCCAACATGTTGTGGTGAAGGACTCCTGGCCCACACCCGCCGAAACGCACGAGGCCTACCTCATCAGGCATATACGTGAATGCCTCACGCAAACCAAGCACGGATGCTTGACTTCCCTGACATCCTTCACAAGTATTTCTGCCAATCTGTCAATCCCAACAATGGAGAGCTGGTGCATGAGGCTACCAACGTGCGACAGTCATGCGCAGTGATAGATCCAAATGACGGTGATGTCATGATGCTGCAAGAAATGTTTGAGCGTAGGCTGCGTTATCGTCTGGTTTTCAAAGACGTTGTAGTAGACTCTACCTGGTTTTCTTCCAGAAGGGAGTACCTCACGTGCATTATGCATAACTTGGAAGGTATGATCATTCAACACATCTCATCGAGACATGAAACTCATATCATCATACATTGTACAGCACACCTAATTCGCTGGAGAGAGTTGCCCAGGTTCTCCACAAGGACATTACGCCTTCAAACCTCTGGATTGTCATCGACAACTGCCTCTGCAGAGGCTGCCGTCCCTGGGTGGGTTGGCGATGATCCCCCTCTCCCAAGGCAAGCACAGTTAGGCGATTTCGGGCTTGGATTCAAGCCCTCAGACAGTTGCAAGTTTGCTGAGCTACTCACTGAAAAGCAGTGAAGACGTGTAGGATAGAGACTGGCGATGGTGGTGGCACAGGTGGGTTGATGCGTGCTGGCAACGCCACCATCAAGAAGGAGCATGCTGCCAAGCTCAAGGATAAGCCATCACAAGCGATGGATCGCTCAGTGAGTAATGACATTTGCCTCATGACTATCTGGCATCACTCATGAGTTTGATGTTGTTGCAGGGATCGCCCTTGTACATGAGCAACGAGACACTCACGGACCCATTCGGCCAGTTCATCGTGCACACCTCAAAGCACAACTTGGAGGGGTTCTGGTGGTCAATGTTGTGGGTGACCATCAACTGTGAAGGTCCCTACGGTCAGCTTGTTGACTGGCAGAACAATCGTTTCGAGAGGTCGAGCAACGCTGTGGTGATGTTCACTCATCCCTTGGCTCCCTGAACGCGACCACCCAAATGGCTTCGCAATGGGATTCAAAACATCACATACCAAGACATTCTTACGGACCGCCTCGCCTCGCTGGGCAACTGGAGGTTTTACCGATGCCTCATTCACCCCTTCTGGCGTGACCCTGCAATTCTTCGTGGGCTGGAAGAGATGTTTCGCATATTCATGCCCGCCAATCTCATCCGTGAGAGTGATGAGACCCTTGACACAGAACGTGATTTTGTTCCCTATGTTCCATTGGATGACTCAGCTGTGGGCGCGACTCATGAAATGATGATCGATATCATCAAGCGTATGCTCAAGGACATGAAAGATGAAGCTCCACCATCTCCCAAGGTTATTGAAGATGCACGTGAGCGTTACCAGGCAAGGTTGTGTCATGATTTTACCAATGATGATGCAGAGGAAATTTGTACTCGCCAAGAGTGTAGTGCCTCTCATGAATCCCGCCAATCTCAAAATAACAGGCACCCTGGCCTCATGATTCCCCCAGGCATTCCAGGTAGTTGATCCTCTCCTCCCCCTACTTTCGGCATCTTTCATTCATCTGGGTCCCCCGACTCCCCTCACTTTCTTGTGGAGGACTTGGCCAGTCTTCCTCGTGCATCTGCTGCCTCTCGGGCAACAAAGTCCTTTAACATGTCCTCCACACCTTTGGCTCAGGTCACTGGAAAAGGCCATACCTTGGGACCTACACACCAAAGCCAGGCAGGTCGTCTGCAGTGTCCGCGCCATCTCCTGCTGTTGACTCAGTGGATAGAGCGAGGCTCAGGACAGATACAACAATGTCTTTACCGTCTTCATCTACATCTACATCTACATCATCTAGGGTTCCTACGCAGCCTTCAGATACCCAACGCCTTCAATACCCCATCAGTCAGACTATCCTTGGGCCTGATTTTTTCCACGGCCTACCCTCTTTTAATCTCCATGGCTCCGCTTCCACCGGTCTTGTCCATACCACTCTTCCCGCCATACATGAGGATGAAGATGGTGATGAAAACAATAGGTCCAGGAAGAAACCGCGCTGGCAAGGTCTTTGATATCCATATGTTTTTGCAACGTTTGTAGTTCTCTCATGTTGTTCTCTAATGTTTTCCTAGTCATTCTTAGATTGTTTCCTTAGCTTCAATCGCATCATATGTATCACACTACACACAGATTGATATGGAGATCATTGTTTGGTATTGTTGTCATAAAATGCAGCAGTGATTCAACGTTGAGCAGACAAGCGTGCTCATCACAACTCACAATGACCAGACAACAATTTGTTGTTCCTAGGAACCTTCCATATCCTTGTCCAGCTTCCTGTGGTAAATGCTTTCAGACTGAACAAGGTCGCAATCATCATATCAGTACTGCCAGATCATGCGCTTGGTACAAGAAAGGTAAACTAGCTGAAGTCTGTAGTACTGAGCCACCAGAGGATGAGCTGGAGCCTGAAGATGTGCTAGGGGACTTATACCAGGAGATGTTTGACCTGGTCCCTGCTCAACTAGGTATGTATATGAATTTTTAAATAAATAGGCAGAAACTGAAGTATACGCCTATCAGATGATAATTATTATGATGATGATGGTGATGTTAATACGGAGCCAATTGCTGGCCCAGGACCATCCTCCAGACATGGACTATTGGAAGATAAAGATGATAACAGAGTAGAAGTTGTTCATTTGACAGCTGGAAAGGTCATTAGAATGGATTCTACGCTTCATGAAAGATGGCAAAAGCAATTTGGAGTGCAGAAGAAGAATGAAGAGGAAGAACAGGGTGCTTTTCATCCCTTTGAGAGTCGTTTGGACTGGGAAGTTGCTCGTTGGGCTATAGAGGAGGGGATAGGACATGGGGCTTTGGATCGTCTATTAGCTATTCCAGGGGTTAGTAGACTTATACTCTACAAAAATAATGACGTCCTACTGATCCAATACCAGGTGCAAGAAAAATTAGGTCTATCTTATCACAACACTAGAGCACTGCACAAGTCTCTGGACGCCATCCCTCCCAGGGCTGAGTGGCATTCTAAGAAGTTAGCCTTTGAAGATCGCCCAAATGACGAATACAATATATATTATCGGAATCCCATTGATGCTATACAATCACTACTTGGAAACCCTGTCCATGCCAAAGACATTGTATATTGCCCCAAAAAAATCTTCAGGGATCATACAAAATCAGTGAGAATATATAATGAAATGTGGTCAGGAAAATGGTGGCATGCTATTCAGGTATGCGTTCTCAGACATATCTAATATCAAGATTTTTAATGCAAAGTTCAGAATCGTCTACCAGTAGGGGCTGCTCTAGCTCCTGTAATAATTGCTACGGACAAAACACAGCTCACTCAGTTCTCCTCATCAAAATCAGCATATCCTATCTATTTGACGTTGGGAAATATTCCTAGAGCAATACGTAGGAAGCCATCTGAGCAAGCCTGCTTTCTACTAGGCTACTTATCAGTGGACAAGATTCTCAAGGACGATCTATCCAGTCGTGAAGTGTCTTCAAGAGCACAGAGACTTTTTCATGATTCCTTGCAAATTATCCTGGAACCCCTAAAATTAGCAGGTGCTGAAGGAGTGGAGATTACAGGTGGAGATGGATGTGTACGCCTCATCTTTCCTGTCCTTGCCTGCTATGTTGCAGACTACCCTGAACAATGTCTGGTGACTTGTTCAAGTATGGTACCTGTCCAAAATGTCAAGCTAGAACTGATGAGCTAGCAGAGCTCAGTCAGTCCGCTGTACGGACACAGACATGGACTATGGGCATTATTGAGGAGGCGAAATCATCTACGAATACTAGCTCTGCATTCAAGACTAAATGCATGAAAGCTGGGGTCGGAGGAGGAGTCTTTCTACCCTTCTGGTATGGTTTCCCTCACTGCAATATTCATCATTCTATAACCCCTGATGTGTTACATCAACTCTATCAAGGCATATTCAAGCACATGGTAGAATGGCTTGAGAGTCTCTTGAATGAAGAAGAACTGGACGCCTGTATTAGATCTCTTCCCCCATGTTATGGTCTACGTCACTTCAAGAGTGGATGGTCCTCTTTAGGTCAGATTGGAGGAAAGGATCGCAAACATATGGCACACATTTTGCTGGGCTGTATGATAGGCAAAGTTCCTAGAGATGTGATCATCAGCTATAGGTCATTACTGGACTTTATCTATCTCGCTCAATATCCTTCACATGACAACGACACACTGGCATATATGGAAAAGGCCCTCCAAGATTTTCACCGTCACAAAAATATTCTTTTCAATCTTGGAGTTAGGGAACATCTGGATATCCCAAAAATCCATTCCCTTCTTCATTATGTTGACTCTATCACCTGGTTTGGAACAACCGACAACTACAACACAGAAATGATGGAGCGTTTTCACATAGACTTTTGTAAAGAGGGATGGTATGCATCAAATCACCGCAATGAGATGCCTCAGATGATATCCTGGCTAAGTAGAAGAGAGAAGGTGATTTTTTTGAAAATATATTGACGTTCTTTGCTTACAATCTATATCATAGGCATCTTCATTTAAGGCCTATCTTAAAATGACACTAGAAAATGAAGAGGAAGAATTCACTTACTCTAGATTCAAAGATCAAAATATTCTCATTGCAAAATATCCAGCCAGAAAGAACCAGGACATTCAAGAAATTATGGAGAAACATGCCTGCCCTGGATTTCAACGCAGTCTAACCTACTTCATCAATTCCTTCAATAACAACAATATTGCTGGTGGACGACTCAGAAATGCTTCCCTTCCTTTCAGCTCTTTGGATGTCTTTCACGGTTTCAGATTTAGTCTGAATGATTTGGGCAATGAAGTTGATTTGCATCTGGAGAATGAGGAGATAGATAGCGTCAAGGCTAAACCCAAGAGCTCAGGAAGCCCTGCTAGATTTGATACCGTTGTAGTTATGATCAGTGAGGACTGTGAATCTACTGGATTACAAGGTAAGTGATCCAGTTTTTTTTTAAATACTTAAGATTGACTTTATCATTTTAGGTGCTAGGATTGGACGCTTGAAAGTAATTTTCAGATTACCCGTCAAGCTCTATGGTTCCTGGACAGCACCATCTACCTGGCCTTCTGAACCATTGGCATACGTAGAATGGTTTGCCAAACTAAAAACTGCTCCTGAGCCTCATCATGGCATGTATCTTGTTACAAACTCTGTACCATTAGCTGACGGTCATTTACCTGGAGCTATTGTCAAGCTTTCATCTATACGTCAGAGTTGTCATTTGATACCTGACTTTTCTAATGGTGTTCTTGCTGAATGGACTACTGATACAGTGTTAGATAAATGCAAAAGGTTTGATTTGAATAACTTCTCTAGCAAGTATTTGTATCAGACAATCTGGTAGACAATTTTTTCTAGTTACTCTGTTTTTCCTATAGTATCCAAAGTGATATTATGTTACACAGAGAAGTGCTATTAATATTTATGTCTGTCTTATGATGTAAGATAGCTATGTAAGAGATAGTCAAGTGACTATTACCTAAATAACTATAGTGTTTTTCCAGATGTTGGTCACGAGGAAAGAGACTACGACATATTGTCTGACATGTGGCTGAGCCTGGTGGACATGCGTACAGACCAGACAGTGCTTGCCACGACTATGGATCTTTGTCTTCCAGAGGGTGAACTCAATTTTGCGTTTCGTGATCGGTCCCTAGATGCTTATCCTGACTCTGTCTTGGAGTGGTTTTCACATTCCCTCCCTTATCACTTTCTTACCAGGAGAGCGAATGAAAATGGAGAAAGGACTCACCCCACAAGTGATATCAAAATTACTATCATCTCCATCCTCTCCATCGAATCAAATAATAGCCAATTGTACACTTCTTGCTTGTGTCATGGTCGGGGCTCAGGTTGACAAGAAAGACATAGTTAGGATCGATAAAAGGTGCCATCCACTCATTTGGTGGTTTTTTTGCCATGATTAACAAAGAAATCATGTAGTTCTGCTCTGCCTCGACTTAGGGAGTCTCTTGTGGTGCAGTTCCAAAAGGCTCTCTGGGCATGCGATGGAGGTGATCTTGACAAAGATAGCACAGGAGTTGCACGTCGGGCATGGAACCTCCTCAATATTATCTGTCGTATCCTCGAGCCTGGTATCCCCAAGTTTGCTACATATCACTGTAGTCCTTCATCTCACCCCATGCGGAACCTGGATGCATGCAGGAAGATTTATTCACGAGTGAGGTCATCCGAACAAAATGATCCCTCGGAATTGTTGGATGCTCTGCAGAATGCAATGCACTTCATGTTTGCTGCTGCCGCCATAAACCGTGACCCCGCCATGTTGGGGTATGCCCAGTTTTTGCCAGGCGATTCCCACTCACCAGAAGACTTCGACTGGCTGGTGGACTACCTAGACTACATCTATTCCGACGACCAAGAAGCGGCATATGACATCCTCTTGATACTAGGTAGCATGGGAGTGCGCTGCAGTCCCACTAAACAACATCTGTTTGTCGAGAGGCTGATCGTCTGCATGGACAGTAACATGCCCTTCCATTTACGCCATGCTGCTCGCAATGCCCGAGAAAAAATATCCTTGATCGATGCCATGGATGATAGGCTATGAGACATTGTTTTGATCAAACTCTTCCCCGCCATTCTGTCTGTGGTTCATCCCCACCCAGGTACAACACCCGCCAATGATGAACCTGACCCCATGATTGATTATCACCGCGACTTGTGCTATCTGGAACTAGTCTTTGCCCTCGCGAAGAATTCCGACTGGCACCCACATTTGTCTGGGGATCGCCACGTTGATCGGTGCATTAGCATGATTCCAGAGTACTGTGATTCCGAATCACCCACACCGCATGCCTTTTACATAGCTGGTATCCTTCTTTGAATCGCACATGAACAGAAGTCAGATACATCGCTCGATTCTGTTACAGAGCAGCAGTGGTGGGACATGATGAGGAGCACGTGGTGCAATTATCTCTATGACATTCACAACACATGTGATCTCGAGGTTCATTCTTGTCCTTGTGGGTGGCACAAAGAAGTATATGCAGACTCCTTTGAAATCTGATCTCGAGCAACTCATTGGAAATGTGGATCATGTTCTTGAAAGACTGGAGCAGGATATGCAATGGAAGAGGGAACTGCAGGAGACGCGCCTGGAGATGGTACCGGAGATGGGACTGGAGATGCAAGGTTTAGAGCTGGTAGAGAGGATCACCATTGCTGTGAAGGAGTTGAGGACTGCGGCCAGTAACAAGCTGGAGAGCTTTGATTGATAATTGCTTGCATGTTGTGCTAGTCTTGGAATCAGAGGAAGTCGTGGGCCAGTGCATGTGCAGAATTGGGAAGTATCAAGACATGAACGAAATCAATATTGAATTATCAGTCGTCTCTAACTTTGTGGACGCATGTCAGGCATGAGGAACAACGGGCATAAGATGGAAATATCTGGGAGATCAACATATAAATGTCAACCGGGGGAAGGTTGTTCGATGGTTAAACTAGACACTGTCACTGACGAGATTCTACACTCGGCTGCCCAGTCACATCCCTTGATCAATATGCACAGGAAGACAAAAACGGGGCGATTTATTGAATACCATTCATCTTCGAATCACAATCACCCTTCTTTGGCAAGGGTGTGAAGAATAGTACTGAAATCAATGAATTTGTCCACCGGAAGTGAATCAGTGTTGTCCTCGCACGTGGTGTTTTCATCTCCTTCCTCATGCTCCACGTCATTCTGCCTTTCAAGATGGACAGTTCCTGACAGGCTGTCTGCGTTTCCTTAGTATAGGTTTCACATTCTCAGCCTCCCTTTCCTGGGAAGTCTGGGCGATAGATGGGCTTCTACATATGAGACGTTGATGATACTGTCAAAGGACATGAACTCACCTCATGGAACGCAGTTGCCTGTTCAGACAAAGCTTACAATATGTAGGGCTGCAGCTTGGAGGTTGGTCAGCAGCTGGCTGCTGCGAAGCAATGCGAAAGAATTGTTGAATGCATATCGGGTCCAGAACTGCGACAAGGACTTCAGTAGTATGGTCGAGTAGTATGAATGATACATACCTCTGTAGACAATTTCTGAAAGACATCTGAGGGGATGCAGCGCGATGAAGGTATCTGGGATATGATTTATGACAACTTGACAATGCTGCACCTCTGTTTCTGAAAAATATGAGCGATAAGCCCACTTCTACATCTGAAAAGTCAGTGATTCTGTCAAAACATGCGAACCCGCCTTCATGGAGTGCAGCTGCCTTTTCACACAAAGTGATGATACCTACACCTGCAGCTTGGTGGTTCTTTAGTGACTGCTGCGGAACGATGCGAGAGGAACATTTTGGGATGTTTATCGGGTCTGGAACCGCAACAAGTACTTGAGTATTGCAATTGATTGGTATGGGTAATAGTATGTACCTCTGTAGCCAATTTCTCGAGGAATGAAGGTGGCCTGGATGCTCTGATACATATTGTTGATGCTGCTAGCGCATGTCAAATAACAATCATGCATGGAAGGAAATGTTAGGCCTTTGGTCTGTAAGTTTCAACCACCACATTCATCAATTGCACCACCAAAAAACAAAGGTTGAAACCAACAGGACCTACGGAACATTCATCAATTGCACCACCAAAAAACAAAGGTTGAAACCAACAGGACCTACGGAACATTCAGCAGTCGATATCATACGTGTAGCATCGAGATGAACGAAACTGGGCGGAACCACAACGCACTTCAGCAGGCGCGTTAGGGTCGGAGATGGACATTTTCTGAATGGCTGTCATGCCAGGAATGATCTGCTCTCGCGGTAGGGCTGTATGATGTGAAGGCCTGGAAGTTTCAAGTGTATCTTTGCAACAGATACAGTTCCTGGAGAGCGAAGAAGCTTGTCGTTTGTCGGCTCAATGACCAGGCTATGTCAAGATCGTCCAAGAAGTGGTTGACCAAGGTCAGGCCGATGTCATCCTTGTTGGAAGACCATAACACCGAAACTGGATTGGTGTGAGTGCATAGTATCGTATCTTCTCGCTCTTGTGTAAATCATATTGAGTAATCTCGTCGAACACGTTACTAAGATAAGAGCCAAGCCTTGCTGCAGGCCCATGTTTTAGTAACGCGTGTGGCTCGATGGCCTCACTGAGGTCAGACAACTTGAACGTCCCGCTGCTCTTCCTTCAACCTGGATCATGAGAAATCGAACACAAAGTATGTCATTGACATTCAAACATGGCTATCTTACTTCCGAGGACAGGTTTTAATTTGCAACTCCAACACCTCGGACATGTCAATGCTTCTCGACGTCAACAAAGTCCTACACGTGTTCGCGACGGTTTCAGGCGCCCAACCAGCTTGCTGTATACCACTGGTTATCTCTGTCCACCCAGACTCTTCCCAATTCCACTGGCTTTTATTTGAAGTTTGCATCCAAATATCTATAGCTCTCACTTCTTCATGTCAAAAACATCGACAGTGCGCGTGCGGCATTGCCCTCCTTGACCCGCCGACCCAAAAATATTTGATAAACCCATAACCTTGACCACACCAATGCATAATCACCCACCCATTGATATTTCAACCGCATGTGATCATCAGGGTCAAGTGGCTTTGTCTTTGCATACGAGGACTGTCCGCCTGATACGTCAGGCGTGGTTTATCATTGCATCGTGCATTCGCGTGCGACATCGCCCTGTTCCCGAATCAAAACACATTTGAAATAGGGTCAAGCCGCTTTGCCTTTGCATACGAGGTCTGTTCGTCCTGATACGTCGGACGTGGTTCATCGGTGCATTTGTGCGCTCATCTGTGCACGTACGACATTGTGCTCCTTGACCCGCGAACCCAAAAGTACTTGATAAACCCACTTGATGCATTACCACACAAGCACATACGACCCTGTCAAACCGACCAGACCAGTGCTCGCACACAGAATCCACGCAGTCATCATGGACTGGTGTATAACCATACAGAGATGCGCACACCACGCAGGTAGTCCGTTTCCTATCCACGCGGACGAGATCAAACATGATCATGATGCATGATGCGTTGCTCATGGAGCAAGTTGTGTACCAAGCATACGATGATGACCTCATGGGAGCCTATCGATGCTTCTGTGCATTGCACGGCATGACTCAGTCTCCCTTGGTTTTGAACTGTTATCTGATATCAGACCTATGGCTTATGATTCACAGGCCATCGCTTTCAAATGCTCTATTGTGATGTCAAACTGTTGTCATACGCTGTCGGCTGGATCTCACTGCACCCTGGGGCGTGTGTGTGTACTCACGCAGCGAAGTGGAAGCTCATCGGGAGCATATCCTGTCGAATCTAGATGCCAGTAATGGTATCCGTGAAAATGTATCCGGATCTGCTTGATGTTCTGCAACGCACACGCTTCTTTCATGTTTTGCATGGTCATAAGTTGTTATATGTTCGTCCCATATCTTCATGCTCATGGTATGATTTTGCAGGCTCGCCTTCACTGTTGATGGTTGTGTTTCTGTCAACGTGAGGCAGACCCCTTGGCTCATGCCAGGGTTTGTCGTCTTCAACTGGAGCCCTCGGACCATTGATGATTATTTTGCCCCTCCCTTCTTCGTGAAGGTCTTCGTCTGGAATACGATTTTGCGCCGTTTGGATTGAAGATAGGTCTCATTGTCATATTCCTTGATACTTTACATTTGTTCCATGTATGATAATGTATAATGACACTTCATCTTGGTCACTGTGGGCGTCTGCCCTCCTTGTTTGTCATCCTTCTCCGTACACCGTGCCTTGGACTCTAAGCGCTGGATTTGAATTTCCTTGCAACGTTGAAGGTCAGGCAGACCTTCAAACTATTTTCCTCGGCCAGCTCGAAGTTCACCGACGCTCAGTGCTCATCTCGTACAGGTCGCTTCATGCATCCAAGTCCTGGGTATATCAATGTCTCGCTATCGGCTGTAGTGGAGCCCGGCCATAATCAACTGCGCAATGTACCAGAACAACCGAATATCCCCAATGACCTTGTTCCAGCAGAGGAGAGCGAGAATGAAAGCTCTGAAAGCCTTTCGGGGATGGAGCAAAACTATATTCATCATCGAGCCGTCCTCTCGTGCGTGCGCCTGTCAAACGTGCCCTAGGTTCTTTAGCAACTGCTGCGGACCGATGCGAGAGGAACATTTTGGGATGTGTTTCGGGTCTGGAACTGTGAAATTGCTACTGATTAGTACGGGCGATAGTAGCTGATTTCTGGAGGATATCCTAGGAATGGGATGAAGGTGTCTGGGATGCTTTCGTGCATCTTGTTGATGCTGCTAGTGTGCGTCAAATAACGACCATGCGCAGACGCAAACGTTACTAGTAGGTCTTGGGTCTTAAGCTTTAAACACTACATTCATTAGTTGCACTACCAAAGAAAGTTGAATGGGACGGGACCTACGCAACCCTGGAGGACGGTCAATATCATATGTCGACATGAATGAAACTGGGTGGGAACAGCGATGCACTTCAGCAGGCGTGCTAAGGCCGGAGATAGATATGTTCTGCATCATTATCATGGTCTTGACTTGCTTGCACTTCGTCTCGCGGTAGGGCTATACGATGAGGAGGCCAGGAGGTAAGTCCGAACATTACCTGTCCTTGTCTTGAAAGTTGATACGGTTCCTGGAGAGCGGAGAAGCTTGTTTGTCGCCTCAATGACCTTAATGTCATCCTTGTTGGAAGACCATTACACTGAAACTCGATTGGCGTGAGTGCATATGCTGTTAATCAATCCTTCTCGCTCTTGTGTTAGATGCAAATGGTCTTGGGCAATGGGTAGTCTCGCCAAACACATTACGAAGATGAACGCCAAGCCCACATACATCCTAGTGACGCATGTGGCTCGATGGCTTCACTGAAGTCAGACAGGACGTCCCGCTGGTCGAGTTTGGCTTCCTTCAATATGATGGTAAGATTACTGTGAGAGCAATGTGAGAGAGATTGACAATGCAAACAAAGTAGGTTGTTGACACTCAAACAAAACCCTAACCCTAGACTTGGCTTAAGGTTCAGAAATAAGATTTGCAAGATGTTTGTCATTTACACCGAGATAGCGATGCTCACGAACACCCTCAGCGTCAATAATATACACGTGTTCGTGATGATTACAGGCGCCCAACCAGCTTGCTGTGTACCGCTCCTTATCTCTGTCTGGTCAGGCTCTTCCCAACTCCACTGGCTTTGACCCTGGGTCCAAAATTTGTTATAGCTGTCACTTCCTCATGTCAAAAGCATCCAGCACTACCCGCGCCGAGGACCAGAGCGCCCATATAGACGAGCAGCCTGCCACAGAACAGGATACCCTAGGACTCCCAGAGAATTCACAGTAAGTTGCGGCTTCCTGGGATCTGTCACCCATATAACAATAAGATAGGGAGCAGGAAAATGGCGGACCTTCAGAGGTGAAGCTACCATCAGAGATGTAAGTGGTTCTGCCCTGATACTTCTGTGTAACTCACCAGAACTGCAGCTCGAACACTGGGCCATCCCAGCCATCAGAACCTCACGAACAGGAAAGTGCTTCCAAAGCTGCAGCGGACGACGATTTAGTTCCGTAAGTCCCTAACAATGGCGTTTTCAAACAAGCTCATAATTTATCTCAGTCAGGCGGAAAAGGTCGTGGCGGAGAAGGACCAACCAAGTCTTGGCGAATTGTGAGCGAAAAATATGCCGAGCGATCGCAGCTAACGATACCTTGCACTCAGAACAAATATCATGAAGCAAGTATTGGATGTTCTCCAGGACTCGACGATTGCATCCAAGAGTGGTAAGGACAATCGGTCTCGTTTCTGGGGAGTGTACAAAAGAGTTGCGGAGGAACACGACGGCGAGTTTCTCGAGCGATACACTGGCGACATGGACATCGTTTTGGTCTTCGTAGGTTTCGCCTGCCTATCTTTGACTCGTTTGAGACTGATGCTTGATTAGTCCGGTCTTTTCTCAGCTGTCAGCACGTCTTTTATAGTGGCGATGGAGTCTAATCTTATTCCCGACCCCAGCGACACCACGAATGCCCTTCTGAAGCAACTCGTGTACATTGGACTCGGCAACTTCACTGCAGCGGGCTCCACGCCCTTAGACCCAGCATCTACGTGGTCGGCGACTGAGCCGGCTCTGAGGATCCAAATGATCGCATACGCAAGCTTGTCCATGAGTTTGCTAGCAGCATTCGGGGCCGTATTAGGCAAGCAATGGCTTGGCTACTACAAATCGAATAGATATGGCCGTGGCTCACAGGAGGAACGAGGGAAGCGCAGGCAAGAGAAGTTTGACGGCCTCATCACTTGGTATTTCGACGCTGTCGTGCAGTCATTTCCCGTCTTGCTTCAGATCTCCCTTCTTCTGTTTGGGATCGCCCTCAGCGCCCACATGTGGTGCGAGCAGCCCAGCATCGCTTGGGTGATCATTGCCACGACGGTCTTCGGATTTCTGTTATATTCGCTGACAGTGATGGCATGTTTGATATCTCCCGCCTGTCCATTCCAGACGCCGATGTCGACGGTGTTGCGCATGTTGGGCATGCACAGTAAGATCATTTCGTGAATTCTCGTGGTCGTTTCCAGTCTGAATCAGTATTGCAGGAGTTATCCTCCTGGTCTTTGAACCAGCCTACAGGTATTTCCAGCAGCTCAATACATCAGCGCACGGTGAGCTATATTCCATTAGGTGTGCACAGGTTTGACCATTTCTGATCAGCTGTAGTGCAACGAATATTTGGTACCCTCAGACCGAGATGGACCCGATTGTCCGAAGCATTGAGAGGTGATGTTCTTATCTACTCTTACACAGGATACCCAGTGCTCATTTCACTCCCCAGGTCCTGTGTATGCTACTGGCGCATTCGCACGACGTTCTCTTAAGCTATTATCTGCCGCGCTTCACAAAGGGTTACGTTCTTTGGTTCTGCGCTCTTCGACAAATCTTGTAGACTCAGAGGCACAGCCGCTCGACCAGGATCTGGATGTTTTGGTGGAGAATGATGGCACCCTTACCCTGAAGCTCCCGGACATACCCACCAGCGATCTCGAAGCACCTAGTATCAAGTGGCTGCTCGAAACATCCACAGATCCTGAAGTATTTCTCGCGGCTGCCAGCCTTGTTCCGCAGGTCGAATGGCCCCTGGATCTTGACATCTCGGACATACTGCCTCAGTTGTATGACATTTTCACAAGTTGCGTCGACATTCAGAGCCAAATCGTACCGTCGTTGGAGGAGAAAGCCTCTGCATGTATGATAGCTCTAAGTCATCTTTACTATGGACGTGTTCTTCAGGCACATCCTGGCCATGGCGATTTATTTGCAGCGAGAGCACAGACTACATGGTGTTTCTTAGGATGGGGCCCATGACTAGAGCCAACGACGCGATACTTTACTCGACTATCAATCTCTGTCTTCCAGAAGATGACAATCATGGATGGTTTCCTTTTGTGTCGTTGGCTTGTCTGGACTCCGTCGTCGAGTGGCTGTCACATGTTCTTCCTTATCACTTTATTACTGGGCGAGTGGATGAAGACGGAGAAAGACTCGCCACAACAGTGATATCAAAACTGCTATCCTCTCCATGCTCTCCGTCGACTCAAATCGTAGCCAATTGCACTCTTCTCGCTTGCGTCATGGTCGGGGCTCAGGTTGACAAGAAAGACATAGTTCGGATCGATAAAAGGTGCCATCGACTCATTTGGTGGTTTTTCTGCCATGATTAACAAAGAGATCGTGTAGTTCTGCGCTGCCCTCGACTCAGTGAGTCTCTTTTGGGGCAGTTCCAAAAGGCTCTCTGGGCATGCGATGGAGGCGAGCTCGACAAAGACAGCACAGGAGTCGCACGCCGGGCATGGAACCTCCTCGACATTATCTGTCGCATCCTCAAGCTTGCTGGATATGAGTATAGTCCTTCATCTTGCCCCATGCGGAACCTGGACGCGTGCAGGAAGATTTATTCACGAGCGAGGTCATCCGAACAAAATGATCCCGCGGAATTGTTGGATGCTCTGCAGAATGCATTGCACTTCATGTTTGCCGCTGAAGATATAAACCGTGACCAGTTGTGGTGTGCCCGGTTTTTGCCAGGCGATTCCCACTCACCCGAAGACTTCGACTGGCTAGTGGACTACCTGGACTACATCTGTTCCGACGACCACGAAGCGGCATATGACATATTTTTGCTACTGGGTAGCATGGGAGTGTACTGCAGCCCCGCTAAACAATATTTGTTCATCGAGAGGCTCATCGCCTGTATGGACGATAACATGCCTCCCCATTTACGCCATGCAGCTCTTCGCGCTGCCCACAGTGCCCGAGAAGAAATAGCCTCGATCGATGCCATGGATGACAGGCTACGAGACATAGTTTTGATCAAGCTCTCCCCCACTATTCTGTCCGTGGTTTGTCCGCACCCAGGTACAACACCCGCCAATGATGGTCCTGACCACTTTTTCGATTATCACCGCGATTTATGCTATCTGGAACTAGTTTTTGCCCTCGCGAGGAATTCCAACTGGTACCCCCATTTGTCTGGGGATCGCCACATTGATCGATGCATTAGCATGATTCCAGAGTACTGCGTTTCCGAATCACCCACACACCATGCCTTTTACATAGCTGGTATCTTCCTTCGAATCACACCTGAACAGAAGTCGGATACATCACTTGATTCTGTTACAGGACAACAGTGGTGGGACGTGATGACAAGCGCGTGGAACAGTGTTCCCTATGACATTGACAACCCACGCGGTTTCGAGCTCCTTCCTGTCCTTGTGGATGGCACGAAGAAGTATATGGAGATTGCTTCAAAATCTGATCTCGAGGGGCTCATCGGAAAAGTGGATCGGTTTCTCGAACGTCTGGAGGAGGAGTTGCAATGGAAGAGGCGATGGCAGGAGATGCGCCTCAGGCTGGAGATGGGACCGGAGATGGGACTGGAGATGCAAGGTTTAGAGCAGGGAGAGGGGATCATCATTGCCGTGAAGGAGTTAAGGACTGCAGCCAGCAACATGCTGGAGAGCTTTGGTCAATAATTATTAGTCCCCTAATTATGACGGTGCTTGCATATGGTGTTAGAGTCTTGGAATCAGACGAAGTCATGGGGCAGTGCATGCGCGGAAGCGGGAAGTACCAAGACCCTAACGAAATCGATATTGAATCCTCAGTGGTGTCTGACTTGGTCGGTGCATGTCAGGCGTGAGGAACAATGGATATGAGATGCAAATATTGGGGAGATCAGCATGTAAATGTCGACCAGAGGAAGATTGTTCCACGAGGTTAAAACCAGACCCCGGCGTCACTGACGAGATTCTACGCTCGGCTGTCCCACCCACGTCCCTTGACCGACATGCACAGGAAGACAAAGACGGGGCGACAAACGCAGATTTATTCAAAACTATTCATTTCCGCATGACAATCACCCTTCTTTGGCAGAGGTGTGAAGAATAGTACCGAAATCAATGAATTTGAGTCTTTGACCACCGGAAGCAAATCAGTGTTGTCCTCGCCCGCGCCGTTTTCATTTCCTGCCGCATGTTCCACGTCATTACGCCTTTCAAGATGGTCAGTTCTCGATAGGCCGTCTGCGTTTTGCTAGCGTAGGCTTCGCAGTCTCAGTCTCGGTTTCCTAGGAAGCCCGTGCGATGGATGGGGCTTCTACATGTGAGACATCGATGATGCTGTCAAAGGACATGAACGGAGCGCACGCCGCAGTTTCCAGTTCAGACGAAGCTACAATACGTAGGCCTGTAGTTTGGAGGTTCTTCAGCACCTGGCCGCTGTGGAGCGATGCGAGAGAAACTTTGTTGGATGCGTGTCGGGTCCGGAACTGCGGCGAGAGCTTCAGTAGTGTAGTCGAGTAGCATGAATGATACATACCTCCGTAACCAATTTCCCAAGGATGTCCAAGGAAATGCGGTGCGCTGAAGGTGTCTGGGTTGATTTATGACAGCTTGTCAATGCTGTTAGCGTGCGTCGAATAAGAATCATGCACGGTCGCAAATGTCAGGGCCTGTAAACACCATACTCATCAGTCACACCGCAAAAAGCCTCAAAGCCGATGAGATCCACGCAATACATAAGAGCAGTCAACATCATATTTATGAGCAAAATTGGACGGAAACGTTGACACACATCAGCAGGCGCGTTAGGGTCGGGGATGAATACGTTCTAAATGGCCATTATGAGCCGATTGCGCTCCGTCTTGCGGTAGGGCTGTACGATGGGGCGGCCTCAGGCTGGAGATGTAGTACGACTGTACGGCCCGATTTCTGAGGAAGGAAGAAGATTGTTATTTGTCCACTCGATCAACAACATTTCAATTGCAAGCTGACACACGCGTTACAAATAAAGAGCTGTCAGAGACTGGCTCAGCGGCGTACGAATTGATGATGTCAAGTACTGAAGTCAGCTGCTCGAATTCAAATGCGACTGGCTACGAATTGATGGTCACCGTATGAGTCAGTGTCGATTCCCGTGGATGAGAAAGATCAACGAAACCCTAACCCTAGAGTCAGTTTTCCTTATCTTCACGATCAAAATAAGGTTTACAGTATATCTCGTAGCTGAAGCATAGACCATCTTGCTACATCTCTACCCCAAGGGCACCTAGTTCTCTGTTGTCGACAAAAATACAAAGAAGTTATGACTCGGTCAAAGGTCTGTGGTCTATCATTAAGAACTTCCGTCTCGAGTCATACTCATGCGCAGAAATGTATAAATTCTACTATACTCCATTTCTCAGAAACGACAGCGAGGAGGCCGAGGGGGAAAATCACGCGACGACGATGATCGCGGTATGCTAGAAAAGAGCGATATGAAAAATGAGCGCTTTCAGCTCATATTACAAGGCTCAGCACATCATTCCTGAGGAGGAATGGGATCAGTTCATGGAGACATTGAGACGTCCCTTACCTACCACCTTCCGCATCGCCGGAAGTCGAGAGTACGTGCCTTTCCGTTCTTCCATACCAAACCCGAATGACGGAGGCGTTAGGATTGCTCATGCTCTAAATGATGCAATCAAGAAAACTTATGTCCCGTTGTTGAGCGATGTTGTTTTTGAGGGTGATGTTATACCGCCTCCATCTCGGATTCCTTGGTGCGCTATGTTACCTATATATTTCTGATGTCTGACACTGATGCTGTGCTTAACCAGGTATCCAGAAGACCTAGCCTGGCAATTCAATGTGTCCAAAAAAGTTCTGAGGAAGCAGCAAGCATTCAAAAAGTTTCACTCTTTCCTTGTACACGAGACTGAAGTCGTACGTGATCCTTCGCCTCCAGTCATGCGGTCTATGATGCATGTAATAGGGTAATATATCAAGACAGGAGGCAGTCAGCATGCTTCCACCACTGTTCCTCGATGTCCAGCCACACCATAAGGTAAGGTATGCCGGTCTGCTTCCGTAATGTTCAGATTACAAACCGTAGCTCTGCAGGTCGTTGATATGTGTGCGGCCCCTGGTTCAAAGGTAACCCATTTGTTACGCCATTGCATCCGTCCTTGATGAACTTTAGACCGCACAACTATTGGAAGCTTTGCATGCGCAAGATACTGCAACAGCAACTTCTATTCCTCCGGGACTTTTGATAGCGAACGACAGCGACAGCAAGCGAGCGCATCTTCTCATTCACCAATCTGCGCGTCTTCCCAGTCCGGCTTTCATGGTCACAAATCTAGATGCGTCAATCTTCCCTGTCCTGAGACTTCCCGTAACAACTGCGGATCCTCGCCGTGGCAGCAAGAAATCTCCGAATCAACTCCTTTTCGATCGTATTTTATGTGATGTGCCTTGCAGTGGTGACGGCACACTACGAAAGAATATTGGGATATGGAAGCGGTGGCAGCCCATGGATGGGAATGGCCTACATAGGTCTGTTCCGCACATGGGCTCGTCCTTCACTAGCTCATCTTTGACAGCCTCCAAACCCGCATTCTACAGCGGGCCATGCGCATGCTAGAGCCTGACGGTCGCATTGTTTATTCGACTTGCTCGCTTAACCCCGTCGAAAACGAGGCAGTTATAGCAGCTGCTTTGAACTCTAATCCTGGTGAGTGATTTCGAACCGTTACAGATCGACTATTGGAGTATGCTGAGGCGCGATGCAGATTTCCAGTTAATTGATGTTTCGGCGCAGTTGCCGGAGCTGGTAAGACGACCAGGCATAAGTTCGTGGGCACCCACCGTCAATCGCACAATAAACACAACTTTCAAAACATGGGATGCCTACAACGAAACCCTGACGGAGGAACAGCGAGCAGACAGCAAGATGTCGGAGACCCACTGGCCACCTATTAATGCGGAGTCCTTGCAGCTACACCACTGGTAAGTTTCACCTTGTGCTAATTGCATTCCGACGTCCTCTGACCATGAGGTTTCGCAAGTATGCGAATATATCCCCATCTTCAGGATACGGGTGGATTCTTCGTTGCTGTGCTCGAAAGAAAGCCGCGACAAAGTAATGCCAGTGTTGCAGTGTAGGTTCCAGCGCCATTTTTTTCCATAATTATTCCTTACGCTTGTCCAGGAAAAGAGATGCGGAGGAAGCTGAAGATCGTTGTCCCGGAAGCCAAAAAGGTTAAGCTTGACCTTGGTGGCCTACCAGAACCCCAACAAAGTGCTTCATTTCCGCCTACGCCAATGTCTGAGGACGATGATTCGCGCCCATTGGTGTTGGACACTGTCGAGGCGGATGCGCAGGCTGCAAGCGACACGAAGAAAACTACATTCAAGGGTAAACCCAAGCTGTCGGATCCCTCCTTCAAGGAAATGCCCTATACCTTCCTCGAACCCAATGATCCGACCTTGATATCCTGCATGTGCGTGTTTCTGGATCATCGCCGTAATCTTCGAACTCCAATTCACACTATCACAGAGATCAGCTTAATCTTACGGCCACCTTCCCATCATCGAACATCCTTGTTCGCAATCCAGCAGGTGATGCGGTACGATCTTTCTATCTTACAAACGACCTTGTGAAAGCTGTCGTTCTGAACAACGACTACACTCGCATGCGCCTGATGACGAGCGGGACAAAAGTCATCACCAAACAAGAAGCAGGACGGGGGCTTGAAGCGCAATTCCGCGTTCTTGGCGAAGGTTTACCTGTCGTTCTTCCGTATATCGACCCGAGCGTAATATTGGACGCTGAGTTTGTGACTCTGAAGACTCTTTTGATAACGTACTATCCACTCTGCTACATCATTTTCGGACCCGTTCCGATCTGTCATTGAGAACAAAAGTATGATTCTTGCAATAATCATTGAATAGACTTGCTCACGTCATGTTGCAGGTCCAGGGAGCCATATCGTCCGATTCCCAGCTGGTCAGTCAAATGACTCGACGTAGGTATATTATACTTCGATACATGCATCTAGCTGACGTTAACAGGTTGTCCACACGACCTCCTTGTGCCTTTGTGGAAGTCCAATGTGTCTGTAACTCTTATGATCGACAAGAAGGCAAAAAGGTTCGTTTGAAATGTTTTGCTTTTAATTTCCCTTAGTAACCCATCGACCATTCTTAGTGCGCTCAGTTTACGACTTTTCGGTGAAGATATAACAACTGCTGCGCGCGATGGTGGAAAAAAGACTCCTCAAACATCCCAGCTACCACAAAATACAGGCGATGTAGTCCCGGATGAAGGCGCCGACAACGAGGATGAGGATGCAATCCTCGAAGATGAAGGTGACAATGAAGCAGAGTAATACTAGTAGCGAGTTGATTTTGTGCGTTTGCTTCTCCGGCGTCGTCGGAGACTGATCTTGTATGTGACCTTGTGATGTGGTCCCTTCGGCAAGCCGTGTTGCAGATACTGTCGTACTCTTTCAATGGTTGTGTTGCGATTCTAATGAACTCTTCTGAATCTTCGCTGTGAGTGGTTTACGCTTCAAAAAGGAGCGTGACCAAAGCCATTTTGTCGTCGTTCATGATGGCTTTTCGATAAGTAAATTGAGGACACGACCGGTACACAAGTACTATAGGGTATCGGGCACTGCTCAAAGACACCAACAAGCATGTTTGTACCGCAACTCAACTTGCGACAAAAATCCTCTTGTTCCCTGCAGATTATTCAACAAAGATTTCCAGTGCAGTAGTTTGATGGCACCACCCTCACACACGAGGGGGTCACCGGTCAAAGTCCAAAGCGCCACAGAATTACACCCAGAGGCAGTCGTGTCAGGAACATACTCCTATGTCCCTCCTTCCCTAACCGTCTCTGAAGTCAACAAATCTTAGCCAGTGGTCAACCGACTCGCGTTCAAGATTGACCCTGCTCCCTCTGAAAAGTCAAGGACGTCCTCGAGGTTGCCAATAGGTGACCCCACTAGCATTGCAGTCCGTCTCAGTAAGATCAAGAACGACGGGAAGCTACGCCTATAGATGAAGATCGGTAAACACCCTGCGAGTACACGCTCAAAAACACTGCGTACTACAAGATGAAAGCAACACTGACGGTGTCTGAGTTCGAGTCGGTGACGGGGAAATGGCTGGAGTTTGTGGATATGGAAAATGCTGATGATACTAGTCGTCCATAGACAGAGACTTGTAGACGAAGTCGTTCCTTCTAACAAAAGATATTAGATACAGATTTGTTGACTTTTGCTTGTCTGATTTGAAGATCGCGGTGAAGCGAGGATCTCGTGCACATACCCCGGCAAGTCCGCGACTTGGAGACCTACATCGCTAGAAAGAAGAGAAAACGATGCATAGAAGCTGACGCTCCCGGCACAGCCGGGATGAGGGGTGATCGGTGAGCGTTAGTGCTGAGCATGAACATCGCCTGGATAATCGAGCTCGGTAGCATCCGATAGCAATCGAAGTCATACCCAGCATGGCAAGCCCACGTACTCAGGGCACGTATTTAGCATAATGCTCGACATGCGCTACACCTAGTACCATACCCAGTGATAGGAATCTCCCGCAATGCTATATCATGTGTCAGCCAAGTATCATTTCCGTGGATTTCGAGCGACGAAGAGTGAGGCAAAAAGGGCCGACTAGTAAAGCTGAAGTCATGAGCTGTGCCGACGCCGCCGTGATTCCGGAGGGAGACAAGGGAACATGACAGAAACTATGCGCGCAAGGACTTTGACATGTATACACGTGGAGTCTCCCCCGGAGAAGTTTGAAGTTTGAATTTGCAGTGCCAATTGATGATGTCGATGGTACCATTAATGTGACACCGTATAAGTCGCGTAGGGCCGGGCCACGTGCCACCGTGACAGAGCCCGCTACCCCATTACTTTGAACCACATTGTTCTCCACGTCTACTTAGGTTGCGGCTTGAAACAACATGCATGATGCAATCTCTTTCAGCTCAAGCTCGCTGTTCTCAAGACCTCCGGGAATGGACCCTTCGCACATGAGCAATTATGCGCCAAGATAGATATACAGAGTACGATGCGCTTCATGCTTATCTCGGGCTTAGACAAAGAAAACACTCGGACTGCATGTACGTTATTTGGTGAGCTGTTCTACAATATTAATGTTGTCATTCTCGCGCCACACCCTGCAGTCTGTAGGTGATTCCTTCTCTACACTAAGACTGAAGTTTCGGAGTTGTATGAGATACGCTTCACGAGAAGTTGAAGAAGCTGAGCCACGACACAGTCTTGAGGCCTAGGGATGTCCGAGTCGATCGCCCCTTCAATTTGTTTTTCCATTTCACATCTTCCTGTCACCTTCTAACTTTCTTTAACCACAATGATAGACTTCGGCGCGGATCGCCACCGACACCGCCTCTGTTATCATTTTGCCCAAAAGTTGCATGGAGTTGCAGGGGCTCTGACGCTCGTTCTCTAACTCACTGAAGTAATATCTGAGTGTATCGTATGACCCGTGGGATCCATATTTGGTTTTGACGCTCGCCAAGCTCTTCTAGGAGGTGACTACCAATCAATTCCTGAAATTGTACCGTCAACACGAGTTTGCCTCGAGTTGATTTGTTGGATGCGGTTCGGCAATCTGCAGGCGAATGTCAATCGTCGAGTCAGTACCCGATGGATGAGGCGTCTGAAGTCTGCTGCAAGGAACGTGGTCAACGTTCGTATGGTTTTAAAGGACATGCTGCCAAATGCTACCGCAGTAACCTAGTACCATCCCGAACATCCCTCCTAAATCGCGATGGCTACAAGGTGCGTAATATCTAGACAGGATCCTCGTGACATACTTTTCCAACATTGATAAGTAGGACGAAAAATATTGTCCTTTTTGGGCAGGCAGGGGCAGGCAAAAGCTCACTCGTTAATCTCATGGCGGGAGAGGACGTAGCAGACACGTCCAATGATATGGAGAGCTGCACATTGCACTGGCAACAATATCCCATCCAATTCGACAGCGAATCTTATATGGTGTTTGATACCGTTGGACTCGATGAACCACAGCTGGATATCACAAAATACCTCGATGCTGTCGAGAATGCCTATAGCCTCATTCAGAATTTGGAGAAACAAGGGGGCATTGATTTACTTCTGTTCTGCATGCGTGCAGGCAGACTCACTGAGACACTTCGGAACAATTACCGGCTCTTTCACGAATTCCTCTGTGACAAGAAGGTTCCCATCGTTGTAGCGATCACATACCTTGAAACGGAGCCTATAATGGAAGCCTGGTGGGGGAGGAACGAGAGAACCTTCCGTTCCCAGCAGATGCATGTCGTTGGTCATGCATGCATCACCACCAAAAACAATTTCAATTTCCAAAGCCTGTATGAAGAATCGCGCGTCATAGTCCGCAACCTTGTCACACAGTGCACTGCCGACGGGCAGAGGCAACCTTGGATGGGAGGAAACAACATCTTCGTGTCGTTGATGCGTAGACTGAAGCAGCTACTTGTAGGGAATTCGCGTGTGAAGAAGGATATTATCCCTCGCCTCAAGAGGTGCGGTATGTCTCCAGACCTTGCAAAAAAGTTAGCTAGGAGGATTGATCAAGGCGTCGTAGAAGGAACTACTTGACTTCTGGTGTCCGATAACTGTGCTGATCCAGTTGTAGACTTTGTCCTTGCTGATATGTCTTACGTATCTTACTTACCCTGATATCATGTATTGCATACTTCATTCGAGCTGTCATATTGAACGAATAGATTACAAGGCTCGTGTGGGAGTCAGGTACCACATAAACATGTTTGTGTAGAGCTTTGAGACAGGCTTCGACGAACTACATTGTGCGTAAGGATATGTACTAAGCACCACACGTACGTCACTTCACCGACAACAAGACGAGAGCAAGTTAACAGACACGAGATAAGTCAAGTAGCTCCTTCTACCCCGTCTTTCTTGATCCTATCAGCTAACTTATTTGCGTCATCTGGAGACATACCGCAACGCTGTGTAAGGCAAAGGACAATATCCTTCGTCTCATGCGAACTCCCGTTCCCTACAAGTGGCCCCTTTAGCTTATGCCTGTCGTCAGTAAATTCCTTGACAAGGTTGTGGACCGTGACGCGCGATTCTTTATACAGGGTTGGAGAATTGCCTTCGATGGCGGTGATGCATGCATGACCAGCAACGCGGATATTCCAGTCGTGGAGGGTTTTCCTATTCTTCTTCCACCAGCCATCCATTGTTCCGGCCTCGTGCTCAAGGTGCGTGATCACTACAACGATGGGAACCTTCTTATCGCAGAGGAATTCGTGAAATAGCCGGTAATTTTTCTGAAGCGTATCCGCGACTTCGCCCGCGCGAATACAGAACAGAAGCAGATCAATGCCCCCTTGTGTCTCCAAATGCTGGATGAGTTTACAAGCATCTTCGACAGCATCGAGGTATTCTGCCCTTTTCAGCTGTGGTGCCTCGAGTCCAACGGTATCAAATACCATATAAGACTCGCCACCGAATGTGATGGGATATTCTTCCCAGTGCAGAGTGCATCGCGGTATGTTATTGGATGTGCGTGCTATGTTCTTTCCCGCCATAAGGTTGACAAGTGAGCTTTTACCCGCCCCCGTCTGCCCAAAGAGTACAATATTTTTAGGCTTTATCGTGCTTATCAACGTTAGGAAGATACAAACACATAAAGTACACGAAAACGACGTACTTTGAAGTCATTTTAATGGTGTCTCGGCGGTTGACACCGTGAATCCCTCTCTCGTTCGACAAACGACACTGCTCGATGAGGTTGCAGACAGTGAGGTATGACTCGTCACGGCGCTCCTGGAGCTTAGGACTTGCATTCTTGTGGGACATGGCCGCGGTGACACATGCGTGGCCAGCAAAGGTCATCCCGAGGTTCGAGATGATTCGCTCGTTTTTTCTCCACCAAACTTCCATGTCTGGTTCATGGTATTCCAAACCCGTGACGACAAGGACGATTGGAACTCTCATCTTGACTTGGGAGCGAATTAAGTCGTAGTTCCGGCGGAGTGTCCGAGTCACTCTCTCACCCCGCACGCAGTACATGATGAGATGAATGCCGCCTTGCATCATCAGAGTTTGAATGAGCTTCTTTAACACTTTTCGAGCTTGCATATTGGGGACTGCACCTCCAGGGCCCTCGTCAAGACCTGCAATCTAGTTCAGTCACAGCCACGAAAAGCGGCGAACTGGACCGACCGGCAGTATCGAAAAGTTTTACCTTCAACTTCAACGGAATCGAAATCTCAGTCTCGTATATGTTGGTTTCAGTTGTGCATCCCATAGTATCGGAGGATATCCGAGCCTTGTGCTCCCTAGCGATCAAATTGACCAAAGAACTTTTACCAGCTCCTGCTTCTCCGAAAATGATGACATTGCACGTATCTGTGCAATAAGAGGCTCCCCGTCTGTATCGTTGCGGCGAGCAGTTATTTCAGGCCCTTGTGTGACGGACACCTGAATTCAAGTTAACATCACGCTGAGGAATAGCCAAACACTACTTACAGTCTGCGACATTGCGAAGATGACTCGACCCGAGACAAGAGAACAAAAAGTTTTGATTTGCGTGTTCGAGGAATTTGATGGATTTGAAGCATCAGCTTCATGTAGTGTTCCCGACGCCAGATGTAAAATCGACTAGGCGCATGGATTCAGCATGTTCCAGCGACTCGGACATGCAAGAAAGGCACTGGGTGATCATGCAGCTACTACTAGCGCCCAGGCTCATAACTTGCTTATCACAGCCTCGTATGATACTGCTGCTAGCTGCAGCAACGAGGATTTAATCATTCGGCTGTGTGCTTGAAGTTCAAGTTGGTTCCCCCAGAATAATTACTAGCTATGTACAAATGCAGCGCACGGCATACCCCGAAATTGCCACCCTGAAGGCTCCACTGCGGCTATGCTATCCCTACTAACAACGATCTCTTTTGTGCATAGCAGCTCAGCGCCCTTTAGTCGCATGTGCATCAATCCTCATGCCACTCGTCCGTGGTATGTCTCTCATTATCGTTTGTTCATTTCCGATGGGCCTACTCGAGCCCACCGCTCACCATGTCTACGGCGCCACTAGTGTTAGGATCAATCTTCCTGGTTCCGCTCCTTCATTCTCCATTTTCTCGTCTTGCGGCCGAGAGGCCGCCTTTTTATAGTTTATCTTTATTTGATCACTCCCCGCAAATTCCAGTGCACTTCGCTGCGATACTGCTCCCATTCCTTCCCTTGACCCTCTTGGGCCACGCTGATAACTCGGTGATCTGTAATAACATTGATTTGCTCGGTCACAAATCTTCCGCTCGTTTTCGCTGTTGTGCATACTCAACGTTCGCCGCCCTGCAATACTTTTTTTTCGCTATTATGAACTGTATGTCACGCATTCTATGATGAGTGGCATGCCCAATTGTACCATCGTGAGCCACGCGCTCAGCTCTACCACAGTGATCAATATGTTCGTATCCCCACTGTTGTGGACCCCGTGCTCATCCGCGTCACGCTTTACCTTTCTGGACAGTATTACTCGACCTCGCCCCTTTATCTGTCGCACTGTCATTATCGTTCGGTTGCTCGTGACATCCTGCACATGCTTGCTGGAGGTAGTCTAGCTTCTACAGTGAGGAATCCAGATCAAGTCTAGATCACCTACATATTGCAATGAGGCCAAAGCTGGAACGCAGGTATACGCTCCTGATATTACTGCAGGTCTCAATCTCGATTCTCCCCCCCCCCCCCCCGCTTAAGTACTACAAAGTGCATGTCAATATTGTCCATTGATAATGAGCGAAACATGGCTTCTGATCGTGTACGATCATAGGCCTATCGCTACAGCCGGTGACAAAGGATTCAGGGTCTAGCAATGACAACGGAAATGAAATTTGCACGATGGAGGTCCGAGCTCCAACCAATGTTCCCTCAATCGTTCTGAACGCGAGGACGCAAACGTGCAATATGCGATGAGGACAAATGATCTAGAGCAGTTCGATTATGCATGATATATGCAGACAGCATATGAATGATAACGAGGATAGCAAGGAAATAAAATAGCAAGAAATCAGAAAGACTGTACCCGCGCATTTTGTTCTATGCGTGGTCTGAACTCTTCGACACATCGCCGCAGTTCAGCCACCTGAGCCTCGTGGGACACATCGTTCATTATGATACCCTCATCATCAGCTGGAGACTCGCCGTTTTTTCAGTGAGTCCTCGATGATTTGAATGCCCTCCTCGGTGACTTCATCCGAATGCTCGGGTTCTGATTGTTGTCCTGCTCAGCAAACATCAGCGTGGCAGATTCCTGACAACTCTTTTAAACAATTACCAGTCGCGAAATCTTCTAGTTCATCAGATTTCCGTTTTGCGAGCTTGAACACGGTCAGCGGACATTATAAAACAATTCCATCCAGCACTGAATTTAACCAATTTTCAGGGAAGTTGGCCAGTTACGCAACGTGGATGCCGAAGCTTTGGTCCGAGACGCCTTCATCCACAAGTTTCAGAGAAGAGGTTTAATTGGAAAATCGAAACACACCTGGTTCGACCTTGTACAAGAGCGTGATATCTCTCTCGCGTGGCGTAGATGCATCTTCTTGGTTCACATGAGCTACGACGTGGAGGTTTTTCACGTGAGGAAGCTCCTGGTCGAGGGCAGTCAACTCGTGAAAATGAGTGACAAACTGCGTAGGATGCAATAAACCTTCAGGGTGTCGTTAGATACGACTCCAGGAGAGAAATGTTGTTCTCTTACTCGGATATAGACCATGCGAGACCGAATCCGTCATACGTTGAAGTTCCTGAAGACAAGCTAAATATTCATAAAACATGCATCATCGTCCAACAGAAGACATACCGTGGCCGAGAACCCATGCAGTCTCAAGCATCTCGGCCATGAAAGTCGAGACGCCCTTCAACTGACTGTCACCTGCACCTACTCGGCAAGGCACGGAATCGAAGATAGGCAAGGAACAAAACATCCTGTTTGTGCTATGAGAGAAATGACTCCAACCTGTAAGATAGGTTGAGAATGGCGTTCGCGAACGATAGCATAGTTGATGCACCTGACGAATATACGTGCTCTTTCCGCCCATTTTAGGACCAGCTTTCGGTAGGTTAGCTCTGTTAAAACGGCACAGTAGCAGCACCTACTGATGATCTGAATTCGCCCTCGGCACATAACATATGTAACGATGACAGTGCGATAAACCTTGCCCTTGACCATCTCCACGTCATTTGGAATGAAGCTGATGTCATCCTGAACTTCAAGGCAAGGATGGCGTACATTCTTTGTCACCTGGAGCAGTATCCATAGTTCTGGGAGTTCTCAAGGTGCAGCTTCTTGTCGAGATCGAGATCCTTGCCGGTTGGACGATGTGGAAATGTGCGTCGTTTCCTCGGAGTGGGACACGCAACCGAAGAGGTAACTACAGGAGACGGGACTGGAGACGGAACCGGAGACGCGACTGAAGACGCAAGGTTCGGAGCAGAGAGAGGTCTCTATTTCTGTGAAGGAGTTGAGGACTGCAGCCAGCAGCATGCCGGAGAGCTCTGGTCAGCACTTATGAGTACCCTAATTACGACGGTGCTTGCATGTTGTGTTAGAGTCCTGGAATCAGAGGAAGCCATGGGAAAGTGCATGTGCGGAAGCAGGAAGTATCAAGACCTGAAATTTAAAGAAATCGATATTGAACGTTCAACGTTCGAACCGGTCGTCTCTGACTAGGTAGGGTAAGCTAGACGCATGTCAGGCGTGAGAACAATCGGGCAGGAGATGCAGATATTCGGTCGATCATCGATCAGCACTAGCGCCCAGCAAGACTGAGCAAGTAAATGTCAACTGTACATTAGACACTGTCACTAGCGAGGCTCTGCGCTCGGCTGCCCCAGTTACATCCCTTCATCGATATGTGCATCGGCTCGATCATCAAGCCAAGCCTCTCTGCTACTCGAGTCTCGACTCGACTTTGGTAGTCTCGTCAAGTGCGTTACAATTTCAAAGAGAGCAAAGACTCGCTTCGCAATTCGGGATTGTCGGCAGCCTCCGACATCAGGCCATCAGGCCTCAGGTTCCGGCTTGAACCGACATGCTGCATGCATGATGCGGCAATCTCTCCTTTGACTCCAAAACCTCCGGGAAATGGACCCCCTCGCACATGGCCAATTATACACCACGATATCCAGAGTACGATGTGCTTCACGAGAAATTGAAGAAGCTAAACCACGACATATTCTTGAGGACTTAGGAACGTCAGTTGCCCCTTTAATCTGGTTCCCCATTTCGCATCTTCCCGTCGCCTTCTAACTTTTCTTAACTATATCCTCAACACGACGATCGCCACAGACTCCGGCTCTGCTATTTTCCCCCAAAGCCGCATGGAGTTGCAGGGACGTTGACGCTCGTTCTCTAACTCGTTGAAGTAATCTCTGAATGTGAATGTATTTGGTTTTGACGCTCACCAAGTTCTTCTAACAGGTGACTAGGGATTAATTTCTCGAATTGTACTATCAACACGAGTTTGCCTCAAGTTGATTTATGGGATGCGGCTCGGCAGCCCGTAAGCGAATGTCAATCGTTGAGTGAGTATCCGATCGATGAGACGTCTGAAGTATGGGTGCAAGGAGCGTGGTCAACGTTCGTATGGCTTTAAAAGAAATGTTGCCAAACGCCACATACTGTTATCCTAGTACCATCCTGAACATCCCTTCTAATTTGCGATGGGTGCAAGGTACGTAGAATCTAGACACGATCTTTGTGCCGTATTTTTCCAACGATCATAAGTAGGAAAAAGCATACAAATGTGGTCCTCTTTGGGCAGGGAGGGGCAGGCAAAAGCTCACTCGTCAATCTCATAGCTGGAAAGGACGTAGCAGAGACATCCAGTGACGTGAAACACTGCACGCTGCAGTGGCAATCATATTCCGCCGAATTCGATGGCGATTCTTATAATGTGTTCGACACTATTGGACTCGAGGAACCGCAGCTGGGAATCCCACAGTACCTCGATGCTATCGAGAATGCCTACAAACTCATCCAGCATTTGGAGAGCCAAGGCGGCATTGATCTACTTCTATTCTGCATGCGCGCAGGCAGACTCACTGCTACGCTTCAAAGCAATTTCCGGCTCTTTAACGAATTCCTCTGTGAAAAGAAGGTTCCCGTCGTTATAGCGATCACGTACCTCGAAAACGAACTTGGGGAAATGGATGCCTGGTGGGAGAGAAACAAAGCAACTTTCCGTCACCAGGAGTTCTATGTTGCTGGTCACGCGTGCATCACCGCCATCAAAGGCAGTCGTCCAGATCGGCATGAGCAATCGCGCACCACGATTCGCAAAGTTGTCAAGGAGCTCACTGCTGACGGGCAAAATCAAGCATGGAAAGGAGGAGACAACCTGTTCGTGTCGTTCGTGCAAAAGCTGAAGGAGCTACTTTTAGGGAATTCGCGTCCGAAAAAGATTATCCCTCGCCTCATCAAGAGGTGCGGTTTGTCTGCGGACGTCGCAAAGCAATTGGCTGATAGGATTAAGAAAGACGTGGTAGACGGAACGGCCTGACTTCCCGTGTTCGATAGCTTGTGCCCACTCCGGTTGTAGACTTTAAATTCGACCTTGCCAATACGCCATAACTTACACCCATAATAATTCTATTCTTTGAAAATTTCCTTACAATATATCATGCATGTCGAACTCGATATAAGTACCCCCACGCACTAGTTTTGCGTGGTTGATGAATTTCAGGTCTGAATAAGGGAGACTTTTGTCAAAGCGATGGCACCGTTACACCCGCAAAATGTTGCGACGACCGAAGGAAATGCCAGTTTGTCCACCGTAAGAAAAAAGTACACTTACATGCATACAGAAATAGAGATGGGATACAAATGGGATAAGATGCACAGTAAGACGAGCATGATGTATCGAACACGGGAATCCAAGTAGTCACCTCGAGGCGTGCCGCAACACTTGGTGTCAAGTAGCTCCTTCTACCACGACTTTCTTGATCCTGCCAGCTAACTCTGTCGCGACTTCTGGAGACATGTGGCAGCGCTTGGTGAGGCGGGAGACAACATCCTTCCTCACACGTAAATTCCCATTCCCCGCAAGTGGCATCAACGACACGAACAGGTCGTTTCCTCCTTTCCGTGTTCGCTTCTGCCCGTCGGCAGTGACATTCTTGATAATGTCCCAGATCTCGTGGCGCGAGTCTGTTTGCGAGGTTGGTTTATAGTGTTCGATGGTGGTGATGCAGGCATGACCATCGACACGGATCTTCTTCTTACGGAAGGCTTGCTGGTTTCTCGTCCACCAACTCTCCATGTTCTGCTCTCTTTCAAGGTTCGTGATCGCTAGAACGATGGGAACCTTCTTGTCACAGAGGAAATAACGAAAGAGTCGGTAATTGCATTGGTGCATAGCTTTGAGTCTTCCTGCCGGCATGCAGAACAAAAGAAGATCAATGCCGCCTTCTCTCTCCAAATCTCGAATGAGGCTATGGGCATTCTCGACGGCATCGAAGTATTGTGGGATTCCCAGCTGTGGTTCATCGAGTCCAACGGTATCGAACACCTTAAAAGGCTCGCCACCGAATTTGATGAAATACTCTTTCCAGCGCGTCGTGCAGGCTTCAACGCCACAGCATGTGTCTGCTACATTCTTTCCCGCCATGAGATTGATAAGGGAGCTTTTGCCTGCCCCAGTCTCCCCAAAGACTACGATGTTACGCTCGGTCCTACTTATCAATGTTGGGAAATACGATACAAAGAGTGTAGGGAATACGTACCTTGGGACGTTGTGAATAGTGCCTCGTGACAATTCAGTGTGAATCCCTGTCTTATTCGACAGGTAATACTGCTTGATGAGCTTGCAGACAGCGTCATATGACTGGGTGCGGCGTTCCATGTGCATCGATGTCATTGTCTCGGTAGTGATACATGCGTGGCCAGCGAAGGTCATCCCGAGGTTTGAGATGGTTCGCTCGTTAACCGTCCACCACTCTTCCATCTCTGGTTTATAGGATTCCAAACATGTAACGACAAGGACAATTGGAACTTTCTTCTTCTTTATTTGGGAGCGAATTAACTCGTAGTTCCGGCGGAGCGTCCGAACCACTCTCTCGCCCCGCACACAGTACATGACGAGATGAATATCGCCTTGCTCCGTCCGAGTTCGAAGGAGCTTCCTCAAAATTCTTCGAGCCTCCTTATCTGGGACTGTGCCTCGAGGGCCCTCGTCCAGACCTGTAATCTAATTCAGTAATAGTCACGAAGAGGGGCGAGCTGCACCGACCAGCTGTATCGACAAGCTTTACCTTGAACGTCTCGTTCCGAATCGTCGAAATATCGTACGCATGGGTTCCAGCTGTACATCCCCCAGCATCGGAGGATGTCGCCGCTACGTTCTCCCCAGCGATCAAATTTACCAAGGAACTTTTACCAGATCCGGCTTCTCCGCAAATGACAACATTGAACGTGTCTGCGCGGTGTGGAGGTTCCCCGACTTCAGCATGGTTGGAACTAGAAAAAAATTGAGATGAAATGGAGGACTTGTATCAAGTTAACCTTAGCTGAGGTAGAGTCAAACACCACTTACACTAGATGGTTGTGTCCTAGCAGGACTCGACATTACAATAATGACTCAAGACAGGAAAGCGAGAGGTGCGTCTTGACTTGCGTGTTGAGGGTTTTTGAGTAGTGTCAGCTCTCCTTCAGTTATCCTTTCGTTAGAACTGGAGTCGGTATGTCTAGGCAGATGAGGAAGACGCTTGGATTCAGCATGTTCCATCACGGTACACGTGCCAGTGCAATTCTGAGAACTGGCGCTGGGGGGCGGCGTAGCTGCGTAAGCTCATGATGAATATTACAATCACGCTGCCTAAACGCGCTGGGCTTCGTACATGCTAAGCTGCTGGTCTAGCTGCAGCGGTGAGGATTCGACTGTGCACTTCAGGGTATGGACGATAAGCCATCACGCATCGTGTTGTTACTAACCTAAGTTTCGAAAATCAAGTGGTTGCCTAGGGTTATTAACAAGTAGTATGTCATCAACATGTTATTACTTGGCAAAACAATACATACTGGAGGCTGTGGCCATGGAGGGTTGTGGGTGATCAATTGATCACTGCCTACATATTATTAAAGGCAGGTGCCGGTTAGTGGCAGAAGGAAGCGCGTCCCAGACTAATAGACTGCTGCCAGTGATCGATCACGTCATCACTATAGGTACCGTAGGTTGTTCCTAACCACCAAATTTTGCACTCGCTCAAGAAATTCTTTATATTCTCTTCCCTGTATTCGAATTCATCATGCATTTACAGTACTTGAACATGAGGGTCATGTTTCAATGTACTTAGCACCTGGCGCCTAACAACATACTTCGAAATTGCCACCCTGAAGGCTCCCTCCACCGACTGCGGGTGCCTTTTAGTCCCAGGCGCAATCCTCATGCCACTCGGTCGTGGTATAGTTATTCTCGTTTGTCTGTCTCCGATGCCTACTCGAGTGCACCGTTTATCATGTCTGGTGCTAGGATTAATCTCCCGCCCCTCCATTCTCCATTTTCTTGTCTTTGTATAATTTATTCCGCTTCCCGAGTTCCAGTGCACATCGCGGCGATACCGCTACGTTCCATCCCTTGACCTTCCACATCACCGTAATAACTCGGCAATCAGTAGCAACTTCCATTGACATTGATTTGCTCTGTCACAATTCTTCCGCTCGTTTTCGCTGATATGCATTCTCAATGTCCCGCATCCTATGATGAGTGACATGCCCATTTCTTATTTTTAACCGTCGTGAGCCGCGCGTTCAGCTCTACTACAATGATCAGCATGTTCATTTTCCCAGTAGAGTTGTGGGCCGCATGCTTGTCTGCATCACGCCTCGCCCCTTCATCTATCCCACTGTCATCGTTAGGTTACTCGTGGAACCCCCACGCATACTAGCTGGAGGTGGCCTAGCTTCAGTAGTGAGGATTCGTAAGTACTGGAGTTCAGAAAATCCTACACATTGTAAGGAGGCCAAAGCTGGAAATTAAACTTTGCACCCGCTCCTGATATTACCGCAAGTCTTAATCTCCGTCCGTTTAAATTCTACGAACTGGCAAGTTGAAACTGCATGTCAATATTATCCAGCGATAGTGAGCGAAATATGGCTTTTGATCATGTACGGTCGTAGGCCTATCGCTACAGACAGCGACAAAGGCTTCTCGTCCAGGGTCTAGCAAGAACAAAGTAGAACCACGGAAATGAAAATTTGCACGATGGAGGTTCGAGCTCCAAAGTTCCCCTAATCGTTCTGAACGCGAGGACGCAAATGTAGAAGATGCGGTGGTGACAAACGATCCAGAGCAATTCGATTATGTATGATATGCAGACAGCAATATGAATGATAGCAAGGATAGCAAGGAAATAAAACAGCAAGAAATCAGAAAGACGTGAGTAGAGACTGTACCCGCGCATTTTGTTCTATGCGTGGTCTGAACTCTTCGATACATCCCCGCAGTTCGGCCAGCTGAGCCTTGTGCGATACATCATCCATCATGACGTCCTCATCATCAGCGGAAGACTCGGAGGCCCATCTTCTTGGTTCACATAAGCTACAACGTGGAAGTTGTTCAGGTGAGGAAGCTCCCGGTCAAGAGCAGTTAACTCGTGAAAGTGAGTAGCAAACAAGCAGAAGGCGCAGATGGGGGACGCAATATGCCTCGGGTACCGTCAGGTACTACTGCAGGTAATAAAACTAGTTCTCTTACTCGGATATGGGCCACGCGAGGCGAAATCCATCATATGTTTTAGTTCCTGAAGACAAAGCCAAATATTGACAAAACGTGCATCGTCATCCAATAGAAAACATACCACGGCTGAGCTCATCGATGATAATGAGAGATTCTTCAGTAGCAGACTGAATGGTACACGACAGTCAAACTAAGGAAATATTTGAGTAGATGCCACTTACTCGGAGGATCGAGGCAGTCTCAAGCATCTTGGCCATGAAAGTCGAGACACCCTTCAACTGACTGTCACCTGCACCCACCCAACAGAGCACAGAACTGAAAACTGGCAAGGTTGCCTCCGAGCAAGGAACAAATCATCCAGTTTGTGCCATGAGAGCAATGACTTCAATCTGTGAGATAGGTTGAGAATGGCGTTCGCGAACGATCTCATAGCTGATGCACCTGACGGATATACGTGCTCTTTCCGCCCATGTTAGGACCAGCTTCCGTAGGTTAGCTCTGTTGAACGGCACAGTAGCAGTACCTACTGATGATCTGAAATTCGCCCTTGCCTACAATGCGGGGCATGAGACATGTAATGGTGACAGTACAATAGACCTTACCCTTCACCATTTCCAGTCGTCCTGAACTTCAAGGCAAGGATGCCGTGCATCGCGCAATATTAAGCCGCTAGTACCTGATGTACGTCGATTAATTCCTGCGTCGAACATCGTCTCCCAAACTTGCATTTATCCAGGACCTTTGGTTTCACGTATGGCTCAGGAGTGTTTAAGCGAAACTAGATGATCGTTACCACATGTGCAAGCTCTAGTTATGGGGCTCACCTGAGGATAACGTCTAGGTGTGCAATGATGTGGTCAAGATTCTCTAGTACGGGCGTATATGTTTCTGTACGAAGGAAAGGGCATCTGTGAATGGCAAAGTAGTGGTGAAAGGAGTATCTTACATGCAATGCTGACAACTTCCTTCACCAACCCACCCTGTGTCCACTGATGTTCATGCGTCGTCTCTTGATGGTCCATGGAAAGTGCTTTCAGCTTCTTGGTCTTGAAGTTGACACTCCCGAGTTCGATATATTTACTGTTCCGCACAATGACTTTCGCGTCCTGATGGGTACGTGAGCTCAGGATATCTCACAGTACAGAAAGCGTACATTCTCTGTCAACCTGAAGCAGTATCCATAGTTCTGGGAGTTCTCAAGGTGCAGCTTCTTGTCGAGATCAAGATCAAGATCCTTGCCGGTTGCACGATATTCGGCATCAAGACTATCTCGGATCTAAGAAAATGTTAGCCCTCTTCGCTATGATTCTGATAGGCGTGATATGAACCTCCACAAGTTTATCTGCCAGAGCTTGCAGACGCTCATCATAGCCAAGCTTGATCGCGTAATTATGATTTTCGAGTTCTTCGGGATCTAGCGTCGACCCGACCATCTCGCCATATTTGACGAGATTATCGTTGACAGTCTGATAGTAGCATGTGTTAGAAAGGGAGCAGTGAGGATATGATTTGACGAAACCATGACATGCGCACCTGGAAAGGCTTGGTATAAATTTCATCTATAAACTTCTTGTGCTCCTTGTGTTCGCACTGGACGCCTTCGAGAGTCTCAAGCAAAAGAGGCAGCTAGTCAGGTAAGGTAAGTCTCACTGATAACCGAGAACCAAAGCGAGGTACCTTGAGGACTACTTGATATACCCGCACCAGTGACAACATCCTCAATAGACGCGATAGATTTCTTGAATCGCTCGCTCACCCGGTAGAGGTCAAGCTTCAACTTTAAGTAATCATCCTGTGAAACGAAAATAAATGACGCCCTTGACAAAGGGTATTGCAGCGTCCTCCGAGAAGACCTGTCATCCACAAATGTCTCCATGAAGTATTGTGCGACGTAGTGAGCATCCTGCCCGTGGACAGAGTAGTAGTCTGTGCGATCGAATAGATGGATCATTCCAGTTTCAGAAGATTTCTTTGAGAGTTTGGAAAAGAATACAACGAAACCAAGGTCAGAGGGTGAGCCTGAGCGGCGCTGATCTCAGGTCAGAGTTAAAATTCTATCGGTCGATGGACAATCGAAGACCCGCTCAGTTCAAGATCTATATCTTTTTCCGATACATGAGAGCCATGCTACTAGTTTAGTAGTTCTTGACCTGGTCGAGGCTGGTTGTCAAAAAGAAAGAAGCAAAAGACGCGTCGCATCACGTGAGGTTATTAAAAGACTCCCCGAAGACTACACTTGTCTGGTGCGTGCCATACGATGATGTCGATTCAGCGTCATTCAACTTCAGTCCCATTACATAACAACTTCCCACCTCATGCCACAGTGTAGGTATTTGTATTTCAATTCCTGTCAAGTCAACTGCCAGTGCAGGTTATGATTACTCGTATTTGCTTCCAGCGCTCACCAATCGAGGACTCATATGCATTGTTCTGCATTGTACGGCCACAGATGTCCCTCGCAGGTCCCCCACTATTCCAGTGCTCGGATTTCTGTTTGTTTTGTGCGCATCAGCCTTGTCTCACTCTATCGTATACTCACAAGCAGGACGTTTGATAGTAAGATGGGGCAGCTGCTATGCTGCTCCAATAATGATGTAGAGGAGGTGTGAGTGGCATTGCAGAACTGTCCCCACAGTCATCCTCACAGATCCAATTTTATCGATAATCTTGCCGTTAGTCTTCATGTCAGATTCTGGTAGTGGGGCGTCCTGTCCGACCTCGATGTTGAGTTCGATCGAGCTGCACTGGAGCTCCGTCCCCTGGCCATTCTAACTGATCCACGTCTCTCGTGTGATGTACCTTACAGTGGTGACTGCACGCTTGCAGGTCCAGGGAACCATATCGTCCGATTCCCAGCTGGTCGGTCAATTAATCACTCGACGTAGGTATTTCAGACTTTGATACGTGCATCTAGCTGACGTCAATATCAGGCTGTCACACGACCTCCTTTGTGGAAGCCTACAATTCTCATGATCGACAAGGCAAAAATATTCGTTTGAAATATTTTACATCCCATTTCGCCGGGTAATCCATTGATTGTTCTTAGTGCGCTCAGTTTACGTCTTTTTGGTGAAGATATAACAACCGCTGCCCGTGATGGTGGAAAGAAGGCTTCTCAAACATCCCAGCTACCACAAAATGCAGGCGATGTATTCCCTGATGAAGGCGCCGATAACGAGGATGAGGATGCAATCATCGAAGGCGACAATGAAGCAGAGTAATACTAATAGTAAGTTGATTTTGCGCGTTTACTTCCCTAGCGTCGTCGTGGCTACTCTGGTATTCGATTTCGTGATGTGGAACTTCGGCAAGCCGTATCACAAACACCGTCGCACTCCCACTGGTCGGAGACTTAGCGTTGGTTGTGCAATTCTAATGAATTCTTCACAATTCTGACTGCGAGCGGTGCCCTACGGTGCTTAGTCTAAGGCGCTTTATCTGTTGAACTATGAATCTATGATACACATAAACACACACGCAGACGATATAGACACAGTTGCATATCGTTGCCGGCGTGAAATAATTGAAGGTGTTTGCACGATGCTGCTGGCCTGAGATGAACTTTGTAACATTTTCGAGTGCATACAAGGATGTTTATACTAGTGGTCTCAAACTACTGCGTAGGGAAGTTTTTGACGGTAAATATATGTATTAAGAGTACAGTAGAGCAATTACTTTACCTGCTATGACATATCGAAGTACGTTCTGCATCGGCTGGAGGGATAGGATCAGCCAGGCCTGAGAGTAGAATCTGCAAATCTGATTATCTGATTATCGTCAGAATCAGTGTGAGATTCGACATGTTTGATTCCTTCTATTTATAAATACAAGCAGGTAAAGGTAAAGACGGGGCGAGAGACCGAGGACCAAGGGTGGAAGGGTTCTGAAGCATAACCCGGCTGAAGACCAATTGACCAGAACTTCGGAGGCGAAGGGTTGAAGCTAAGGTCCATCATGGAATTTGATAAGCGTAGTACTAACTAGATCTGAGAACCAAATTTAAATTTGAATTTGCAATGATGTAATAGGAAAGTAGCTGAGTAACTACAGTTAGGCATTCTTGAGCTCGCGCCCCCAATGCCCTTTCCATGTGTAGGGAACATGCTGAATCCATGTGTCTTCGTCGATTTTCACGTCTGGCTGTACCGACACCTATTCCAGCGAACCGGGGGATAGCAGAAGGAGAGCCGACGCCACTCAAGAGTAAAAATCACCGAACACCCAAGTCAAGACGTACCTTTCGCTTGCTCGTCTTGGGTTGAGTCCGAGTCAGAGTCGAGTTGCTATGACAATTCCGCAGCCTGCTGGGAGACTCCAACCATCTAGTGTAAGCAGTGTTTGGTTCTTCCTCAGTGTAAGGTTAACTTGAAACCAGTCCTCCGTCCCATCTCAATTTAAAAGTTCTGCTAATTCCAACTATACTGCAGTCTGGGAACCTCCACATCGCACAGACACGTGCAATGTTGTCATTTTTGGAGAGTCCGGAGCGGGTAAAAGTTCCTTGGTCAATTTGATCGCTGGGACGAACACGGCGGTGATATCCTCAGATATTGGGGGGTGTACAACCGGAGCCAATTCACACGATATTTTGATTCAGAACGAGACGTTGAAGGTAAAGCTTTTCGATACACCCGGTCGGTCCAGTTCACCGCTCTTCGTGGCTATTACTGAACTAGATGACAGGTCTCGACGAGGATCCTCGAGGTACAGTCCCAGATAAGGAAGCTCGAAGAATATTGGGGCAGCGAGTTCAAACTCTGATGGAGCAAGGCGACCTTCATCTCATCATTTACTGTGTGCGGGGTGAGAATGTGATTCAGACACTCCACCGGAACTACGAATTCATTCGGTCCCAAGTCAAGAGGAAAGTTCCGATTGTTCTCGTCGTCACATCTTTGGAATCCTACGACCCAGATATGGAAGAGTGGTGGAGGTTGAACGAGAACGCCATCTCAAAACATGGGATGACCTTTGATGGCCACGCATGTGTCACCACGGGGAAGATCACGCAATCTAATGTCACGGAATTCGGCCGCAAACAGTCGTACGACGCTGTCTGCAAGCTCATCGAACAGTGTCGCCTATCAAATGAGTCAGCTGGACTGTCACGAGGCACTACTTACAACATCCCTTCTAAATTGGTTGCGAGGTACGTATTCCCTACACTCTCAGTGTGTATCGCATTTTCCTAACACTGATCAGTAGCAACAGGGATACAAATATCGTCCTCTTTGGGCTGGGGAGGGTAGGCAAAAGCTCGCTCATTAATCTCATAACGGGAGAGAACGTGGCAAAAACATCAAGTGACATGAGAGCCTGCACATTGCGCTGGCAAAAATATGCGATCAAAATCGATGACAAGTCCTATAACGTGTTCGATACCGCTGCACTCGAAGAACCACAGCTGGGAATCCCACAGTACCTCGATGCTGTCGAGAACGCCTACAAGCTCATTCGGAAACTAGGAAGACAAGGCGGCGTTGATCTACTTCTGTTCTGCATACGCGCAGGCAAACTCACACCTACGCTTCAATACAATTACCGGCTCTTTCACGAATTCCTCTGTGACGAGAAGGTTCCCATCGTTGTGGTGGTCACGTACCTCGAAAACGAGGAAGGAGAAATGGATGACTGGTGGAAGAGAAACAGAGACATTTTCAATGAACGGGAGGTCCGTGTCGCTGGTCATGCATGCATCACTGCCATCAAAGGCAATTATCCAGTCCGGTATGAACAATCGCGTACTACGATCCGTGAACTTATCAAGGAGTTCACTGCTGACGGGCAGATGGAGGCGTGGAAAGGAGGAGACAGCACGTTCGTGTCGTTTATGCGTAAGCTGAACGGGCTACTTGTAGGGAAGGAGAAACCGCGTATGAAGAAGAATGTAGCGTCCCGCCTCACCGAGCGTTGCAATTTGCCTTCAGATGTCGCAAAAGAGTTAGCTGATAGGATTAAGTAGAAGGAGCAACTTAACTTCCCGTGTGGGTCTTGTCTGACATGTATCTTAATCTTTGTCCTATAACATGTTATATCCAATGGAGCGTCATCCACCCGCGTGATTCTTGCGTGCCAGGGCACAAACTTCAAGCTTCAAGCCCCGCCATCGCACTGCGCCCGCGATAGCTATTTGGTGGCCTGTTACTTTTGGAAAGCTTATACGAGTTCACCCTCTTGCGAGTTCGACCATTCACTGCCTTCAGTATTCCACGTGTCTTTACTTTCAATGCTCTCTCACTCTGTATGATACCTCCCAAGATTCTGCTCGACTTCAGCATGCATAATTTTAAGTAGTTTTAAGTAGAATAGGTATGACGAAATATTGGCAAGAACAATTTAAAAGTCTACAACCGGATGAGCATAAGTTATCGAACATGGGAAGTCAAGTAGTTCCTTCCACCACGCTCAAGTTAATATTATCAGCCGACTCTTTTGCGACATCTGAAGACAAACCGCAATGTTTGGTGAGGCGAGACATCATATTCTTCTTCATACGCGGTTTCTCCTTCCCCACAAGTAGCCCCATCAGCTTACGCATGAACGACAGGAACGTGCTGTCCCCTCTTTTCCATGACCCCTCAAGACACAGATGTCGTTACGGAAGATGGGAGTCCGAGTTAGAGCCTCAGTAAATAATTCGATGATGGGCAGGCAACGAACAGCGTGAATGTTCACATTTTAACACGAGGCCCAAGAGTAGAATCTGCAGATCTGATTATCTACAGGTCAAAGAATCGAGTCGAAAATCGGCTATAAATACAAGCAGATAAAGGTGAAGACGGGCGAGGGACCGAGGACCGGGACCGAAGGGTTCCGAAGTATAACTCGGCTGAAGACCAATTGACCGGATCTTCGGAGGGCATGGCATGGTTGGACGAAGAGAAGGTCCTAAATTTAATAAGGGCACAGCTGGGCAAAAGGAAAAGTGAGCAGAACTATCTGAAGTGAGAACCAAACACAGGAATTTGCAATTATGTAATAGGAAAGTAGCTGCTAGGCAGCATGGTCAATTTGACTCGCGCCCCCAATGCCCTTTCCATGTGTACGGAACATGCTGAACCCATGTGTCTTCGTCGATTTTCATCTGGCTGTACCGACTCCCATTCCAACGAATCGGTGATAGCAGAAAGAGAGCTAATGCCAGTTAAGAGTAAAAATCACTGAACACCCAAGTCAAGACGTACCTTTCGCTTTCTTGCCTTGAGTCGAGTTGCTATGGCAATTTCGAAGCCTGCTGGGAGACTCCGACCATCTAGTGTAAGTAGGTTTGGCTCTTCCTCAGTGTAAGGTTAACTTCCAGCTGAAATCAGTCCTCCGAGTCCGTCCCATCTCAAAATTCTGCCAATTAACTATACTGCAGCTGGGGAAACCCCACATCGCACAGACACATGCAATGTTGTCATTTTTGGAGAATCCGGGGCTGGTAAAAGTTCCTTGGTCAATTTGATCGCTGGGAAGGACGTAGCGATGACATCCTCAGATACTGGGGGATGTACATCCAGAACCAGTACGCACGAGATTTTAATTCAGAACGAGACGTTGAAGGTAAAGCTTTTCGATACACCCGGTCGGTCCAGTTCACCGCTCTTCGTGGCCATTACTGAACTAGATAACAGGTCTTGACGAGGATCCTCGAGGTGCAGTGCCAGATAAGGATGCTCGAAGAATATTGAAGAAGCTAGTTCAAACTTTGATGAAGCAAGGCGACCTTCATCTCATCATTTACTGTGTGCGGGGTGAGAATGTGATTCAGACACTCCACCGGAACTACGAGTTCATTCGGTCCCAAGTCGAGATGAAAGTTCCGATTGTCCTTGTCGTCACATCTTTGGAATCCTACGAACCAGACATGGAAGAGTGGTGGAGGTTGAACAAGAACACCATCTCAAACGTTGGGATGACCTTTAATGGCCACGCATGTGTCACCACAGGGATGATCACACAATCTAATGTGACCGAACATTGCCGCAACCAGTCGTACAATGCTGTCTGCAAGCTCATCGAACAGTGTCGCCTGTCGAATGATACAGTGATTCACACTGGAGCGTCACGAGACACTACTCACAACATCCCTTCTAAATTGGCTGCGAGGTACGTATTCCCTACACTTCCTGTGTATCGCATTTTCCCAACATTGATCAGTAGCAACAGGCATACAAATATCGTCCTCTTTGGGCAGGTAGGGGCAGGCAAAAGCTCGCTCGTCAATCTCATGGCGGGAAAGAACGTGGCAAGAACATCTAGTGACATGAGATCCTGCACATTGCACTGGCAAGAATATCCCATCAAATTTGACGACAAGTCTTATAATGTGTTCGATACCGTTGGACTGGAGGAACCACAGCTGGGAATCCCACAGTACCTCGATGCTGTCGAGAATGCCTACACACTCATTCAGAATCTGGAGAGACGAGGCGGCATTGATCTACTTCTGCTCTGCATGCGCGCAGGCAGACTCACTCCTACGCTTCAAACCAATTACCGGCTCTTTCACGAATTCCTCTGCGACAAGAAGGTTCCCATCGTTGTGGTGATCACGTACCTTGAAAATGAGGTCGGAGAAATGGATGACTGGTGGAAGAGAAACCAATACGCTTTCGATGGACGGGAGATCTATGTCGCTGGTCACGCGTGCATCACTGCCATCCGAGGCAATTATCCAGACCGGTATGCCCAATCGCGCACCACGATCCGCAAGCTTGTTGCTGCTGACGGGCAGAAGGAGGCATGGAAAGGAGGAGACAGTACGTTCGTGTTGTTCGTGCGTAAGCTGACGGGGCTACTTGTGGGGAAGGAACAATCGCGTATGAGGAAGAATATGATGTCTTGCCTCACCAAGCGTTGCGGTCTGTCTCCAGATGTCGCAAAACAGTTAGCTGATAGGATTCAGAATGGTATGGTGTGGTAGAAGGAGCAACTTGACTTCCCGTGTTAGAATCAATTATGCTCGTCTTACCTGTGGGTCTTGTTCGATATGTATCTTAGTCTTTGTCCTATAACATGTTATATCCAATGGAACGTCATCCACCCGCGTGATTATTGCATGCCAGGACACAAACTTCAAGCCCGCCATCGCACTGCGCCTGCGATAGCTAGGATGTGGTGGCCGGTTACTAGATCTTGCTTTTGGAAAGCTCATAGGAGTTCGACCATCCTACCGACTGCAATATCCCGCGTGTCTTTACTTTCAATGCCCTCTCACTCCGTAAGGTACCTCGCAAGATTCTGCTCGACATAACTTTAAGTAGAATATGCATGATGATGTACATTGGCAAAAACGATTTCAAAGTCTACAACCGGATGAGCATAAGATTATCGAACACGGGAAGTCAAGTAGTTCCTTTTACCACGTCATCCTCAATCCTATCAGCTAACTCTTTTGCGACATCTGGAGACAAACCGCAACGCTTGGTGAGGCGAGACACCATATTCTTCTTCATACGCGGTTTCTCCTTCCCCACAAGTAGCCCCTTCAGCTTACGCATGAACGACACGAACGTGCTGTCCCCTCCTTTCCATGCCCCCTCAAGACACAGATATCGTTACGGAAGATGGGAGTGCCGCGATGCGAGTTAGAGCAGCAGTAAACAATTCGCTGATGGGCAGGCAACGAACAGCATGAACATCCACATTTTAACACGAGGCCCGAGAGTAGAATCTGCAGATCTGATTATCTTATAGGGTCAAAGAATCGAGTCGAAAATTGGCTACAAATATCAAGCAGGTAAAGGTAAAGACGGGCAAGGGACCGAGGACCGAGACCGAGGGTAGAAGGGTTCTGAAGCATAACCCGGCTAAATACCAATTGACCGGAACTTCGGATGGCATGGCATGGTTGGGCGAAGGGAAGGTCCTAAATTTGTAAGGGCACAGCTGGGCAAAAGGAAAAGTGAGTACTAACTTACAGAACTACATTACATTGATCTGAGAACCAAAGAATTTGCGATTATGTAATAAGAAAGTAGCTGTTAGGTTGCCGCAGCATGGTTAATTCTTGAAGACTTGAACTCGCGTCCTCAATATCGCCCTTTCCACGTATATTGAACATGCTGAATCCATGTGTCTTCGTCGATTTTCACCTGGCTGTACCGAACCCTATTCCAACGAATCGGTCGATAGCAGAAGCCTAAGAGAGCTAATGCCACTCAAGAGAGAAAATCACCGAACACCCTAGTCAAGACGTGCCTTTCGCTTTCTTGCCTTGAGTTGAGTCCAAGTCAGAGTCGAGTTACTATGGCAATTTCGAAGCCTCCCGGGAGTGTAAGCGGTGCCTAGCTCTTCCTCAGCGTATGGTTAACTTCAAGTTGAAACCAGGCCTCCGTCCCATCTCAAAGTTCTGCTAATTCTAACTATACTGCAGTCGCGGATCCTCCAAATCGCACAGGCAGGTGCAATGTTGTTATTTTTGGAGAATCTGGAGCTGGCAAAAGTTCCTTGGTCAATTTGATCACTAGGAAGGACGAGGCGGAGACATCTTGCGATGCTAAGGGATGTACAGATGCAGTCAATGAGCACGAAATTTGGATTCAGGACAAGACGTTGAAGATGAAGCTTTTCGATACACCCGGTCGGTCCAGTTCACCGCTCTTCGTGGCTATTACTGAACTAGATGACAGGTCTCGACGAGGATCCTCGAGGTACAGTCCCAGATAAGGAAGCTCGAAGAATTTTGAAGAAGCTAGTTCAAACTCTGATGAAGCAAGGCGATATTCATCTCATCATTTACTGTGTGCGGGGTGAGAAATTGATTCGGACACTCCGCCGGAACTATGAGTTCATTCAATCCCAAGTCAAGAGGAAAATTCCAATTGTCCTTGTCGTCACATCTTTGGAATCCTACGAACCAGACATGGAAGAGTGGTGGAAGTTGAATGAGAACACCATCTCAAAATTTGGGATGACCTTCGCTGGCCACGCTTGTGTCACCACGGGGATGATCACACAATCTAATGTAACGGAACGCGGCCGCAACCAGTCACACGACGCCGTCTGCAAGCTCGTCGAACAGTGTCGCCTGTCGGATGATACAGTGATTCACACTGGACCTGGGAGGTGTGTATTCCCTACACTCTCAGTGTGTATCGCATTTTCCTGATGTTAATAAGTAGCAAAAATATCGTCCTCTTTGGGCTGGCGGGGGCAGGCAAAAGCTCGCTCGTCAATCTCATGGCGGGAAAGAACGTGGCCAGAACTTCAAGTGACATGAGATCCTGCACATTGCACTGGCAAAAATATGCCATCAAAATCGACGACGAGTCCTATAACGTGTTCGATACCGCTGCACTCAGATCACCACAACTGGGAATCTCACAGTACTTCGATGCTGTCGAGAATTCCTACGCGCTCATTCAGAATCTGGAGAGACAAGGTGGCATTGATCTACTTCTGTTCTGCATACGCGCAGGCAGACTCACTCCTACGCTTCAAACCAATTACCGACTCTTTAACGAATTCCTCTGTGACAAGAAGGTTCCCATCGTTGTGGTGATCACGTACCTCGAAAATGAGCAAGGAGAAATGGATGACTGGTGGAATAGAAACAGAGGCGTTTTCGATGAACAGGAGGTCCATGTCGCCGGTCATGCATGCATCACTGCCATTAGAGGCAATTATCCAGACCGGTATGCACAATCGCGCAATACGATCCGCAGTCTTGTCAAGGAGTTCACTGCTGCCGGGCAGAAGGGGACATGGAAAGGAGGAGACAGCACGTTTGTGTCGTTCATGCGTGAGCTGAAGGGGCTATCTGTGGGGGAGGAGAAACTGCGCATGGAGAATATGGTGTCTCACCTCACCAAGCGTTGCGGTTTGTCTCCAGGTGTCGCAAAACAATTAGCTGATAGGATTAAGAATGACGTGATAGAAGGAGATACTTGACTTCCCGTGTTCGATTAATTATACTCGTCGTACTGTGGGTCTTGTCCGACACGCATCTTCATCTTTGTCCTATGATATCTTACACCCAGAGCGTCGTCCACCCGCATGATTATTGCGTGCCCTGCCAGGGCACAAACTTCAAGCCCGTCATCGCACTGTGCCGCCTGTGATAACTATGTGGTGGTCGGTTACTACTAGTTCTTGTTTTTGGAAAGCTTATACGGGCTCACCTTCTCCGCCCTTAGTGTCTTTACTTTCAATGCTCTCTCACTACGTAAGATACCTCGCGAGATTCTGCTGGACTTCAGCATGCATAATTTTAAGTGGAATAGGTATGACGATATTTTGGCAAGAACAATTTAATAAAAGTCTACAACCGGATGAGCATAATTTATCGAACACGAGAAATCAAGTAGCTCCTTCCACCGTGTCATCCCTAATCCTATCAGCTAACTCTTTTGCGACATCTGGAGATAAATTGCAACGCTTGGCGAGGCGAGACGCCACATTCTTCTTCATACGCGGTTTCTCCTTCCCCACAAGTAGCCCCTTCAGCTTACGCATGAACGACACGAACGTGCTGTCTCCTCCTTTCCATGCCCCCTGCCCGCCAGCAGTGACCTCCTCGACAAGTTTACGGATCGTGGTGCGCGATTGTTCATGCCGGTCTGGATAATTGCCTCTGATGGCAGTGATGCACGCGTGACCAGCGACATGGACCCCCCGTTCATCGAAAATGTCTCTGTTTCTCTTCCACCAGTTATCCATTTCTCCGTCCTCATTTTCGAGGTACGTGATCACCACAACGATGGGAACCTTTTTGTCACAGAGGAATTCGTGAAAGAGCCGGTAATTGGTTTGAAGCGTAGGAGTGAGTCTGCCTGCGCGCATGCAGAGCAGAAGTAGATCGATGCTCTCCAGTTTCCGAATGAGCGTGTATGCATTCTCGACAGCATTGAGGTACTGTGGGATTCCCAACTGTGGTTCCTCCAGTCCAACGGTATCGAACACATTATAAGACTTGCCATCGAATGTGATGGGATATTCTTGCCACTGCAATGTGCAGGATCTCATGTCACTGGATGTCTTTGCTACGTTCTTTCCCGCCATGAGATTGATGAGCGAACTTTTGCCTGCCCCTGGCTGCCCAAAGAGGACGATATTCTTGCTACTCATCAACGTTGGAAAAATACAGCACAACGATCCTGTCTAGATTCTACGTACCTTCTACCCATTGTGATTTAGGTCCTAGGAATCTTCAGGATGATACTAGGACTCTGTAGCGTTCGGCCGCATTTCGTTTTAAAGCCCTACGAACCTTGACCACGTTCCTTGCACACACTTCAGACGCCTCACCGATCGGAAACTCAACAATCGACATTCGCCTGCCAGTGCGGATTGCCGAGCCGCATCCGACAAGCCAACTCGAGGCAAACTCGTGTTGATGGGTACAATTTGAGGTAGTCGCATATTAGAAGATCCTGACAAACGTCAAAACCAGATACGAATCACATTACTTCAACGAAGACTCGGAAGCAGTGTCCGTGACGACCGTACAATTCGTGCCGAGGATGTGTTACTCTATAACTTATATGTCAATATTTCAATGGTCGCTGCTATGCAAAAAATTCACAACGCTTCAACATCATGCTCAACTGGCATTGAAGGCATATGCAGAGTACCTGGAAATTATGTTTTGTACAGGTAGAATATATAAAAGATTCTTTGATGTTGCGGCTGCGAGACGAACTTCATAGTGGTAATTTGCAACGTTGTTCGCCCAACACAAATCATCCACTGGGATCCCAAACATCCTGAAAAGATATTCATGGAAATTTACATGGAACATGACGAACACCTTATATACAGGGGTGTCAGAAAACCAATGCGATAATGGTTACCTTCTTGCCCTGAGGTACTACAGTACTTGGATGACGAGTACGCTCGGACTTTCATTAGCCTAGCCATGGTTTGGACTCGACAAACATATATCGACTTTGCGGTTTGCACAGCATACAAAATTTTCTCCGTAGGTCTCAAGGCTCAAGATTACGTCGTGGATCACCACCCTTGAAGCTTGAGGTTCTAGTGGGTATTAAATTGTCCAGGCCCCCGCAGAACGAAGAAACCAGATAGTAAACGCAGCTCCACACTACCCTACAGACTCACCGGGTAGGGTATGCATTAGAGTATTTTTCCTCAGACGATGCCTAGGTGGAGCTATAAGCGTTTACTATATGTAAGGCTAGACACTTAAACGTCGTAGAATCTTCGATGTCTCGTGATCCCCGCGGACTCCCACGATTAGTGGGAGAAGGGTTTCGTCAGAGTCCAGACGGTCGTATAGCCTACAGGTACCTTAGTGACCAGCTTGCCAGTAGGGTATGGCATGGGTCGACCGGTCAACGTTTCAACATCAACGCTCGTGATCCGATTGAAACGGCCACGTTGTTAATCAGATATTGAAAGGGAGCCACTATTTTTTGGGGATGCTTGTCATCAAGTGGATCTTGGTGAGTGATCCATTTACCGCGCTCGCTTTCATTCTATGTTTGTTTTTATCTTTACGAGGTCCTGCCTCCCATTGTGCGCTGATATACCTTCCTGCACACAACCACACCCTCCTTACACCTTGCCGTATCCTGTTTTCTTCACTTCGACTCTGCCATCGTCAGGCCTTCGGCGGTATAGACTGCCAACGGAGAATTTTCGCCTACGATTGTGCCATCTCACTTCTCACCTAGGCTCGTGACCAGCCTGACGTATACTACAAAACCACACGTCTCAAAAAATGCACGTGGTTACGAGTCTACTTTTCACCTCCTATCCCACATATTGGTCGATCATATTTCTTTCTTCGCTTCTGTTTCTCTGACTTCAATCTAATATGTCACATTCCTAGCATAGGTGTCGCAGATGCCTTGACGTGTGCTGGTCGTATAAAGAATCCTCAGTACGTGCCGCGCATGTCTATGTGTGCCTTTTCTTGTTCTTCTTTGCTTGCCAAGTTTTCTCCTGCACACAGCGCTGTGCTGCACCTCCCCGCACCAAACCATACCTTCCTTACCTCAACATTGCACTCAGTCATGTCCCCACTCGCTACTGCCTCTGAAGATATTCGTCTTGCCGCTCCTCTTATGCCACAGTACACCACTGTCACTACTAGCGCGGCCTCTCACCTGCTCGTCATCATCTGGCATATGCATCTTCGGTGGAGCAGCATGGAGGGTCAAATCTTTGTAGCGCACAAATTGTGTATTATTTGTATCCTGGTTGTGGTCTACTCAGTGGTGGCAACGGCAAGGCTTGGGTGGCTGCAAAAGTGTATGTTATTCAAATCTTCGTTCTTGCCTAATCGGAGAAGCCACCTGTATGTTCTACAATACTAATGTGGTGAGGGAGTGCGCGAGGGAGTGCGCGCACCCAGGGATCAAGCAGGGACCACAATAAGATCTCTCAACCCATTCAAGCGCTCGGAATTCATTATACATGCGTGATCGAGATCGAGATCGAAGACCAGGTGAATTCAGACCGGCCCCACTACACAGCCGAATCCTCGCCGTTGCATCCAGGCCAACTACAGCCACTAGTGGCAGGTATGAAGCCTAATGCATCACATACTAGGCATTGTGGTTAATTCACGAGCTCTTCCAGCTTCGCCACCCAATGTCCCTTTCACGTGTACGACCCGGGAACATGCTGTATCTATGCGTCTCCGTTGATGTTTCATGTCTAGATAGGCGAACTGGTCCCTGTTCCAACGAATCGGAGGGTGACTGAAGGAGAGCTGACGCCAATCAAAACACCGAACGTCTAAGTCAAATCGTACCTTTCCCTTTCTCGTCTTGAGTTGTGCCAGAGTCGAATCAGTATGACAATTTCGAAGCCGCCTGGGAGAGTGCAACTATCTAGTGTAAGTGGTATTCGGCTCTTCCTCAAATTATAAGGTTGACTTGACAGTCTTCCGTCCCATCTCGAAGTCCTGCTAATCCCAACTATACCAGGGAACCTCTAAATCGCACAGGCACGTGCAATGTTGTTATTTTTGGAGAATCTGGAGCTGGCAAAAGTTCCTTGGTCAATTTGATCACTAGGAAGGACGTAGCAGGGATATCTTGCAATGCTAAGGGATGTACAGATGCAGTCAATGAGCACGAAATTTTGATTCAGAGCGAGACGTTGAAGGTAAATCTTTTCGATACACCCGGTCGGTCCAGTTCACCGTTCTTCGCGGCTATCACTGAACTAGGTGGCAGGTCTCGGCGAGGATCCTCGGGGTACAGTCCCAGATAAGGAAGCTCGAAGAATATTGAAGAACCTAGTTCAAACTCTGATGAAGCGAGACGACATTCATCTCATCATTTACTGTGTGCGGGGTGAGAGAGAGATTCAGACACTCCGCAAGAACTACAACCTCGTTCACTCCCAAGTCAAGATCAAAGTTCCAATTGTCCTTGTCGTCACATCTTTGGAATCCTACGAACCAGACATGGAAAAGTGGTGGAGGTTGAAAGAGAACACCATCTCAAAACTTGGGATGACCTTTGCTGGTCACGCATGTGTCACCACGGGGAGGATCACACAATCTAATGTGACGGAACGCGGCCTCAACCAGTCGTACAACGCTGTCTGCAAGCTCATCGAACAGTATCACCCGTCGATCAGTAGCAGCAAGCGTGCAAACATCGTCCTCTTTGGGCAGGCAGGGGCAGGCAAAAGCTCGCTCGTCAATCTCATGGCGGAAATGGACGTGGCACGCACATTCCGCACATTGCACTGCCAAAAATATCCCATCGAATTCGATGGCAGGTCTTATAACGTGTTCGATACCGTTGGACTTCAAGAACCACAGCTGGGAATCCCACAGTACCTCGACGCTATCGAGAATATCTATAGGCTCATTCAGGATTTGGAGAGACAAGGCGGCATTGATCTACTTCTGTTCTGCATGCGCGCAGGTAAACTCACCACTACGCTTGAAACCAATTACTGGCTCTTTCACGAATTCCTCTGTGACAAGAAGGTTCCCGTCGTTGTAGTGATCACGTACCTCGAAAACGAGGTTGGAGAAATGGATGCCTGGTGGAAGCAAAACGAAGACATTTTCCGTAAACGGAAGGTCCGTGTCGCTGGTCATGCATGCATCACCGCCATCCAAGGCAGTTATCCAGAACGGCACGCACAATCGCGCACCACTATCCGTAAAGTTGTCCAGCAGTTTACTGCTGACGGGGAGAAGGAGGCATGGATAAGAGGAGACACGTCCGTGTCGTTTATGCGTAAGGTGAAGGGGTTGGTGGGTTTGGGGAAAGATATGGTGTCTTGCCTCAAGCGTTGCGGTATGTCTCCAGATGTCGCAAAACGGTTAGTTGATAGAATCAGGAATGGCGTGGTGGAAGGTGCTACTTGACATCCCGTGTTTGATCAATTATGCTCGTCTTACTGTGGGTCTTGTCTTATATGTATCTTAATACTTGTCCTATAGCATGTTATATCCAGTGGAGCGTCATCTACTCGCGTGATTCTTGCGTGCTAGGGCATAAACTTTAAGCCCACTCCTGCTATAGCTATGAGGAGGCCAGTTAATAACTAGATCTCGGTTTTGGAAAGCTTATACGAGCTCACCCTCTTGCGTTCGAGTTCAACCATCTAACCTATGTGTCTGAGATATACGTAGCTCTCGATATTCTCCTACTCCGTAAGATACTTCGCAAGATTCCGCTCAACTTCGGTACGCAAAATGTTATTTCGAGTAGAATTTCAGTAGAATGCGTATGACGACATATTGACAACAATTTAACAGTCTACAATCGGACGAGGACAAGTTATCGAACACGGAAGTCAAGTAGCTCCTTCTATCACACCATTCTTTATCCTATCAGCTACCTGTTTTGCGACATCTGGAGACATACCGCAACGCTTGAGGCGAGACACCATATCCTTCCCCAAATTCCCACTCCCCAGAAGCCCCTTCAGCTTACGCATAAACGACACGAATCTGTTGTCTCCTCCTATCCATGCCTCCTTCTGCCTGTCAGCAGTGAACTCCTTGACAACTTTACGGATCGTGGTGCGTGATTCTTCATACCGGTCTGGATAACTGCCTTGGATGGCGGTGATGCACGCGTGACCAGCGACATGGACCTCTCGTTCACGGAAAATGTCTTCGTTTTGCTTCCACCAGTCATCCATTCCTCCGACCTCGTTTTCGAGGTACGTGATCACTACAACGACGGGAATCTTTTTGTCACAGAGGAATTCGTGAAAGAGCCGGTAATTGTTTTCAAGTGTAGTGGTGAGTCTGCCTGCGCGCATGCAGAACAGAAGTAGATCAATGCCGCCTTGTCTCTCCAAATCCTGAATGAGCCTATAGGCATTCTCGATAGCGTCGAGGTACTGTGGGATTCCCAGCTGTGGTTCTTCGAGCCCAACAGTATCGAACACGTTATAAGACTTCCCATCGAATTCGATGGGATATTTTTGCCAGTGCAATGTGCAGGATCTCGCGTCACTGGATGTATATGCTACGTCCATTCCCGCCATGAGCTTGACGAGCGAGCTTTTGCCTGCCCCTACCTGTCCAAAGAGGACGATATTTGTATGCTTGTTGCCACTGATTGGCAATGTTAGGAAAATAAGAAACAGTGAGAGTGTAGGGAATGCGTACCTCGCAGCCAATTTAGAAGGGATGTTGTGAGTAGTGCCTCGTGACGGTCCAGTAGGAATTACCGTCTCATTCAACAGACGACATTGTTCGATGAGCTTGCAGACAGCGTCGTGTGACTGGTTGAGGCCGCGTTCCGTGACATTAGATTGTGTGATCATTCCCGTGGTGACACATGCGTGGCCGGCAAAGGTCATCCCAAGTTTTGAGATGGTGTTCTCGTTCAACCTCCACCACTTTTCCATGTCTGGTTCGTAGGATTCCAAAGATGTGGCGACGAGGACAATTGGAACTTTCCTCTTGACTTGGGAGTGAATGAACTCATAGTTCCGACGGAGTGTCCGAATCACTCTCTCGCCCCGCACACAGTAAATGATGAGATGAATGTCGTCTTGCTTCATCAGAGTTTGAACTAGCTTCTTCAATATTCTTCGAGCTTCCTTATCGGGGACTTCACCTTGACGGCACTCGTCAAGACCTGCCATCTAGTTCAGTAATAGCTAGGAAGAGCGGTGAACTGGACCGACCGGGTGTATCGAAAAGCTTTACCTTCAACGTCTCATTCTGAGTCAAAATATCGTGCTCATTGACTGCAATTGTACATCCCTTAGCATCGGAAGATGTCACCGCCACGTCCTTCCCAGCGATCAAATTGACCAAGGAACTTTTACCAGCTCCAGTTTCTCCGAAAATTACAACATTGCACATGTCTGTGCAATGTAGAAGTTCCCCGACTGCCGTATAGTTGGATCCAGCAGCACTTTGAATTGGCATGGAGGACTGGTTTCAAGTTAATATTATGCTGAGGAAGAGTCAAATACCACTTGCCATAGATGGTTGTCTCTCAGTGATAGGCCTCGACATTGCAATAATGACTGAGCTCGACTCAAGAAAGCGAAAGGCACATACATCTTGACCTGCGCGTTCGGTGTTTTTAGAGTGGTGTCAGCCTGAGCTATCCTTCAGCTGTTTCCTGATACGTAAGAATGTCCAGCCAAGACGCATGGATTTAGCATGTTCCGTACACGTGAAAAGGACGTGAAAAGGGCATCGAGTGGCGTAGCTACGCAAGCTCATGAATACAACCATGCTGCGGCGGTGAGGGTTGGTAAATATTGGAGTCCAGATCACTGACATATTGTAATGAGGCTAAAGCTGGAAGTTAGATTTTTCGCAGATACCCCCTGGACCCACCTCATACTGCAAGATCCAATCTCCGCCGGCCCGCTTGAGTATCACGGACTGTAGCCCAATGAACGAATCGAACATAACTTCTGATCGTTTCCAATTCCGGGCTTCTCGTTCGGGGTCTAGCAATAAGCAACAAAGTATAACCACTGAAATGAAGATTTGCACCACGGAGGTTCGAATTCCAAAGTTCCCCCAATAATTCTGAACGCGAGGACGCAAATGTGGAAGATGCGATGGTGGCAAATGATCCAGAACAGTTCGATTATGTGTGATATGCAGACAGCAATGATGGCGAGGATAGCAAGGAAATAAAACAGCAAGAAATCAGAAAGCCGTGAGTAGTGACTGTACCCACGCATTTTGTTCTATGCGTGGTCTGAACTCTTCGACACATCGCTGCAGTTCAGCCAGCTGAGCCTCGTGCGATACATCATCCATCATGACGTCCTCATCGTCAGCTGAAGACTCGGAGGCCCACTTTTTCAACAACTCCTCGATGATTTGGATGCCCTCCTCGGTGACTTCGTCCGAATGCTCGGGTTCTGATTGTTGTCCTGCTCAGCAAACATCAGTGTGACAGATCCTGACAATTTGCTTTGACAATTACCAGTAGCGAAATCTTCCTAGTTCATCAGCTTTCCGTTTTGCGAGCTAGAAAACGGTCAGCAGACAATAAAGGACAATTCTATCCAGAACTGACTTTGACCACATTTTCAGGGAAGTTGGCCAGTTGCGCAACGTGGATACCGAAGCTTTGGTCCGAAACGCCTTCGTCCAAAAGTTTCAGAGAAAGACTGATTGGAAAATCGAAACAAACCTGGTTCGACCTTGTACAAGAGCGTGATGTCCCTCTCGCGCGGCGCAGATGCATCTTCTTGGTTCACATGAGCTACGACGTGGAGGTTTTTCACGTGAGGAAGCTCCTGGTCGAGGGCAGTCAACTCGTGAAAGTGAGTGGCAAACAAACAGAAAGCGCGGATGTTGGATGCAATATGCCTTCGGGTGCCGTTAGATACGACTCCAGGAAAGAGATGTTGTTCTCATACTCAGATATAGACCATGCGAGGCCGAATCCGTCATACGTTGATGTTCCTGAAGACAAGACAATTATCGACAAAACGTGCCTCATCTTCCAACAGAAGACATACCGCGACCGAGCTCGTCAATGATAATCAGAGAATCTTGAGTAGCAGACTGAACAGTAAACGACAGTCAGACTGAGGAAAGAATCTGTGTAGATGCCACTTACTCGGAGGATCGAAGCAGTCTCAAGCATCTCGGCCATGAAAGTCGAGACGCCTTTCAGCTGACTGTCACCTGCACCTACTCGACAAAGCACAGAATCAAAAATCGGCAAGGTTGCCTCCGAGCAAGGAACAAAGCAGCCGGTCTGTGCCATGAGAGCAATGACTCCAACCTGTGAGATAGGTTGAGAATGGCGTTCGCAAACGATGACATAGCTGATGCACCTGACGGATATACGTGCTCTTTCCGCCCATGTTAGGACCAGCTTTCCGTAGGTTAGCTCTGTTAAACGGCACAGCAGCAGTACCCACTGATGATCTGAAATTCGCCCTCGCCTACAATGCGGAACATGAGACATTTAATGGTGACAGTACGATAGACCTTACCCTTCACCATTTCTACATCATTTGGAATGAAGCTGATGTCGTCCTGAACTTCAAGGCAAGGATGCCGCGCGTCGCGCAATATTAAACCGCTAGTACCTGATGTACGTCAATTAATTACTGCGTCGAACATCATCTCCAAAACTAGCCTTTCTCCAGGACCTTTGGTTTCACGTATGGCTCAGGAGCGTTTACAGAAACATGAGCGAAACTGGATGATCGTTAATACATGTGCAAGCTTCAGTCATGAGGCCCACCTGAGGATAACATCTAGGTGTGCAATGATGTGGTCAAGATTCTCTAGCACGGGCGTATATGTCGCTGTACGAAGGAAAAGGTTCTGTGAATACCCAGGTAGCGGTGAAAGGAGTATCTTACATGCGATGCTGACAACTTCCTTCACCAACCCGCTCTGCGTTCGTTGATATTCATGCGTAGTCTCTTGATGGTCCGTGGAAAGTGCTTTCAGCTTCTTGGTCGTGAAGTAGACTCCGCTCTTGACAGTCCCGAGTTCGATATATTTACTGTTCCGCATGATGGCTTTCGCGTCCTGGTGGGTACGTGAGCTCATGGTATCGCGCAGTACGGAAAGCGTACATTCTTCGTCAACCTGAAGCAGTATCCATAGTTCTGGGAGTTCTCAAGGTGCAGCTTCTTCTCGAGATCAAGATCAAGATCCTTGCCGGTTGCACGATGTTCGGCATCAAGACCATCCCGGATCTAAGAAAATGTCAGCCATCTTCACTATGATTTAGATAGGCGTAATATGAACCTCCACAAGTTTATCTGCCAGAGCTTGCAGACGCTCATCATAATCAGGTTTGATCGCGTAATTATGATTTTCGAGTTCTTCAAGATCTAGCGTTGACTCGACCATCTCGCCATATTTAACAAGATTGTCGTTGACAGTCTGGTAACAGCATGTGTTAGAAAGGGAGGGGCGAAGATATAATTTGACGAAACCATGACATGCGCACCTGGAAAGGCTTGATATAAACTTCATCGATAAGCTCCTTGTGCTCCTCGTGTTCGTACTGGACGCCCTCGAGAGCCTCAAGCAAACCAGGCAGCTAGTTGAGTAAAGTAAGTATCACTGAGGGCCGGTGACCGAAGCGAAGTACCTTGAGGACCACTTGATACGCCCGCACAACATCCTCAAGAGACGCGATAGATTTCTTGAATCGTTTACTTAGCCGGTGGAGGTCAGGCATCAGCTTCAAGTAGTCATCCTGTGGAACAAAAATAAACAACGCCCTTGGCAAAGAGTATTGTATTGACCTGCAGCGTTCTCCGAGAAGATCCGTCATCCACAAATGTCTCCACGAGGTCTTGCCGTTTACCTGCAAGGCTTAAGTTTGTATTACGTCAAGTAGAGTAAGAAAACAGGCATACGTATTTCGTGCAGATTTATCAAGGGTTGTTTAAGCCATGTCCCGAGAAGCCTAGTTCCTTGAGCAGTTTTGCATTTATTTAGCAGACCAAGGAGAGTTGCGTGCTTATTGATACTTCCCTACAAGTGACCGTTAGCAGGTAAGACATCAGTGAGAACTACATCTCGAATGACTTACAGCACTCCCAGGAGCGTCAATCAGATTCAGTGCACGCAAAGCACTGGCATCCAAGCGCATATATCGTGCTAGATCGTGTGTCCGTAACTTGTATGCCCCATGATTGGAGGGGTCAGAGAGAAGAGAAAGATAGCTGATCAAGGCAGAAAGTGCAGACGGGGCCGAAGGAAGTGAGAGCTCAGCTAAACAATATTGTGAGTGTTGTTTATACAGTTTAAAGATCAAAACCCACGAATCGGAGCAGCAGATTCTGAGCCTGTTTCTGAGTCGATCGTTAATTTTTTGATGTCATCTTCCACATGTTTCGCAGTAAATTCGCCTAGGAGCCTGAATTTAGATAGACTTAAGAAACCGCATAGATGTTGACTTACTTGGTTTACGTTCGGTCACAACAACGGTGCACCTCTCGAACACGGCTTTTAGCTTGCTCAAGTCGAGGTCACGGTCTGTTGTCCCAGATACTGTTCCAGTGGGAATAATAGCTTCTTTAACTGAAAGCTGTATGACAAGAGACTGCTCCAGTGTGAGGGAATAGCGATGACGGTCTGTAACTAAGTAAACCGACCTCAAGATTCGAGAAAAGATCGTTGTCAATGAAATCAGCAACTCCGAACTCCCTCACACTGGTGTCCGCAAAGGCAATGCCGACCGACTTGGTCTTGGCTTTGTTCGTGACTGAAGATGACGATATTTTGACAGCTAAAACGATAGGTGCCGATGTGACATCAGAGTTGACAAAAAGAAGATCTTCCACAGCTTGGAGATTTCCAGGTGATGCCTTTCAAATGATTAAACCATGGCTATAAAGAGAAGATATTACTTGCTCACCTCTTTTTCCAAAACGAATTTGGAAGCTTTCCTTCCCTGCCCTGGCGCGGGCACCCAAATTTCTACGCGCAGCTGTTTAGATGTGAGAGCATCCCGCAAAAAAGAGTGAGCCAGGGTAAGGCTGAGCGTCACGCTCGGAAGACCACCAGCCTTGCCTCCAGCACCTAGATACTTGAGGACGGAGTTGGTGCGAAAGACGTGCGTTGCAACGTAGTGAGCATCCTGCCCATGAACAGAGTAGTAGTCTGTGCGATCGAATAGGCGGACCGTTCCAGTTTCAGGAGATTTCTTTGGGAGCTTGGAAAAGAATGCAACGAAACCGGGGTCAGAGGCTAGTCTCAGGTCAGAGTTAAAATTCTATCGGTCGATGAGCAATCGAAGACTCACTCAGTTCATGCTCTGCATCTTTTTCCTTCCCATACATGAGAGCCATGCTAATAGTTTTTGACCTGGTAATAGTTGTCAGAAGAAAGAAGCAAAAGACGCGTCGCGTCACGCGACGTTGTCGGAATTGAGGTTTAAGCTATGCTATTGCTCCCGAATGCCAAGACGCTCTCCTCGCAAGTCTGCTACCATACGATGATGCCGTAGTCTAGATTTCATGAATTCAGCGTCGTTCAACTTCAGTCCCAACGATTTCCTGGGCCTTGTGTCCTGTGAATTCAGTCTGACGCCAAATTAACGCTGCTTGGCAAAGGCCATCCAAATCATTAACCTATGTAAATCTGCATAAATTTGCAAGTCAGGTATTTAGTGCTAATTACTAGTAAGTTTGACAAATTTAACGGTTAATATGATTCTATGGCCATATGTCCCAAGCTTTGCATCAGGAAGTGCCTCTACTTAACGACGACAAGGAACGACGTAGTTGATGCCTTGACATGCAGATTCATGTGTAGGGGTGTTTCGCCCAGGAAGTCTCGGAGATAGGGAGAGCGCAGCTCGATATGTGCATTTGCCCCAGCGAGTAAGAAGTGAGTCGTCAACCTTGCTCGGCAGTCCTCACTCGTCATGTTCAGCTACTCTGCACCATCATCGGGAAATTTGGGATCACTAGTGCCATCATTGGGTGGATTGGACTTGAAGGGTCTTGGTTGGTTAAGATGGATGGTATCCAGGGAGTGGAAGGTCCTCAGACATCTGAAGCTATACGCTTGCAAAAAACAGTTTCGTTCATGTCCCGCCATGATCCATCAAATGAGCAATTTTTAGCAGGATTTGAAATTTGCATAGTACGAATGCGATTTGAGGTTGTTCAAGTTGTGCTAGGAAGACCAGTTGGAAAAACGTACCTCGGGTTGTACTGTCGAATCTTAAGCTTGACTATTTAAGCTTAAGCTTGAGAGATCCGACGAGGATCATGTGACGGCAACAAGATGTTTTTCTGGAGGCGGTGGAAGGCATGATCAGTAGCCTAGAAGCAACGCTGGACTTGGCAAGCACTGAATGTAACTGCGGAAAGAAGGCGATCGGCAATAATTTGAAAGGGGGTTGACTCCAATTCCAGGCTGTCCTTTGGTTTCATCGATATTCCTGATGTGATGGACATAGCCTTAGTGCTCGAACAATCAGTGCCAAGCATGCGGCCAAGTGTTTGGATACCGCCCTACGCCTCCAGAAGGATCCAGCAAGATGCTTAGTGAGCATCGAGCCCCCGGGGCAGTGATGACTCGATGTTTAAACTCCGCCACGTCCCAGTATATTAATGGCTCCGTTATCTAGGTGTTTCCCCACAATCGCTCTCCTCACAACCACTCCTGTTAACTCTCCTACACTTTACTTCCTATCGTTCGCGTGAGTTTTTGATCATTATAATCTCCTGTATATACGAGGCTGACATCGAGCCATAGAATGCAGATTTTCGTTAAGACGCTCACCGGCAAGACCATCACTCTCGAGGTCGAGTCGTCTGATACCATCGATAACGTTAAGGCCAAGATCCAGGACAAAGAGGGGTATGTATACCAGCCTAGTCAATGCCACTTATGACTGACGGTTTTCTCTGCAGTATTCCACCTGACCAGCAGCGTCTCATTTTCGCTGGCAAGCAGCTTGAGGATGGTCGCACACTCTCCGACTACAACATCCAGAAGGAGTCTACCCTTCACTTGGTCCTGCGTCTCCGTGGAGGCATGCAAATCTTCGTCAAGACCCTCACGGGCAAGACGATCACGTTGGAGGTGGAGTCTTCTGACACCATCGACAACGTGAAGGCGAAGATCCAGGATAAGGAGGGCATCCCCCCTGACCAACAACGTCTTATCTTCGCCGGCAAGCAGCTCGAGGATGGGCGTACCCTTTCCGACTACAACATTCAGAAGGAGTCTACCCTCCATCTCGTGCTCCGTCTTCGTGGCGGTATGCAGATCTTCGTCAAGACCCTCACGGGCAAGACGATTACGTTGGAGGTGGAGTCTTCTGACACCATCGACAATGTCAAGGCGAAGATCCAAGACAAGGAGGGCATCCCTCCCGATCAGCAGCGCCTCATTTTCGCAGGCAAGCAGCTCGAAGACGGGCGCACCCTTTCCGACTACAACATTCAGAAGGAGTCTACCCTCCATCTCGTTCTCCGTCTTCGTGGCGGTATGCAAATCTTTGTCAAGACCCTCACGGGTAAGACGATCACGTTGGAGGTCGAGTCGTCGGACACCATCGACAATGTCAAGGCGAAGATTCAGGACAAGGAGGGTATCCCACCGGACCAGCAGCGTTTGATCTTTGCCGGAAAGCAGCTGGAAGATGGGCGCACGTTGTCAGATTACAATATCCAGAAGGAGAGCACCCTTCACCTCGTACTTCGTCTTCGTGGTGGACTTTAATACTGAACGTTGTTCTCGCATACCTATCGTTTACTTATCATTACCGTGGTATCCTGTTGTAGTATTACCCCATCATTATTGCATCGTACTGTGAACAAGTAACTGGTTCGAAGTCCAGCCGTGGTATCTTCGGCTTCGTTACGACCATGAGCCATTCAGGGAGAACTTACATGAACAAGATAGTTTGTGTATCACAGTAGTATCAGCATCATAGAGAATGGTGAATGGTCAAGTCAATTTTGACTGGTTCTGATCTCGCTGTGAATGACATCAGACTGTTAGATATTGGATGTTCGTTTTGAAGACCTTGACGCGGCCACTTATTGTGATCCGCTTTGAAGGCACGAGTCGCACAACAGACGGGAATGGTTTACGACATGGTAACGAGATCATTGAAAGAGCACAAACGTATTCAAGTACGTGATAGCAGCCAACATTTGAAAACAGATTCCGAGTCACGGGTACACAATTTGAACACAAAGAATATATCCAAAAGATCATCATAGAAATTGAATCTCACTTCGCATCGATGCTGACGACTCCAGTGGAGGGATCATACGTGATGGCCCACGTAGTGTGGTCGCCGAGAGCAGCGAGATTTTGTTCGAAGAGACGATCGGTCTCGACTTGGCCCTTGATCAAGCAATTCTCCTGGTAGTCCGTGCCAATATACCCGCGTAGAACGGGAGCAAACTCTGAGTTCAACTTCTGCCCGTGCGCTACGTCGCGCCAAACTAGAGTTGTCTTGGGTGCGTCCCCTTCCTTCTCAATGAAACCTGGACAATATGTAGCGCGAGAAATTTCAATATAACAATTATACGTACCAACACCTATATCCTCCTTGAATGGTGCGTTGTTTGTGCATTGAATGTTTTTCTCCGGCACTGAAGAGTCGGTTTTGGGATCCTAGGCTTGTCTCGCAAACCGATATCGAGAAAGGCAAGTTGGGCGTACTTACGGAAAAAACGGTATACTTCGCCTTCCTTGGTTAAAATGGTGGATTGCCCAACCTAAGTAGCGGTCCATGAAACCAACGACAAATCCGTGATTCTATCAACTCACACTAATAGGAACGTTGGTCGAAGCACTTTGGATGACATCTTTGGACACAGTAACCTTGGTGAACGCAAGTCTGAGGGATGCATTGTAAATTAGCTCTCCACATTCGCTTCGAATGCCCCTTACTGTGATCGATATGTAACATCGGCACGGTAGGTGCCTGTCAGTGACACTGCTTATTTAGAGAGCCCAAAGCACTGATGATATTCACCCACCATCGGCCCCAAATTTCTTGACCCTATTCGAAAGTTATATCAGTAAGAACGCGCGACAACAAAGACAAAAAGATGAAGGATACAGGGATATACGTACGCAAAAGCCGATGGGTAACAGTTCTTGTACAGGCCATCAGCGATAGACTGATCGTCGAAAGTGAGAAGAAGGTTGAGGTCTATGCCGAGGTCGTTTGATTCGAAGGTGAGCTTTTTGACGAAGGCCATGGCGTAGAGTCGAATTCGAGATTGAAAGTATGAGGAAGTTGGCGTTCGACGTTCGGTTGTGACCTATGGCTAAGTCGACACGACTTATATACCATTCTTTGCACCCTCCGGAAGGACAGCAGTCCCGTATCCGTAGAGATGGAGTCTGGAAATTAGAAACAGAGGCTTTTCGGGTCGAATTCAGCATGCTTCACAAGCAGCTGACCATTGGCATCTGCGCATGATCAGTGACTCCTATGGTCCGTTCGAGTAATTTCGCCTGCGAGGAATGTTTGCTAATCTGGCAGCACAGCTGGGCCCTGGCTAGATCGCTTCCATAGCACAATAATGTAAGCAAACATTCCTGGAATCCGAAGAGCAATTTCGCCTACGAGGAATGTTTGCTAATGCGACACGCGACCTGCCATAAGGCTGTCGGCACTGACAGCAAGTCCAATCTCAATAACGGATTTGATTTGAGATGATAGTTACTGCCGTGAGGGAGCAAAACTGCGAAGGTACAAACAATTAATCAAGTGCCGTACGGAAATCCGTTGCAGGTTTGACACGTGTGTTCTTATCCGGGTCGGGGCTCGGTCACCGCATATTACCAGACTATGGGCTATTATGCCGTTTAGAGAGATCTGGTCATTATGAAGCTGTACTGCTATCACCTCTACCTTCCCTATCCTTCCCTCTATCCTTCCCTCGCTCCCTACCCTCGTCCTTCTCCTTCTTCCCTTTCCCACTCCTCTCTTTGGCTGCTCTAAAGCACATAAACTCAATCCCAGTCGCACGCCGACTCTCCGCCAGCGTCCTCTTCACACTATCCAGATTCCCCTGCAAATTCTCATCTCCCGGCCGTCGTGCATACGCCTGGGAGATCTTGTTATACAACTCCGAAAGCGTCTTCGCAGCCGGCGGAGACACGTAGCGAGCAAGCGTTTGGTGCATGAACTCGATCTCTAGGGTAGCCTGTAGATAATGCCTCGTCGATAATGTGACATACGAGGAAGGAGAACGTGACTTACACGAAGCATACCGCCCATGCCGAACCGTTTGACTTGTTTGAACGAGAGTAATGCATCTTGAGCGACGTTTTCTACAAGTGCGTATATCCCGCGTTCAAGTAGATTCTCTGAGACGCGGCTGATTTGCGCGTGAATCTCGACGAGGCCCATCAAGGCCTTGTACATGTATGGTCGTATTTCTTGAGGTGAATGTCAGAGTAGGTAGTGACAAGTGACGTGGACAAGCTCACCCGTAGGTTGCGGGGTCTCGTACCAATCCATGTCTTTGTCGAGGATGCCCTCTCGTAATATGACTGCAACGGCGGCGGCCTTCGGCTTGACATATCCATCAAAGAGTGTCTTGTCAAGCGCAGTCACTGCTTTCATTAGTGTCTAAGCCATAACTTGAGCATGCAAGGCGGCGCAAGTAGGTGAATAAGAAATACCTTTCTATCATCCTCAACTGATATGCCGAGCGCATTCTCCAGCTGAGATAACATACTGGGTATCAACGATGCTGATAAATGTGAGAAATTAGATATCACGAGGAGCAGCCTCGTATTCTTGATGCATGACTGTATCAGGGGCCAGAACTGTAGAGCACACAAAACTACGCACCGAGTCGCGCAGATCAATCAGCTCCTGCTTCCCTTCTCGCTCAGGTGCTCCCGCTGCCACGACGCTGCACACGCCTGGGGGCGCTTCCTCCGCGACGAGCACAACAAACCCATCCAGAACTGCATATATTGCGTCCAAAAATGCCTTCGTGATCTTTGATATGAATGCTGGTGGTACGATGTTCTGTTGCGTTACCCGCAACACGCCCGATCCACTATCTGTCGAGACACCGCCTGCGATTTTGAATGCTGACGTTGCAAGGTGGCGCATGAACGATTCGAGATGAGCGAGGTAGAGCGTTGTGGAAGGGGTGGAAAGATCGGGAGTGAATGATTCGAGCGTGTACATGTAGTTTGCGTCTGGGATTGTTAGTTCATAGGTGCACGAGGGATAGTAGAATGCTGTTAGTAGCGCATACCTCGCAACCAAGATCTCACTAGAACATCTTCGAAACGCCACCGCGCGCTCTCCACTAGCCCTTTCACCAGACCGCCTTCTCCGAGTTCCAATGCGCCAATCTCGGCGACGCAATCTTGTACCTCACTAAGAATCTTGGTCAGCCAGTGAGCCGTCGTTAGCGAGTTCGAATGAGACGGGAAATGTTCGGGAGAGTTGGTGGTAGAGGAGTTTGATAGGACGTCAGAAAGAATAAAAAATTCCGAAAGGAAATTGATGTAGAGCTTGATAATGTCGAGTGCCATCTGCCTGCATTGGGAGGAACTACGCCTCGACGAGGATGGCTAGAGGAAAGAGTAATGTCAGACAAGTGACATGACCGCACAAATGACACGAACTCGTTTGAACTTCCCCTCCAAGAAACTCCTTGCGATTTTCCAGAAGTTGGGCAACGAAGAGACCATAACCTCGGAGATATTTTTCACCATGTCCCAGATAGCCTGCCACACTTCATGACCGCCTGCCTGCGCTGAGTACGACAGGAATGAACAATAGCTTGACAGAAGGGATGTGATAACGCACCAATTACGGCGTCGGGCGCTTTGCTCTCCAGCGCTACGATACATACCAGGAGCTGCGCACCAAGTATCTGTCTGAGCGCGTTCGGAGACGACAGTTCAGGTGCCGTACGAGACTTCGTGGCTGTGATGCATATCACTATAAAAAGTACTCAACAACGCGAAAGGAACGCACCGTCAATGTTTGAAACACCAGCCCTGTAGGCAACACTCATCCGGTCCATGATACGCTTGTGCTGGCTATCGAAGTAGGTCCATATCGGGTCTTCAGGCACATTTAGTTCCAGGAGAATTCTTGTCAGTGGTGGTTAAGAACGAGACATGCAAACAATAACGAGCAAACGTACTCAATCCCTCGCTCCATTTCTTCGACGCTCCTGCCTGGTTCTTGCAACCGTGTCAAAAGTAGCGCTTTCATCTCTCCCATCACCTTCTCAACATTTGCCCACACCTTGTCCAATATCCTCTTCTGTTGCGCCGTAGAGCCTGCGTTGGCACCTGCTTCGACGGGGAGGAGCTGTCCAGGGCGAGAGTCGAGGAGAAACTTCCCCTTATTGTACTGACGCAGTGCAGCTTCATACCTTCCAGCCTCTATGGATTCCACGAGAAATCCCGGGAGGCTGAAGAAGAATTTGGAGCGCTCAAAAACGCCGAGCGTAGTGCGCAACTTTTGGGCTTTGGCGCTGTTCTCGAGGGTAGGGAGGAAGACCTGATTGGCCTTTACAGCCGAACCTAAATTGGAATGCATCAAAAACAGGACTAGAAGAAATGAGCTGGGACAAACGTTTTAAGTAGTCTACAAGAGGTCTGCTAGCAAATTCTGCCTTGTCGCTCAGTAATCCCTCACGCATCTCCGCATATAACGCTACGAGCATGGACCAGTTATTTTGGAGTACTTGCAGACAAATGACACAACACACCATCCGTAGAAGCCTTGACGGCAACGAACCGATCAAAATTATCCTCTACGAGGACACGGACAGCCTCTGAACGAGCATCAATGGATGATTGGAGATGGGTAATGCCTGCTGCAAGATCTTGGTATGTTGCGTTTGGGTGTACAGCAGATAGAAAGGCTTTTGGATCAAATGATTTGGAAGAGATGAGCACGGACATCTCTGGAGGCGTATGAACGACCGAAATCCCAGCTGATTTTAGAGACAATTACGCACTCGAATCCGCATCCAAACTCGTCAGACTGCGAACGTTGTTAGCACCGAATGGCGGGCCCAAATGACGACACATACTCAATGACGCCGCCAAGGCCCAGGGGGTCACCGTCTCCATCGTTGGATTGGGAGGTAAGGATGTCAGAAAGAGGATCTTCCAGGTCATGATCTATCTCTTCCCATTTCCTATGCAACGGTTATTCGTACATTTAGGCAGTGAATTCGCCACATACGTGGGGTTCTGGGATGATAATTTGTAGGCCTTGAGGATGGAGGCTTCGTCGGTTGTGAAGTTCATCTTACCCATCAGAACGAGTCAGAATAGAGAAGTGGATCCCTTTATTTCAACAGCTCCACTGCGAATGGTACACAAGTAGTACTAACGCAGGCCTGGTAGGAGATTAGATAGTACTTGCTCTGTTACACTGTGGTCTGCGGGTGGCCTGTAAGTTAGTCCAGGTTGTGTTGCACGTGACTCATAACACTGGAAGCGGTCACGGTACTAGTACTAATAGTACAGCCTACCGTGACGCGCGCCGGGCAGTCCCTAGTACAGCAGCCTTTTGGAAACTCTCAAGGACCACAGTACTGAGCTACTGTTTGAAGTGAGTCTACTCATGGCCTCCCTACCACTCCAGAAGTTTTTATTGCAGAAACTGGTCACGTTCATCAAACATCTCAAACTCCTGAAGTTGTCGGCTATCATTCTGTGCATTCACCGGCACGTCATCACACTCCTCCGTCGACTACTACATAGGATTTCGCACAACCCTAATAACCATTTACCAGGACAAAGGTCCAGCGTTGATAGAATTATGGGAGCTACCGAGCCCGCTGTTGAGGACACACAGAACCAGATCCCAACGGTAACAACACTTGCTGTACGCCCTCCCGAGAGGGAGGATGCTCCCCCCTTTCAACATTGTGTTGTGAGTTTTTGGCATTTCCATTAGCTCAGGTGCCAACTTGAATACATCATCGACCTTATTCTGTTCAGACATCTTCAGGAGCAATTACTCTTCGCGCAATCGTTGCATCACAAATTGGTAGATACGACAGGAATATTACTCAGTATGTCTGCCTTGTATTCGCATTCCTCGAATGTCTTTCTAACACCTCCGGTAGAAGTAAAGATTTCCGTGTGTTCGAAGTTAGCCCAGGGCCAAACAATTTTACGGAGTGAGGAAAACTGCGTTTGGATACTGAAATTCATTACCATATTTCTGCAGATCTTCAACGAAAATTGCCAACTGGTTGCAGCTCACTCACCCCGAGGGCGCCCGCTTCTTCTTTAACCCGCTTCAGGTGCGGAATAATCACCAAAAGGCTCAAACCACTCATCATGCGACACCACACAGAGAGTCTTCACCGATCAGAATATTTTGGAGAATAACCTTGCACTCGAGATCCTCGCTGCAGCCGAGCAAGCGAATCAAATGGCAGCAGAGAGTGGCAAGGTTTGCGCAACAATGGAGCTTGCTATCGAAAAGCTCTCCGAAGGCGTCTTTGGGTACTACTTTGTAGATCATGATGCACGGATTATCTTCTGGCCCGAGATTGTCAAATCTAGGGAGCTTATGATCCATGTACGAGGGGTCACTGACAAGAATCACATTAGTAAGCATCATGTAGCTAACTTATCGAGATGATTTGATATGTTCAACTAGGATATGCATTGGAGGCGCAATACTGGTGCGTTCAGCAATGTATGGTGAGTAATTACCTACCCTCTGTCGAAAAATAGCGACCAAACTTATCCGAGCAGGTTTTGATTGTATTAAGCTTGACTCATTTGCGCTCATATGCTACAGGAAACATTGCACCTTGTTCCCGAACATGCGTGCTCTCCCCGGACAGGTAGTGGATTATTTGCGAGATATCATTACTTATGCTCATGCCGGTATGGTGCTTTATGCGACCTTTTGGCTACGTAATGAGTTCTCTGGCAGAATCAATCACGTCTCAAACATCCCTTTCTCCCTTCGACTTGGACGAGCTCTCAAACATGCTTGATGTTGTTGAACACGTGAAAGGTCAGCTTCTCAGTAGTATCGTCTTTGTTGGGATCCGTCTTGATCAGAAGCAGATAACATCGAAAAAGTCAACGAGCACTCCGTCTGTATCGTCGGTATGAGAGTCAACTCTAGTCTCCGTTAAATATTCATATATTTGTCTCAACCCACAGCTCGATACATGGATATGTTTTGTGGGTGGCTTATATCTACTTTCTTATTCCAAATAACGCCGCGTCGAAATAGTCCGAGCAAAATTTGTCAACTTCTGTGGGCAGCTTGGTGCCCGTCTTGATGCTGATCAATCGTTATATGATAGTGATAGCAAGAAGAAGCCCAAGCCCATCTTAGTTCGTATTTTGAACGTTGCACTGTTCAACTCTCCGCACATCCACAGCGAATCCATTCACAATGTTTGGGTGGACAATACTGTGGTCAAACCTAGATGGAAGAAGTTCATCAGCCAATTAAATAGCGAGTGGAGCAGTTTCACTGTGTTTGTAAGTATGCTGTTGATATTTCAACCTACAGACCTGCTCACGCTGGCAGTCAACTGTGATGCTCGCTGTGGATGTCAGTTTCCTCGCAGTTCCTGGAGTAGATAATCCCTCCACTCAGTCAAAACCAGCCGTGACGATTGTTGTTTACCTGTCAACGCTTTGCGCAATGGGTTCGCTTGTGATTTCCCTTGTCCTGGCGGGTCAGGTTAGCGACAGTAGGAGGAGCTCAGCTGGCAGTGTGGTGCGTCGCTAGCTGCAGTCCCAATGTCCCATCTCATGGCTTGTATCGACATAGGCCAATTTCATGACTTCGATGTCCCAATCGCTCCTTGGCATCGAGAGCCTCGCCTTTATGCTCAGCCTACCATTTGCTCTCCTTATCTGGGGGTAGGTTGCCCCGAAGTTTGCAATATGCTCAATGTTTGACGAGGAATGTCACAGAATGATTTTCTTTGCAATCGGACTCTCGATCCTCATCTTCTATACTACCGATATCGTTGCATTTATTGTTGTCATTCCCATATGGGCGGTTGTTGTCCTCCTTACGACATGGCCAGTCTTTGCAGCTAATAACTTCCACGTCTCAGCTGTTGCTATGCGAGCCGTCAAGTACTGGAAAGACATCATGAAACACATGGTCATCATACGAAGACAATGATTGAGTTTCCTTTATTCGGTCCGTGGATGGGAGGTTTTTTCTCTTGACTTTCATACGGAGTTCCCTTGGTATTTACATGTACTAGTAGTCCTTGTACTCTCACTCTCCCGCCATGTCAGGGTTACAGCTTACAGATAGTTGTTCTCGAGCACTAGGTTATGACCGCTTGATTTAGTACCAAATGAGATAAATCGGATCCAGTGCTTGATCATGATCATGTTGCACTCTGTTGCACTTCAATAATTTCATTCTCAGTCCTTCGGCAGGATCGAGTACTATTAGGTATCCCGCCATGTAGTAGCCGACAATAATTAATTAGCGCTGGTGCGCTATGTAATCCTGTACGAACCCAACTTGTAATGTCGACATGCACAACCAACCAGCACATCATACTAGGTTGTCTGTGTACTTAGTGCCTCTTACTATCCCTTCCAGACTATCGCCCTACAACGCTCTACCTTCTCTTGCCCGCCAACAGAGAAAGATCTTTTTCATTCGGATCCCGTTTATACCTCCGTCATCATGCGGGAAGGATACATTCGCATGTTCATCTCCTGGTTGAGGCTCATTATCAAGACAACTGCATTTCGATCGTACGGAAGTCTTCTCTCTATTCTCCTGCGACTGATCCGACGCTGTCAATCTGTCGTGAATGGAAAGGAGGGGAATTTTCGAGAGCGGCCCGGTTTAGCATTGAGCTCTCAGCCAGTGGCCAACGAACCCGAGCCGACGCATCCTGTGAGCCTTGCAGTGCCATTACTTGAAGCACCTCTACAAACTCGAGGGTCGCAACCTGGAACGAACGTTCAAATGCCAATTCCCGAACCTTATTATGAGGGGACGAATATCAATGTCTCAGCTTATGATACACAATCTCCCCAGAACCCCGCTGCGCCGTCCACACCAATCTCTATGCCCGAGCCTTATGAAGGGACCAATATCAATGTTTCAGCTTGTGATACACAACCTTCCCGGAACCCCGCTGCGCCATCGCTTCCTACGACGCCAGGACAGACCTTTGATATCCTTCTAACTCCCATTGTACCCGAACCACAGGTCAGACGATACGAAAGGCATGTTCCAGTGTACGCAAATTATACTATGTCGTGTGAGTTGCCGCTTTAACCCACACTCACAGTAACAGCGAGTACAAGCCATTTGAGGTTAAGAAAGGTCCTTTGGACTGTTCAAAGTAAGCATGTTGGTGAGAGAATCAGCAACGGGATTGAAATGGACTTACAGGGAGCTCGCTCCGGTAGAGGGATGGGAGCCGTTCACGCACCCGGAAGGGGCTTTGTTCTTCTATCACCCATATAAAGTGTGTCTACCGCCTGCTCCCAGTACATGGCTTTACTCAAGTCACACACCAGAGAGCTTTCACCGATGCCAATGTTCGAGACTCTGGAACTAGAGACAAAATAGACAAAGCTGTTAAGAAGGCGTACGAAGAAGCGCGCAACGCAAACATCCCCTTGGATTCATTCGTCGAGCTAGGATTAGAGCTCATGGTGGAGGATGGCGAAGAAATGTGGGGTTACTACTTTGTTGACCACAAAAGACGTGTCATTTTCTGGTTTGAAGACTACAAATTCTTCGAACTTATGAATAACGTCCGAGGTGTAGAGCGCAAAAGCCACGTCAGTAAGTTCTTTCCATGAAATACTTTTGTTTCAGGTTCCTGTAATTGCGTCGCTCCCAGAGTATGCATTAGATTCACAGTATTGGTTCGTATGACCTCCAGGTGTACGCATGTTCCCTCACTCAACCAAAGTAAATGTACTCACGCTTTGTTACAGCCCCTTTTTTACCTTCCATGATTTACATACCGTGACGTTGGCAGGAGACATATTGAGCTATTTCCAAACAAACGCGTCCTTCCGGAAGACATTGTCGTGACGCTCAAAGAAATTGTGATGCATGCTCATGCAGGTAAGTAAGATCAATAAGTGTTTCACGCCGTACACGATTGACTTGCGATAGAAAACATCACTTCTGAAACGTGTCTAGCACCTTTTGCTCCGAATGAGGTTGCAAGTATGCTTGAACTTGTGAATCATCTCAAGGGTGCATCATTCCCTGTTGCGTGAGAGTTGCTGTTGATCATCTTTTCAGACAGTACTAACAAGGAGCGTGAGCACTCCGTGTGGATCGCTGGTAAGTCTGATCACGGAATGTCGGTTGATTGTTTCTGATACTTTTTATTATTTTTATTTCAGCTCGATTTATGAGGCTTTTCTGTGAGTTTCGGCAGTCCGCGATCTCCATTTCCTGATTACTTTGCTAGGCAACGCAAAGTTTGTGAATTTCTGTGGACAACCAGGTGCCCGACTTGACGTAGATCAATCGTTATATGGAGAACATGAAACTCGCTCGAAAAAGATCATTCTTCGCATCATGAATGTTATTCTGTTTGCATCCCCAGATGCTCAAAGCAAGAAAATTCACAGGATATGGGTCGATGAAACCATCGTTCAACCGCGATGGAAGGACTTTATCAATAGGCTCACCACCGAATGGAATGGATATACAATATTCGTGAGTTGCGCTTTCGATTCATATTGCCATACAATCAATGACCGTCTCAGTCTACTGTGATGCTCGCTGTTGATATCAGTTTTCTCGCGGTCCCAGCTGTCGCGACTCAAACGCCCGCGATCGTCCTAGCATATCTATCTTCCCTCTGCGCTTTGGGCTCCTTAATGGTCTCACTGATCTTGGCTGGACAAGTTAATGACAGCCGGCGAGGCTCTGCTGCAGACGTGGTAAGTTTCTTTTTTAGATTGTATCACCTATATTATTCATGTCCACAGGCCTCTTTCATGGTAGGGATGTCGGAGTCCATTCTTGGCCTCGAAAGCCTTGCCCTGATGCTCAGCCTGCCGTTTGCACTTCTGATTTGGGGGTCAGCTTCCGGGTTACATCCCACGGATTAGTGGCTCATCTTTTAACAGAATGGCATTCTTTGCTGGAGCATTGTCCACCCTGGTTTTCCGCACTTCTGGCGTTGTCGCCCTCTCGATTGCATCTCCAATTTGGTTCGCCGTATTCATCCTAGCGACGTGGCCCGTACTTGCCGCCAATGATATTCACATTTCTAACCTGAGGATCTGGATCATAAAACAAGTCTTACCTCAGGCTGCGGGTCCCATCATCTCTCATGTCTAATCTGTGTTGTCTGATTGCAGGGACTTTCTGTGGCGCGACACACATACAGTTGGTATATGGTGTTTTGCAAGTTCATTTATATGATACCCGTTTCCTCCTGGATAGCCCCCATACAGAGTTTAGCAGCTCTAGATCTGGGATCGATTGACGTTCCTAGCGCGCGAGGCATGTCTATCTCTCTTCTACATAATCCACAAAAATAGCCTCCCGCCTTTTTAAGTACTAGTATGTCGAGCTCTGTGATGATATTATTACCAAGTCGTAGGCGTAGAGGTGTTACTACTACTTAGTACTAATACTTACATGTTCTAAAGTATCAACTCGTGACCAAGTACGTGCTTACATACATCGATAGTACTACTAATGCTTACGACACCGGCGTGCGCTCACTTTTCGTTCCACAATCACTACGTTCCACGATAGTAGTCGCGTCCCCTATCACAGGAATCGATTAATCAGTGGTGGCAAAACACCTCTATAGTTGATCCCAACATTATATGAGGGGCCAATCAGGGGCGATCGACTAGATGGGTCTCAAGACAATCTTAACGCTCAGAGCGATTCTGCCAGTGGCGTCAATTGGCAAAGACGTGTGTTGCGCCATTCGTTGGACCGTACGTTCATTCTCACACCCTTCCCTATCGTTCTTCTCACTTACTTGTTTGAAACAAAGTTAACTAGTTTTTGTGCTCAGCTCTATTTTCTTCCATCATGATCATCCATGGAAAGAACAATTGCATGTTCATCTCCTGGCTGAGGTGCATTGTCAAGACAGCCGCACTTCGGTCATACAGAAGTTTCCTCTCTGTTCTCCTGCGACTGATCCGACATTGTCAATCCATCGTGAATGGGAAGGAGGATGATTTTCGAGAACGGTCTGGTGGTTTAGCATTGAGCTCTCAGCCAGGGACCAACCAACCCGACTCCGAGCCGGCGCCTCCTGTGAGCCTCGCAGTGCCATTGCTTGAGGCACCTCTACAAAGTCTACACAGCCGAGGGTCCCAGCCTCAAGTGGATATCCAGAATCTTCAGATGACAACTCCCGGGCTTCATGGAGGGTCGAATGACGCAGTTTTTAATACAGACTCTCCCAAAAACTCTTCCGTGCCATCGACTCGGAGGCCAAGCTTTGCGTCCGAACCCAGCATCCCCGAAGTGGATATCGCCACTCCACAGCGTCTTGTGGCCCCAGGCCAGACTTTTGATATCATTCTCACTCCCATTACACCCGAACAAGTCAACCGATACCATAGGAATGTACGAGTGTACGCAAATTGTATTTCGAGCGAGTTACCGTTCTAATTCATACTTGCAGCAAAGATGAGTTCAAGGCGTTCTTGGTCGAGAAAGGTCCTTTGGACTGTTCAGAGTAAGCATGCCGGTGAGAATCAGCGACGAAACTGAAATGGACTCGCAGGGAGCTTGCTCCAGTAGCGGGATGGGAGCCGCTCACGCAACCAGAAGGGGCTTTGATCTTCTATCAGTCACATAAAGTATGTCTACCGCCCGCTACTAGTACATGGATTTACTGAGATTACATATCAGAGAGTTCTCACTGATGCCAATGTTCGAAATCCTGAAACTACAGTCAAAATAGACAAAGCTGTTGAGAAAGCGTATGAAGAAGCGCGCAACGCAAACATCCCCTTGGATCCATCCGTCGAGCTAGGGTTAGAGCTCATCGTGGAGAATGACGAAGAAATGTGGGGCTACTACTTTGTTGACCACGAAAGACGTGTCATTTTCTGGTTCGAAGACTATCTCCTTATGAACAACGTTCGAGGTGTAGAGCGCAAGAGCCACATCAGTAAGTTCTTTCCGCATAATACTTTCCATTCGAGCTCCTGTGATCATGTTGCTCCCAGAGTATGCACTAGAATACCACTACTGGTTCGTATAACCTCAAGTACGCATGTTCCCTTACTTGACCGAAGTCAATGAGCTCACTTTGCAACAGCCCTTTTTGCCTCATAATTTAAATATCATGATATTGACAGGGCACATATTGAACTATTCCCAAACAAACGTTCCCTTCCGGAAGACATTGTCGTGGAACTTAAAGAACTCGTCCTGTTTGCTCAGGCAGGTGAGTAAATGCTAGTAATAAGTATTTCACGTACCAAAAGATCGACCCGTGATAGACAGTATCACTTCTCCAACATCCCTAACACGTTTTACTTCGGACCAGATCGCAAGTATTCTCAGCCTCGTCGATCTCCTTACAAGTAAGTCGATCCCTGATGCGGGGTCGTCATTGATTGTCTTTTCAGCTAGTGCTAATAACAAGCGCGAGCATTCCGTGTGGACCGTCGGTAAGCCCAATCATGGACGATCGGTCGGTTGTTTCTGATATGTCTACCGGTCTCAGCTCGATTCATGGGAGATTTCTGTGAGCTTCGGTTAGTAGTACGCGATCCCAACTTCCTGATTACTTTGCTAGGCAACACAAAGTTTTTGAATTTCTGTGGACAACCAGGTGCCCGACTTGACGTAGACCAATCGTTATACGGAGAATCCGATGCCTCCTCGAAAAACATGCTTTTTCGTGCCATGAATGTTATTCTGTTTGGATCCCCTGATGCTCAGAGCAGAGCTTTTCACAAGATATTAGTCGATCTAGACATCGTTGAGGCGCGGTGGAAGCAGTACATGGACAAGCTGAATAGCGATTGGAATGGATATACGATATTTGTGAGTTGTGCTTTTGCTTCATATTGTTATCATAGTCAGTGATATTTCAGTCTACTGTGATGCTCGCTGTTGATATCAGCTTTCTCTCAGTCCCATCTGTCCAGACTCAAACTCCTGCGATCCTTCTATCTTACATGTCTACCCTCTGCGCCATGGGTTCGTTAGTAGTTACACTATTGTTGGTCGGACAAGTTAATAAGAGCCTACGAGACCCCCGTGAATCGGTATGTTCATCTTTCCATTGTTTATCCTACATTATTTACGTCCACAGGTTTCTTTCCTACTAGGAATGTCGCGCTCTGTGCTCGGCTTCGAAAGCTTTCCCCTTATGCTCAGTCTACCGTTCGGACTTCTGATCTGGGGGTGCGTTTCCGGTTACATTAAATGTGTCGGGGACTCATTGTTCGACAGAATAGTATTCTTTGCTGCAGCATTGTCTGTTGTGATTTTCCGCACTTCTGGCATTGTCATTATCTCGATTGCATATCCAGTGTGGGTCGCCATAGTCATTCTAGCGATGTGGCCCGTACTGGCTGCAAATCGTATTCACGTTGGGTCCCTCCTGCGGGACTGGTTTCGCATGTGGTACTGGAACACAAAACAACTCATTGTTAACCTGTGGTACCAGCTTTACACGTGGTACTGGATCACAGGACAATACATCTTTCACCTGTGGCACAGGATCATAGAACAAGTGTCACCTACGGTCACCACCCCCTCTCATGTCTAATCTGTGTGGTCTGTGATTGTAGGGACTTTATGTAGCTATAGCATTTTGATTGATTTATGCCATACCCCTTTCCTCTCGAACATCCATACACAGGATGTAAATATCAGCTCCGGGTTTACTGCCCCGACTCTTCTTGAAGCCGGTCCCGTGGCAGTGTTAAGAAGCACGACTGAAGCGGTGTAAAGCTAAAATCACGAGGCTCATCCCGGGTCACGGGATGTGTATGTCCGGGGCCACCGCCTAAGTACTTGATATCTTTCTGAACTATGGATGACAGCGTTTACTTTGCCGAGGACCGGATGATCTACACTGTAGATCACGTTCGAGTCTTGACATGGACATGTCCATGATGTCATGTTATTGATTCCTTGTTCATGGCTCACGTGAAACCCATGCATGATTTCGTTGTACAAGTCCGAGAGTATTATGTTAATGCCGATTTTGCCAATCGAGACTGGTGCAGGCTGGCAGTGCCATAGTAGAATGTGGTCGATCCAACTCATGGAGAGATGAATGAGTCACATGCTCACGTACGGGCGTAGATCGGCGGTGGGGTAACATGTCAAATGCATCATGGATTGGCAGTGTGTGTGATCCGGTAGGAGTAAAGTGGATTCATCCAGCGAGTCTTTTCAAATTGATGTGAGTGGGAACGACACTGGATCTCACGGAATGTGACGTTGTTTCATTGAAAGCTTTTGGGAAAGCCTGCGCCACGGACATACTGCATGGAGGCTACATGACGAGGTTGAGAACGAGGGCATCGACGATCGCAGGATGACCGGCTGGGGATGAGAAAAGGCGGGCCCGACGCTGTGCGATTCTAAGGACCCTGGGAATCGATAGCGCACCTGCATCGGCTATCTGGCATGATCCGGGCTGGTTAACCACTCGAACAATCAAGAAACCTTAATACCCGGATATAAACGTGCTGTGGCACGACTGATTGGGCAGGTTGACGCCGGTAGCTCACTGGTTCATAGCGGAGTGGTACGATTTAATTTTTTTAGTATTGTTATTAATCAAAAGTGCTGCAACTTTGAAGCTGAAGAAGCCTTCGGTTAGCTACCGAACATTGTGCAAGTCCGATCTTGAAGTCCAGGGACGGGAGATTAGCAAGGATTACGAGGGATATAACGTACTTGTTGTTATCATGGTGCCCAGCCGCGGCCCAGTGGAAGTGATTCTGCAGAGATCAGAAAGACATGATGTACCTAAAAAAAAGAGCGCTATGACTGGCGAGTGGTGGTCCGCCCTGAAGGCGTGCGAGACTATGAAAGAAACATATATGCATTCATATGGACTCGGAGTGGTATTAGGAAGGGTGTCCAGTGACTGTCTTGTTGGCATAGCCAGTGATATATAATGCTTGGGTGTGTGATTGTCGACGGAGAACTTGTTATCAAGCCATGACAGAGAAGGGCTGTGGTCGGACTGTGATAATATACATAATATACATACAGGAATAATGCAGGAACGTTGTGAAAGTTTGCTGTGTTGTCAACGATATCAAGGTTGGTATCAAGATAAGATGTTCGGTTGGGGAGATGCGGAGGAGAATACTAGTAATATGGGCGCATGCCAGTGTGTGCGCATGGTACATCCACGTTTCGTGTTATCGACGCTAAGATACGAATAGCAATGCATCTGTTCATTGTCTCAGTTTGAGACTCAAGTCATCAGGCAAGTACGTGGTAAACTGCAACTTGTCGGGAACTGTGAGACTGCGCCGCATCATCATGATCGGTTTAAACACGACTTCCGGATCTCTTCAAATCACCGTGACCAGCCAAAACTGGATAAGACCCCGAAGGTTGACGCACTGGTGTGCTGGCTTTGGATGGAGATCACTGGCAACCTGTTGAATTCAACGTTGGCAACGACTATACATAGGAAATACGTGATGTGGCGGTTGTTCACGTTCGAACTGACTCTACGAGGAAAGGTCACCTTGTATCCTGAGCGAGGACAGCGGAAAGACTAGCCTTTTACTCAATCGGATTTCTTATAATAATATTGAATCCGGGTCTCTCGCGAACTCGGGTCCAAGCTGAAGATAAAGCAGTGCGACCAAGGGACGAAACAGAACCGAGCCGACTTGGGAGGTGATCGGGGTCTTTGTAGGCCATAATTAGCCGATTACATTACCGCATGCAATGTAAATAAAAACTGAGAAATGACCGTCGTACCATTCCCTTGTCCCTGTCCCTTCACATTCCTCACAAGGCCTCTCATTCTATTGAGACTGGCTAAATAACCTGCCGTCGTCACACAAGGCAGTCCACTCCGGCACTTGCTCATCGCGACTTCCCTCGAGCGTGTTGTCCCTCACGGTGAGTACCTAACACTGCTCGGACTCCTTTCGCTTCGTATCCAATTACTGACCCATTTTGGGTTCCTTTTAATAGCTTCGGACGCGTTAAATATCGTCTCCCATCCTTCCCTCTCTAGGTCACCACAATGCGTTCCATTCTCCAGCCTCTCGCTGGACGCACTGTGTTTGCACCAATTGAAACAATCGTCTTCTTCGCCATCGTCGGAACTCTCGCATACTTCCAGGTCCTTTCAGCAATTAAGCACTCTTCATTCTTCGCTCCCGCCGTTCCTTCAACACTCCGTCCAGCCCATGCATTACTGCGTGATGGCGAGTGGGTCGGCGTCGATGAAGACTGGTATTTGAAACGCGTTAAAACATCAGATTCCCGTCCATTGGAATTACAGCAATTAATATTTTCATTAGATCCTGCTCAGTCTTCGGTTCCAGTTAGTATCCGTCCATTGTATTGTTACCGTCATCATTGTAACACCTTATTGTTTTACCAGGTCACTGCAGACTCCGCACCTGTCGACCTCGTATCATTATCACAATCTATTGACAATATCACGCACCATATAGCTCATGAGTTCTCTACCCCATCAGGCGAGACGTACACATCCCTGTGCTATTATCCAGTGACCGGTGAATCCTCGTTACCCGCTTCATGTTTTACCACCGCATCCCTCCAGACCTCCCGGTCGAAGATGGTCACCCTGTCTTTTGCTGCTGGTGCTAGCGATGCATTTGTAGATGCGCTGAACCATCAACCCGGTTTCCCGGCTGATGAATCTGGAGTCAGATACCAAATAGAGAGCCACGTCACAGAGACCATCGGTGAAATGGAAGGTGGTAAATGGATGGCCTACGCTGCACGCGCCCTTATTGTGCGATTCTGGGAGCTTACCAAGGTCAGTAACCTATTGTGTCGTGTTCTCGTCATACTCACCTCAATCTAGAAAGCGGATTCCCTGGACATCTTGCTCGTCCTCGTTGGTTACATCCTCATGCACGCGTCATTCATTCGTTTGTTCTTCTCAGCTCGCGCACTTGGTTCCAACTTGAAGCTTAGCATTGCAATCATGTCATCATCCATCCTCGCATTCATGCTCGCTCTCCCCATCTCCCATTACCTTGAGATTCCTTTGGATCCAATTAGTCTCACCGAAGCTCTGCCCTTCTTTGTCTGCACAGTTGGCTTCGATAAGCCCCTCCGTCTTGCCGCTGCTGTATTCAACCACCCTCATCTGTTATCTCCCGTTAAAGAGGGCAGGTGGCGTGGCCAGATGAAACCCGCCGGTGAAGTAGTCATGGAAGCAATCGAAAACAGCGGTAATGCCATCTTGCGCGATTACGCCCTCGAGATCGCAGTCCTTTCCATGGGAGCGAAAAGCAAAGTTGGTGGTCTGAAGGAGTTCTGTGCGCTTGCAGCGCTGACCCTGACATTGGATTGTGTTCTATTCGGCACCTTCTATGCCGCGATGTTGGCAATTATGGTCGAGGTCAGTAGTCATGTGATCTCCTCTTTTGTAACAACTAGGGGTTAGGGTCAACATGACTCTTTTCTCTAATTGTTCTCTAGAACAACGCTCATGATCCCTGATTGTCTTAGGTCCGGAGGATTAAAGCTGCTCGTGACATGACGAGATCCCGGAGCTCAAATAATCTGACTGAACGCAAACCAAGTGCCCTTGTCCGTTCACTTCCTCAAGCCCAGGACGCTAGCCTGAGCCGTCAGCTCTCAGAGAGCCTATTGGGTGTTAAGGGTTCTATGCTCAGACAGAAGAACAGCCCACCACCAGAAGTTAAGGAAGAGAACCCCCTCGCACGTCTGAAGCTTCTTCTTGTATGTCACTGCTGCAATTGACCTCTCCTATTATGCTGATGTCCAATCGAATAGATCGCATCCTTCCTGACGCTGCACATTCTGAACTTCGCAACGACGCTCACACCTGCGACCATCACCAGATACCAGACTCAGACCCTGATCGACTCTGCAGTACGCGAGAGCACGGTGTCACATAAAGTTGACATTACCTCTCCTGCCATTGCAGGCGTGCTTGCCAACCTTGCCGCTATCGACGTGTCTCTTCAGGTAGAAGTAGACAACATATCCGCACCTGCAGATCTCCTTGTCAAGATTACCCCGCCCTTGTACATCCGTGTCACGCCACCAGGTCCAGTTCGTCCCCGTGCACTATTCAGATCTACTGAGGCCGTTGAGAACTTTATGACTGGTTGGACAACACTCGTGGGCGACCCCATTTTGTCAAAGTGGATCGTCCTTGTCCTCGCTGTCAGCGTCGCACTCAATGGTTACCTTCTCAAGGGCATAGCTGAGGGTGCCATGCGTGGACTGCAGCCCAACAATGTGCGCTTCAGGTCGGTCGTTGCTGAGAAACGCGAGCAGGATGATGAGGAGATTGTGACACCTGGAGTCAAGGCTGCTGGTGCACGCAGACGGTCATCGTTCGTGGTTGGTGATTCGAAGCCGCCTTCACCAAGTTCTTCAGATTCCGAGAGGCCTATCCTCCGTCCCCTTGCTATCCGTCCTATGCGTGTTGTTGCACCCATTGCAATTCCCGCTGCCACTGGCGTGTCTGCACACATGCTTGACATGAAGCTTCGCGCACAAGCCTTGTCTGCACCTGCACCAAGAGAGGACCAGCCACTTCAGTTCCCTGTCCGATCTCTGGAGCAGTGCATTGAGGTGTTTGAGAATGGGCCTCGTCCTGCGTCGGCGGCTCTTGCGACGCTCAATGACGAGGAGGTTGTCATGCTCGCACAGAACGGGAAGATTGCGGCGTATGCGTTGGAGAAGGTGCTTGGTGATCTTGAGCGGGCTGTGACCATCCGTCGCGCATTGATCTGTAAGTCTGTCTCCACATCTCAGAGATATTGGTACTCATATGATACCTAGCTCGTGCAACTGACACCAAATCGCTTGAGTACTCGGATATCCCCATGCACAACTATGATTACTCTCGTGTCGTTGGCGCGTGCTGTGAGAACGTTGTCGGTTACATCCCTATTCCTCTTGGTATCGCCGGCCCTCTCAACATCGATGGCGAGATTGTCCACATTCCCATGGCTACCGCCGAAGGCACACTCGTGGCTTCTACTTCCCGTGGTTGCAAAGCTCTCAATGCAGGCGGAGGTGTTACAACTGTCCTCACCAATGACGCCATGACGCGTGGACCTGCGATCGACTTCCCTTCCATTGTTATGGCTGCAGAGGCTAAGGCATGGATTGACTCTGAAGAAGGCTTTGAGATCATCCGTGAGGCATTTGAGTCGACGTCACGTTTCGCTAAGCTTCAACGCCTCAAGACTGCCATGGCTGGTCGTACGCTCTTCGTCCGGTTCGCAACACGCACTGGTGATGCTATGGGCATGAACATGATTTCCAAGGGTACAGAGAAGGCGCTCGAGGTTGTGCAGAAGTATTTCCCGGAGATGATCACGCTTGCTCTGTCGGGCAACTACTGCACAGACAAGAAACCTGCTGCTATCAACTGGATTGAGGGACGCGGAAAGAGTGTAGTGGCTGAGGCTGTTATCCCTGGAAAGGTTGTCAAGAGCGTGTTGAAGACCACGGTTGAGGCGCTCTGCAATCTCAACACGAAGAAGAACTTGGTTGGCAGTGCTATGGCGGGCTCGATTGGTGGCTTTAATGCACATGCTGCAAATATTCTCACTGCGATTTTCTTGGCTACTGGTCAGGACCCTGCGCAGAACGTGGAGAGTTCGAATTGTATGACCCTCATGGAACCGTAAGTCGTGATTGTTATCATCTGATGGTGCTTAGTGTTGATGACTGTTGGTAGAACTAACGATGGTGAAGATCTCCTTATGACTGTATCCATGCCCTCGATCGAGGTCGGCACTGTTGGTGGAGGTACTGTTCTCGGACCCCAGGGCTCCGTTCTCGAGATGCTGGGGATCAAGGGTGCACACTCCACCACTCCCGGCCACAATGCACAGCGCCTTGCTTGTATTATTGCTGCTTCCGTCATGGCCGGTGAGCTCTCGCTGCTCAGTGCTCTCGCCGCCGGCCACCTTGTCCGTGCACATCTCGTCCACAACCGCTCCCAAGCCAATACCCCAACGTCATCACGGCCCGTTACCCCTGGACTCATTGCCAGTGACATCGTTTGGGAGCAGAAGACCGCTGAGAAAAGTCTCGGACCACGGTCTGATCCTGTGCTCACGCATTCATTATCGACGACATCATTACCCCCGTACACAGCAAACCCGGAGACCGAGATCGAGACTAAGCCATCTCAGTAGCTGCAGGAGCGGTGCTGGCTGACCGCGTCTCCGTGATACTGACTGATTTCGAGACTGACGATCATCATTATTTCTTTTAGACTATGTCTCATACTCATCTACCTACATCAATATTTTTTTCCATTGCTTTCGCTCAGCATCTAGACGGAAAATAGCTATAGGGTCTTTATCTTTGTATATTTGTAGTTAGTTGGCTTATACTACGTAGCGACCGCCTTTATGTTGTGCGTTCAATGAATACCTCGTGATTGACTTATTGTGGTGTGCCTCCCTCTTAACGACAGCATTGAAGTCCAAGTGATTATGATTACAACTTTGCATAGTGATAACAGAATTCGACACGACGGCATTTATATAATATCTGACCCGCAGAATATTCCTTACAACTTGTCCACAACCCATCGGAGAGTGCATATATGAGGTCCGACGGTCGTCTGCTGTAAGTTGTCTTCCTCCTCCTGTCCATGAATTTGCCCATTTTCGAGCCTTCCTACGAGAAACCAAGTCCTTGACAGCATTTGCGTCCATTGAGTCGAGAAAAAAGGAAGAAAAACGATTATTGATTTCATGCGGACTAATATTGCCTGTACGGATGACCCGGGTAGCCCGCAGCCCACCCATTGGCACCCGCCGCGGGCGCGGCATACAAGCCGTAGGGGTTCTGGACACCTGCTGGGGCATAGTGGTTATACTGATAATACGCAGGTGCGGCGGGGAGCTGCCACCCATTAGCAGGGGCGGGCCTCGCGGGCGCGTTGTAGGCCTGCATATTGTTAGGCCTAGCATGTAAGACTCCCAACATGTTGTTGTTGTTTTGGTGAGGTTGGTTGAAAGCAGGGGGCTGCTGGGGCTGAAGCTGAAGCTGCGGCTGCGGCTGGGGTCGGGGCTGCGGCTGCGGCTGAATTTGCGGCTGGGGCTGGAATGAAGTCAGTGAGATCGTGGGAGATGCACTGCGACGTGGGTGGCGCGGCTGAGGAACATGTCCATGTTTTGCCTTGCGGTGGCGCGTCAGGGCGGCAGGGTTGTGGGTCTTGTAGCCACATTGTTGAGGACAGACGTACCGCTGTTTGCCATTGCTAAAATCGTTGTTGTTAATTAGGTGGAATCGTCGACGGTTATGAAGGAGTACTTACTGCCTGTCGGTGTGGATTCTGAAGCTGGGTTTTGACAACGTTACAAAATCACATCCGGCAAAGCCACATACATATGAACTAGCAGTGAGCGAACGTCAGCGAGTTGTATAGCATACAAGATAACCACGGACTGGTATGAATGTGCGGCCTCATGTCTCTTGAGTTCGGTCCATTTAGCAAAAGTTTTGTTGCAGCCAGCTTGAGCAGAGCAAACATAGTTCTCCACGTTCCAAACTCAGTCTCGACTCTTGATGCATGAAAAATGCACAGGATTAGGCTCACCTTTCTGACAGGCATCTTGGAATGACTGATTGTAGAGGAATATAAGAATATGAGCGGAGTACTACTCGATTCTGTCTGAGGTGAATACTGGTTCTCCTTGGAGTGATGATGATGCTAGGTAGGCATTCGTGCTGATATATATACGATTTCTGAGGCCTGAGGACTGTGGACCTGCCATTGTTCTTTGCAGTGGACATACGCTTCAAGAAGTTGTGGACAGACGCTTGATGTAAACAGACGTTTGCGGAGTTCATACATGATACACGTACGTCTCGTGGAAGCAACTAGTGGATGTGAGCCACTCAGTCACGATGGCGGAGCATGAATGATGCATTGTCTGCCATTTGAAGGCTTCGAACAATATCTGACATACACATTGCTACGAAGAAAATCGTCATAGCAAGCACTGGTAAAGAGTGGCGCGCGTGTGGATGAAGATGCCTGCGCGAGAATAGTAACCCAATTTTAGTGGATGGATGAGAGGCATTAAGGGCTTAGCCCAGCTAAGACGCTCATGGATACAGCATCGAGACATGACCGAGTGAGATACGAATGGCAGTTTTGAGAATGAAATATCAGACGAGTCTGGCAGAGGATGTCGAGGTCGATGGGCATCACAAGTTTGCTTCAGGTCCTAGCTGAGTTTGAAGAAATGTTTAAGGTTCTAGCCTCCGAATCTAGTAAACGGACAGTGACTTTCTTGATTTCATCGTGACTTTAGACTTTAGTGGAGCGTATCCATAGAAGAACGTGTGCTCTGTCTCATGACAACGAGTGGCTCGTACTGTTTCGAATGGGTACTTGCAAGAAAATTCCAGGAATATTACTGATGCACCTTCAATCCACATCCCGCTTACGATGGATCTGATGGTAGTTTGTCGATCAATCGTCGACATGGCCGCCAGGTAGCTTCAAGCTTTCACTACTTCAGGCACGTCCTGCTTGCTCTGAATTCTTATCCTTTTTCTTGGCATATTGTGGATGCGCTGGCAGTTGGGTGGGAATCCATCCACAGCCATTTCTGTTCTACCGCAGCCGTACTCACCCCTTCACTCACATTTGTATGGATTGCTCATTAGCCTGCTTATTGGAAAGAGTTCTCGATCGATTGGCATATATCATGGCTCCACAACAAAATCGTGCTCCATCTCATCGTTTGGATAGACATACTGGCTACATATAGAACACACCTCAAGATGAGATTTACATTAAGCGCGCCGGCAGGGGTGCAGCGTCATCTATACCTGCGGTTCCTCTCCACACAAGAATCTCCGCAACTTCGCATCCAGTTACCAATCTACCAATGGTAAGAGGAAATCGCGGACTGTACATTGACCCTGGTGGTAATGACAGTGAGGCTCTCGTCGTCCGGAGCGAGGGTAGAGAAAATGCCAGTGTCAATAGATTTGTGCAGGTTAAGCATCAGCCGAGAGATGAGAGTAACGGACATGCTGGAGGTCATTTAATCTCGATCCGCGTTATCACACCAATCACTCACCAACTAGTAAATGCGCCGAGGGTGCCACTCATCATACCCTTGCCACTCGTCAGGAAATAGTCAAACCAATACAGAGTGCGAGTCTATATGCTCACTGAATCAACCTTGATCAACCCGTGAGCATTTCGCAACACACATCAGTATACACTAGCGACTCACGTAGTACGTCAGGATGTTCGGTATATTGGACAATGCCATCGCTCTGAAGGAGCGTGGATCAGAATCACCCGAGTCACGATCTCGCTAGCAACCTCACCCAAAATACATTGCACTTGCATTCGGTTGATTCAGCGTTGAAAGCACCGACACAATGAAATATTTATTTACCGTCGTGAAATACGGCACAATAACAATTCTCCTGGTGACCAGAGAAAACCGCAGCAAACCTCTAGTTTTGCAAATCCTGTACACTGTGAGGGTGAAAATGAGTAAATCGAAGACAAATAGGGCCACCCATGCCAGCCCGAGACCTGCAGTTATGAACATCAAGGTACATACAAACGTGTCGTAGAATTGACTGACGGATAGATCTGCAATAGCTTTTGAGCGGGCGCACAGAACATCAAAGAGGATAGCGTACGTCTCTGCTGTATACGTTTCGTAGCAACCAACTCCTGGCAAGATGATCGTATTGCCTGAAAACCGTCCAAACGTTCCCACCTAGAAACAATCAGTACATCTCGGAGTATAAAATGCTGTACAAACACGCACCGAGGCTGCTCCTGCAAGAGCAACGAGGATGATTATCAGCCAAGCAAGCATGTGCTTGCTACGGTCGTAGAGAGCATAAGTGCGAATGATCATTATGACTGAAATTTTCAATGTAAGAGTTTCTCGAAATGAAATCCACTCACGACAAACGATGATTGCTTGGCCGAAAATGACCAGTTGTCTGTACAGCGTGTATTTCGAACAACTAAATCTTCGTTAAGCAAGAGCGATAGACAAGAAAGTAAAGTAGAACCTCTACAGAAAGGAGTTGTGAGCATGCCAGTTTAGCACATAACGAAAACACTGAACCTCGTCTGAAACAGGCAGGAAATCCATAACTAAGCCGCAGATATTGGCGAAGAGGGCGACATAGCGATTGAGCAGAAATAACACTGCAGACAACGCTTTCGGACGACACCATATAAAGGCGATTTCTTCTGGTAGGGTCGTCATATGGTCGTATATCAGGATAGCTGGATTCCGAATATCGTGTTATTGTCCTGAGCTCGGGGAAAAAGGCACTACAGTCAATGCTCACTATTTCCCGCCAGAGTGGCGTAAATGCACGAGAACCTGGAGTATTCAGCCGCCATCAGGATGCATGGTCAATCAGGTCTGTACGCGTGCCACTCACATCTGCAGCACTTCTGAGTCAGTAACATCCATCTTGATGAGGCAATTGAAGAAAGGCGTTGAGAATGTGCAAGCGATCCGTTAAATGCCATTATATACCAGCCCCATTTAACAGTCATTTACACAATCATTCATCAGGTGCTATGTATGCAGCACGATGTTTCCTTGCTGAAATGAAAGGATAATCATATTGCCACCATGGGGACTGCGGGGATTTGAAAAAAAAAACAACAACAACAACAACAACAACACAACAACAACAACAACAACAACCTAAAGCAACTTGCGACACGCGGAGATTTTGATGCGGGAATCGGGATAACCTGCGAATGAATAAACATGGTCCGATTGCCGACATTCAAGTTGTAAACCTGACGAACTTTGATGCCGACCCAGATCTAAGATGCCACGTGGCACAGCGCAGAATGTACCAGTATTCATGGTACCTCAGCATCTATCACTCCCTCTCCCGTCGAGGGGTGCTCGCCGGATATTTTTCAGAAGAAGCATCTCAGGAACCACCCACCGTGCGACTGGGCTGGTTTAAAATGCCCGCAACTCCATGAGGATGCCTGGTCTGTCCAAGGACAAGGCAGAGGGAGATTCGGAGAAGAAAGAATCGAGAGATCGACATCGGCACCGTCTGCCATTGTAGGACTCGGTATCCGTAGGTTAACCATATCACACTCGCGGTAGAGTGCACTTGAGCACTTCTTCTGGAGCATCGACGCCTTTTTTAAGGGAGCGCCAGCCTTAGAGTCTGTGGATATTGGGGGTGGCTTGGAGGTTGGGGGAAGATGGTGCGGCGGCAGCATAGAAAGGGTCGACGACGTTGATGATGCGTATATCTCGTTCGGTGGGTGCGACAACGAGAAGAGTGAGAATTAAGAATGACGCTAGCGAGGTGTTTTGGGTTTGTACAGTAGGATCCTGGCAACCGATGAACGTTGATGTATCAGATATATGATATATCATACTTGACATTTTTGTTGAGCAAAGATAATCGACTCAGGCTAAAACACGTGGCTTACACGTGTCTTGTTTACTGTACAACGCCCAGCATAAGCTTGCTCCAAACCATGACAAAATACAAACGGCCGACATCATACTCAGCTTCAAAATCTGTTGTTCCGGGGACCCGCAAGAAGAAGGCCAGTGCTAGCAGCTGCAGCTGACTTGGATTCCGACAAAGAAATGTTACTGACGCGGACAAGATGGGACGGTGGCATGAAGAAGCCGCGCGTCACGATCCAGGAAGTAATCTCGTCATGCCTCGTGCTCTTTGTGCTGATATGTTTTTAATTGGTCGAAACCAGAAAATCATCACCTCACAGAGCAACTAACCACTGATCGAAGACCCAGTCACACGGAACTGTGGAAGGCATCTTTAGTTTTGACAAGAGCACTTCTGGCTCGACCGTTGCAACGCGTAAAGGCAAGAAGCACTGCGGCCGACATCGCTGTGCAATGTTACTAGCTACATGGCTTTCTCGATAACGCGTTTCAATCATGTCCATGTTCCATTCAATGCACTGTTTCCTCAAATCTGTGATCGCATCGCCTCTAGAAGTGTGGGGGACGACCTTGGAACTCTGGCGACCACCAGCGCCCTGGATATTTTTATTGCTGGGCGCTAATCAATACACCGGTCCCTCATGGGAAAGGGTAATAACGCTTGTTCCCCGTTATCGATTGTTATAGGGTTTCTTATTGTCAAGCTTACATCATTTGGTTCTTTGATCGCTCTTCTTCCTCGAGGCTTCTGGATTGGTTTCATCTCTGCGCACATTCCCTCGTATTCCGGTGATGACCGGACCGTGCATAGTGTAAGACTCTGTAATTGGTATCACGAAGTTAATGACTCACACGCGGTTGCCTAAGCTTGACTTGCATTCGGTTTATCCGAGCAGCAGGTATAAACCTTGGGTAACGCTCAGGGCCTGGCCAATGAGATGTTCTGCTTTGCATAGGATTGATCTCGGTCCTTCAATACCGATCAGAACCCTTGGAGCACGAGAGTACTAGTGAAAATCGATGGTCATTTCTTCATTCGATTCTGCCGATCGGTGTTGCTCAGCGCTTGCAGCCAGCAGTGCAACAAATATTGCCTCGAGGCTTGCTCGAGGCTTGTACTAATAATAGCCTGTTATTTTATATAAATGATGCAGGACCTTTCGTTTCCTCATCTTACTACTACTTCGCCACATACTGATTCTGATCGTCATCTGCTATTCACAATGAGGAAAGGCAACTCATCAAGGAATTCGGCCCAAGAAACCCACACATCTAGCGAAGCAACAGCTCGTGGAAGCTCGGTACGTGACTTATGAGGATCACTTAGTTTAATCCACTCTAAACACTGACATCGATGCATCCTTCGTCTAGCACCGACCTCGTGGCAGAGTCGGTCGGTTTTTGGAGAAGGTTAAGGATGGTGCGAACAAGTTAAGGGTCTCGGTGAGTCCACGAGCATGCGTAATGAGTGTCCTGGAATACGACTAAAATTGCAACAAGCGCTCGAAGGATTCCCGTAGCCATAGCCCCGCTCCCCCGAATGTGCTTCATCAACGTGCTTCGTCGACCCCGAATATCCTCGAGGTAGGTTCTCAAACTTGTCTTTCAGTCTCTGTGCTCTCTCTAAATTTTGGTGGTCGCGCGGGTTCAGGCTGCTCCGTCTGATGTGGAAGTGGAGGCTGATACCCAATCGGCACTTCTGGATGCACGACAGGCTGCATCACGCATGCATCCATTGTTGGGACCTTCGATAACTGTGGTGTTCGTTGGTCAAGACGCACAAGCGGATCTCGATGCTGCTGACGGTTTCCAGGACACATATCTCAAACCCCTCAGGATATTCGACGATGTTATTGGGAAGATCGCAGATGTATGGACCCTCTCCTCGATCGAAACTGAACTAAGCTAGCTCCACAGGTACATCCATATGCAAAAATGGCACTGGGCGTGTTGTCTTGTGCAGCCAAAGTATGTTTTTCTTATTCTTTCTTTCCTATCTTCCACCGCTCAAGCAATCATTGTGCAGATTATTCTAGCTCAAGCGGATCGCGACGCAGCGGTACTCGACCTTCTCAAAAAGTTGCGTCAAGTTTACATGTTCATCGCACAAGATCAGATGCTTGGCCAAATCTCGTCAATGCACATTATCCTTGGACAGATCTCTCAGCAAACTCTTGAATGTGCTCAGTTCATCAAAAATTATTCGGACACCAAGAATTTTTGTGAGTCATAACAAGCTGCTGCGTTTTGCATTGTCTCGAGCTTCTACCGTTATCATAGGGGAGAGACTCGGAAAGAACGCCGTCTCGGAAACGAGCGATACGATCCAACAGTACAGTAACGTGTTGGATATGCTTATGCAAAACTTCCGGGACCAAGTCACTCGCGACGTGGCCATACACGTCCACCGTCGTAAGTGCTCGAACGTCCTCGTGACTTGACACATATTCATACCATTTCAGGAGAAATACTAGATCTCAGTGGCATGACTTATGCAGCGGGCGCGGGACTAGATACCAGGAAACAATGCCTCCAAGGGACGCGCACGGAAATCCTTTCCCAGATTACGGAATGGGTCAACAGCACTGGGGACAACGTTCCACGCGTGCTGTGGCTATCTGGCCCTGCAGGCAAGGGCAAATCGGCCATCGGCCACACCATCGCTAAGTGGTTCAACGACGTGGGAGGGCTTGGTTCGTGTTACTCTTTTGACCGCGAGCGAGAAGCAGATCGTCGCCACGAAAAGATCTTTTCCACGATCGCGCGCGACCTGGCTGACCGTGATCCGGAGATGAGGCGGGCATTAGCAGATGCAGTTCAGACCGCGAATTCGCTCAAGAATACAGCGGATATCACCCAGCAGTGGCAGAAGCTTCTTATCGAACCACTGAAGAAGTCATCTGGGTCAACTGCAGGGCCCATCGTGATCATGATCGATGCACTGGACGAGAGCGGTGGAGTAGAGACACGAATAGACCTCCTCCGCATTCTAGCTGGTAAACATCGGAACCCCGCTGTTCCCAAAATCGCAGACCTTCCAGACAACTTTCGCTTCATCGTTACCTCTCGCCCGCTTGATGACATCAATGACGAGTTTCATGGTGTTCAGCATATTCGACAGATGTCGATGGATGATATTCCACCAGCATTCGCAGAGCGCGACATCCGTGCTTACGTATCCGAAGGAGCTGGAAGGGTTGGGTTTCAGGACAGAAATTTTGCAGTGCTCGCTGAGAAAGCTGCTGGACTTTTCGAGTGGGCGCGTCTCGCCTGTGGATACATCAAAAGGTCTCATACTGGGCTATCTCGAATGGATTGCTATGATGCTGTGGTGTCACGCGATCCTGCTGAGAGAAGCAAGCTGTTACACGACATGTATCACCTCATTTTAAAAGGTATCATACCCAAGGATAATTCTCCACATTCCCAGAAACTGCGTTCGACTGCGCTAGCGAGATTTCGCTCGGTGATGGGACAAATACTAGGTGCAGCTGAACCCCTTCCTTTAGCTTCCCTGAATGCCATGAGGCACCATTTTCCAACACGAGAGGGCAATTTCAACGTGGAGCTCGTGATAAAAGGCATGGGCTCCCTCCTCAGCGGCACGACCAGCCCAGATTCCCCAATCCGACCCCCTTCACGCATCCTTCCGCGATTTCTTAACGGACAACCATCTAGCGGAGAGTTTTCCATCGACCTGTCAAAGTCGCAACGCGACCTTGCATTTGCGTCACTTCGAGTGATGGAACATGGCCTTCGCTTCAACATCTGTGATTTGAAGTCGTCGTACCTCTCTAATTGCGAAGATCCCGGGCTTCAAGAACGAGTCCAAAAATGCATCCCCCCACATCTGTCATATTCAGCTCGATTTTGGACGTCGCACGTACGAACCACAGTCTTCGACAAGGAGCTTGCGAAAGAAGTGACATTGTTGTTCGACCACAAACGGCTATTTTTCTGGCTCGAGTTACTCGCCCTGATCAATGCGCTCAGCGGTGCAGTTTCTGCCCTTCCGCCCATTGCCCGGTGGATGAAGGTGAGCACACTGCTACTAGGTGTGAGATAAAATGCTCATAAGCAACCACAGGGCCATCCCAAATTCAAAGATGTCTCATTGGCTGCAATGGACACACAAAGGTTCATTCAAGTCTTCGCCGGCATCATTTTACACAGCACGCCACATCTCTATGTATCAGCACTCCCATTCTTGCCTGCCAACTCTCCGCTATCGAGAAAGTTTTCTGTATGGTTTCCGAATACCCTTCGTGTGGCATCTGGACGCGATATGAACTGGCCGGCTGCTCAGACCGTGCTCAGGGAGCACACTCATTTTGTCACATCGGTCTCGTTCTCGCCGGACGGCACTCGCATCGTCACTGGTTCTTGGGATAAGACAGTTCGGCTGTGGGATGCAGGGACGGGACAGCCAGTCGGTGAGCCCTTGCGGGGGCACACTCATTATGTCACATCGGTCTCGTTCTCGCCGGACGGCACTCGCATCGTCACTGGTTCTGGGATAAGACAGTTCGGCTGTGGGATGCAGGGAACGGGACAGCCAGTCGGTGAGCCCTTGCGAGGGGCACACTTGGTAGTCACATCGGTCTCGTTCTCGCCGGACGGCACTCGCATCGTCACTGGTTCTTGGGATGACGACAGTTCGGCTGTGGGATGCAGGGACGGGACAGCCAGTCGGTGAGCCCTTGCGGGGGCACACTCATTTGGTCACAATCGGTCTCGTTCTTTGCCGGACGGCACTCGCATCGTCACTGGTTCTTTCGATAACACAGTTCGGCTGTGGGATGCAGGGACGGGACAGCCAGTCGGTGAGCCCTTGCGGGGGCACACTCAGTTATGTCACATCGGTCTCGTTCTCGCCGGACGGCACTCGCATCGTCACTGGTTCGGAGGATAGGACAGTTCGGCTGTGGGATGCAGGGACGGGACAGCCAGTCGGTGAGCCCTTGCGGGGGCACACTGGTATGTCACATCGGTCTCGTTCTCGCCGGACGGCACTCGCATCGTCACTGGTTCAGAGGATAACACAGTTCGGCTGTGGGATGCAGGGACGGGACAGCCAGTCGGTGAGCCCTTGCGGGGGCACACTAATTCTGTCACATCGGTCTCGTTCTCGCCGGACGGCACTCGCATCGTCACTGGTTCGGAGGATAACACAGTTCGGCTGTGGGATGCAGGGACGGGACAGCTAGTCGGTGAGCCCTTGCGGGGGCACACTTGGTATGTCACATCGGTCTCGTTCTCGCCGGACGGCACTCGCATCGTCACTGGTTCGGAGGATAACACAGTTCGGCTGTGGGATGCAGGGACGGGACAGCCAGTCGGTGAGCCCTTGCGGGGGCACACTAATTGTGTCACATCGGTCTCGTTCTCGCCGGACGGCACTCGCATCGTCACTGGTTCGTACGATAACACAGTTCGGCTGTGGGATGCAGGGACGGGACAGCCAGTCGGTGAGCCCTTGCGGGGGCACACTAATTCTGTCACATCGGTCTCGTTCTCGCCGGACGGCACTCGCATCGTCACTGGTTCTTGGGATAAGACAGTTCGGCTGTGGGATGCAGGGACGGGACAGCCAGTCGGTGAGCCCTTGCGGGGGCACACTGATCGTGTCACATCGGTCTCGTTCTCGCCGGACGGCACTCGCATCGTCACTGGTTCGGAGGATAAGACAGTTCGGCTGTGGGATGCAGGGATGGGACAGCCAGTCGGTGAGCCCTTGCGGGGGCACACTCATGGACTCACATCAGTCTCGTTCTCGCCGGACGGCACTCGCATCGTCACTGGTTCGTTCGATAACACAGTTCGGCTGTGGGATGCAGGGACGGGACAGCCAGTCGGTGAGTCCTTGTGGGGGCACACTCTTTGTGTCACATCGGTCTCGTTCTCGCCGGACGGCACTCGCATCGTCACTGGTTCGTACGATAAGACAGTTCGGCTGTGGGATGCAGGGACGGGACAGCCAGTCGGTGAGCCCTTGCGAGGGCACACTAGTTTTATCACATCGGTCTCGTTCTCGCCGGACGGCACTCGCATCGTCACTGGTTCGGGGGATAAGACAGTTCGGCTGTGGGATGTAGTGACGAGGCAGCCATCGCAACAGTGCGCCGTGTCAGATCCTTCAGCATTCTCAGATGAACCTCGCACATTAGAGGCCACCACTACCGTGAAATCGAACCCTTGGAACAATCACCTCATTTCCTTCTCGTCCAACTCCATCCATGCGCTCCGTGACACCTCTGAGCTAACAGAGGGAGCATCCCATGACGACCACAGTTCGACTCCCTTTTTCCTGAATAGTGACAGTGGATGGGTGGTAGGACCCAAACATCGGCTGTTATTCTGGGTACCACCTGCTTCTCGAGACCCATTTTATAACCCTGCAACTACATTACTGATACCTAGAGGAGGTCCTGAGCTTGATTTGAGCCGCATGGCACATGGCCAACACTGGCAAAAGTGCAGAGACGAGTGAGTCTCTTCAACACCCTTTCCGTGTCTCGCACTTACTAAAATCAACACCTTCAGACCTTAGTAGTGTGATGATCGTATTCTACCGATTCGAGATTTCAGACATTATCTGAATGTAACGTGTACAGTGGATTATACTTTGTATTCTATATAGTCTATACCCAATATCCAGTCCTAGTTCAAAGTTGTCCGAGCGAACGACTTATTAAAGAGCTGCTAACGCTGACTGCCTAACTCATTATGCATGATGTTCGTGCTGGTTTTGAGTGCACGTAATGACATGCTGATTCCATCAGAGATGCGTTTGCGCGTGCGCCGTGGATTGTGTTGAAGTGCACAGTATCGGTGCTTCCTCATAGCGAACTAAGAAGCTGCACGGACATCACTGTTGCGGACATTCGTGGTCATTCGAGTTCCTGTTGTACCGAGTACATTCAAAGTGGGCTAAAATCTGAGAAAACAGGGTGTGATGAATTATGTAGTTCATTGTGTATACAGTACAACTTGTAATCGCGATATCCACGACGAAGGCAATGAGAATGACAGCATCATTAAAACGATACAAGTAAGGATGCTGTGAGCTGTGAGGCATGAAAGAACAGCTGGAGGAGGAATAAGCACCGGGCAAGAGCAAGCGAACGGGGGATGGAATTGAGGCGAATGCAAAGAGTAAGAAAAGTTCCGGCACGATAGATGGCACTGAATTGAGGGTGATATTGAACGCAGGTGCACCAAGGTGTCGCAACGAGCGTCCTCGTCAAGGAGCTCTTCGATAATCGGTTGCCGGAGACTCAACGGGAAGAGTTTAAGGACTACAATCAAGTTCCATAAGTCTGCATTGAACTCGCGATAAATGAGTGGCATTGTGAATCTTTGCATGAGATATAAACTAGGAGAAGTAGACTGCGACTCACAAAGCTGTCGAGAGTACGTTTATAATACAGTTACTACGCGTGTCTTCAACACACACAGGTCAGGAATCCTTAGTCGCAAATCGTAGTTATTGGGTGGTGCGTATTGACCATTTCCGTGGCACACTTTACCCTCTCCAATGTAAAAATAGGAGGACATGATGCATGACGTAGTGATGTCTACATTTGAGCTCCAGGACATGTGAATGTGGGGGCGATCGTATACGTAGTTGGAGGAGAGAGTGTTGACTGCCAAGTTTGACGGTACTTGGAGCTTGGGCCGGGAGATCCGGCTTTTGAAACTGCGCGAAGCTGCAACCTTACGTACAAACAAAGTAATACTCTGACAACGTAGTCGTGTCCTTGGACTTCCTTGCAATTGGTTCTCGAACGAATGATATGACTATTTGCATCCTTGCTGCGGCAGTCAATGCCACGCTGTCATGAAGGATCTCAAATACTACGTGCACGCGCTCATTTCTATCCTTGTGGTGGTTCGCGCATTTGCACAATGGCGCACGACGAACCGTAAACGGGTCATATCATGCCAGGGTAGTCATCCTCACAGTACGTATGTTACCCTCCCACGTACATCCGCATCACTCACTTGATCAGGGAGGGTTCACTCCGTTAGGCCTAATGCCTCATGTAGAACTTTGCTCAGCGAGGCGCACATATCATTCCTCTCTCGCTAAAACCAGTCCAAGACCCTGATATTCTCATAAACCTCTTGCGATCGACCACCAAGAACCAATATCCGCAGACGAATTTGATCTGACATCTGTGTCTTCTGTCCGTTCCTTCTGCTCCCACTTCCTCACAGGAAAGGAGACTAGACTAGATACTATCATATTCACACACGAGTATCAACAGCTAGGCTCTATCATCGATCACCAGGATCCTGCTATATTAACCCATGAGAGACAAAACTCCTCACTAGCATCATCCTTAATTCTCAGTCCTTCTCCTCCCCGCCCTCCTTGTCGCACCCACCGGACGCGATATACGCATCATCAACATCATCAACCGTTTCTACGCCGCCGCCGCACCCTCTTATTACCCAACCTTCACGGCCCGCCACCTCCAACATCTTCACTTTCCCACCAAGAAGGCTGGCGTTCCCTTCAAATGATTATCTTCACCTGCCACCTCCAGCGTGTCGTCGACGCACTACCATCAGGTGGGCAAATACCAAAGACAGACAACTCCATCATCTACGTCGTCAGCGGCAATGTGCAAAGTCCAACATCGTCGCTGTATACATGTGTCCCGGGCTCTCTAGATCAGATACCACCGTACCACTATTAAATGCAGTCCGGGGACGCGATCAATCCACGTTCGGCATCGTGCTGTCAGATTCTTTATTTGATTTGAAAACCTAAACACTGAACATTCTTCAGGTACATACTTCAACCCTTCCTCCGCCTTCTCAAGGAATCTACGACATCTCCTATGCCATCCGTGCTGCACATCATTTTCTCTCAACACCTTTCAAGAGCAATACCCACGAAGGCACAGATGCTCCAGAAGAAGTGCTCAAGGGCGGTGCATTCTACCGCGAGTGTGCAGCTGTTAACTTGCGAATACGGAGTCCTGCAACAGCTGACGCTACCGATACGCAGGTGCCGGACGATGGAGAATTGGAGGGCGTGCATCTTGGTCAGGCGGTGTGGGAGGGGCGTTGAAGGTGCGTTGAAGGTGCGTTGAAGGAGTGGGAGAAAGTGACCCTGCAAGGCAGTGAGAAGGCTGGGTGTGAGGATGGACTGTCGGTTGATACCCCGAGCAGTGACTTAGAGGTGGGTGAGTTTGGTTGGTCGGTTCATTAAGATGTTGATGTTGGATAGATGTAGGACACGGACTTGTGTATATTGGATTAGGGGGTATATTATCTTGCTTGGATACCATCGCTCTATCTCCATTTCTATGGAATATCCTGCATTCAGGAATATCAACCACTGCTTCAGAATCACCCATAACCACGGCTCATATCATCGAATGTGTACAGCATAATACCTCGTGAGTTATACTCCGTGTTTCGTGGAGTGATATATGATGATTAATGCACATACCACAACTGACTTAAGTGCAGAGGGGAGCGTAGATACACCAAGAAGTTGCTAGACAGTACTCAGGCTTCTTATAGTTGGGCTAATAGGAAAGTCAAGCCGTGCTCGAATCCTGAGTTCCAGCCAGCTCGATCGTCTTGCTGTTCTGACTCCGGAGGCGTGCATGGCGGACTGGCCACGTAGGAAGATTTCGAGGGTGCGTTGTGAACTACATGATATAAAGCGATGCCCGAGTCTCGAGAAAGGACTGACCATAAAGCGATGGGAGCTTTGCCTGCCGCCCGGAATAGAGTGCACTGCTATCTGCAGAGCTTTGCGGCGAATTTTTGACTGGTAGCCTTGGGTCAGGCGAGTTGCAGATGTTTGAATCAATGTATTCAATTTGCCTTCAGGTTTCACTATATACTCTTTCTTAATATGGCACACGCATTCTTCAATGTAACAAGACTTCGCCGATCTCAATCTCAGGGGAAGCTCGACATCCACTTCTAGATGACCAGATGATACTCAAAGGATGCCAGGTTTGGCATAGCATGTTGTGATATAGGCTAAATCAAAGAGACAAGAACAGGATGTGATCAACAACGGCCGGTCTACTATTCAACGAGCTTCCGTACCGTGTGGGACGATGATATATTCCATAGACTTCTCGAGCTGCAGAAGGTGAATAGCATCGAGCGCGATAGAGGTTCATACTGAGGTATCTCGTTCAATAGGCGGTGTCTTGGTTGTGCTACACCCATCCCTTGACCGTTGACTCACAGGCTACTGAGGTGGGAATAGTTTTCGGCCAAACATTCAGAGAACTCATCGGGCCTCGCGTTCTATAAAACCAAAATTTTGATCAACGCTAAATAAGCAAGCGAGTTGACCCCCACCTCACCAGAAGGAATTTTACGCATATAGTGGGCGATCGAGTGGGTATACTCTATGTGTCAAATTCTCTTCATTACAATGACGAGTCAGTGGAAGAACAGCGCTGGGTAGAGACCCTCCCAGTCGTTTAGTGAGGCGACACGCCCAATCACCCCTATTGACTGCGGTTTGTACCACGACTCGGTTTAAGTCATGAATTCAGATGCGACTCACTGGTCATATCTGTGACTCTGAAAGTTCCAACAGTAAAGTTAATGTTCGCAGGGTGCTTTCTGGTAGATGGATATCTATCCGGTATGAGCGACCCTTGTATGTGCACCATGAAGAAAACTGATTCTCGTTGATGTCAATCGATGACAATGAACTTCATATAGGAATATTATATGTTCAGAGTACTAGTGTCGAAGACGAGTTGTCATTTAGTAAGAGCATTCGTGGAGGATACTCGACAACATACATGCATTAATATTGTAGTGCGCCATAGACTATCATCCAGCAGCATCATCCAGACGGATGAGCGAGGAAATTAATCTCTTATGCTGCCGTTGCAACCAACGCTGCCGATGGTTCAGTTAGAGTAAGCTTCTCAAGAGCATCCTCGAACTGGTCGTCGTCACTGTTGTCACTTTCCTCCTCATCTTCTCCACTTTCCTGCGACGCAGACCCCTCGTCATCTGGAGATTCATCTTCAAAATCAAGCTGTCGTTCATGTTAGTACATCTCAGTGAAGAAGATCCACATAACGTACTGGATCATAGACAACTCTGATGATCAGACTGCAGCTCGGACACGTCGCGATATCCTCGCAGCTGGCGAGCTGCTTGCGAGAGATTTCGAAGCGGGCACCGCAGGGGCAGGGATAGTGGTAGACACCTTTTACCTCATCCCATGCCATATCTTCGATTTCGATCTCGTCGTAATAAGCACCCATGATTCATGAAGGGTTCGTTGTTAGATGTGCCATATAGCTAAGCCACCAGCTAGTGGTTGACTCACTTGTGTCCGTGGCACGTGCAAACTTCAAAGTCTGATTCGGAATCCCGGATTCCGTCTTCGACATAAGAAACTGAACAAACTCGACGGTCTTCATTTTTTACTACGACTTAGTGACTTGAAGCTACAGTCTTGTTTTTGCTTTTTCACAAGACCTTGATTTTGTTCTTGCAAACAGTTCTCATCTTTCTGTGGCAATATGTACATCGCCGGGCAAGTACAGCGATAGACGTACTTCAACCTACCACAACTTACACTCCTAAGCGTACAGGGCCCAGGCAGTCCGGTGTGGACCTCATGACCGATGCAAAGGCCGACCATAACGAGAGCATTGCTCTACGGTATGTCTTTCCTTCCATTCTATCCGCTTATCTGATTATACGCAGCCTTTCGCACCGTCTGCAACGGCATGACCACACTTTCCACCACCGTACCTGTTTCCTGCTCACTTGTGTCGTCCAACGGAACATTCCCTTACTCCATCGACAACCAGCTCATCAACCCCCAATGCCTCAGAGCATTATACGAAAGTCTGCTGCGTCCTCGAATTCGAATTCCACCTTTGGTCTCCCGTTTCTGGATCGGCGCCTCTCCCAGCCGTCCTTCCTCCCTGTACAAATCGTCCACGTTGACCCTCGCGAGCTCATGTGACATGCACACGGACCTGGAAGGTGACGGCGAGACTCTATCCAAGACTGCCCGAATTGCGCCGCAACGGAGGCTATCGTGACGCAGCTATCGTTGGTGTGAAGTTCAAGAAAGTCCCTATGCAGCCTGCTACTCCAAGGACACCGTCAGTGAAGAACGTTAAAACGCTAGCTGTGTCTAATCCAAATGACTCTGTATTGTGTGGTTGGGTGTTCAATCAGATGATGGGAGGGCCTTGATGATAACCATGCCCGTTGTCCAATTTCGGTGTGTGTGCAAAGCCGAGTGCGTAATTGAAGCTCAGACAAAAGTAAAAGGCGAGCCCAAGTTCAAACCAAAAGCGGAGTATATGTGCCTTGCGAAGGTGAAATCAAGATCAAGATACGTAAAAACCTTGTCATTGGACACGCCGTGATCTTGCACTAAGACTGTACCTGCATTTGTTTTCCTTCGTAAGTTTTTGACCATGCCTAGCTTATCATACACCGTGATTCATCATATCTTAGGTCGCAATTTATTTCTGTCCAGTAGTGGCCGGGTTTATGCAGGCTTCTTTTGTCCTAGCAACCCACAAAGCACCACTCGAGCTTCCATGTTGTAGTCACTGTTGTGACGTGGCGGCGGTCAATGAAGAATAAGTGAAATTCCATGGTCATGAGACTCGTAACGCACATCCAACGGGAATTGAAATATTCTGTTCAAGCTACAACGTTACAAACCCAGACGAGCCGATTATTCATTTACTGTGCACGACCGTCAGTGTGGAACTCCCAGAGAAGATGATTCAAGCGGCAAGGAAGTAACCGTTGTTACGCAAGAGTCTTGACTCAAGCTTGACTCTTGAATCAAGCGTAATTGGGTTGATCGGGTGTAGCCCATTGGGTAAAGTCAGCCGGGTTCCATATCGCAGATTCAATGGAAGAGAACGGTATGGGCGATGGAAGGCGATGGACAAATCAATCATTTATATTTGCAACTCGGGTATCGACTTATTGTTTCGGTCACTATCTGTACTAGAACCCGCCTCAGCCTGTCTCGTTAAAAGGCACGACGCATGAGCCTACTAACCTACTAGTAAATGATTCTGCCTTTCTTATCCCACTGCAGGTCTTGGGTAGAGAAGGTCGGGAGGAAGTTGCTGTGGTGGAGAAGCCACCCGTCTGTCATGATGGCTACCACAGGTGGTAGTGAGATAGACCCCGACAACCAGCAAGTCCATGATCATAGTACCCTGTGACAACGCACTTCCTCACGCGATTTTTAATGCAGCCTATCCGACCTTACGGGATTCGTATCCAAAGAGTCGCCTCATCCAATAGCGCACGGTAGTTTCGGGGATGTGTGGAAATGCACCTACATCGCATCCAACCGTCAAGGCCTGGAGGCAAGCATGCTACACGTATGGCTGTCCAGCAATCTAAATCCATGACAGGTAGCAGTCAAATCCATAAGGATCGATGTCGTAGGCGACGATTCCAGGGCCAGACTCACTCAAGTATGTTCTCAGCTTCCCCTTGGCATGTGGTACGCTTGCTCAAACCTCATGACTTCGCAGAGACTCTTGGATGATTTCCATGCACGGAAGCAACTGCATCACGAAAATCTTTTGTCCCTGCTCGGTTTCAGTCACGATTTTGGCCTACTTCCAGCAATGGTTTTCCCCTGGATACACAACGGCTCGCTCACCACATATCTTGAACACCATTTCACAGAATTGACCATCGAACAGAAGCTCCGGATCGTGAGTTGTTTCTCAGAAGCGCTCGTATATCATGGTATTCATTGGAACCTTAGTTGCGGCAAGTCGCTGCAGCCATCAGCTACCGTATGTGGAATCTTCAATAGTTTGTAAGAACAATGAGTAACAACATTACAGTCCACTCCAAGGGCGTTGTTCACGGTGACCTTACTTCCGTACGTAATAGTTGTCTGATACCCGCGTTCTAGCTCTGATCTGGAACGGCAGAACAACATTCTGATAGATTCGGATCACAATGCCTACGTAGCAGATCATGGAATCCTTGCAATGTGTTCTGAACTCTCGGGGACTTCATACATCAGGAGCAACGTGCGGTGGGCTGCGCCAGAACTCTTTGAGGTGCCCGAGAACAAAGAGTTATCAACCCCTCCACAGCCAGCCAGCGATATTTATTCCTTTGGATGCATCATGCTTCAGGTTCGAGGCATTCCATAGTAGTTATATTGGTTTGCGACTGACATCCCATAGGTTATGACAGGTCGACCACCCTATGCAGATGTGCGAAGCGATCATCAAGTCACTGTCCTGATACTCAAGGGTAAGAAGCCTACAAGACCGTCGAGTCCGCACGACGTAGATTCTTTCTGGGGCTCCATCGAGAAATGTTGGAGTGATGCAGGACATCGCCCCTCTGCTGTTGATATCCTGAGCTTTCTAGGATCAGATCGTGTCACTGCACTAGTTAAACCATCAAAGAGCTGATCGACTTCCAGTTTATTATTTAGTACATAATCATTCCTATTATGTAAGTATATGAGTAGTAGCTCGAATTTTTTTACCAGGAAGTCACCTCTTACCTCAAATTGCGTCCACTCAGCATTCGTCAGTCACTATTCGCTACGTGGGCGTTAATGAGCATGTATAGGTTTATTTGCCGATTTTCTTTGACTAGTTACTCGAGGGAAGATTCGGTGCCTCCCGGGAGCTCCTGGCACCATGGGTAGGAAGGCAGGCAGACGTCTCTTCAGCCACCTCTTGCCACAGTAAACCTTGTGCACCAGCCAATCGCCTTCTCTATCTGTTGCGTAGTATTAGTAGCAACCAGTGTTCGACAACGACTCCGAAACTTCCCTTGGAGCGGTAATCATGCATGATGAAGGTATGTACCAATTAGCATTGGTTTTGCATGCTGCAAACGTTCCATTTAGGTTTGCGTGTGAATTCTTCAGGGTTTGTTACATATTCCAGCTGTGTGGATGTCGACACTGTCACTCATGAGCTAAAAATCTGTGTTCTACACAACAGTCACGGGATGCGGTCTTGTTATTCAAGCGTGAAACATGGCTGTAAACATCGGTGATTTCAATGTACGTACGAAGGAAAGCATTCAGAATCGATCAAAGCGGAAGACTGACCAGTTCATGAATCTGGCAGCAGAATCAATGTTGGATGATCGAATTAAGCAAAATTCAGAATTACGAAATCTTGCCCTCGCCTATCGTGATATGTACTGGCTGTGATGGCAGTTTACCCGACCCAGGCAACCTTACATCCCCAGTTTGTTCTGTATCCTGGAGCATGAGGATGACTCGGAGTCACATTGCATGAAACCTCGCGATTTCAATATGGCTCACTTGCCAATTTCGTTGATGGACGGTTGAATAACAGCACAGGCCGTTGCGGCGTGTCCCACCTCAAAACTTGTCATACGTGGGTACGTTTCTTTCAGACCCTGTATGAGCGTTAGAGATGCCCTGCAGGCCCCATTAATATATGAACAGATAAGTGGTTTGAAAACTATTGGTGCAGGCGAAATGGGACGGATCGATTCGGTGCAACCGTTTGCTTTTCCCAACCGAGACTGAAAGGGTTCTCAAAAAACAGCGGACTAGTGGGAACAGTGTTTTGTAGCCTGGTGAAGTTTGAACTATTATAATACCGCCAGTCGAACTTTCTCGAAGTTCTACCTCTTCGCCTCGGTGTTTGTCTTTTACTAACATATTGCCTCGTGCAATTACTGCCCTTTTCAGTGCTGCCAGTACTCTTCACATCCCTGACCGCGCACTTCAAGATGTCTCATTGTCTGCCACACATCAAAAGTTCCAGTAGGTTTGTTGCTCGACGCCTGTATGCACTGAAATGGGCGTTTGTGGTGGAAGGACAACCTTCATTATTGTTCTGATTCATCCACAGCATTACTTCGACTCATACCAGTCGTGGCGTCCTCAGTTTGACCCTACGCACTGGCAGTCTATTTCCACGTAATTATCGGTGGGGTAGTAACTTTGCGATGTTGTCACACTAATGTTGTGTGCACTGTATAAGAATGTAGTTCAACAGGACTATTTCCCACTGTGATTTCCCGTCGACAATGGACGCGCTCAAACGCTTGCGACAGTTCTTTGGTCTTGTATGTTTGTTGACATTGTCTGGCCGTGGAGTCATCCATTCATCTCACTCTAACAGGTCGGTGGTGCACTAGGTCGCGGTGACCGAGCATCTCTTGTTCAGCTTTCGGACGATGGTATTCCTGCAAGCCCGACTCCGATTGTTGACACTCCCAATAGAACTTCCGATGATCAGTTTTCAAATGGATGCCTCCCTAGTACTTCTGACTCAGAGGATTCGTATGTCATTTCTTTGTCTCAGGGCGGGACTTTTGTAAACACTGAACAGTAGTAGTGCTCTCTGTATCAAATCAAGTGATATCCTCAGGCAAACCAGCTACCCGGTCGCCTCGGGTGGTCTTGGAGATGTTTACAAGTGTACATGGAACTGCGGCGCAAGTTCGGATGAGGTATTTCATAGACTTGCTTTTTCTGCATGCCCTTATTGTGACTTCAGGTCGCGGTCAAATCCCCACGGTTCCCAAACCTGAGTGATCGTGAATATGTTAGAATCAATAAGGTATATTGGGGTCTAGTCTGACGACCGCATATCTAAACTTTTGAGATGCAGAACCTTGACCGCGAGATCAGTATATGGGCTGCGTTGAAGCACCAATATGTTTTGCCCTTACATGGCACTGTAGAACAGTTCGGCCCATTTCGCGCATTGGTTTCCCCCTGGATGCCGAACGGGACTTTGAACTCTTACCTTAGTGCCCATGAGACCCTCTCAATGGTGGATAGGCTTCGGCTGGTGAGTTTTATTCACGAAGCCGAATAGGGAACTTACTACACTTACAATAGCTTAAACAAATTACTGAGGGGCTCCAGTATCGTGAGTGATGGACTGACTATGGAAGTAACCGATATAACTATGTTTTCTGCAGTCCACGACCACAACGTGATACACGGTGACCTCACCAACGTAAGTTCGTACGTGCCATGCAAGTGGAATCATCTTATAGTGATTGTACATAGAATAATGTTCTGGTTGCTGCCGATGGATCTCCTCGTCTTGCAGATTTCGGCATCTCCAATCTCATGGTGCAAACCAACCCCGCCTTTTCCTACCACACCGGTGCAGTACGTTGGGTCGCTCCAGAGCTCATTAACCCCCCGGAAGATCAGCCCATACAATGCGCGACTAAATCTACCGACATGTATGCTCTCGGCGGTATCATGCTTCAGGTTCGTAGTCTCTCGTTGGCTTGCTAGTGACACTAATATCACCTGCGTGCAGGTCCTATATGGGAAACAGCCTTACTGGTGGCTGAAGTTCGCCATACATGTTATTTCTGCTAAGTTCAGACATGTAGAGCCCATCGACTCCTCCATTGAAATCCAACCTAATCACCTGGATTTCATGCGGCGGTGCTGGTCGACGACAAAGGAGGATCGTCCGTCAGTAGAAGAGGTGATAAATTACCTTCAAGAAGCACTGCCAGTCGAATGAGACTTCGTGTCTATATTGGTTCTGAAGCTATCCTCTTGCTTGTCTTTATGTTAATTCCGGTTGTGTCCTATGACTATTTATCATGTTGCTCTATGTATTACTCCAGGCTCCTTCCCAGCCCCCGATTCGAGTGTTGAATGTTCTGAGGGGCAATATCTGAGAGGACACTGTTTGATAACTCACTGGCACATGATACAAGAAAAATTCGAACCCAGCATAACCTTCCTCACCGGAGGCTGGAAGATAGCATTTGTAAACAGAGGTCAGCTACCTAGTGACAAACGCCCAAAACACACCTAGCTAGTGTAGCCTGTGTAGTACTAGGGTTACAATTTTTCGAATCGATATGTTTATTTGTCTGTCTCGATTACTCACTCCTTATGTAACTTAAATATCGTGGGGTGCAGCCGGCAGAGGTTGGGAGATGTTTGCCCTCCACTATCGGGATGATCATGCTAACATCGCAATAATGATGTATCTGTAGGCTGCATGCACTTACATCGCTCCCCACAGACTTTCGAGATTTCCGGTTTCATGTTGCAGGCTGTCACCGCCAGACGTCCATAGCAGAAAATCGTTGAAAACAAGTTATTCGTCAGGACTCCGACCGCACCAATCCTTGGCAAGGCTGCAGTATTAGGACAAGTACAAAGGAGGAAGGGCAAGTGCATTGAAGTCTTGAAGATGCATCGATTTGATACTGCAAGACGAAGCTGGCTCCGCGTATGTCAATATTTTTGGCAAGCACTCCGCGGCCCCGCCGGCCGTGTCATTTACATATTACGTGCGAAGGCTCAAGGCTCCCGACACTTTAATGGCGCCGGGTTAATAAAATACTCATGTGTCTCGAGGTCAGCTGTTCGCTTGCGGCGTGGATGGTAGCTTCTTTCCAAGATGGCCTCACTAGGATTCCGTCAAAGTGTCAGGTCGGCGTTGCAAACTGGCGCGTCGACGCGTCGTAATACCAGATATCACTCTCTCACGTCTTCCTCTGTCCAGGGACCTACCGAACGCTCCCTGGACCTTCGAACGCTCACAGGTTTCTTTAGAGAAGAGATCCTCAGAAAACATGCTCACCGTCCTGCCCTCATTTGTAGGCAAGAACGTCCTCGCGCCCATGGTGGGCCGCCATCGCGGAACCTCGGCGTGGTTAGCCACCTAGCATGGGATTTTGACGAGTTTGACAAGCACATACGAGCGCTTGCGCGAGGCTTGGTCGCAATGGGTGTTAGGAAGGGTGATCGCGTTGCAGTACTCATGGGGAATAATAGGTGTAGTGCTGTGTTGATTCTAACGTGTCATATCCGCTGATCCAGGGTGTATTCCTATATGAAGCTCTTATGCATCACTTCAGTGGGCGTGCGCGAGCATAGGTGCAATCCTCGTGACGCTGAATCCTGCCTATAGGTTGAACGAACTTGTGAGTTGATTATGCGCTACCCACAGCCCTTGAACCATCGTGTTACAGGTGGAGACACTCAATCTTGTTGGCGTCACCCATCTATTTACTGTACTTCGCATCAGAACGTCAAATTATATCCGGATGCTCTCTGACGCCTTTCCTGGGTTGCGCAACTCAAGTCCCGGCAATATCCAAGAGCCCGCCCTTCCTTCGCTGAGGAACTTGGTCGTGGTCAGTGATATCCACGACACTGCAGAGTGGCATCGAGAGACGTGCGATGTGAAGAGTATCACTGATTGGAGAGAGACCTTAATATGGAGGGAAGATACTTGGGAACAGCGTCATATCGAAGAGTCGGTCCAGTCTCAAAGAAGTGACGAGGTTATCAACCTGCAGTTTACTAGGTGGGTTTTCTGCTAGATGACCTTCCATTTTTTCATAGTGAATAATGATACATAGCGGGACCACCGGTACTCCCAAGGCTGTCTCAGTAAATGATTGCCTCTACCATGTCTGCACTGCTCCTGAATGTCGTCTCAGCTAACTCACACGAACCTACTCAATAATGGTATCTCCATTGGTGATTGTATGCGACTGGGCCCAGACGATGTCCTATGTGCGTTCACCTCTGATTCTTGCAATGCATGATATAGATGCTTCTCACCAGGCAATGTACCTCCTCTGTTCCACTGTTTTGATGAGTGACAACTGTCCGTGTTTTCGTGCAACCATTCTTACCTTGAATTCATGCACGCCTAGTCCTCGGTAACCTTGCTGCATGGTCCCATGGGTCTTGCGTTGTATATCCTTCAGAGATCTATGATCCCAAAGCTATCGTGGACTCCGTCGTGCAGGATAGATGTACGGCCCTGCATGGCGTCCCCACGCATTTCTTGGGTGTCTTGGCAGAAGTACAGAAGCGGCAAGACGCGGGAGAGAAGCTGGATTTGAGTCGCCTACGGTAAGCGGACCAAGTCTTGCCTAATCACGCATCATCACTTATGATATGCTGAAATATAGGACTGGCATTGCGGCGGGCTCGCCAATACCTATTGACCTCATGCGACAACTCATCGAGAAATTGAACCTCGTAGATCTGTCGATTGCGTATGGAATGAGTGAGTTTCCTATTTCGTTTAACTGAAATTCGGCCAATTAACCTTTTAACAGCGGAAACAAGGTGAATTTACTCCCTCATCGGGAATGGGGTTCTATAACAGTCGCTAATTTTGTTTCAGCCCCGTGTCTTTTCAAACCATCCCGGCAGATCCAATCATCAAGCGTGTTGAGACGGTCGGTAGAGTACAACCGCACGTGATGGCCAAGATCATCGACCAAGATGGACATGTTGTCCCTGTCGGCAAGCCAGGTGAACTGTGTATCGCTGGTTATCTTGTTCAGAAAGGGTTCGCTTGGTCTGGTTTCTCAGTTGTTTGTGTCCACTGAAATAAGTCTAGCTACTGGGAGGATGAGGAACAAACGCAGAAGGCCATGCGGGCGGATCCGAATGACCCGTCCACAGTATGGATGCATACAGGTGACAAAGGGATCATGGATGAGGAAGGATATCTGAAGAGTAAGCCTGTTGTTACTTTTTCTTGAAAAATGATTTGATGTCCCGCAGTTGTTGGCAGGATAAAGGTTAGTACACGCGTTGGCTCGGTAATCCAGAGAATGAACTACTTCACAGGATATTATTATTCGTGGCGGGGAGGTGACACATTCCGTCTCACGTACGTGATATCATGGCCTAACTGAGCCTATAGAATCTATTTCCGGTCCAGATCGAGAACGCACTGACTGCACATCCCTCCATCAGGGAAGCTGCGGTTGTCTCTGTGCCTGATACAAAGTATGGAGAGGTCGTAGGGGCATGGATTGTCAGAGAACCGAGCACCAACATGTCAAGAGAGGACGTCCGCCGGACTGTCGCAGAGAGCATGAATCCACAGGTGAGTTCCGGAGGCAGGGCTCTCGGCCAAACTGACGCTCTCCCAGAATGCTCCAGCGTGGATATGGTTTGTCGGCGAAGATGGCACGACGGGAGAACTCCCGAAGACCGCCAGTGGGAAGGTTATGAAACATATTCTCCGCAAGTGGAGTGCAGAGCTTGCGCAGAATGTTATTGGGAGTGTCGGAGGGAAATAATCTATTGCACCCGCCAGTTAGGCGAGGCTTCGTGTTAAAATAGGGGCTATTTATGCTCGTCCAGATCGTGAGAACTTTCGCAGGAAATGAAAAGGTCAAAATTGAGAGACGAAGTTTGTCGTTTGTCTAAACTCCACCAACAAGCATGGCGGTCACGAAACGCGTTTGTATTTACACCGAAGAGGATGTTGCAAACCACAAGTCCGCCAAAAGCTGTTGGATAACCTGCCGTGGAAAGGTGTACGACGTCACTGGTTTCGTGCCTGACCACCCAGGAGGAGACGACCTCATTCTCGCCCATGCTGGAACAGACGTAGAAAGTATCATGAAGGATGGGGATTCTCATGATCACTCTGACTCTGCGTATGACATGTTGGAGGAATACGTGATTGGACGGTTGGGGACGGAGGCAACGGTTGTCAGAGATGGTACATACTCAACTGCGCTTTACCGAAAAACATACTCATGGAGGATTCACTCTGCAGACTGGGAAGCTCCAGATGACTTCCACCCCGAAGACACTAACTCTGCGGAGGATTTTGAGAAGACACAGTTTTTGGACCTGCGCACGCCCTTACTGCAGCAAATGTGGCATGCCAACTTTAGGTACGTTAGGAGCTTCTCACCGAAGACTTTTCTGACTGCCTGGATATAGCAAATCCTATTATCTCAAGCAAGTTCATCAACCACGGCATTTGCAAGAGTCTGCTCGTCTCTTTGCCTACGATATATTTGAGGTGCGCAGCATGCCTAGACATCTGTGTTCCCATCTTATCTGATTATAAAGGTGTGCACACGGACCGTGTGGTATGCGGTACCACTGATTTGGCTACCAATTACCGCAAATCTGTTCCTTCGATCCATGCTCCAGTTCAATGGCCCCATACCCACCTTCATGTCCAATCCTCTACTCCCATTGTCACTCACGTCAACCGTAACATTAGACGCATTTGCTAAAACCCTTCCATGCTTCTTCTTGGGGAATTTCATATGGACAATTCTAGAATATGGGATGCATCGTTTCCTGTTCCATATCGACGAGTTCCTGCCCGACCACTATGCGTTTTTGACACTTCACTTTTTGCTTCACGGTATCCATCACTATATGCCTATGGATAGGTGCGTAATTCCGCGGGGACTATAACATAGTTGCTAATTTTCTCTTAGACTCAGGCTCGTCATGCCGCCTGTAATGTTTGGAATCCTCCAAGCTCCATTCACTCGCCTCGCATATATCCTGTTCCCCACTCCAGTCGCTAACGGTATCATCGCTGGTTCATTCGCGTTTTGTAAGTAGGTGTGTACGAGCTTGAAACTTGTTCTTATCATCTTTTACAGATGTCGTCTACGACTGTATGCATTATGCGTGAGTCTCGTCGGTTCTGATTTGACGCCTTATATTGATCCACATTCAGACTTCACCACACGAAATTACCTGCATACTTGCGGCACATGAAGAAATACCATCTTGCACACCACTACAAGAACTTCGAGCTAGGTTTCGGTGTTACCAGCAAGATCTGGGACTACGTCTTCAAAACCGTCCTTCCCGTATGAGTTTGCTTTATGGCCGTTGCGACTGAACATCCTTGTTTCTTACATTTCATCACCTCATCTTATTGGGCGTCTTCAGTACATTTACTTACACTTCGCGGACTAATATAACGTTCATCGCTCACGGATTAATGTTTTCAATTATCATCTCCATTTTAGTTGAAACACTTCAGTGATTGATTCACCTGCCGCGCGCCATGCAAGCAAAGGTACATTCTCACGTCAACCGAGCTGCTGAAACACAAAGCCTTTGGTTGTGAATGAAACGTTTTGAAGAACAGGTGGTTTTATCATGATACTTGAACCACAGGGATGCCTGAGTCCATCCTTGATTTTATCTACATAGCATAATGAGAAGCAACAGATTTTGCCTTTTTCCACACCTCTTCCAACAGTTTCACTATCTCATCCGGCAGCGGTCCTCCCTCACTGGAGATGAAAATGAGGTTGGGGTAGCATCGTCTACCAGACAAGGGACGCACCATTGCATGATGTTATCCTCCATTTGCTGGGGTGATGCTGCACCGAGAATAACTGCATCTCCAGGTTGGAGCGCACTGTGATGTTGTAGCCATCGTTGAGCTACTTCAGCCATGCGGGCGTTATGCACATCCTGATGCATTTGAATAAACTAGTCTTGGTTAAGAGTCATCTCCTTTGCGCACCAATAGTTCCTTCAATTCGCGCAGAATTGACAGCAGTGGTTTGCATTGTTCGTGTAATATAGGTGCCATGTGGGATACGGAAGGATCCCAGCGACCTCCTTTGGTATTTTTCAGGCTATCTTCATCGAGAATCTTTCCTACTAGAAGGCCGCCTCTGTAAGACAGGTGTAAGCCATCCAACAAACAATAAATGCTATACGAGACGTACGCCAATGGCCCGTACGCGTAAAACTTGATCCCAAAATGACGCAAACAAGGAATGAGCCTGAACGATCTTAGGAAAAACCAAGTCGTCAAATTGAAATGTCTTACTCCACTTCTACATTTCGCTCTATTGCGTTATATCCGCCTTGATACACTGTAGGCCTGACCCAGTTATTCTGTTTCGCGATGCCCATAATTTCAGCGACCTGCGTGAACGGATGGATCGCATTGTTTTTTTTAAAAAGAATCGTGGCTCATTACAAACCTCCCAGGAGTTATAGTTGCTCAGGCCAAATTGTTCGCTAAAGTATGATGAGCGGAGAATACAGTATGCAAAGAAACACGTACAAATGTCCCTCGTTATAAAGGTCATTGATAGTCTGTAAGGTATCCTCAACGGGCACGCTTCGATCAGGTGCGTGCAAATAGAAGATGTGCACTTTTTTACAGCGCAGGGACTTTAAAGATTCCATCAAAGAGGCTCTGAGATTCTTGGGCGACAGATCGCCAGGCAGGGCCCTATGAAATAGAAGTGTCAGTTTTTCACTGTAAGTTGTGCGGGGATGAACGTTCAAACTTGGTATCTATGTGGCATCCTTCCGCGAGATCGACTTGACCTATGAACTTCGGTGTCGTTAATGACGCTGCTTTAGTATTTTGCACTACCACTCACCTCCTCAGAAGTTCCACCACCATACAGACGAGCGGTATCGATGGTGGTATATCCATGATGGACATAAACACCGATGGTTTCTCGGGCCTGTTCAACTGAATGAATACGTGCTCCATTTGATTGAGGGCCTGGAAGCCCAAAGGAACCTGCTCCCTAAAAATAAAGTCATTCAACCGTCTCGGCCTCTAGGTTTGTAAGTGAGCTTACGAATATAAGATTGATTCGAGATGGCATCGTAAGTCGACTTATGAGACTTGAGATACCTTAGTTTAGGATGCAACTTGAAGGTGTTTCAAGTCTTATAAGTCTAGCGTGTTCAAAGCTGTTCAGGCTTATCTGACTGAGACTGACTCCCGGACTTCTGTTGGAAGGAGCCGAGCGGTTCTACTCGGCTGATTACCGGGTAGTTAATTGGGTAATCGTATGTCCTCTTCTAGATGCTTCTTATCCCGGCAACACATGCCACCGGCACCATATCATCTTGAACCATGTGCTACGTACGTACTATACAGTTTCACCTTCGACACACCATGCCGTTCGCGTCGTCTCACCTCGGCGTTGTCCTAACATCACGCTGAGACTCGTCTCGTTCTAGAGCTAGACTCGGACAGGGGATATCGATGATCGAAGAAATTAAAGTCGACGAGTAAACGCCTTTCACACTTGTACGCGGAGTTTGCCGGCGTTAAATTTCTCCGGTTAATTTAGTACAGAGTATGCTTTAGATCATGATACGGGGGTCCATGTCCTTTGAACGTTCACATTCATCTGCTTCAAGTACTTATCATTTCCTTGCGGCAGTTGGCAATGCTTTGGGGATGACACCAGACCCACTGGCAGGTTCCCGGTTGAGGCTGCGAGCTCGGGCTGGTTGCGAAGCCATCGTAAGGCACTACTTGGCCGACACCGGCCGCTGTTTGTTCAATGGATTTCCTCGTCAGAAGTACATTGTTGCAGCATCGGCTTACTTGCGACTTGTGTCGTACTAGTTTCTCAAGCTTGTCTCGAGCAAGCTGTTTATACACTCCACATCCGGGCGGGCCGATTCCACTGTATTACAACCCGAGACGGACGAAATTACTCAGGTGACCTTCCTGCCTGACTGATTTGAGCTTCTGTTATATAATATTATACAGTACAAAAGGTTTGAGACTGAAGGGCATGAAACATATCTCCCAGGCTGATCCATCCATCTTCCACTGTCACCACTCTTCATCGAAAGCTTTCTATCGTTAATATTTGGCGAAACCTCTCTTTGCAGGAAAAACTCATGGCTACCATGAACGCTGTCTACTACGAGGCCGTGAGTTTCATGTTATCATGATACGTTCCCTCTCATTTCATTTACATCAGCCGCGGCAATTCAGCATGCAATCTGTACCAATCCCTACCATAACGGACGATGAGCTCTTGATCAAGGGTGCGCACTTCTGAGTAGTTTGCTGATAGTGACTCTGATATTGATTGTTTCAGTCTCATGTTGTGGTAAGCTCCACGTACGGCACCCGTAGACATTCCACGCATGAATTTAACTGTCCACAGGCATATGTGGAACCGACGGGCATGTGCATGAGGGAGAATTCATCGCGAAGTTTCCTGTGAGTGTTCGCGACAGCAAATTTAAGCGTTTTTCGAGAGTGATTATCCGATCACAGCTAATCCCTGGTCACGAAGTAATTGGGACGGTTGCCAAAGTCGGCAGTAACGTCACAGGATTCGCTGAAGGTGACCGATGCGTTGCTGACCCAGGGGTTACAGTAAATCCAATTCTCCAGTACATTGGGAGAGTACAACTTGATATCTTTACAGTGCGATACGTGTTTCTATTGCAGACGGGGACAGTCTCTGCTATGTGAGAACTTCAACGGCAAAGGAGTTTCAATGGCAGGAGGATTTGCTGAGTATGCCGTATTGTACGTGTCACCACTGCTGAACCCGCACCTCTTACAAGTTTGCTCATTTGTGTAGCGAGGCTAAGAAAACTTACAAGATCGAGCACCTCACCGATGAAGAAGCGACACTTGTCGAACCTGCTGCTTGCGCCATTCACGGGATGGATAAGCTCAACGCACCCGTAGGCATTGATGCCTTGGTAATTGGTGCTGGCCCTACCGGGCTGATTCTCGCACAACTGCTCAAACTGAACGGTGCCGCCAATGTTGTGATTGCTGCCAACAAGGGTATTAAGACCCAGATTGCACAGGATCTAGGGGCCGGTGACGTGTATGTTGAGCTTGATAGGGAAAATCCTGCACCTCAGTGGGAACAACTAAGGAGGAACCATCCATATGGATTCGATGTGGTCGTAGGTGAATTTCAGGACTGAATACCTAAGTCTTTGAATTATTTGTTACAGGTTGAGGCTACTGGCAATGAAGAGGTTGCGAACGACTCCATTAATTACGTCCGACGGGGCGGAACTCTCATGATCTACGGCGTCTACTCTGATAGCGCTCGTGTCCACTGGCCTCCTTCCAAGATATTTGGGGATGAAATTAAGGTGCGTGGAATAATCCTAAGACTGTTCACTTCTTGCTTATAACTTGAGCAGATCATTGGCTCATTTGCTCAGACTCATTGTTTCCCTCGAGCCATAGCGTACCTTGACAGTGGTAAAGTGAAAGTAAAGGGCATGGTATGCGTGAACCGTATTCCAAACTTGGCCAACCACATTAAATTTTTCCAGGTCACTGACGTGTTCAAGATCAGCGAATATCAGCAGGCACTTGATAAAATGAACAGCAGAACCGCTTTAAAGATTGCACTGAAACCGTAATACCAAGTTGTGTCCTGCGTTACCTAGTCAAATGTACTTATATCCATGTCATCCTCCGGCATCTGGATTCTGGATCGTCTTCCTGCGGTGGCATGAATGTTGAACCCGAATGCGTAGCTCAATACTCAGAGTTCTCACGCGTCATGACAAGCTCACAAGCACCCGACGGCGCGCTTTCCAAGCAAGCATCATAATCTTCCCTCCACCAGCGATGTTATCTCTGCTCGGCGTGTTGGCAGGGATTGTGCTGCTCATATACATCTATGTTCGCTTCAACGACCAAGGATTGTCGCACCTTCCGTCAGAAGCCACAGCGTTCGCACCCAACCGGTTCACACAGCACGTCGTCCGTGAAACTGCTGAAAAGCTTAGCAGCTCTCCGAAAATTGTAAAAGATGTACTTCCGACAAAAACTGGACGTCGGTATATCATAGTTGGTGTAAATAACCCCATTGCATCTAGCGTTCTGATGTTGATGCTGACGTTTCGGGCATAGGCTGGCTTCTTGGGCGGCTGGATCATCATTCAACTTCTGGAACGGGGCGAAGATCCAAAGAAGATCAGAATCCTGGACATACGTCCTCCGACTCGCTCAGATCTTCGTACCGGCTTGGCCGCGCAGGTTGCTTTCTTCCAAGTAGACATATCTAACGCGAAGGCTGTGGATGATGCTTTTCAGGCGCCGTGGCCAGATTGCGACGCTTCGGAGACAGCACCAGAGGTCACAGTCTTTCACACCGCTGCCAACATACGCTTTTATGAGCGTCATCTCACGCTACTTCCGCGTTCTTCCAAAGTCAACCATGAAGGGACTCGAAATGTGATCAATGCAGCACGATCCATAGGTGTCACGGCCTTGATATATACCTCATCTGGATCTATTTCTGTTCGCCGTTCTCGCTTTTGGCTATGGCCTTGGGAGAAGCATCCCAAGTACTTTGTCCAAGTAATTAATGACGACGATAACCTCATTCCCAAATACCACGACCATTTCTTCTCAAACTACGCCGCTTCTAAGGTTCTTGGAGAGAGAGCAGTGAGAGCTGCTGATGGATCTCGATCTGGCGAGAAGACACTGCGGACGGGATGTATCCGCCCTGGCAATGGTGTGTTTGGTCCCGGTGGAGATCTAATGTGTGGTGCCTACCTAGTACGCAAGCACAACCCCACCTGGGTTGATAATATCATGCAATCCTTCGTATACGTGGAAAACTGCGCCCTAGCCCACCTCTGCTATGAAGCACGTCTCCTTGAAACTGCAAGAGGAGGACCTAACCCCGACCTCGGTGGGCAGGCATTTACCATCACAGATACTGGTCCTCCAGTCACATTTAGCGATGTCTACGTAGGATTGACGACACTGGCTCCTGAAACTACGTTCACACATATGTCACCCACCCTTATGCTTTTCATATCGCAGATCATAGAGGTCCTTTACCTCTCGCGCATATTCCTGTCAATATCTTCGTCGCCTGTGCGACGCACACTTGCACATTTTATACCCAACATCGTCGGAGATACCGTCAATCTGCAACCATCCTTGTTCGCGCTCGCAGCTGTGCATCTCATTTTTGACGATTCCAGAGCTCGATTGCCTCCTGAAAAGGGTGGATTGGGTTATCATGGCCCGTTCACGACTCTGGAGGGGCTTTGCAGGACAGTGGAGGAGCATTTAAAAGCTGGCGAAAATGGGGAAGAGAGATCACACTCCGGTGGTGTTAGCTTGAATTGTTTCCGGCTTAGAAAGGTTCCGAAGGAGGTGACTCGGATAAGCAAGATGGAGAAGAGGGTTAGTGAGCGGTTGCATGTAGAAGCTGTTGATGTGGGGTGAGGCTTGCTAATACAGGCATGACTAGTGAATGATTGTTTTGCTGAGCAAGAATTGTTAATGGTACGGCATCTCCGCTCGATCGGGATTCGGGAATTGTCTGTAATCATTGCAATTGTCAGCGCGGCGAAAACAGGGGCTTATAGCATTCCATAAAAGCATCCCTGGATGCTTAACGACTCCCATACTTCTTGATTCACAAATAATGTCGACGAGAATTCCTCTTCTTTATGTCAGTATCAATCTTCAACGTGTCAATCACCTACTAATTAGTCGCACTCTAAGGGAGCTGGTCAGTTCGGTGTGCCTGGTCCACAGTCCATTGGCACGCGTCAACACTGTCGAAGACGCACAGAAGATCATAGACGTGTTCACCAGCCATGGCCACAGACAAATTGACACAGCTCGTATATACGGGGGTGGGACGTCAGAGGAGGTAAGAGCAGGGTCTCCGAAACTTTCATCGTTGCTCATTAATGCCATCGCAGATCATCAGCCAACTCGATCTGAAAGGATGTACCGTAGATACAAAGTGCGTATTTTCACTGTAACCCATTTGAGAGGTCTCTCATATTTGCCGTCATGTGCAGGGTCTATCCAACTGCACCCGGGGACTTCGCGGCGGACAGAATTCGGGCGTTGCTCGAAATTTCTATGAAGGCGCTGGGAAAAACGAAGATCAAAGTATACTATCTGCATAAACCGGACAGGAGCGTTCCGATTGAAGATACGCTTCGTGTCATCAATGAACTGTATAACGAAGGCCTCTTGTGAGTTTAAAGTGACGAGTACTTGGCTTTTCTGATTTCAACTCTGTACAGCGAGGAGTTTGGTGTCTCGAACTATAACGCTTGGGAGGTCTGTCCAATTTTTGGTTGTCCATTTCATACTTCCTTATTGTGCCTTCTTTGTAATCAGGTGGCCGAGATGGTTGGCATAGCGGATTCCAACGGATGGGTCAGACCCACTGTATATCAAGGACTCTATAATGCACTTGAACGAAGAGTTGAAACAGAGTGAGTTGGTAATAAGACATTCACTCCTGTCTTAACCCAGTGCTAGGTTGTTCCCCTGCCTCCGGCACTTTGGAATACGGTTCTATGCATATAGCCCACTAGCGTAGGTTGTTTCGCTCGTTCGTGGTATCAATGCTTGACAACTTCTACAGGAGCGGTTTACTTGCAGGGAAAATTCTTTCAGAAGCGGACATGCAAACTGGTAGATGGGATCCCAACGTGTCTCCAATCGCAGATTCTCTGCGCGCGAAATATTCGCTGCTTATCCCTATCCTGCGAGAATTGAAAGTTGTGCTCGTGAGTCTTTGAGAAGCGCTGCGTGGGAGGCAAAATTATGACCTCGAACATCAGGACAAGCAGGGGATTCCTCTTTCAGAAGCTGCGAATCGTTGGCTTCAACATCACAGCGGGCTGCAGCCCGGTGATGGCATTATTATCGGTGCCAGTAACGTTGACCAACTCGAGAATAATCTGAAGGAAAAGTGGGTTGCCCACTTGTCTTTGATCGTGAACATTTATCTGACCATACTACTTGTTACTAGCGAGGGTAGAGCACTTTCTGACGACGTCGTCAAATTGCTGGAGGATGCGTGGGGGCAAGCCAAAGGTGTCGCACCGCACTACGCATTTTGACTCGCATCTCATTAGAAATGTACATTACCATCTATGAGGACGAACGGGTTAGTTCCGCGGAAGCAATTCGCGTGACTTTGTGCGAACTCCAGCTCAACCTTCGCCCGTGGCACCGCTTCCTGTTGGTATGCACCTGGTAGTCAACCACATCTGTGCGGCGCGCGCTCTAACGTTAAACGTTAAACTTGAATCAATTCGCGACGCTAGTCGAAAATTTCAACCTCGTGACTCAGCGTCTGAATCATCCTTAGGTCCCTTTCAAAATTTCTGGATATAATTTGGTGTCTAACTGACGTGAGATCCGTTTCTGCACGTTATACACTTGCCCTCCGAGCACCCTCTGCTCGTGCACGTTCTGCATATGTGGAACCGCATTATGTAATATTAATCATTGCCTTGCGTGCCGACACAGTTGGATGTGCGTGACTAAGCCCCGCGGTGGGTGAATCTTTTAATTTTCATTGGCTTTACCCGTCACGTACAAGTACATGCATCAGCTTGCATATCGTAAATCGGAATCATGCATCTCTGTCTCTTACCCCCAGAAATTCTACTTCAAATTTTTTCTATTGGTGAATTCTACCATCCAATATGCTCTCATGCTACACTGGCATCTCTCGCAAGGACTTTTAGGACACTCAAGGAGCCTGCTCTTGATATCCTTTGGATAAACATAGTCGGGTTTAAGCCACTCATCGCATGCCTGCCTGAATGTGTCACAAACACAGACATCCGAGGAAGGTTGGTGAGTAGAACATTTCAAGATCCACGTGTCATATTGAATACTCAATTTTTACAGACGCTCGAAAGACCTCGCTTAAATGGAGAGTGCAGGCTTCTTGGTCGATATACACAACGTATCCGCTCCTTGACGGTCTTCCACGAACATTTAAACAGCATAGACGGTCAGATCATGCAAGCATTCATTTCTGTGCCTTCACCCACACCGCTGTTACCGAACCTTCGTTATTTGGGTTGGTGGGATGACCGAGAATGCTTCTTTCCATTGTTATGCACCTTCTTTGGGTCAACTATCACATCTGTGAGGTTGGACTTTACTACAAGAGCCCCATCGTTTGCCAAATCTGCTTTGGTGGCTTCCATCGGAGATCGTTGTCCATCCATTCAGGAACTCCATTGTGAATATGGTGGTGATTCTCAAGAAAGTTCAGATGCAATTTGCGAAGCTCTGCGTGGCTTGCGGGAGCTTTTCCGACTTCGCATAGGGGTTTTTAATGCACAAACGCTGCTTCGCCTGGCTTCTTTATCGTCATTGAAGTTCCTGTCCCTCAACCTGAGGGCGTACAATGTCAACCACACGCACTCCGATTCCACTCCAACATCTTCCTCCCAATTCGAAGAAGTATACATCACCTCACCGTCACCTTTCGTTCTCACTCACTGTCTCAGAAATATCCGGTTTCTCTCCTGCCGATCAGTGAATTTGAGCATCGATTACAATGAATTTTTTCAACCATATGATCCAATGGATATCCCAGACCTCATTGTCTCCGTCTCGGAGTGCTTTCCTCCTACTCTTGAGAAACTCCGTTTCAACTTCGACACCAGTCACAACGACATGGAAGAACATACTCTTGCTGACCCCAGCTTTGCACTTGGCTTTGACGTGGTTGCCCCAATGCTGTCTTTTCGTCACCTAAAGCACTTAGACCTCGATTGGATCTGCACTTCGGCGATCGACGATACCTCACTCAAGGAAATGGCACAATCCTGGCCTCAGCTCGAACATTTCTTGTTTGGAAGCGAGGCTGGTTGGTTGATCCCGCCATCTCTTACCTTCATCGGACTCGTCCACCTCATACATCATTGCCCACTCTTGCGTAATATTGCAATGCGCTTTAGTGCATGTCCAGTTGACGTCAACAGCGCACCATTCTCTAATACCAACCCGAGCGAGAAGATCCGCGAACTTTTTGTGGGGACCTCTCCAATCGTCGATCCCGTCGCCGTGGCCTCTCAAATACACAAATTGATGCCCAAATTGTTCACCGTGGGCTTCTACGACTGGGATGTTGCTGGGTTTTTCGCGCCGTCGCCGTTTGTACAATTCGAGGCTGATTGGAGTAGAGTGAATGATTTCCTGCGATAACGAAGTCCAATGACCCAACTTGGCAGGAGGCGCTATCGCGTTTCTGGGCCTTCTTTCTTTTCTCGGGTTGATGATTATTGACATTGGCTGGCTTGTGTTTCGCAGAATTCACTTCCGCGTCGAGGACTGGCAACTATATGTAACTAGTATGTCAATATTTTATTAGGAATAAGATAAAACTGACTCGGACTCATGGCTTTTCCGGCTGCAAGAATATTGAGATCTCGCGCAGCTTCGAGTGTCATACACATACTTCTCTATAAGAGAATATTAATATTGTCCTCCAGCAAGTCCAGTGACCACCGTCTGCTCATGCATATGTGGAGCCGTATTATATTAATAGTCATTGCCGGCGCGCCGACCCGGTTGGGTGTGCGTGACTAAGCCCGCAGTAGATCTTTCAAGTTTCGATATTTCAATACTATTAGTTACCACTAGTTCGTGCATCCCCACATCTCGTGCATCGTTTAAAACAACGCTTTTCTACTACGAATATTCAAACTAATACATGCATATGCAATCATAAATCATAAAAACACCCTACGAGCTTTAACGGATGCGATCCAACAAGAAACAAAAGAGATAATTTTTTTGGCGGTGACAACGGTTTGTGTCACTCTCAATGTCACCTGCCGGTACTGCCGCAGCGGAGTTTGGAACTCAGACACGCTTGTGGCAACGCGTCGCGACACATCTGAACGCGTACATGGGTGGGTAGTATGGCGCGCACTCGAGTTGGTGGGACGCGGGAAGGTCCCAGAGATCCTACCAAAGAGGCTCGCATTCAAGCTGCCATCCACGATACCTTGACTGGTGTTTATAGCAGTTTCCGAAGTGCTGCTATAGCTCACAAGGTAAGCACTCCCTCAGTAATTCGGATGGTAACTCAATTTTCCTTTAGGTGCCCCCACAGACTGTACGAGATCGTGCTTCAGGCAATCGTGGCACTCGGAAATCATTGCTCAATGAATCCCAAGAAAAGGTACTGGTGGACTGGTGCCACCATAACTCAGATTCAGCCACCCCTCTCCATCCCCGCAAACTCCGTGCTCAAATATTCGAGATGGTGAAAGCTTACCCAGGCAAGAATTGGGTCCGCCGCTTCCTTTCCCGTCACGCGGATATCCTTGTTGCGAAACCCCGAGGCCTGGATCCAAAACGCGCACAAAATTTCAACAAGGCAACAATCACGGAGTATTTTGATATGCGCAAGGCCTTGGACGATGAGTTGGAAGGAATTCCACCAGAACACAACTGGAATGTTGATGAGAAGGGGTGTCAGATGGGAGGTGGCCGAAAGGGAGACAATTCAAAACTTATCTTCTCGAAAAACAATCGAGAACGCTATCGTATTCACAGTGATAATTTAGAGCTGGTCACAATAATTGAATGTGTTTCAGCAGCTGGCGATTCCATTCCTCCATCATTTGTTTTGGCTGATGGCCCCACTGATCTTTCTGCACGGATCGCAGCTCACTTGCAGGATCCTGGCACTCGTCAAGCCCTCGCAGATAATCCTCGATTTTCAGCGCTATATGGTTTGAAACGACGTGGGAACCGTGGGCACATCACTGCGTCTACCTCAACTTCAACCGAAAGCTCAACTCGGACACCTTCAGCAAGTATTTCTCTCCCCCCAGCAGCCACCAATGTGCCCCCTCCGCACATGCCGTTTTTCTCGCAAATACCATGATCCATTCCATATTCAAACCATTGGCCAGGGCAACATCACATTGGTGCTGGATTTTCACCAACTACTCCGAGTCCTGTTGCATCCACGTCATCACAACCATTGCCGTCTGGGCATCTTAATAATGATGACAGTCTATATTACTCTGGTAACCCGCAATACATATTTTAGATTACTACATAGCAGTACACTTCGTATATACAGTATATCTTCCTTAATGTCTAGCGCTGAACGGACTTTGAAACTGGCCAGTGTGACGATACCGTGACTTTCCGTTACATTTGTGTGACTGCACGAGATGTGGTGTGCACGAACTGGTGGTAACTAATAGTATTCAAAGGACTTGCACGTCTCATATATATATTGCATATCGTAAATCGGAATTTCTATATTGCAATCATGCATTTCTGTCTTTTACCCCCAGAGATCCTACTTCAAATTTTTTCTGCCTGTGAATTCTCCCAACCAATGTGCTCCGAGTCTCGTGCTACACTGGCATCGCTCGCAATGACTTGTAGGACATTCCAGGAGCCTGCGCTTGATATCCTTTGGAAAAACATAGTCGGGTTCAAGCCACTCATCGCATGCCTGCCTGAATGTGTCGGCAACATAGACATCCGAGGAAGGTTGGTGAGTGGAACATTTGAAGATCCACGTGTCATATTGAATACTCAATTTTTACAGACGCTCGAAAGACCTCCCTTAGATGGAGAGTGCAGGCTTATTTCTCGATATACACAACGTATCCACTCCTTGACGGTCTACGGCGGACATTTAAACAGAATAGACGATCAGATCATGCAAGCATTCATTTCTGCGCCTTCACCCACACCGCTGTTGCCGGGCCTTCGTAGTTTGTGTTGGTGGGACGACCGAGAATACTTCTTTCCATTGTTATGCACCCTCTTTGGGTCAACTATCACATCAATGAGGCTGGGCTTTATTATAAGAGCCCCATCGTTTGCCGAATCCGTTTTGTTGGCTTCCTTCGGAGCTCGTTGTCCATCTATTCAGGAACTCCATTGTGATTATGGTGGTGATTCTCGAGAAAGCTCAGATGCAATTTGCGAAGCTCTGCGTGGCTTGCGGGAGCTTTTCCGACTTAGCATAGGGGTTTTTAATGCACAAACGCTGCTTCGCTTGGCTTCTTTATCGTCACTGAAGTTCCTGTCCCTCAACCTGAGGACGTACAATTTCCATCACACGCACTCTCATTCCACTCCAACATCTTCCTCCCAATTCGAAGAAGTATACATCACCTCGCCGTCACCTTTCGTTCTCACTCACTGTCTCAGAAATATCCGGTTTCTCTCCTGCCGATCAGTGAATTTGAGCATCGATTACGATGATTTCATTCAACCATATGATCCAATGGAAATCCCAGACGTCATTATCTCCGTCTCGGAGTGCTTTCCTCCTACTCTGGAGAAACTCCATTTCGACTTCGCGACCGATTTAGATAATCATACAGAAGACATTCTTGCTGATACTAGATTTGCACTTGGCTTTGACGTAGTTGCCCCAATGCTGTCGTTTAGTCACCTCAAGTACTTAGACCTTGATTGGATCTGCACTTCGGTCATCGATGATACCTCACTCAAGACAATGGCGCAATCCTGGCCTCTGCTCGAACATTTCGTGTTTGGAAGCGCGGCTGGTTGGTTGGTCCCGCCATCGCTTACCTTCATAGGACTCGTCCACCTCATACATCATTGCCCCCTCTTGCGTAATATTAAAATGCCCTTTAGTGCATGTCCAGTCGACGTCAACAGCGCACCATTCTCCAATACCAACCTGAGCGAGAAGATCCGCGGACTTTTTGTGGGGACCTCTCCAATCGTCGATCCCGTCGCCGTGGCCTCTCAAATACACAAATTGATGCCCAAGTCGATCACCGTGGGCTTCTACGACTGGGATATTGCTCGGTTTCCCGCGCCGTCGCCGTTCGCACAATTCGAGGCTGATTGGAGTAGAGTGAATGATTTAATGCAGGTGCTTACCACAAGCGCAAAAATGAGATAGGAAACGGGAACAGCACCACAGCAACCCATGTTGGTGGCCTGGACATAGGACTTAGGGGTGACATGGGTATATTCGACAATAAAGGAACAATAGCTATTACATAGCTTACGCAGGTCTGTGATGCATGTTCTACTTCTACAACTCATCGCAACGGCCGGAGACGAGCAGATTACTATATACCAATACAATGGTGGTGGATTGCCGTAGGAATGACAATAACGAGGTCCAATGACCCAACTTGGCGGGAGCGCTGAGACTCGCTGGCTCCAAGCTCTCCGGCGTTTGCGATCTTTCAACTGGGTGTCCATATCAGCACTCACATGCATTTACCAAAAACAGGGCTAGCAAATTCGCGCCAAGGCCTGAGTCAGCTCGACGGTCAATAGCGTCACCAAAGAGCATCACAGTCATGTCAAGTTGATTTCCACATATATTTGCCTTCAATCCCACCCAGTGCTAAATACTCGTATTCCCGACCTAATATCGATAAGCAAGTGACTGTTTTGGTCACAATCGAACCAGATCATGACCATGTACAGCCGGCATGAGCTAGCATGTGCATCATGATGCAGAACGCAACAACTCCCAGAACCATGTCGACTCGAATTCCTATTCTTTATGTTGGTCTGAATATCCCATGCGTCGACTACTTGCTCATTTGTCGCACTCTTAGGGAGCTGCTCAGATCGGTCCATTCGGTTCATGAAGACGCACAGAAGCTTGTAGACGCGTTCACCAGCCATGGCCACGGACAAATTGACACAGCTCGTATATACGGAGGCGGGACATCGGAAGAGGTATAACAGCGAGGTCTCCGAAATATTCATCGTTGCTCATTAATCCCATCATAGATCATCAGCGAACTCGATCTGAAAGGATGTACAGTGGGTATAAAGTGTGTATTTTGGCCGCAAACTCGTTCGAGAGGGTTGTAGCCCGGTGATGGCATTATTACTGTAATTAATGCCAGTAACGTTTTTGACCAACTCGAGAATAATCTGATTGAGACACCCTTACCTGATCACACAACATTGAACATTTTGCTAGTGAGAGTGAACCACTTCCTGACGATGTTGTCAAGTTGCTGGAGGATGTATGGGTGCAAGTCAAAAGCATTACGCGTTTTGAGTCTTATCCTGTCAGAGGTATATAATAGCACTTACTAGTGGATCCTCGGTCGCCGTGCATCACAATAGTATATTTTTTTGTCACTGATCGACACCTGTTGAGGACCTCGAGGTACAGTGAGGTACTCGTTTTTGGCGTTCAAGATCCTAAATTGTCGTGTTAGACTTCTCGAACATGGTGGCAACTCGGCAAGGCCCTGAAGACCCTGGAAGATCCTTCGGACTTCCACCATCATGCCGGCGCCATCCCAGAAGTCAATGTTCAAGACTCTCCTGCAGGAACCGTGGCTTTGCAGCGAAGTGACAGTGGAGGGGGTGCGTGACGGAATACAAACAGCATGAGCAATTTCGAATTTATGAAGTGAAGTGGCTGAAAACGGCAATGATCCTTCCAGTTGGATACAACACCCAGTGCCCACCTCACCTCCAGCTCGTCGTGGTGGACCACGACGACGAGTAGTGTATCAGCATCCATATCCTTTTAGTCATCGTTTGACATGACGTCCACCATCCCTTTTCCTACGTCAGGCACACCCAGCGCATCGGGAATCATGTCTGAGCTGCAACCAGCCAACCTGAAACATTCAGAACTGTCTATGGTGACATGTAACCCCCTCACATATCAAGTCTGCGACTTTGTATACGATAATTCCCCATCCACGAGTTTCCTGGATACTGCTGAGTTCTTCTACGAGACTCGTGCAGGTCAGTGGATTGTTTGATATTTTCCTTGCTTTCGCTCACGTTTAGTCTCCAGTGTAAGAATATCATCATTTTCTTACTTACTGTAATGCTGACTCTACCGAAAGTTACGAAAATCCCCTGATAACTGCCACGTCCCGCACCCTCATTGCAGATATTCATGCCCTCGTACGCCAATTTTCTATAGTCGACATTCCAAAACCATCCAAGATACTCGGCGCACTCCTGCCCCGAGTCCCCATCAAAGACTCCGTCAGCCCGGACCCTTGGTTTCGTGTCCTGCGGATCTGGTCAGAAATTGAAGAATTTAGCGAGAGCGAGAGCTTTGGTCCGTCTCCTAGTCTCTGCCTTCATAACAGCCTTCTCACGATCCTCACAGACGGCCACAAAAGGAGCATCGTCGAGCATACACTCAACATCCTACTTTTCCCAGACTTGCATATGGGCTTCAAGATGCCTAAGTCGCTCTCCTTGCGCACATCCGAGTCTACCCCTCCAAGTGAAGCTGTACAAGAGCTCTCGCTAGTAGTCCCTGCCACCCCCTCGCTCTCAGTTCCTGGTACGCCATTCGTGGTTCCATCGCCACTGCACCTACAGCTTCACGTCATCACGCGCCTAAGCTTCAATGAGCAAGGACGGATCACGTATCATCGCGACGTGTGGGACATGCGTGATGTGATAGGGCTCGTACCTGGCATGCGTATCGCACAGTGGATCTTAGGGCGGGCCGGTGCGTGGGGACTGAGCTGGATTGCCAAGAGACTGAGGTCCCAGCCACATGGTACATCATTGATCACGTCTGCTGAAACGATAGTTTAGTTTTTTTGTGCTTCTCTGTTGCCCTTCCTACGATATCTCATAGCGAGCATTACTCTTCGTAATGTTAATGGTATTTTTTGTCAACTGTAGCTCATCCTCGCGCCCAAATTGCGTTGTGTTTCCATAGCCTTATACCTAATACCACGACTACATACTTCTTTGCATTAGGTCAATATTTTAGTTGGGGTCTCGCACTTTAGCATGTCAGACCAATGTTGGACAGCACTCCACTGTCACCAGTCTACACTCCATTGGCACTGTGTCTTTGATCCCCGTTGTCAACCTCTTGTTGGTATTCAGTCTCCACAGCCTTGCACCTCATACAGCGACTATCCCATCCTATCAAGTCAAGTCGACTTGAATAGTTTGCTTACCGAGGCTGGAGTCTGACATTTCATACACGCTTAGAATCTTACATAGATGTCAAGCAGCACAGGTTATAGATGCAGACCGCGCCGATATTACTCGAGGTTGTATTTCGCAAGTGGGCGGTGCACCGCTTAATTAACCGATGGTTTCCCCCTGTTTTCTTATGACATAATTGGTACTCATTAATTCATGCATGAAGATAGGCACGGAAGTTTATTATCTATAGTTTCCATTTCCTATCAGCGCTCCCCCCAAGTCCTTCCGTTGCTCAGGCTCCCGGCACCATAGCCTATATGCAATCAGTACCCATCACGCGATTACACCACTGTCAAAGACTGTCAATGGTTGCATGCCAAGGTTGGACCTACTACTACTAGTACACGAACACAGACAAACACCCATAACGACTAACTTGAAAAAATTACATGGCACAGCAGGTACGGTATATATATAAATAGCGGTGCATCACCTGGTATCACTTGATAGGTATAGGCACCATTAGGCGACGCCTCCAGATTCATCTTGCCACTTTATCCCAAGCATGCAGATGGTCAGATTCATTCGTGTAGTCTACGACCACCGAGCGCTCGACGTGTACGCGTATGTCGAGCTCCACGTCATTATTGGTGTGCGTATTACGCGACGATGTTACGAAGTCAGCATCGCTTTTAGAGCGAAAACCGGTGATCACGTTCCTCGCACTTTGTGCGGGACGCGCGAGGACCACACTTTCCATACGTGGGGCTTCTTGCATTTCTTTTTGTGCCGGAAGGAGTGGAAATTGTGATCGTTAGCCGAAGAAAGAAACGTTGGGGCGCTCCGCACCTTGTATATGGATGAGAATTCGTTGGCTCATGATCCACGTTACAGCATAACCTACTGATGCCCTGATGGTGTATTCTGAACAGTCTGCTTCTCGATGCCGGACGATAAAGAACTTACCCTGCCGACTAATCATAGAAGCGGACGGACATTTCAGTAAGTTTCCATGGCGTACGGAAATTAGATATAAGTACCTGAGTTCGGACATCAGATTCGCGATACAGTACTATGTTCAATATGTTCGACCCTAAGGAACGTTACAAGGGTGATTGGTACAAACAGAACTTACTTGCCTGTCAGCACGACCAAATATCCAATGCCATCATACATCAGGCTGAGTACAATGAGCGACGCCATGTTATTGAGTAGTGAGGGACTTACACCTGTACTACTCGTTCTAGCCTAACAGTGGTTCAGCGACTCTGAAGGTATAGAAGAGAGAAGACATGTACCTGCTGCTGAGAATATCATATTGCAGAAGATGCGTGGTGGAAATCGCCAATATCACGAGATCATATGTCATCGCAGTGACGTAGTAAAGCCAGGCGGACAATGTTTTTCCAGAATTCCCTGGGGTACAGCTATGGTTCATGAGGATTTGAACGACTCACACTGGTGGTAAAGGTATCAACTTACTTTCCCTAGAAACAGGACGCTTGTTTGCGTTAGATCTTGTCATGAGGAACGCCGACGTACATCAACAACAACGGCTGTTAGCTCAAACAACGGTTAATGCAAACCGAGATCAAAATGTTGACCAGCGCTTACGGATCCGGGCAAACATATTGGTGAACCACTCCAGCTAAACCGGGTGAGTTAACAGATATTATGCTTGCGCATTAGGAACACACCGTAATCGAGGTGAAGAATAGTAGCGCTAGAGTAATTCCTACCCGCATATTTCTCCTTGAAATATTCCATGTCCTGGGTGGTGTAAAATTCTGTACAGCACAAAAATTCAAAATGTCATACCTGACACCAAGGATGACTTGCGATACCATCGTTTGTAAAACTATAGCATGGTCAATAGAGTCCTGGTGGGTGAACATCGACAGGACAGACCTTTGAAGATAGGCGCCATAATGTAGTAATGCTGACAAGTTTCTTGGGTGAAGCTGGTGGCGAAGTCTCCGTAATTGCTGACTAGCATGACTACGATACTGACATAGCTGCATCATTAATGTGAGCAAAAACCTCTCATGATGGAATGAGGAAAAGGTATACCGTATGAGAATGAATAAGACGCAGGCAGTACTGATGAAGAACGTGTTTGTCATTAATGGAACGTAACTGGCCATGTGTACGTACCTAAGGTGAAAAATTGAGGATTGACTTCTGTAAAACCGCCATTCTGCGGGGAGTGTGATCACATAACTGAAGGTAGATATCGTTCAGAATAATCAGAACAGTGACTATTGCTATGGGTCCGTCACTCGACAAATGAAAGAGAGACTCACTCGTACAATGCAATGGAGATGGACGCAATTCGCAAATACTTATCCGAGGTTTCGCTGTCTACAACCGCACGCGAATCCATTTAAAATATGAGGAAATACGAAATCCAGTCTCGTAGCGTCTGGGGTGATTATATACGGTAGATCCGCGGAAGTTGACAGCAGGGTGGTGGCGTATTAAAGAGGTTAATACCCAAGCTGTTCAATGACGGATGGGAAGAGGAAAATGAAACAGAGCTTTGGACCGCAGGGAAATTGGGAGGCAAACTTATGAATAGAAAATCCACATATTGGTAGTAGCGCTTTTTCTAGGTATCGAGACTGCTGATTAAAAATCCTGGAGTACGCAATGTTAGAAAGGGGAAAACATGGCCCAGGCCCGTCAATCGGACTTAGTTAAACTTTCTTGGAAGTCCTTCGCAATGATGTTGGCAGTGCAAAGTGACACTGTGACTGTACGGTGCAACGCGATGAACGCGGCCTTGGGCCAACTTATGTAAGCAGGTTCCCGGCCTCAATCTTGTTACCAAGACTTACATGTGAACTGTTGCGGTTGACCGTGACATCTCATGACATCTTGCTTTAAAGTATACGACAACCGAAGAATTCCTAGCTGTGTCACACCCTCACTATGTTGAGATTGCATGCGCTTGGCATGTGCGCCCGGCCACCATCATGATGGCCACAGCATCAAGGGGAACAAATGTGCATATGATGAAGCAGCCAGCAGCCAGCTGCCATGATTCCCTTCCCACCACACGTGCCAACGCGCTGCAAAGGAACAAGGAAATGCTGTCAAGAAATGGATGGAAAATTGGCCATCCAAATCGGATGGCCTACTGCGGCAGGCTAGGCTGTACTCGCAAATAATTTTCCACTGCCGCTTAAACCCCCAGGCATTCACCGACACTCCAAGAGAAGTATATCGCCGCCTTGGGCGGTGCCGCACAAGGTGCGGCCTTTATTGCACTCCTCATTTGTACCCATTTAATCCACGACTGGCCAATGCGGGGAGCCATGTCAAAACATGGGAACACATCATTCCATTCCTAAGCGGCTATCTACCATTCGACCACCAGTGCATCCATCTGCGTGAAGCAACTCGCGACATCATATCAAAGAGACCATAAAGGGATGGAGACACCGGAACTTTTCTCTTTCCTCATGAAAGTTCACGAGGGAGAAAACACCTAGTAGCGCATGCCAAGATCCTTCACCTCCCCCGCCTATTGGGAGAGTAGAATTTTATCACAGTCCTGCGAATTTGGTCTGAAGTTGAAGAATTCAGTGATAGCAACAGTTCGGTGCGTTTCGAGCTCATACAGATAGCTACCACAAGTGCATTGTCGCCTGCTCTGGTCACAGACCTACACGTAGGTTTTAAATACACAGGTCGCTCTCTCTGGACCTACTCACTTCGCAGCCTGTCCCGGCATACCATCTGTAGTCACATAGGCGCTGTGGATCATTTTTCGTGCGCGGGGGACCTCAACTTCCACTGGGAAGAGTGCCAATATTACTGTATACGCTCACACTAAACTCATGATTAGTCTGGTCCTCGGATCTCCGCCACTCGACTCATTCATTGTAGTATACGCCAGGCTGATCGCAAGTTATACGATGTGGGACACGCGCAATGTTGTAACGCTCATCACATGGCATGCACATCCCACAGTGGATCGTGGGGCGAGCGGCGCGTGGGGGTAGCTGGAGACTGAGCTAGATGGGAAGAAACCTGGGGTTTGGCCGCGGGTATATACTTATAGGGCCCGTGCATTGCTCGATGCTGATCACCTCAGTGGACTTTTTCTCTCTCCTTTCTACCAATTTCCTACGAGTCTCGTAGCGATTGCTGTCGTTCGTGATGTTAATCCTCTGTATCCCCTTAATAGTCAACTGCATGTAGCTTTAAGTTGTGGACAGCACCCTGGTAGCAATGCAGATGGTATATATACGGCGGTTTCACTTAAAAGTACCTGGACTGTAACTCCACCGTTGAAACTGCATTGTTTAGTTCCTAATTCTGTATCCTATATCCAACACCTGAAACTTGCACGAACATGGCACTTGTGACAATACTACATAGTAGCACTGAACACGGGTATATGCATGACTTGATAGGCGCTGGTGCCTCCAGGTTCATTTCATCGTCGGCTTATCCCACGGACTCGAACGCTCATAATCATAGTCCACCTTCACCGAGCGCTCGACGCATACACGTATATCGAGTTCCACGTCGTCAGGATGCCCATTATGAGATGATGTGGGCGGGAACTCTGGATCGATGGGGCTTTTAGAGTTTTTAGAGTGGCCTTTAGATTCAAACTGTGAGCGGAGGCCGGACACCACGTTCTTCCGCCCACTGCTGAGTGTGGGACGCGCGACGACCACGGTTTCTAAGCGTCGAGGGTCTGGCTCTGACATTTCTTTGCGAGGTGAACGGATTCCGGAACAAGTGAAAATTGCAAGCGTCAGCAGAAAAGCAGTCAAGCTCCGGAGCGGTGCGCACCTCGTATATTTATGAGGATCCGTTGGCTCATAATCCATGTTACAGCATAACCAAGTGATGCCCTAGTGAAGTATTCTGAGCGAATCTCCTTGATGCCAGACGATGCGAAACTTACCCCGCCGACTGATAATAGGAGCGAGGCAACATAATTGTTATGAACTTCCATAGCAGATCGGAAGAAAAGCCTACGTACCTGAGTCTCCGAATCGGTCGTATGATAAAGAACGAGGTTCAATAGGTTTGTCGCTAAGGAAATTTTAGGGAGGTGATCAACACAGGAAGAACAGACTCGCCTGACAACACGATAAAATATCCAATACCGTCATATATCAGGCTAAGGATGATGAGCGGCGCGCATCGACTCTGCAAGTGGTGAGGGGCTTACACTCGTACCAATCGACCTACTCTAATGACAACAATGGTTTAGCGAGCTTAAAGACAAAGGAAAGAAAATGCGCACTTGCTGCTGAGAGGATTGTAACGCAGAAGATGTGTGGTGGAAACCGTCAACATCACGAGGTCATACAACATCGCAGCGAGGTAGTAGAGCCAGGCAGACAATGTCTTGCCAGAATCTGCCGAGGTGCAGCTATGGTTCATGAGGATCTGGACAGCACAGTGGTCAAGGAACCGCTTACTTTCCCTAGAAAAGGTACGACGTTTGTGAGATCTCATTGTGAGGAACACTGACGTACATCAATAACGATAGCTGTTGGTTCTGAAGGTCAACGCGAACCAAGGGTTGAAACATAGGCCAGAACTTACGGATCCGGTGATATAGATCAGTGAACCATTCCACCTTACATATATAAGAAAGAAGATAATAGGCTTGTGGCAAGGGCCTACCGAAATGGAGATGAGGTATAGCAGTAACAGTGCAATTCCTATCCTCCTATCTCTCCTTGCGATATTGAATGTCCTACGGGGTGTTTAAGTCTGTGCACCCACAAAAAATCGGTAAGACATACCTAACACCCAGGATGACCTGTGATATCATAGATTGCATAACTGCAACGTGGTCAGTTTAGTCTTGGTGGGTGTGCATCGATAGGACAAACCTTTGAAGGCAGGCGCCGCGAGATAGTAATTTTGACACGTTTGTTGGGTAAAGCCGGTGGCGAAGTATCCATAATTACTGAGTATCATGACCAGGACACTGACATAGCTGCATTAAATGTAAGGAAAGAGAATCACATGTCAGGATGTGGACAGAACACACCGTATGAGAATAAACAAAACGCAGGCAAGGCTGATAGAGATTTGTCAACGGTGGTACGTGAATGTCGAATATCCGTGCATCTATAAGTACCTGATACGGAAAATTGACGGTTGGCTTCGGTAAAACCGCCATTCTGCGGGGAGTGTGATTAATATAGCTGAACGCAGATGTTGTTCAGAACACAGTGATCATTGCGGGACTCGAACCCAACAAAAGAAAGAAAGACGATACTTACTCGTAAAACGCGATGGATATGGATGCTATTCGAAAATATTTTTCCGAGGTTGAGCTATCTAAAGTCAAACTTCGTTCCATTTGATAGATGAAAGGCACGTTGATTCCGGTATGGTAGCTCCGAGTCTGTGTCGGGTGGCTCTGCCGTTCTAGCCTTGATAGATAGAGGCGCGGGGAGGGTATATTATAAGCTCAAAGCTGTGTCTGAGCAAGCTGGCGACGCAGGGCTTCTTCTGCGACTAGGTACGGTATGACCCGGACGGAACTTCGTTCGTCCGTCGAAAGGAAGCAAGACCGTTGAGGAACAAAGTCATCGCGGCTTTTGTACCAGATCTACACTTTGAAATTGATCAAACGAGCTCCGGGTTAGTAAGTAAATAGAAAGGCCCTAGGGGGGAAACCAAAGTCGTCCCTAGATCGGAAATATTCGGTGAAATGTTCGTGAAAGCCAGCGATATTCATTTGCATGTGCCTGGCAATATGTTCCAACACTAGTGCTGACAGTTCAATGAGCAAGTTAAGGCACCCATAATTTTTGCTGATGTAAGCACTTCGGAGATGACGGGTTTCGGCGGCTGGGCCAACTTCAACTTGAAGCTGTAGATGATCATCATATTGCAGTACTCTCCAAAGTTACTCATTAATAGTTGTCGCTGTACAGCACAGGATCTCGCGGCTCGCCCTAAAGGTACGATCTTGCTATCTGCGAGGGACGTATACTGTCAGATATGCAATCCTGCCACACGTATCACGCCTAAAACGTCAAAGACGTCAAAATGGCGGCCAAACGTTCGAATCTGAGGAGATCATATCTATGATAATGATAGTATAATCTGACACGTAGAATATTTCAAATATTCGCGCGACCGTCACATACGGTAATACCCCCACCAACGTTGGATCCCACGAGTCCAAAGTCGATGAATTCAGAGGGAGAGTGGTGGCCCGGTGCGTCCCGTTGCCCATCATGTACTTAACATTCTTACAACCCTTGAAAACCCATAGATATCATCCTGACTGTGCAGATTCGCACATAGGCTTCAGCCCTGAGTTCCGTCAACGAGCAGTCATCGCCGCGTGTGCTAGAATACGCAAGTACCGTGGCGCCGTCCCGATGTGGTCTCGGCTGGATGGCAGGAGTTATTTTCTTCAGCCACTAATCAACCGGTCACAGGGTGAATGGAACACATTGGCAGAAAGTTTCGAAATCGAATGCGTCTCCCGAATTCTAGCCCTCCAGCTAGCCTCTAGTTGATGTTGATATTCGTATTCCCGTATAACCATACGCACACTCAAAGTTGAAGCCTCTGGTTCTCTTTTTAAACCCATAACCATACCGGTTAGATCTTGTGCTTCTCACAGAGTTGACATTCTTCCTTTCAGGGACCTTTCTCGCTGTGCGGTTGTCTGTTTTTCCCCGTGCTTCCATGATTCGTTCAAGCTAACTTTTGGTGCTAGGCTTGCAAAACGAAACAGACCTCCACTGACATTCAATACCTGTTCGAGCTCTATGTTCAGGGCTGAGACTCCTATCCTGGACTGGATTGACGTTTCCAGCAAGATGTATTCGCTCTCGGAGGGATTGACATACATGTAGCGGTCTGACTTCCATTTGAACCCTGTTTTCGAAGGAGCAGTGACTGTTGACAACGAACGTTTTTACATTGTTCACTATTGATAAAATACTTTCACTCAGCATAAGTAGCGTCCCTTGCGCCAACAAGGTGGGAGTCAGGCTTATTTTCATCTACTTCTGTAATGAACAAACTATTGTTGACATCGACTCGGAAGACCGTCCACCCTCCCTTGTTCTCCGTCTACGTTGCGGTATGCAGATCTTCGTCAAGACGCTCACGGGCAAGACGATTACGTTGGAGGTGGAGTCTTCTGACACCATCGATAATGCCAGTGTGAAGGCGAAGATCCAAGACAAGGAGGGCATTCCTCGAAGACAGGCGCACCCTTTCCGACTACAACATTCAGAAGGAGTCTACCCTTCACCTCGTTCTCCGTCTTCGTGGCGGTATGCAAATCTTTGTCAAGACCCTCCGTACGACCTTGTACCCATTATTGCAAGAACTTCATGGCTCAACTCAGCGCCTGCTAACTTGACAAAGGATTGTTGTTTCATGTCTCGCAGCGGTAACATCGAAGAATATCTCCTACTTGTTATTTCTGGGTAGCATGCACATGTCCGTTTCTTCGAAACAAGTAAGTCAGTCCAGTGCTTCAAACACTTTGCATATTACATATCATGTATATATTGCCTAGAATGATAATATAGCACCGCAGATGGCATTACATATAGCGAAGTTACATCGCCCAGATTCATCTTTCCATCGGATTACCCCACGAACTAGAAACCCCACATTCATCCGTGTGGTCCAACGTCACCAAGGGCTCGACATATGCACATATGTCGAGTTCTATGTCACCAGTGCGCGCACCGTTGAACGATCTGAGTCCAAATTCAGGATCAATGTGACTTTTGGGGGTGAGCGGAGAACGGATGGCGGATACATCCCGAGCGTTTTGCGGGTAACGCGCGGCGACTACGTTGTCTAGACGTCGGGTCTCTGCTTCTGACAGTTCTGTGTATGTAATCATTGGGAGCGGAAGAACAACGCAACGAGTGAAGTTGCGAGCATCAGCGTAAGAGCAGTGAAACTCTGGAGTGGTGCGCACCTCGCAGATGGATGAGAATCCGTTGGCTCATGATCCATATTACAGCAAAACCTATTGATGCCCTGGTGATGCCCTGTGAGCATTGCAATTCTATGATGGATATTGCAAAACTTACCCTGCCGCCTAATAGGATGAAATCAACATAAGTGCGCTAAGCTTCCATGGATCATGGTATAGAAGCCATACCTGGGTCTGGATATTGGATGTATGATAAAGGACAATGTTTAATATGTTCGATCCTGATGCCATGCTACTCAGTGGTGTGTGCCAAGCACAGGTAGAGCGTACCTACCTGTTAGCACGATGAAATATCCAATGCCGTCATAGATCAGGCTGAGCAAGATGAGCGAGTCTCCATCATTTTGAGAGTATCGAGGGACTTACACCCGTACTAGCTGTTCCAGTCTAGCAATAGGTCAGTAACTCTAATCATCGAGGAAAAGGATAATTTACCTGCTGCTGAGAGGGTTGTACCGCAGAAGATATACGGTGGAGATGGTCAATACTGCGAGGTCATACAACATCGAAACGGTGTAGTAGAGCCATGCCGACAGTACTTTACCAGGATTTCCTGGAGTGCAGCTATGGTCCATGAGGTTTTGAACAACACATCGGTACAAGCACCACTCACTTTCCCTAAAAACTACGCTGTTTGCGTGAATCTTGTTATGAGGAATATTGACGTACACTAACAACGACAGCTGTAGAATCTGATATCAACATGAATTCGAGATCAAAATATAAGTCAGAACTCACGTATCCGGTCAAACATATTGGTGAACCACTCCAGCTAAACCGGGTAAGAGAGATGTTACACTGGTGTCGCAACAACCTACCGAAACTGAGATGAAGTATAGCACCACCAGTGTAATTCCTATCCGCCTATCCCTCCTTGCAATATTGAATGTCCTATATGACGTCAATTTCTGTACAGCCGGCTATCCACAAGATATACCTGACACCTAGGATGACTTGTGATATCATAGTCTGTATAACTACAGCGGTGTGAATAGAGTCCTGGTAGGTGAACGTCGATAGGACAGACCTTTGAAGACAGGCGAAATCATATAGTAATGTTTACACGTTTCTTGGGTGAAACCGGTGGAGAAGACTCCGTAATTACTGAGTATCATGACTATGATACTACCATAGCTTCATAAAAGTCAGAGGACAAGTCGCACGATGGGACGAGGACAGACGTACCGTATTAGAATGAATAAGATGCAAGCAAGGCTGTTGGATTGCGGTTGTCAGTGGTGGTACGCGAATACCTGTGTGTACATACCGGAGACGAAAAAATGACGATTGGCTTCGATAAAACCGCCATTCTGCGGGAAGGGTGATGATATAACTAAAGAAAATGAGTCATGACCACGGTACTATGGTTCGAAAAAAAAAACCATACTCATATAATGCAATGGAGATTGATGCTATCCGCAGATACTTCTCCGTTGCTTGGTTGTCCACGACCCCAAGCTCCTTCATCTATGAAATGAACCAGAAAATTCAGATAGAGGTTAGTTGGTGTGGACGTGTGGATATAATCGTTGGTTAAGTTGGGCAGCGGTCGCGGATTCGAATGAGGGTGGGGGACGACGTAAACAAAAAATGCAAATGTAAATGTAAGAACGACTGTATCTGGGTAAGTTGATGACAATGGATTTGAAGATCGATGGTCTGGACGCTTCGCGTTGAAGTAGCGTAGCGCTGGAAAGAGAAGCGAGGTTAAGAGGATGATTGGCAAGGCATTACAATTTGAATCGGTAAATGGATGAAAGACTTGAGTACATATAGGCAATAGAAAATTGACCAACTTATTAAGCGATCTTGTTCCTCAATACCTCGCCTATAAGCTAGCAGGCCGATCTGGCACTTTTCGGCATGCCGAGTTTGGGACGGATCATGGCGTGTTCTGGGTCATAAGTTAGCTAAGTGAATGTTGCAATCAACGTTCCATGGCAGAATTTACGGGTACCTCAGGTAAAAAGTTAAAACAGGCTAATGGAAGCCAAGTTATCGATCGATCATGAATGTGACACGCACTATATTTAGACTATTAGTCGAAGTGAAGCCGCTTATTTTAGTAATTTCCTTTACGTTATCAGATATCGGTGTCATCGTCCAGGTGCCTTCTAGCCCTTCCTCTTCCCTTGTGTCTCCCTTTGACAACAAGCTATAGATAACCGGTTGATAGGCTTTTCTGGAGTGTCGCGGTATCATTATAACAGCACTCGGCATGATTCAAATCTCCGAGTCCACAAATCGAGAGCATACACGATCCAGACTTCCAAATTGCTAAGCACATGCTCGCACACACTTGCGCGCGCGCATTCCAATTGTTGTCCAAGAACCGCTCAGTGTGCGGTGGCATGCCGTAATGAATCAGGTGCACATGATAGTTTGTTCACCTTGGCCAAGTGGAGACGATCACGAGCTCCATTGTGGGGAACAATCACTTTGCTTGTTCAAGTTTCTTGCTCCACATATGCCGAGCCTCTGCCAGCAAAACTTCCGACGGTTGATGCGCTTGCTACAATTTGAATTTGCACCGGGCTGTGGTGGTAAGGTGTACGTTTAAGTCCAGTGCTGCAGTTCTAGAGCACTGGGTTGGATATCTGCGTCCGACCTCACCTGATGCTATCATGAATCAGTGATTGACTATAAGAGGTCCGTCGGGTGAACTGAATCGTAGATACGATCACAAATAACCTATCTTTTTCAAAGGCAGCGCCTTTTTCGTCATTTCGCTTTTGTCCGAGTCCGCGGTGTTATGCTAACTTTGTCGCTGTACCGTATTGGAAGCATAACTGCGAAATAGTACTCAGAGCTCTTGCAAACCGCACTCAGTCCAGAACTTACTCAAACAGACTTATCATAGCGATACATCGCACTGTGCATGAATCCAACAGCCTGAATTATTGCAATATCGGTGCCAAACACACCCTAACGTCGGGAGTGAGAAAGAGTACTGAAAACGATGAAACAAGCACTTTCCAATTGTCTTCCCTAGTATGAAAAATTTGTTTATCAGGATCTCTGGTATTCCTTGGCAACTTCAAGGTCTAGCATAGCGCTTTCGTGGAACACGCGGATAACGACTCGGATGCCGCGTAGGAACAATTATGCTTTGTAGATGCAAGCATGTCGTTCGTTGTCGATGCGCGACCCTAAGTTGCGAAGCAAGAGACAACATCAAACTTTCGTCAACATATCTATATCTGGTCTTGTCTTCAAGTCATCTCGGAAAGGTTTAGCCCCAAGGTTCATTCACGGACCACGGGTAGGCAATACGACAGTCTTTCTCGTCGCTCTTCACACGAAAACACCAAAAACAGCGTCAATAAATTGCATATCCAATCCGCCACTTAAGCACCACTCCGACCTGCAGCTTTGATCACGGCACCATTAGCCAACTGGGGTAATATCTTGTTTGGTGCTGACGAAGACGGCGCTGGCAAGAACCCCGCTCCGACTAACCACGCAAGGTACCTTCCCATGAGCTGTTCTGAAACAGTGAACGTGCACTGCTGCCCTTGGGAGCGTAACAACGCCATAGTGTTAGTGGCGTCAAGCTCCGGAGCTTTCGTACTCGTTGGTAAATCATCAAGGACGAAATGGAGGAGGGGGAAAAGGGCGTTATCTTGGACCTCCATGACGTGCTTGCTCCAGCTTGCGACGCCATATGAGATACTCGCATTGCTGTGTAGGGAACCCGTACTCGGCCAATGATGATAGGATGTTGTTGAATGTCGGAGGGGGTACAGCAGTGATGTGCAGCACGCTTTGCGCAGCGTTTGGCAGGGGCTCCACGGCAGCGAGGGCAGTGCAAGCGAGCAACGTGATCCACAGGTACCATGTTCACGGTGTTGTTGATATCTGGGACAAGGCCGAGCTGGACGCATCCCTTGACCATGCGCCAGATAAAGTCGTCAGGTGTTGGTCACTATGGGGCCCCGCAATCAATTTGTCAACATCTCATAGAAGAGGAGCTTCCATACCTGCAGTGTGCGAGTCGCCAACAATATAACCGGGCCGCACGATATGGCCCCGTAAGCCCCTCCTACCAGCTTCAAAGAGCAGCTTCTCCGACACCCATTTGCTCTGGCCATAACCGGACTTGAGACCCACTTTGGCACCTGTCCAGGTCATCATCTTCCGGAATACCTCTCCGCGAGTCTTGAGACTGTGCCAGAGAGTCAGACAAGCGCACATAGTGCTCGGTGTCGATCGCCGATGTGGATGAAACGAAAACAAGCAGCTTCTGCTTTTTCGTCGAGGCGAGTTCCACAGCAGTCAAGGTACCGATCACGTTCGGTGCACGAAGCCTCTCGTATGGGTACACCCAATGCACCTGCGCAACACATCGTTAGATATCACTGTATGCATACGAAAAGGTAGAGTAGCTCACCAGGGCACCATTGTGCAAGACGACGTCCGCCTCAGGCAGCGACTCGTGACCAGACTTCCTCGCCCATACCGAACAAATCAAGGCCAAGGTCTCCAATCACCACCTCGAGTCTACCCGAGGTGACCCATTGCTCATCCCAAACGCCTCGATCACTGGAGCCTTCTCTAAGACGCGCCACACCTTGTTCGACGCTGGGCGCACGTATGAGACAAATGACCTTCCGAACTCTATCAAGGCGCTGGAGGAGATCACGCAACACAAAAGCCCCGAGATAACCAGTAGAACCCGTCAAGAACACAGTCACAGCGCCCGATTTGAAGTCCTCAGATATCGGCGAGTACGAGGGTCGCAAGCGTTGAACGAGCGTCTCGTAGTCCTGTCCGTACAGAATAGCAGAATTCAATTTCACAGATGCCTTGACAGGCGTCGCAGGGCGCGTCTCGGCGTCCTCGTAAGCGATGCCAAAGTGCGGATCACGAAGCGCATCTAGCGCAGAAGCGAGGCCCGTGATAGTTGGCTGGTCGAAGATAAGCCCGAGTGGAGCTTCGACAACGAAGATTTTGCGGATCTCGAAAATGAGACGCGTAGCAAGGATGGAGTGACCGCCCAGATCAAAAAAGCTTTCGTCGAGGGGGATAGGCGTGGGCGCGTTCGGGAGAATACTAGCCCAGATGGTGCGCATAGTTTGTTCGGTGGGGCTCGCTGTGCGCCCGTTAACACCCTTTTTGGGTTCGGGGTGCACAGCGTGGGCTTGTGCCGTATCGGGGAAGGGAAGTGCGGGTTTGTCTATTTTGCCATTGGGGTTCAGGGGCATACGATGCAGCGGAACGAACACTGTAGAAGGAGAGTTAAGTAAAGGAGGCAGAGCAAGGTAATGATCAATCCTACATGATGGTATGCTGTAACTAGGCAGTTTCTTTTTGAGGTGCTCCCTGATATCCTTGATGAGCCGTCTATACTTTGGACTCTTGCCATCAACCTTCTCGTCATCCTCCGTGAGCTCGCTGGCAAAGCCATCCAGCTTCGAGCCCTGCAGAGGCACGAAGTAACTGACGAGGATCTTTTCCTCGTCCTTGTCTCTCCGCACGAGTGTAACGTTTTCCCGCACGAGCGGATGCTGGCTCATCAACGTATCGATCTCCCCAAGCTCAATCCTGAAACCACGGATCTTAACCTGGTCATCTGCACGACCTGTGCACTCAACGCGCCCATCAGGGAGATACCGACCAAGATCGCCCGAACGGTACATCCGATCACGGATGCCCTTCCAGTGACGCGACTCGGGCCCAGCAAGGCCCTGAGGTGGATGCAAAATTATGTCCCTCCAGGGTAAAGTGGAAGGAGAGAACCAATTGCTAACGAACTTCTCGGCAGTGGCTTCGGTATCGAGGTATCCCTCCGCTAAGCCTCCAGATCGCACATAAATCTCTCCGACCTCTCCCACTGCGCAAGGGACATTTCTGTCGCTGCGGTTGACGACAAGGAGCTGCACGTCAATCATACCCTCTCCAGCTGGCATGATGTCCTTCTGAGTGGCGAGGAAAGTCGCGTCTACGGATAAGGGTGGAATCGCGAAGTAAGATACAGCGCGCTGCGTCTCTGTTGTGCCGTACATGTTGATGATCTGCACATTAGGGGCGAGGGCTTGGAGGCGGAGGCAATCGCGCTTGGTTAAGACGTCACCGACGAAGAATGCGTTTTGTAGGGATGGGATCTGGCGCGTTGCTTGTGCGGACAGTAACTGACCCATGGCGGGGGTCAGGTGCGTGACTGTAACCTTGCTGTCGTCCATCCATTCTGCGAGACGGCCGGGTGTGCCAATGTCTTCTGCGGTGGGTACATGAAGCTCTGCACCCAAGAAGAGGGGCGTGAAAACTGTAACATTTACCCCATCAGCGGATGTATCTGCTCGAAAATATAGTACGTACTATCACGTTGGATGGGATCGTGGGCGATCCCGCTCAGCATTGTGAACTTGGAAGTTTCAGTGAGGAGGAAGCGGTTGCCCATCCAAGGGAAGAAATGTGTGAGACTGTAATGGCGTCCTCGAACGCCCTTGGGGATGCCAGTGCTTCCACTGGTGAAGGACAGCGTGCCGATGCTGTCGGGACCTAAAATAACATTAGGATCCGTTTCTGCGAGACGGACCTGGGCCTTCAAAACATCGATTCCGTCGTTCGCGCCTCCGAGTATTTGACTTGTGGGAGAAAATTCAAGCGCGGGTACCTCTACACGGATTTTGAGTTCCGTGGATAGGAATTCGCGCACAGAAGGCGCAATTTTGCCAGCACCCGAAAGGACAACAAGGCCACGAGGTTGAGCTACCCGAAGGTATATTATCTGCCGTGAAGGCGGATATGCAGGATCTGACTCGAGTTACAAATGAACTGAAAGAAACAGGAATATCATACCTATGACCGAGAATGTCGCACCGCTTTTAAGAACTGCCATAACAGCTACGACCAGCTCGACACTACGATGTGCGTAGATCATGACGACTTCTTCCCTCTTCACACCACCTGCTAGGAGGTGGTGCGCTAGGACGTTGGAGGCTCTCCGAATGTCTCCGTAAGTGAATGTTCGCCTCGTCTGCGGTTCGCTAGGAATCGATGCAGGGATACTTTGAATGATACACGATCTATCAGGCCAATTCTGTGCATTACGGGAAAAAACATCTGTGATGGCTCCCTTCCAGTCACACCAATGTAAATTCGCTGTTGGGTTGGGTAAGCGTTCGCGTTGAGCAGTCGTCAAGAGAGGGACAGAGCCGACCGCCGCAGTTGGATTAGTGGACACCTTCCTGAGAAGTACAGAGAGCTGATCGACGATAAACGATATGCGGGCGGACGTGAAAAGTAACGAGTTAAAGAGGATCCGAAGAGAAATGTGGGGAGCCAAGGAGGCGCGCGTAGTAGTAGGGGGGTCGGGTGACGAAGATGGTAAGATCAGACGTTAAGCTAGTTGATCGGATGAAGTTATCCCGTGGCTGATCTGTTTCATCAAAGAAACGGACACGGAAAAGGGGACGGGATGCTTCGACAGAGTCGTCTTTGTCCTTGTGTAAAGCCCGTACGATCGTCTCATAGGGCAGAAGATCTGCTTCGGCCTCGCGTTCGACATGCTGAACACGGCGCACGATAGTCCAGAATGAATCTGATGGCTCCACTGAAAGTCGAAGAATCAAAGGAGAGCTTGCAGTGGCAGAGGAGGAGCCTATCACGAAGTCTGTATCTCCAGTGTACCTGTGTAAGAGGACAAGAAAAGCAGAGAGGAGTAGATGGAAGGCCGACGGTCTAGTTCCAGAAGTTTTATTCTCGTCCTCTTCACTATCTTCGCTCTCTGCATGAAGAGCGAGCTTCAAAAGACTGAGTGATGTCTGCTCTGAAAGATCTGCTAGATGAGCGGCTTCGATGAGTTTATTAGCACCAGTCGATCGCGGATAATCTGTGGGCAGAGACATCACAGGTAGATTTTGCAACCTCGCAAGCACTCTGAAGAGTGCATCTGAGGCCATTTTGACGGTTGAGGATAGGAGATCGTGAAAGTAGTCGAGAGAACAAAAATATACACCATAAAACTTTGTGACTCATTAGTCTTGAACGCGCGAGACTAGCTATAGATAGCTATTTGGATTACGGCCGAAAGTCACTTGAGTTCTATTACTTCCGAGTCCCACTGCACAGAGTCACATCATAAACTTGCAACTTGTTTCCGCACTATAGAAGTTGATATATCAATTTTACTTGGAACAACGTCGATGGATATTATATGCAACCCGCGGTAGCGCAAACTCGCAAGAAACATGTCTGCGATTAATACCTTCGGTAAAACTTTCGTGCAAGCAAAATCCCACATCTAGCCGCCGCGGAGTCAGCGGCAGAACTCTGTGCCAGGCTAACTCTGCTCAACATTTGACATTCAACTGCTTTCTGGGAAGGACGCCATCATACACACTCACAGGATTATGGGGTGCACCAGCAGCCACCAGCGCCTCCCCAGGGCATCTGGGTCGAGGTTGGCAGCGTCAATTTGGCCCCTTCCTGAAGACCTCCAAGATTCGAACTTCCTCCACATTGAAGCCTCAGATTCTTCTAAAACTATCACTGTAGTGGATGGGACCTTGTCGCTTCCTATGTCAAGTTTGGCAAAGCCAATTCGGCCCCTTCCTGAAGACCATGAAAATTTGGAGCTGCAAGTTGAAGTCCTGGATCCTTCTAAAACCATAACCACGCCGGTTGGGATATTTTCGCTTCCTGCAGAGTTGATATGTCACATTCTGCTTCTCCTTCATTTCAAAGACCTTTCTTGTTGTGTATTAGTCCGTTCTTCCACGTGGCTTTATGATTTCTATGGGCTGACTTTTGAATTACGCTAGGCCTGCAAAACCTTCTGGCATGTGGCCCAGAGTTTCGCCGACATTCAATGCTTATTCGAGCTTTATGCTCAGGGCTTCACGGAGACTCCTACCTTGGACTGGGTCGACGTTTCTAGCAAGATGTATTCACTCAAGAGATTGGCATCCATGTGGCGGTCTGACTTCCATTTGAACACCACTTTTGAAGAAACAGTGGCTATCGGTATCATCAACCACTCTCCTGACATGCAATCCGTGAAGTGTGGACTTTGGTGGATGTACGCTAACTGTAGACTCTTCATTCGGGAGTGTGACACAAACACCAAACCAACCCAGATGTGGCCGGAGCAGAGATATGCCTTGCCTTCTACGAGGTCAGTTGTCATTGACCCTCTACAGGACCTTGCGGTCGCAGCGTCGTTCGAAACCCGTCATAATCAAGATCGTCACATCTTTTCGGTGGCATTTCGGTTGGCTTCATCACAACGTCCACACCCAGATTCTGCATGCACTTCCTTGAAATGCGAGCATCCTTGTTACATGGTACCTGAGAATCTTTTTCACTTCGTGGATCAGCCTGCGATCTGTGGGGATCGTGTAGTGGTACTCTATTATACGAGTGACATCAGTTCACTGGGGATATGGGTGTCGAACATCTTCATACAAGTAGTAGATTGGAGGAAAGGACGTGCGAAGGGTGTAAGTTCACTCTATTCTTGAAGCTCTGCCACTAAGCATAAGCAGTATCCTTTATACGAACTAGGTGGGACAGATGCGAGTTTCCATCTACTAGACGAACAGAGGATCATTGTCATCGGTTCGAAAGGCCGTATGGCCTTGTACACACTTGCAGAACACGATGGTTTGCCTCAGCTCCGAATTGCGTATCTCCTTCCGAATGTGCGGCTGGACCTTAGTTCCTATTTCGATCCAGGACAAATCAGAGTCAGACCGATCTATGTGATCCATGCCTCCCCGTCGTTCCACGGTGCGGTGGCTCGCCCAAACCTTATGCCCGACTATGTGACCTCTACGGAGTCACAAATCATTGTTTTGGAGGTCCTGTCGCGCTCATGGCAGGTGATTTTAGTCGTCGATATGGCCATTTTCTCAGCGAAGGCCACACACTCAGAGATACCCGTCGAGATTCCCTGGTCAGAGTGGGGACCCAAGTACGCACGCTGCTTTCCGCATCATCCAAGCCACCGAATCAGCGTGTTCGGCAGCAAAATGGCATATGCTCTGCCTCAGGATCATACTCCTGAACCTGGACAAAGACTGGATGAACTCCCTGCCGAGGGTTCCTTCTACGTGCATATCTGGGACTTCAATAGAACTATTGCTCACTCGGAACGTTCGGACAATGTCTACGACCACAATTCACCAGGTCGTCTCATCCGCAGGCCCGGTCGGCTGGCTCAGACGTGCTTCAACAAAGACGATGGAGACATTATCACGAATCATCCTTACACTACTGCTGTCTGCCCCACGGGTTTCTCGACGCGTTACTTTGACCGTTTTTTTTTGGAACAGGATCGACTTACTTTGATATGGGTAGGCGTGCTTGGTATGGATACAGGAATGTTTTAACGTGATTAAATTATAGGCTCGCCCTGGCTCGGTTCAAATTCAGGTCGTTTCTCCCTCACCGATGATACCAACTTCTGAGGTTGGCCCGGACGTTGAACAGGGTCGAGTAACTCACAGCCCAGAGCTGCAGCAGACAAAGCAAATGCAATCTCTCTACAAGACGAACATCCTTGGACTATTCCACCTCCTGAGTAAATTGCGGAGACGACCGAGACACCCCGAATAGACAGTCCCTACTCTGGAACTTGGATGCCCTATTTATTTATTTAAATGAGTAGACGAGGATCGGCGCCAATGTTATTTGAACCAACTATCGAGTATACCCTCTTCCTTTTTTGTCTTTTAACTCACGCTCGCTACATTGCTGCACCCCATTGTCAAAATTTGTCATGCATAGTAATTACCTACCCTCGTTTTGTCTCTTTCCTCTGGTCTCTTACATATGTGATTCGCCACTCTCGTTCAAATTTTCCTTCAGTCCCTTGCATGGCCTGGGATACACTACGATACCACACTCGTTACTGAAGTTATATTGAAGACTCACTGAGTCCGTTCTGTTTAGTGTCTTTCAAAGGGCATTCATTTGCGAGATTCAAAACCGTCTTTTGCGCAGCCTCTAACAACTGATGGTTCTGAACCTTCCTTCTTTTTATGGCTTGCACAACCCACGCACGCATGAGTGCCGTCTCCTGGGCGATGTGAGACCCGCGTCTGGGAGAGTGGTCTTGAACATATATTCGGACAGATCGATTACAGCCGAAATCGAGTCTCGATACTAGATTTATGTAGATATGTATGTGAAGCATCAAGTGTTGCCACGAACTCACGCGTGTTTCGTTCTCCAGCGTTCGCGCATTGATATTGGTCTCGGTCCTTCCAACCCTGAACTAAAGCCACCCCGACCGATCCAGAGCTCCTCGTTCATAACGGACTGCGACCACATGTGTGGAAAGGCTGAGCGCTGATGCCTTATGGTAGGGCTCGGCGTACATGTTGCTTGGTGTGCCCATGTGGATCTCCCAAACCCAAACCTCCGCCGGCGGAGTCAATGGTCGAGCAACGTCCTTTCTTGCGAAGGTATATGTCATCTTCGTTATATTGTACCATCAACGCTGAATCTGATGTTTACTAGATGAGGCCCGTTGTTTAGTGCAGTATCAGGTCCACTGCCGTAGCAGTCCATATTGCAAAGCAGGGCCCTTCGCACGTCATCTTGACATATGCAAAGGCCAACGTCGAAATACCGTCTCCAAAACCATCAACAGAATGTTCTAATCGCCCATGTTGGAAGGCGCAGAATGATACACGTGAGTTCTGTGCTGGTTGTAAGTCCTTGCAGATAAGATTCTGGTCAGGTTATGACATACATCAGCATAACGTGGGGTTTGAACCGTTTGATGAGTGCGCTCGCACCCCATAATCGGCTGCCTAGACTACACCAAATTAATTCCCCTTCATGCCCTCCTCCAGCATCCCCTTCTCACTCCCTCACTACCCCACCTCCCTCAAAACCTACATAGAAACACTCGACCTCGCCCAACTTCCCTACCGCGCCAAGGATAGTTCGAATCCATTTGTTGGGAGGAAGATATTAGACATGTTCCGGGTGGCGTCAATGGAGTTCGTGGAGGGTCTGAGTACTTGAGTGTACGAAGGGTATGTAGCGGGAGGCTGGGTTGTTCGTAAGGAAGTGGTTGCCAGGTGATTGGAGTGGTGCGAAGTTATGAGGGTAGTATTAAGTTTTCTTTTGGGGAGGAGGGATCGAAGAGAGCTTTAGCTATTGCATTGAAGCATGTCAAATTATGTATGACATGACACGAGATGCAGATCTATATTGAAAGTGTATATAGGCAAGAACCAAAATCTATCCATAAAATGCTAATTGAGAGGTGCTGCATGGTGCAACCGTGTTGTTCATCACGTGAACACAATTAAATGGTGTCAATATTGTGTCCACCCCGTCGTGAAAGTCATGATGCGGGATGCCACCACTCTGGGGCCGAAGTCTAGAGCTAGTCTGGTATGTGCTGGCCTGGGAGATATAAGGTGATACGCAGGGTTCTGTGTGGGTTGTAAGAAAGCTAATATGAGCAGGTACAGGCGACGGGAGTCACGGGACGTGCCATCATGGGTCCAGACCGTCTAGTACCCAGTTCATCGACTTCGGACTAAATGTTCCGAGCTGGGATCCAACCTGGCCCTGGAGTGCACACGCTAAGTACTTGAAATCCTCCTGACTTGCTTCAGTGCAATTCTGATTGAAAGAGTTACACTGGCTATGTGTGGCAGGAATCAAGATTGCATATCTGAGTCTGACTTCACAAGTTGCAGATAAGTGAACAAGTTCCGCCCGATACTTGCTTATGTCATGCGACGTTTGTGGGTTGAAGTTTCCTGTCAGACCATGACATGTCTGACACCGTGACCATGGAAAGCGTAACGTGGGGTCTGATGAGCGCGCTTGAGAGCTACTTTACCTGCCTTCTTCCCATCCATCCCGCTCAACACTTCCGAGTCCCACGATGGATTTCGGTAAGTTTGACTTCCGCTCACCACACCATGACTAGTACTCGCGCTAACCTCGTCTCTAAGCACATCCCTCATCTTCTAGCGGCTCATGGAACCGTCTATGCAATGTCGTAGAATATAGCGGCATTTTCGATTCTGAATATCGCCAGCCCCACTCACGGTGCATGGAAAACACACGCGTCGCCCTTCGGAAGAGGATCATACAAGTCCTTAACCAACGTGATCGGACGAATATCTGGCTCAACGGTCTCGCCGGTGTTGGAAAAACGTCTATCGCATTCACCATAGCTGAGGAGATGAAAGCGGCCAAGAGGCTTGCTGCCACTTTCTTCTTTTCGCACAAACATGCACACAAAGACAAAGCTGCCGCCATTATTCCTACCATTGCATACCAGCTGGCACTAGCTTTTCCGCGCATTCGAGAGGATATTGTGAAAGCGATCGAGAACGACGACAACCTCCTATCACCTGGAAAATCTCACGCAGATCAGATACGAGAGCTCGTCATAAAGCCACTGCAGACGTTGAGATTCCGACAAGACCTTTATGTCATCATCATCGATGCTCTTGATGAATGTTTCTCCTCTGAAGAGGCGGCAAGACTTGTAACGCTGTTGACAGACGCCCTCGCGAGCCCAGACCTGCCATCCATCCACGTCATATTCACAAGCCGCCCTGAGGAGCATATCCGCGCTGCCATGCCCTCCGGTGTCCACGAGATTTTCCTTACCACTCGTGATGAAGACACCATACAGGATGTTCGTTTCTTTCTGCGAGCATCACTGGACAACATACGGACAATCCGTCCTGCCGTTTTCGGACAGCCTCCCTTCCCCTGGCCATCGAGGGATGAATTCGAGACGTTGGTCTTTAAGGCGGGCGGTCTGTTTGTTTACGCTGCCATGGCCATGAATTTCATATCCGCCACTGGCCATCATCCACAGGAGAGGCTAGAACTCTTACTACGCGAGAGGCCGACTGTTGGTGCTGACATTGATCAGCTTTATCGGCAGATCATTGCAACCTCGGAAGATCCACTTTCGCACTGCCGGATGTTAGCGTCTATCATCCATTTAGCCAGACCGTTGCCACTTGTGGAACTTCAAGAACTCTTTTACGCGGATAGAAGAAACCTGGCCATGATGCTTGAAGCATTTTCACCAGTGATCTTGAATGATGGGGTTGGAAATGTTGAAATCTACCACGCTTCGCTCCGGGACTTTATGGACAGCCCTCGACGCTCGAAGCAATATCACATAGATGGTGCACACGCTCATGAGCACCTTGCATGCTGCTGCCTTGATTTCATCACACGCCAGGACGCCAATCGGACTCGTGCCATTCTAGTGTCGTCATTGTCTTATCCATATCCATATCAGATGTGGCATATCCATCTTTATCTTGCCTATCCTAGCAGAAAAATTCGAAATCTACTGGCCCTATTTACAGGCACAACACTACGAGATTGGGTACAGACCTCGGACCCTAAGAACCCCTACCTTGCACGCACTGTCCAGGGCGCAAGAAGGACTTGTTTGTCATTGGTGATTGTTCTGAACATGTTGAATTATTATGGGCATGTACTAACCATAAATTTCTCAGAATTGGATCAGGGGTCCGTCGGACATTGTGGTTGCATGGCGTCTTCATAAAAGTTATAAAAAGTTTATAAAACTAGCAATGGCAAGAAACCGACGCTAGCCTATACAACACGGAGCCCAACTAGCTAGAATTCCATAAATGCAGCCATTTGGATCGATTCTCGCTACCGGACACTACTACTAGCCAGTGTAAATAAATTGAACTCCCTGGTCCTCAAAAACAAGAAGTGACTTGCTAGCAGCTACGCCAGTACCATGCTCGTGTCAATGTATGTCCGTGGAAAACACTGCCCTTGGAACCCAAGCACTGGCTTCTACTTGAACAGCAGTCTATATGCTGAGTACAAGTACGTTTTGGTTGCTCGTGCACCCCATCGTCCTTCATAGACTCGGATGGGCTGGTCACCGGTTTAGCCTAAGGTGGAAGATTCAGAGATGGGTACAGTGGATGCCTGCTACGGTGCAGTCATCCTCTAAGGGGAAGGGACGCGTGTGTCAGGCTACATCTGCTACATCTGTCTGCGTCGACGGTCTGCAACAGTCTCTTATCGAAAAGTCACAACATTCCAGGAAATTATCTGATTTAATTTGAAGGGTTGGTTTCCAACGGCGTTGGTCCTCTTCGTCCACTTACTTGAGGAAATAGGTTTGGCTTGTCAATTATCCATTACCATCACCTCGTCCGTGAAGAGGGACTGTCTATCATATTCAGGGCGTCTCGACCATTTCCGCAGTCTAGTCAGTAGGATAGGATGTATAGCGAGTTAAAGCGGCACAATTATGATTTGAGAAGAATCTCGGCGAGACTTCTGACTCGGAGTCAACTTGTGGGTTCAAATTTCAAAAGTTCGAGGATTCTCTTGAGTGACTGAGGGATCAAATTTGCTCTGCTAAATTTGATTCGGGTGTCGGTCGGCGCAACGGCTGCTGGCGCACCCCAAAGTGCACAGTAGGAAATATGACGTATTGCACGAGTCTGACCAGGTGTGACCACATTAAATTTGAGGGTGTACTTCAAGCTTGGTATATAGTTACGTTGTCGGTACCAGCATGCTTTGTTTGTGTGTAAGCTTGCAGATTCACACAGTCTCAAAAGCCTATTCAGTTCCTCCCGAATTCGTACTAGTGTGGCTTGGACGCGTCAAACTTCGCGGACGTCAAAACCCCATATTCTCTCCTCCAACTACTACGATCTCTCCTACATTCACGCCTCTGGAGCTGAAACGAAGAAACCGCTACGCCAAACCCTCCTATTTTTGCATTGGAGAGGATGAAGTGGGCCACGGAAATGGTCATGATATGCACCACCCAGTAACTATGATTTGCGACTGAGGACTCTGGGCCTGTATGTGTTGAAGACGCGCGTAGTAACTGTATTATGAACACCCTCTTAACAGCTTCGTGAGTCGCACTGCTTCCCCTGTTTTCGTATGCAAAGATTCACATTGTCACTCATTTATCGCGAGTTCAATGCAGACCTATGGAACTTAATTATAGTCCTTAGACTCTTCCTTTCGAGTCTCCAGAACCGACTATCGAGGACCTCCTTGATGAGGATGCCCGTCGTGACACCCTGGTACAGCTGCGTCCAATATCACCCTCAATTCAGTGTGATCTATCGTGCCGGAACCTCTCTAGGCTACTCTTCGCATTGCCTCAATTTCATCCCCCGTTCGCTTGCTCTTGTCCAGTGCTTTTCCCCCCTCCAGCTGTTTTTCATGCCTCACAGCTCACATTATTGTTACGCGCATCGTTTTTATGGTGTCACCGCGTTCGTCGTGGATATCACGATTACATGTTGTACTGTGCTACAATGAACACAATGAACTACATGTTTCGTCCTACTTACCCTGAGTTCTCAGATTTTTAGCCCATTTTGAATGTACTCAGTGCAATGGGAACTTGAACAACCACAGATAACTGCAACACCGATGTCCTTCTGTTCAGCTTCTCAGTCCGCTATAAGGAAGCACCGATGCTATACACTTCAACATAATCCACGGCACACGCGTGCAAGCTAACCTCATCTCTGTTAGAATCGGTATGCATTTTCTGTTGTTACGTGCTCTCACAAACCAGCACCAACATCATGCATCATGAGTTACGCAGTCAGCTCTTCAATAAGTCGTTCACTCATGTCAGAGAACGCCACGTCCTATCAAACGTCCTGCGCCGCAAAGCAAGCTCCCTAACATATCTACTCACAGCAGAAGAAGCGATCAGCCCCCTCATGCGCTACATCAACAGCACAGGACGATTCAAACCTACCTTCGGTGAGATTCCGAACACGTAGCATGTACATGACTTAAGCACAATCAATGAAACAGGTACCACACGCACATATGCATCACCACAACAACACTCCGAGACCGAAGGGAAAATCAGCGCGGGACGCTTGATTAATGTAGAAGGAAAGAAGAGAAGCAGAAGGAAACCTCATCGGCCCAGATCAAAACATGCGACAATGACAAGACAATCGCACGCACCAAGCCGACAAGATCCCAAAACGACTCCTAACATCCAAATCATCATATTCCCTTTGTACGAAATCGGCGTCGGCCTTTGCCCGACATCATGCCGACGGAGTATGCGTACACCCACTCATCAAAAGATAGACTTCCCGTATATAAGATAGTGTAGCGGGAGTAAGCCCCCCGTGTATAGGGCTATGTCCGACATAGGGTCTTCGACCCCAAAGGACAATAAATGAGAAATAAAATAAAATAAAATAAAAGTCGTTCACTCGGACAACCCTCTCCCACTGGATGCTGGGTACAGACTAATTAGAACAAAGTACGATCCACTGTACTGATCACATGCAGGTTATATATCTGAAATCTCCACAAAGGATCAATCATTAGAACACGATCATTGCAGTACTAAGGTCTGCAAGTGTTGATTTTAATGGGTGTGAGGAACGGAAAGGGCTTTGACTCACTCGTCTTGGCACTTTTGCCAGTGTTGTCCATGTGCCATGCAGCTCAAATCAAGCTCAGGACCTCCTCTGGGTATCACTAATGTAGTTGCAGGGTTATAAAATAGGCGTCGAGAAGCGGGTGGTACCCAGAATAAGAGCCGATGTTTGGGTCCCACTACCCATCCACTGTTACTATTCAGGAAAAAAGGGGTCGAACTGTGGCTGTCATGGGATGCTTCCTCCGTTAACTCAGAGGTATTGCGCAGTGCATGGCTGGAGTTGGACGAGAAGGAAATGAAGTGATTGTTCCAAGTGTTCGATTTCATGGTGGTGGTGGTCTCGATTGTGCGGTGTTCATCTGAGAATGTTGAAAGATCTGTCACTGCATCCCACAGTCGAACTGTCTTATCCCCCGAACCAGTGGCGATGCGAGTGCCGTCCGGCGAGAACGAGACCGATGTGACATAATCAGTGTGCCCCCGCAAGGGCTCACCGACTGGCTGTCCCGTCCCTGCATCCCACAGCCGAACTGTCTCATCCCAAGAACCAGTGACGATGCGAGTGCCGTCCGGCGAGAACGAGACCGATGTGACATAATGAGTGTGCCCCCGCAAGGGCTCACCGACTGGCTGTCCCGTCCCTGCATCCCACAGCCGAACTGTCCTATCCTTCGAACCAGTGACGATGCGAGTGCTATCTGGCGAGAACGAGACTGAGGTAACGGAATCAGTGTGCCCCCGCAAGGGCTCACCAACTGGCTGCCCTGTTGCAGCATTCCACAGTCGAACACTCTTATCCCAAGAACCAGTGACGATGAGAGTGCCATCCGGCGAGAACGAGGCCGAGTTGACATAATGAGTGTGCCCACGCAAGGGCTCACCGACTGGCTCCCCCGTTCCAGCATCCCACAGCCGAATAGTGCAATCCATTGAACCACTGATGATGCGAGTGGCGTCTGGCGAGAATGAGACCGATGTAACTGGATGAGTGTGCCCCCGCAAGGGCTCACCGAGTGCCTGTCCTGTCCCTGCATCCCACAGCCGAATAGTGCAATCCATTGAACCACTGACGATGCGAGTGGCGTCTGGCGAGAATGAGACCGATGTAGCTGGATGAGTGTGCCCCCGCAAGGGCTCACCAACTAGCTGCCCTGTTGCAGCATCCCACAGCCGAACAGTGTTATCCCTTGAACCACTGACGATGCGAGTGGCGTCTGGCGAGAACAAGACCGAGTTAACTGAACCAGTGTGCCCCTGCAAGGGCTCACCTGTCACTGCATCCCACAGCCGAACAGTCTTATCCCAGGAACCAGTGACGGTGCGAGTGCCGTCCGGCGAAAAGGAGACCGAGGTAACTGAAGAAGTGTGCCCCAACCAGGGCTGACCGAGTGGCTCCCCCGTCCCTGCATCCCACAGCCGAACAGTCCCATCCCAAGAACTAGTGACGATGCGAGTGCTATCTGGCGAGAACGAGACTGAGGTAACGGAATCAGTGTGCCCCCGCAAGGGCTCACCAACTGGCTGCCCTGTTGCAGCATTCCACAGTCGAACACTCTTATCCCAAGAACCAGTGACGATGAGAGTGCCATCCGGCGAGAACGAGGCCGAGTTGACATAATGAGTGTGCCCACGCAAGGGCTCACCGACTGGCTCCCCCGTTCCAGCATCCCACAGCCGAACAGTCTTATCATCCGAACCAGTGACGATGCGAGTGCCGTCTGGCGAGAATGAGACCGATGTAACTGAATCAGTGTGCCCCCGCAAGGGCTCACCAACTGGCTGCCCTGTCACAGCATCCCATAGTCGAACACTCTCATCCCAAGAACCAGTGACGATGCGAGTGCCGTCCGGTGAGAACGAGACCGAGTTGACATAATGAGTGTGCCCCCGCAAGGGCTCACCGAGTGGCTGCCCTGTCCGTGCATCCCACAGCCGAACAGTGTTATCCCTTGAACCACTGACGATGCGAGCGGCGTCTGGCGAGAATGAGACCGATGTAACTGAATCAGTGTGGCCCCGCAAGGGCTCACCAACTGGCTGCCTTGTCGCAGCATCCCACAGCCGAACGGTCTTATCCACCGAACCAGTGGCAATGCGAGTGCCATCCGGCGAGAACGAGACCGAGTTAACTGAATCAGTGTGCCCACTGAGCACGATCTGAACACCCGGCCAGTTTATATCACGTCCAGATGTCACACGAAGGATATTCGGAAACCGTGCAGAATGTATTCCAGGTAGCAGAAAGTTGACAGGCGAGAATGGGAGTGCTGATACATACAGATGTGGTGTGCTGTGTAAAATGATGCCACCGAAAACTTGAATGAACCTTTGTACGTCCATTGCGGTCGACGAGACATCTTCGAATTCAGAATGGCCCTGTAGTTGCGCATGAGCACTTTATCTGGCACTCAGTAGCAATGTACTCACCTTTAGCCACTGGGGAACGAGCGCAAGGGCAGCGACTGCACCGCTGAGCGCATTGATCAGGGCGAGCAACTCGAGCCAGAAAAACAGCCGCTCGTGGTCAAACAACAATTTCACTTCTTTCGCGAGCTCCTTGTTGAAGACTGTGGTTCGTACATGCGACGTCCAAAATCGAGATGAATATGACAAATGTGGGGAGATGCATTTTTGGACTCGTTCTTGTAGTCCGGATCTTCGCTATTAGGCAGATACGAAGACTTTAAATCACAGATATTGAATCGAAGACCGTGTTCCATCACTCGAAGTGACGCGAATGCAAGGTCGGATTGCGCCTGTGACAGGTCAATGAAAAACTCTCCACTGGATGATTTGTCCGTCAAGAAGTCGCGGAAGGAAAAGTGAAGGGGTCGGATTGGGGAACCTGGGTTTGTGGTGCCGCTGAGGAGGGAGCCCATGCCTTTTATAACGAGCTCCACGTTGAAATTGTTCTCTCGTGTTGGAAAATGGCGCCTCATGGCATTCAGGGAAGCCAAAGGAAGGGGTTCAGCTGTGCCTAGTATTTGTCCCATCACTGAGCGGAATCTCGCTAGTGCCGTCGAACGCGATTTCTGAGAATGCGGGAGATGGGTAGATGTATCCTTGGGTATGATATCTGCTAAAATGAAGCAATACATGTCATGCAACAGCCCGACTCTTTCAGCAGGATTGGGTGACACCACAGCATGGTAGCAATCAATTGGAGATAGCCTCGCATTGGACGTATTGATGTATTCGCATGCGAGACGTGCCCACTCGAAAAGTCCATCAGCTTTCTCAGCAAGGACTGTGAACTCTCTGTCCTGAAAATTCAGTCCTTCCAACTCCTCGGATACGTAAGCACGGATGTCGCGCTCTGCGGCTGTTGTTGGAATATCATCCATTGACATCTGTCGAATATGTTGAACACCACGAAACTCGTCTTTGATATCACCAAGTGGGCGAGAGGGTAACGATGAAGCGGAGGTTGACTGGGAGGTCTGTGATTTTGGGAACAGCGGGATTTTGATGTTTGCCAGCTAGAATACGGAGGAGGTCTCTTCGTGTCTCTACTCCACCGCTCTCGTCCAGTGCATCGATCATGATCACGATGGGCCCTGCAGTTGACCCAGACGACTTCTTCAGTGGTTCGATAAGAAGCTTCTCCCATTGCTGGGTGATATCCGCTGTATTCTTAAGCGAATTCACGGTCTGAACTGCATCTGCTAATGCCCGCCTCATCTCCGGATCACGGTCAGCCAGGTCGAGCGCGATCGTGGAAAGATCTTTTCGTGGCGACGATCTGCTTCTCGCTGGCGGTCAAAAGAGTAACACGAACCAAGCCCTCCCACGTCGTTGAACCACTTAGCAATGGTGTGGGCGATGGCCGATTTGCCCTTGCCTGCAGGGCCAGATAGCCACAGCACGCGTGGAACGTTGTCCCCGGTGCTGTTGACCCATTCCGTAATCTGGGAAAGGATTTCTGTGCGCGTCCCTTGGAGGCATTGTTTCCTGGTATCTAGTCCCGCGCCCGCTGCATAAGTCATGCCACTGAGATCTAGTATTTCTCCTGAAATGGTATGAATATGTGTCAAGTCACAAGGACGTTCGAGCACTTACGACGGTGGACGTGTATGGCCACGTCGCGAGTGACTTGGTCCCGGAAGTTTTGCATAAGCATATCCAACACGTTACTGTACTGTTGGATCGTATCGCTCGTTTCCGAGACGGCGTTCTTTCCGAGTCTCTCCCCTATGATAACGGTAGAAGCTCGAGACAATGCAAAACGCAGCAGCTTGTTATGACTCACAAAAATTCTTGGTGTCCGAATAATTTTTGATGAACTGAGCACATTCAAGGGTCTGCTGAGAGATCTGTCCAAGGATAACGCGCATTGTCGAGATTTGGCCAAGCGTCTCATCTTGTGCCATAAACATGTAAACTTGACGCAACTTTTCAAGAAGTTTGAGTACCGCTGCGTCGCGATCCGCTTGAGCTAGAATAATCTGCAGTGGTTGCTGAGCGGTGGAAGATAGGAAGAAAGAATAAGAAAACATACTTTGGCTGCACAAGACAACGCGCCCAGTGCCATTTTTGCATATGGATGTACCTGTGGAGCTAGATTAGTTCGGTTTCGATCGAGAGGAGGGTCCATACATCTGCGATCTTCCCAATAACATCGTCGAATATCCTGAGAGGTTCGAGATATGTGTCCTGGAAACCGTCAGCGGCATCGAGATCCGCTTGTGCGTCTTGGCCAATAGACGCCACGGTTATTGCAGGTCCCGACAGTGGATGCATGCGTTGTACAGCCTGTTGTGCATCCCGAAGTGCCGATTGGGTATCAGCCTCCCATTCCACATCAGACGGAGCAGCCTGAACCTGCGCGACCACCAAAATTTAGAGAGAGCACAGAGACTGAAGGATAAGTTTGAGGACCTACCTCGAGGATATTCGGGGTCGATGAAGCATGTTGATGAAGCACATTCGGGGGAGCAGGGCTATGGCTGCGGGAATCTTTCGAGCGCTTATTACAATCTTAGTCGTATTCTAGGACACTCATTGTGCATGCTCGTGGTCTCACCGATACTCTTAAGTTGCTCGCACCGTCCCTAACCTTCTCCAGAAACCGACCGACTCTGCCGCGGTGTCGGTGCTAGACGAAGGATGTGTCCATGTCAGTGTTTGGAGTGGAGTGAACTAATTAATCCTCATAAGCCACGTACCAAGCTTCCACGATCTGTTGCTTCACTAGATATGCGGGTTTCTCGAGCGGAATTCCTCGATGAGTGGCCTTTCTTCATTGTGAATAGCAGTTGACGATCAGAATCGGTCAGAATCAGTGTGTAGCGAGATAGTAAAATGATGAAAGGTCCCACATCATTTATATAAGATAACAGACTATTATTAGTGCAAGCCTCGAGGCAATATTTGTTGCACTGCTGACTGCAAGCGCTAAGTAACACTGATTAGAAGAATTGAATGAAGAAAGAATCTAAATGTCCAACAATCGTCTATCAACTTTCACTTTCGTGCTCCAAGGGTTCTGATCGGTATCGAAGGACCAAGATCGATCCTATGCAAAGCAGAACATCTCATTGGTCAGGCCCTGACTGTTATCCAAGGTAGTTGGTTGCTGTTTGGATAAACCGAATGCAAGTCAAGGCAACGTGCGTGTCATTAACTTCGTAGCACCACATAAAGAAAAAGAAAAAACCTTGCACTATGCATGTCGGTCATCAGCGGAATACAAGGGAATATGCACAGAGATAAAACTCTGAAACATCCAGAAGCCTCGAAGGTTCCCTAAGAACGCCTGCGGAAGAAGAGCGATCCCGATTGCAATAAACCGAATAATGTAAGCTGCGGAGCATCATGCATCAATGATTAACGCTCACGATAAGAAACCCCATAATATCATGGCGTATACCTAATCAATAACGGGAACAGGTTACTAGTGAAAATGGGCATCACTTCAAAATACTCCTTCTACGCCTCGCTAGACGATAGGTGCAGAGACGTAGTCCCCGATAGACGGTTGAAGCATTGACGTCATCCTAGTAGTTTTATCTTCACGAATGCGTTTCCAAATTCGAAATAACCCAGCGTTTTCATACTAGATTAAGGCGGATAACGATTCGCACAGATCAAGAATCGGCTTTAGAAGCGCAGATTTAAAACCGGCGGAATAAAACCAGTCCATGGCCCATGGCTTCAACCGCAAGCTCTGCTCGAGGGAGGATGAGAGTGCTCGATAACTCGCTATGTGTACGAAGCTGTGTGCCGAGCGCGCATAGGTCTGAAAGAGGGGTCTTGTAGCACTGAAAGAGGAACTCGGAGAATAACCGAGCGATGAGCATGCCTTTCCCATCATGCTGAATGAATATGATATCAATTGAGCATCGCTGAGTTTAATCCGTACGAACCTCGATGCAAGCCATATAAACATCTTGAAGATTCCTTGCGCACCGCATCTCAACAACCTCGGACAGACAGCATTGAAAGTGCCGACAAGCAGTGGTCTTGGACAATGACCGCAAGACCGTGCGACCCATAGATTTGTTAGCGCCATGCTTGGCCACTATCAGGAACCAATTGCTCATAGAGAGAAGCCAATAGGGGCGGGCATGGGATCAGTCCCTTCCTCAATGAAGGACCGACTCGGATGTATTGACTAGCGGAATGCGGCAATGAAAATATCCAGGGCGCTGTGACAGCCAGAGTTCCAAGTCGTTCCACCACGATTCCAAAGGCAATGCTGACGGGGAATAGTCACAGATTTGAGGAAACGTGCGCACTTGGTGTGCACTGAATGAAACATGCATGACATGATTGAAACGCTGCGCTCTCACTACGGGGTCCGCAATATTTAAGACAGGTTTGAATGTCGTGCGAAATGTTAAGATAATACTTAATATTTAGGTTGTCGTCTAGGCGCATGTAAATTTCAAGTGTTAAAGAGATCTTGCACGACAATAGAAATATAAAGTATCAGCGAACATTTTGTTACTGTCTGAACGTCAATGATAATAAGAAATATAAATATATTCCAGGACCTAGAATAGGGACTGGTTTGTCAATTTTAATTCTCTGTCTGCTCGATCATCCCGGTCGTGGCGGCCCGGTCTTAGTCATCCAAAAAAAAAACCAAACACCTGTCAATTTCACCTATACTTCCCATATTACCTTGTTAGTAAAGAGGACAGGTGGGCCTTATATGTCCCCTTTACTTAGATAAGATCTCGTTCATACAGAGCACTGCCGGTGCACACCAGCCAAAACCAGGACTTTACTGTTAGGCATGTTTACTGTTCTCACACACTTTATTTGTTTAATGTTTGTTCTATGCTAATCAACATTCCTGCGCTCTTCTCTCACCTGTCCTCACTGGACACAACAGCGAGCTCAACAGCAGTCATCACCTCTCTTTCTGTTTCATGTCTGCATTGCTCATTGCACACCCCTCAGCCCACTACAATGCTATGACTACCCTCTGCCCTGCACCAACCTGAAACACTCTACTGATGTTACATCGCTGTGCCGACTCAAGGTCTTAGTTAGATCTCGGCCGATGTGAGCTCCGGATCCACGACGGACCTGGGGTTCCTGATGCTCGTCTGCCAGTGCGCAGGGTTCTGGTGTTAAGCTCGAGGATTGTCTGCAGCAAAATCAACTTATGCTGTCACGGTGTCTTACTAGGATGTGAAAGGCAATAAAAACACCAAATTTCACTTATCCTCCACGGTCAATGGTTCAGACAAATACCAACGATTGATAACGTGGTTGTTCATGGGGGTGCAAATATAGATTGCGTTCTCCTTGAGCAAATTTACCAATGACTAAAAAAAGGGGTGAGATATTCGGGAATCTCAGGAACAATGCCCATTAACTGGCTTAATGCAGTACTTAGGGTTCTTCAGGGATAATGATGCGACAGTACACAGATTATGGAAAGTTACGTGAATTACAGTGATACATGGTGAGTCAGAGTGATATCTCTGGGATACTCCTTATTCTCACAATCAGGGGAGATCAAACTAGGAGTCAGATACAGTTGAATCAATCAAATACTTGGCTTCGAAAACCGACCTTTCTGCTGCTCAGGATCTCACAATGAGTAATGACGCAGTCCAGACTAGAATACACCTTCTTGATGTAGTCTTAAGTGGCCAAGCTCTTAATATTGTTGACTAAAGTATAAGTCCTATTTATCGTCCTCAATCGTTAAAGTACGTGAATTTCTCCCCACAGAATTGATTTCCTGTGTCGTAAAGAGAATTGCAGTGAAACTACACTAGACGACTAGTAACCGTGCACTAGCTAGAGTAATTTAATGTGACTTAGAGATGGCCTCAGGTAGTCAGAACGTCGTGGGAAACAGTGACAAAAGAGTGGAGGGAATAAACTAATATTCACTCAGTATTCACACAGATATTAAGGGGTGAGAAACTTTCTGAGAGATATGCAAACTCTCTAAAAAGGGATCTTATTATTCAAAGAGGGAAAACTATGTCCCTTTATATACTACTCTACAGGTGGCTATGCAACTACTAAATATGGAATAGTGACTCATAATGACTCCATGTGACTCACTATGACTCAGTGTCCAAATGTTCACTTAGAGATTACCGCTATTTCGGAACTGTCCAGAAACTATGACTAATCATTAAACAAAATGTAGATTACATAAGAAGATTGACACTGCTCAGATGATGACTGCGCAGATGTTGAGATGTTAAGATGTTAACACGAATATGGCTCATTAGGTGGGAAAATGTACGAGAAAATCCCGAAAGGTGTGGGAATGTGCTTACTAATGAAAGGATAAGGTTTTTTAACACAGTTTGTTGACTGTGCTAAGTACGTAATATGAATGATTAATTCATGTAGCTATGAAAAACCTTCAAGAAAATTATGGTAAATTGTCATAAAGCCATAAGAAATTAGAACTGCCTTTATTGGCAGTATTAGGTTGTACGAGAGTATGTTATGTGTCCGTGATCATGTACGAAACAGGTTTCGTGCGTGTCAATGGCGCTTAATTTTCTTCCTCAGCCTCTTCACTCAGCTCCCACACTATCACAACGGCACACTTCATTGCTACTACCACCACCTTGAACCACATCTCATGTAGGGTTTAAAAGTCTGGTTGCGCAACCGGTCAAAGACCGCAGACCGAACTGTACCGCAACTTTCCAAGACCAAATTTTCAGTCTCGGTTTGCCGTAATTTGACATCTTGCGGTTGCCGGTTGCCTCATTTGACCTCTAACATCAGACCGACGAAAAGTCGACTGCAACCGGTCTATACCAGGACCGGTTGCACGAAACACAAATATTGACCTATACAAATGAACATGACTTGGATAGTACAGACTACTACAAAATGGTCTCGACTTCGCCAGCTTCGTTCTCCCACTGCACCATGCCCTCATCCACAAGAAGGAAATATTTGTACTCATCGAGTAAAACTTCCTCAACAATACCTGAGTTTGCTTGAGCAGAGTCGGCAAGAGACTTGCGCCATGAGAATTTGAGCATCTGTAATTGTTCGAAGCGTTCAGCACCAAGATGGGAACAATGGTCAGTGGCGGTCTCTGCACCACCTGAAAAAAGTTGTTTGCAGGGTACAGATGATGCAGGAATTGCACAGATGTCCATAGCAATTCTTGCAAGCATAGGATACATAGAATAATGTTTCTGAATGAACTGATTAGTTAAATACACAAATATAAGTGTGAATACACTTACCGACCACCAGTCGATGATATTCGTGCTTTTTGAAATGTCAGGCACATCCTTGAGGTACCTCCGGAGTTCTGCTGCCCAGCCGGCATCATGGTCCAGTGTTGCCTGTTCAAGAAGCAAGCTGTTACGAACTAGGATGGTTCTGACGTATGGCTACTCGATAAGAGTAATCGGCCAAGGTCGGTTCAAGGCTTTGGCGTATACCGAAGTTCAGTAGTTTCTAAGACAAGTCTAGGAGAGTGTCCTCGACTTGAATCGCGTTCAATACGACTTAAGATTGGAGGTCTTAAGCGAAGGAAGTTCCAGGTAAAACCTAGTAAGATTAAAGTAAAGAACTACATAGTACAGGACGAGTGTATATAGCGAGCGGGTAACGACTTTAGGGCCGGTACTATGAGATCATAAAGACGAGTCAGAGATAAGACGAGTCAGAGATACCAAGAATAGATCATCTAGCGACGGCAAGATGCGATCGTGATGTAATACAATGATGTAAGGGAAAGAAAATGAATAGGGGCGTACGTGACTGTAACATTACCCCGTTTTTTATTGTTAAAATCACCGATTTCAACAATCAAAGTTATCGTAAGCGTCATAGTTGTCACGATCACCTGCGCATTCTCGCGTTTGGAGGGTCGTAGACGAATGGAGTGTGAGCGAGAGGTGGTTGCCGCCGGGGGCAGTAGTAAGAGCAAACGGTACGACCGGTACATCAGAAGGAGTGACAGCATCAGACGTATGCTCAACAGGAGATAATGTCTCAACCGGAGGAGGGATGGGAACTGCGACGTGAGGGATGGCGGTCTGGCGATTGGGTTTGTTGCAATTCGTTCAGTGACGATATGGATGGCTTCTCTAACAACTTCCTTGGTAGAGGCAGGCATGAGACGTATCGCAGAGTTGCGGATGCGAATATGAAGATGACGGAAAATGGCTTTGAAGCGTTGGTCATTCTCACTTTCACTGAGAAGGCCTGCAGTACGCTTGATGAGATTGGCGGCGCGAATAATGTTAATGAGGAGCGTGCTAGAGAGGGCCCCTTGTTCAGCAAGAAGGCGATCTATCTCGATAGCGTATTGCTCAGAAAGGAGGGCGGATTCGAATAGCGTGTTGGTTTCGATGTCGTCAAGGATGGTGAAATAGTTTGGCGATTCAATGGTTTCAGTCAAAGTGACGGACGTAGTGGATGGGGATGTGGCGAGGGTTTCGGACATATTATCAATGTATCGGACGAGAATTTGAAGTTGCAGGAGGCAAATCTGGAGAGTGCGGAGTTCTGAGAAAGACATCTTTTCGCGACCATTCTTATAACTGGTGAGCTTTCTTATAAGCGGCGAGGATTGCGGAGGCGTTGCCAAGATTTTCCATGGGAATCCATTCGTTACTGGCAGATGAATATCCTTTCCAGGATACAAGATAGTGTCTTCGTTTACCCGTGCCCTTGTGCGATAGGATTGCTTCGACTTCGTATTCTTCTTCGTTATCAATGACGTCAGGTGGAGGATCAGGGAAGTTAGGACCGTGGATTTCAGTTTCGTGATAGGACGATAATTCGGAAGCATGGAACGTGGGGTGAACCTTCCATTGCTTTGGTAACTGGAGTGTGAATGTGATTGGTGACAGTACTGCGGTGATGGTAAAGGGGCTGTAGCGTTTTGGAGCGAGTTTTCGTGATGGTAACTGCGTGATAAGATTCTTCCCAGATAACCAAACCTTATCGCCCACTTTCCACGGTTGGTACTTCTTTCCGTAAGATCGTGCAGCCATTCGCTGCATTGCAAGATTGTGACAAGAGATAGCTTCTTCTCGTATTTTCTGAAGGAGACGAAGTCGCTCTTCTGCGGCAGGGACAGTGG